TATTTCACCTATCTTGGGTAGAGAAACTTGGAGGGTCGTTCTGAGGCTTACCCCTCGTATCGTGGGTCGATCCCTCGTCCCTCAACGAAATTAGCGATTGCCCTGAGAGAAACACACTTGCGTTACCCATACGTAACGCTTGACATGACGCCGGCTTCATGACCATTCTACAACCAAGGTGGCTAGCAGTTGCTTATGCTTGGCAATTAATGGTCTAGGACTTTAAGTGCCCAGCTATGTGGCTACTAAATTATGCGAGAGGACATCTCCGGCACCGAGAACATGTCCTGTGATCACATTGTCTCCCGCCCGCAACCTGTACTCGTATAGCGTGGTGAAAGCAGGCCATGATCCATGTCCTCGGGACGTACCAGGTTAGTGGAACTAACTCGTATCTTCGATCATGAAGCACAATACTGAATTTTTCGCATGGGGACCATAGTAAAGTTTTCTAAATGCCGACATGCCGTGTGTTAAAGGGATATGGAATCTGAGTCGACCGAGATATAGCGAAATACTTTCAGCCTCGAAACGAGGACAGCTGTTCCACTATCAACCGATACGGCTCACCCAATCTCAATTATCTCGTGGCCAATGAACTATCTTTCAGGAAGCCGGTGGAATTCTCGCAGTCGCGGATTGGATATTGTTCGAGTTGATATACTGTAATTCCAGCTTACCAGCTTCCGGGCTGGTTCTCGAGGAGCATGGGAAGTGTCGGGACAACTTCTCAGAGTCGGCACTCAAATACACTACGATGTGCTCCACAGCGTAGTTCAAATCCTAGGTCTACCCAAGCCCTACTGGTTGGAAGCCGGAAAATATTTCCCACCAAGGCTCAGCACAAACTCAAACCATTCAAAAAATCAAGTCCTCGTTGCAGGTCCATTCCTTACTAGCATGATCGAGGGCCTAGAAATACGCTTTCGCTAAACAGCATTGCCTACTAGCAGCCGCCCTGGTGCGATGGCGGTCATGTGTTTGTCCATACACGGCGACATTTGAACAAGACAAGCAGCACACTCGACAGGCGGGGTTCCAGCAGTTGGCAGTCAGCTTTGGCTTCTTAAGGTGTTTCTCCAGTCCGACCTTTCAGCTTCACTGATGACGAAGCTGTCCAAGATTACAACCTCGTACATGCGCGTATCAAGACTGATGTTTTCTTTTAACATCCCTAAAGTGCGAGGCTAAAATTCTGATAGACTTTCGCCAAGATTCAAGGTAATGCGGCGACTGTCTTAGCATCTTTTGGGATTGAAGTGACGCTGCCCTGTGATTATTCCTTGGGCTAGGGACGTGCGTCAGGAGACGACTTCACAGACTTCATTTGCTTCTCGGTGCGACCTGCTACAACTTACTCTTCCCAAGATTAACTCTCTTCTCTGTCAGAGATACCAAGGCATGAGCTGAAGAGCAGAAGTCACAGTGTGGAGGTTGCGTGCGGCACAGATGGGATTCTCAGTATCAGACTCCCATCAAATGGCACCAAGCAGATCCCGAGAATTTCTCAGCATCTATGATGGACATGGGCTACCTGCAGAGCGGAAACGCATCTGCTGCCACCGTTCAGGAAGAGTTCTTCGACGACTACAGCGGTATCCTGCCACCACTAAGCTAGTCCGGTATAGCCCTAATTGCCCGGGCATCGTTAGATCTAGATGAGATGTTTCTTGCCGACATACGTGGATACACACCTACACCCGCGCAAACGATGTCATCAGCGATCGAGCCGGACCTAGCCATCAGGCGAACTCCCCGCCTTTCAGTACTATCGTCGGTCGATACCGGCATCAATGAGGCATGATTGTACTATGCCTCTACCTTTGATTTCCACGGGTCACAACAGGTGAGATCTTGTGGTTCCAATTCCGACAGAATTCCTACCGTTGATAGACAACAGTGGCGAACAGCTTCCAACGTTTCCGCCCTCATTTTGTAACATCTTCCCTCGCAAGACTTGGGGACAGTTTTAGCTATAAAGACATCCGAGCCCAGCCCCAGCTGTCTCAGATAATTCGACAGCACTCGTGGATATCTATTTTGGTCGACTTGCGCCTCTGGTTTTTTCGGTTCCTGTTTTCCCCTGGCTGTGGGAGCCTCGCAATAGGTTGGCCGCTTGTGGGCTCCGATCAGCGCTAAACCGCTCGCTCTTACTGTCCAGATTCCAGAGCATGCCAATGGCCTGTCTTGCTGAATTAAGTCCTCGAATACACGTTCCTGCATGAAGCCACCGCCGACAAGCTTTGGCTGCCTTGAGGGATGAACTACAAACAGACATGTTCAATACCGCGCTAGTCTACGCATTGATACTCCTGGGTGTAAACTCGGGTTGGATCAAGCCAGAGGACTCCATAGAAGGAACATTTCAGCAGTACAAACTCAAAATGTACAATCATTGTGCCTATCCTCTAAATTATGCCGGCGAACCAATGTCAGAACGCAAGAGCATCGAATTGTGTCTTCACGGTTCTCTGGCTTCCATTCTGCCGAGTCCTGGACTGGAACAAGATGTACCATCAGCTTCTTTCATAGCCTCAATTACGACAGACATACTTTCCCTCTGTCATTTGGGCAAGCCCATCACCTGGTGTTTGAAGAGCTAGTCACTGGTTCGAAGATTTCAACATACTATTGAGGCTAAGCTGTAAATGAAACCACAGAAGAACTAAACTTAGGCATGGTAGCTCGATTAAGACATGGAGACATTTATGCTCCAGCCATTTGGGACACTGTTGAGTGGAAGTTTCTGCGGTAGAGTTTCATCCTGTGTCGACCATCCTTGAGTCAAATCAAGAGGCCTTAGGTGCTTTGACAGCCAGATTTGGATGACTTGTACCCGCCTCGACTTTCCACATCAACCATACAAACCGATTACCAAAGCCGCCGTCATCGGCTCTGACCTTAAAGGGCTTGCTTCAGCTGTGTCTCTCCCACGACGGGGGCCACCGAGTATATCCATCTACGAGCGCTTTGGCTTCGCTGGAGAAGTCGGAGCAAACATCTCGTGTGTTTCTAACGGCACCCGATTTCTGGAGAAGCGGGTTGTTGATATCCAGCGTGCAGAACCCTTCATTTTGAAGCACACTTGGTACTAGGGTTTTGAGATCTTGCAGTACGGGATAGGTTTTCGTTGTGGTCTCCGTTTCTGCACAATAATGCCGCCGAGGTAGGCAAAAACACCGTGCCTCAGCATTTCACTTTGGGAGATATCAATGGTATGTATATTCCCCAACCGCGGTCTCCAAGATTGAACTAAGAAAATCTCATTTCCTAACCTCATATTTTGCACGTCGTTTGGTTCTATTACGGCGGCCATTGCTCGTTGACTGATGAAGAAGAGGCCCCGGCTGCTTTTGGGCACATGGCTGACGGTAAACGAATGTAGACTAGACCCGTCAGACCATTCCTTGGCTAAAACTACAGCTGAAGTATATGGGGGGCTTCAAACTTCACCCCTACCCCGCCGTAGTACACGTTCCAAGGCTCGTATCGGTGCGTCGAAAGTCAAAGCTCAGCTATTGTAGGCCTTTCTGGCGGTGGATCCAAGCCCAATACCCCTGCGATCCCAAAATCCTTGGAAGTCAAATGACTCCTAAGCGTTGATCATGAGCTCTGCAAATACACTAAGGAATGGGTTAGCTATGCAGATGCAGATGCAGATGCAGAGGCAGATGCTATCCCAGATTTCACAGGGAAAGTTCCGAGGAGGCTGACCAGAGTCCAAGATCTACGAATGATGAATCATGATGTCGAGGCACAAGTCGATGACCACAAGAAATCAACGTGTGGAAGCACCGTGCCAACCACCTTCTCATAGTCAAACCCGCCTCTTGCCGACTGTCCTCCAATCTCCCGCACCCACATCTCAGCATTCTCGAGGCTAGCCATCTACAATAGCCGGAACCAACAGCAGGCTTTGTCTCTCATCTCAGATAACTCGCCCCTGCGTATGTAGCCGATCACCTGCACGGATATTTCGGCACGAGGCCAAAGTTTAAAATCGACAGAGTTTAGGCAGATCCATCTCCTCAGATTAGAGAGATTGGGTCTAAAACAATTGCGGACCAGTACATACCGTATGTACGTGCACCGAGGCCATTTTTCTACAAAAAGGAGGAGGAGGAGGAGGTGGTGGTGGTGGTGGTGGGATGATGGCGATGCCATCGCTGTTAGCAATTTTGCCGCCGACGATGTGAATCTCCCAGCATCACTTCCGAGAGGCAGTTCGCTTGCCATATGGTTCAAGAATCCATGCATACATGGATGTCCTGAGGGAAGGACCTTGGGCATTCCTCCGTCTATAATAGGGCTTCGCGAATCTTCCCTTCTTCCCGAACTACTCTTTTCTCTCTCGATAAATAGAGATTCCGAAAGGGTGGCGCATGTTATAGATCAAAGGAAGAAGCACCCACGTTGTCATACGTCGCTTCAGATGATACCCATGGCTCTGAATGAACCTCGGTAGTAAGGGAGGACTGCTCTAATAGAGCCTCTCTCCGTTTGAACACTTGACCCCATCGTTGAAACCACCTACCAGCTACAAGAAGCTTACTACTAGTCCCATTCCTCGCGTAAAGAGGGCGCATTGAGAGTGCATGCGTCTGGAAGCTAGCTGAGTTTGCCTGGGACAGTTTGCTGGGAGCGCTTCCTTGCTGTTACTTATACGACATTTCGGTAGGTACGAACCAAACCTATAGTTCGTATGAAGACCGACGGCTGGAAGCGGACATGGGACATGGGACATGGGACATGGACTATACGAGCTGTGGAAAGCAGATTTTGCATAGTAATGTTCTTCTCTGATTCTGGAAATCTGGCAAGTTGGCGAGTCTGCATTGGAGGACGGCCTTCCTTGTTGGTCACGAGAAGCTATGGTGATGGTGGGTGATGTTGATGTTATTCACATCACACGAAAACTCCTTCATTCCTGTCTTTTTTAGAAGAAGGTTTCGTCGCTACGTCAAATCGAATTCCCCTTAGCAGGACGCGAAAATAAAACTCTAGTTCTCATGCAAGACCTCCATGAACTTCGCACTTGCGCGCTTAGGCTTCTTGTCGTCTCCGGTTCCCTTCTGGCCCAACTTGTCCTTGGTGTATTGAGCAGCGTACGGGTTGAGACGAAGGAGAACCTGTCTGTTGCGTAGAGGGTTCTTCTTCTGGACGCCCGTCCGCTTGGTAGTAGCATACCCCTTAGGCTCGTTGAGCACGGATTGGACTTCGGAGCTGTTGATGAGGCGGGTGATGTCGGCATTGGAGACCACGTTAGAAGGGAGAAGGAAGTCTTTCTTCAAGGCGGATGCTTCAGTGGTGGAGCCATAGATGGTATCCAAGGCCTCAAAGGCACCAGATGTCCAGATGATGAAGCGGCCGAGATGGCCACCGGGGGCGAGTTGAAGGAGGTTCAACGCGAACACGGAGGACGTTTCGACACCGGGGATGTTGCGGAAAGCACGCTGGAGCTCCTTGCCATCGGTCTCTGGGTTGTAAACCACCAGAGGACCACGGCGTTGGCGGTAGCGTCGGTTTCTCAGTTTACCCTTTCCAGCACGAAGCTTTCGGGACTTCTGAACCTTGACGATATCTGGGCCGGCACCGACAGCCTTCAATAGAGCAGCTGCAGCAGATGTCTTGACGAGTGCAGCACCTTCGAATGCCTTGCTGGAAATGACGAGGGGGACTTCTGGGACGGTGGAGATGCGATGTCCACGAGCCAAGAGGAGAGCAGGGACGGCGCTGGCTGCGATAGCAGATGCGGTTGCAAATCGGCTGTAAGTTTGTTTAGTGGTTTTATCCATTTCGGTCGTGTTTGTGTGTGTGTGTGTCTCCTACCGCTGACCCACGTTGACCTTCTGATGCCACTTTCTCCAGACCTTGGTCGGTGCAAACATACGACCAGATCGACACTGGTTACCGAAGGCAGCTTGACCAGCTCGATGAGTACCGCCACCAGAGACACGAGGAATACGTGCGACGGCACGACCTGGCCCAGTTGTTAGATCCTTCTGATTTTGCGCAGCTTTTATGACCCAATGCTTGACGTACCAGTTCCCCATGATTCTGCTGATGTCTGCTCGCCTGCTTTCTCGCTCACGGCATATGGCTGTCTCTTATTCTTTGCAATTCCGGAGTGAACACTCCTAAATGTAAGGGTCAGCTAACAGGCCTTGTAATCCTAGAGTAATGGTTTTCGTACTGAACAATATCGGGACGGATTGGGGAGCTGAAGACAGCTGGCAGTGACAGAGTCTTGCCGCTGCTGGCGCCATCAGCGCCGACGATTCCAACGGTAGGACGGCTCGACATCTTGACTGTGTTGACGGATTGGAATTCGAGGATTGAAGTTTGGTCGTGGTGGGAACAAAATCAGATAGTCGATTCAAGCGCAGGCAAAATGGAAAGTGTGGCTTGGAATGGACTAGCGTTGCCAAGATTTAGCCAAGGAAATTCCTTCGGTGAAGCAAACGAACCCCTTATGACGCCTTCAAGCTTGAGACTGTTGCGCGTCGTATAATGAAAATCCTTTCTATCCTAGAGTCGTGTGGTTTGCAAACCTAAGTAGGCTGGAATGAATTTTAGCTGCATCCGATTAGTATACCTGTATTATTTGTCTCCTGGGAATGGATGGAAATGCTTCATACTATGTGATATGGGATCCTTCTTTACTTAGTTCTACAGGGGTTACATAATCCTTGATAGTCTTTTGTGATGAGTGCAAGACTGAATCATACGCCCGGCTCGACTCTCCTCGTACACAAACAGGCAAGAGACTGTGAAATGGGTCTGGATAGAGCTGTCATTCTGGGAACTGAGAGGGCACTCAAACAGGGCATTCTCTCTGTGCAGCTCGATTTTTGACTCTAGCTAGTCAACTCGTCCCAGAGCAATCGTTGATTCATTGAACTCGCGGGCCCTTCCTGTGGCCGATATTCCTTTCACTTGTACACCGATTCCGAGGCCGCCGCAGTCGGGAGAAAATAGATGATGACCGTTAATTTCATACATTCATGATGATCTACAGCCCGACGGTAAACATGGCCTTATTTGATCTGTTTAGACATCAATAGCATCAACAACAACACCCTTGACCCAATCATATTGCAAGAGCCTAGCCACCTCTTGGGCAGAGTCGTGGCTGACCAAAGCAGAAACAAGGTACAACGCCGCGTCCAGGCCACTAACAGCTCCGCCACTGGTGATGACTCTCATGCCACCGAGCTTCATGCTCTGGCGACGGACGATATTCTCACGCTTCGCATTGCTCTCTTTGCGCGCAAGACTACCCTTGCGAGCGGTCGACTTGGTACGAGTCTTGTTGAACACGTAGGGGTTCTCTTCCATATCTTCGCCTAGATCGAAGCGGGCGTTGTTGACCACATAGCGCTCTTCCATGACATCTGTGCGTTCTTGCGTGTCATTGGCCGCTGCCTCTTGACAAGCATGTTCGAGTTTAATGTAGAAGTCGGGGTGGGTGGTAGCCCCGAGACCTTGCAGAAGACCTGCCTTAGCAAGGAACAAGGCGGCGGTATCGACCGCCAGGAGGGTTCTCTCTCGGCTGGGATCCGCAGTCTGGAGGTCAGAAAAGGCGGAGATGAGTGGTATTGGTTGCCCCTCCTTCTTGACAATTTCGGTGGCATCACCGCCAGGGACAACGAGAACGTCGAACTCCTTAAGACGTTGTAGGGCTTCTTTGAGGGAGATCTGTGCCTCGAGTGCGACGCCTTGCTTGGTCATGACAGATTGATCGGGAGCAGCAAAGGTGAAATCAAAGGCTTTGGTGTCTATTGCGGTAAGAGCACGGGGTCAGCGCCGGAATAATGGCCGTGGGGCGAAGAAAAGCTCACCTGCATCATTGATGTCGTGCTGAGCATGATTGAGAACCTGCAATGGACCAGCCATATCCAGGAGACTCATGTTATCATGCAGTGTGATGAGCACCTGGATAGGCTCGAAGTTCTCGTTGTCACGAATTGCACTCATCTTGCCGACTATGGGAGAGAATAAGAATTGTTTGGATGGGCAAAATTTATTTGCTAGCTCGAGTCTTGGGTGAGGGTGTGGCTTTTCGTCGGAAATACTCTGGTTCAAGGCAGGATGATGTAAAAAGGACTCGGTGTTGGTGGTGCTGTTTCTGGTTGTGGTGTGAGAGAATCAGGTGAGAGGAATGAATGTCGAGTGTTCAGACGGGCTTCCTTTGGTTTCTGCGGAGACCCCACGATTGATTTCTGTTGGAAACGTGGGGTAGTCGAATGCCAAGAAATCACGAGACACTTGAGGGAGGGGTTCGACCACGTGCTGCACGCGCTGGAGAGTCACTGTCCTCGCGTTTCAAAAGGTCTAGAAATCCTGCAGACCTCGAGAACGCCCTTATTCGTTCGATTCCTCGGAGGATAGAAGGTTTACATGCTTAATGGTTGGGTCAAGGTACGTGTCCGAGAAGGAGTGTCAGTGTAAGCATAGAGGGGAGACAAGGACGAGGTCCCCTTTGCTGACAAGACATCCTCTCTCTAAATTTGCTTTGGTAGGCGCTAGATTTCCCAGAAATTGGAGTGTTCGGTCGTTTGATGACGGTCTTGACATACGCTGCAATGCGACAACGAAGGAACTAGCATTCGACGAAGTTTATTCGCCATGGGGCTTACCCGAGGTTAGATGTCGCTAGGGACAAATAAAAGCTCCCTCGTCGCAAGATTGACGATGTTCGGCAAGTCTGATTCTACTGACCTAGTGACTACCGAAACCGAACTGCACGCGCAGATATCCCTAACATGGCACACCCTCCAATAATACTATTCACATACGAGTCATCCGTCTTTGGGCGGAAGATGGATTGGTACTTCACGCTCAGCGGTCTGAAATACAACCACTGCATCACGCTCAACCGACTACCACGACCCGTCCTCGAGAAGCTCGGGGTTAAGTATCGACGGATACCCATCCTGGCGATCGGTCGGGACATCTACTGTGACACTCGGCTGATAATCAATAAGTTGGAGGAATTGTTCCCCGAGAACAGGATCAGCTCACGAAACCCATTTGAGAAGGGTCTGCAACACGTATTCGAGACCTGGTTGATCGACGGAGGACCTTTCTGGAGAACGGCGGGGCTTATCCCTCCGGACTCGGACATCATGAAGGACGAAGAGTGGTGTAAGGACAGACTGGAGATGACGGGGAACAACTTCAACGCCGAGACGATCAGGAAGGGTCGGCCGGAGAGTGTTGCTCATGTACGCACGTACTTCAACATAATGGAAAGGGAGCTACTCGCCGATGGGAGGCACTTCCTCCTGAATGGTCCGAACCCGACATTGTTGGACATACATGGGATATGGACATTTCACTGGGCGACTAGCAGAGGTTTGGCCTTGCGGGAAGCATTGGACAAGGAAGGTACTATTGATGAGAATCAGTTCCCAAGGACTTTTGCATATGTCGATCGGTTTGCAGACGCCTTGACCAAGAAACAACTAAAGAACGGCAAGCCCCAGAAACTTTCGGATAAGGAAACAATCAAGACAATTCTCGAAGCGGATTTCTTCGAGGCAGAGAGTGATGTCGACGAACGAGATCCATTGAACTTGAAGAAAGGCCAGCTGGTAGAGATATGGCCTGTGGAGTCTGGATTCAATCATCATGACAAAGGTGAATTGATCTCAATCAGTGTAAATGAAGTGGTGATTGCAAGCAAACCCGAAGTTGGCGATGGACTGTTGAGAATTCACTACCCTCGGACAAATATTCGCATCAGTCCTGTCAGCGGATTAAAGCTATAGCTGCTATCAAACACACCTCGCGGGCGGAAATTTGGTGGTACATAGAGGGGAAGTTGTCAATGACTATCAATCTAGCCCCGAATCTGGACATTGCCGAACGCTGCCACTGGCCATCCAGAGTCTCGCTTTGTCGATGCCAGCCTTTCACCATGCCGTATAGCCTCCATCAATAATGAGCTGATTTGACGATTAGTACAGTGTAAGTATCCACTTCTACTGGCATAGACAATTCGCCTACCTGTGATCCAGTCATGAAGGTGCTGGCATCACTCAAACAGAATAGTGCAGCTCCACGATACTCAGATGGCTCAGAGATGCGACCGAGCTAGAAGTATGTCAGCGACTATTGTCATCCAGTGACCAGTTTGGATTTTCTACGACTGACCATATTCTCCTTCTCCCAAAGTCCCTTCAGATGAGGATCATCTTCAAAGTTCTTTCTGACCATAGGGGTCATAATGTTGCCTAGGCATCGAGTGTAATTAGTATTGGAATTGTAACTCCGCTGACAAAAGGGAACGACTAGCTCCAACATACCAGGACAGAGTGCATTGACTCGGATTGGCTTTCCCTTTTTCATTTGGCCCCATTCCATCGCCAGACTGCGAGCGAGCTGACAGACGGCTGCTTTTGAAGAGTTATATACGGACGAAGTGAACCCTTTGTTGGCGATGAGGCCAGACATGCTGGCAATTAGTAACATGGATCCGGCGCAGTCATACTTGACCATCTGCCGGGCACAGCTGACTGCAGAACAGTAGACACCCTTGTAGTTGATGTCCATCATATCCATGATTTTCTCGGGCGTGTGATCGAGTGCAGGTTGGACATTTTGCACACCAGCAGCGGCTATCAGCCCATCAAGACGCTGGTGTTTGTCGGCAACCCCAGAAATAACACGGTCCAAGTTTCCGGCGTCGCGGACATCGACCTGGTCATAGTTCAGTGAGCATCCATACTGTGGTCCGAGTCTGTCCTTGGCGATCCCGAATTCCTTGTCTGGGTCGGCGAGTTGATCCAGGCAGTACACTAAGAACCATCAGCGATTAGAGAGACCATGATTTTGCAGGTAGTAGAGTGTTTACAGCAGCTGAGCTTCACCTTTTCCGCCAGCCTCGACCAATGCTTGGGCGAGTGTCAAACCGAGCCCACGAGCTCCGCCTGTGACGACAAAGACCTTGTTCTGCAAATCAAATTCCCCAAAGCACGCAGGGGCGCTCTTTGACTTTGGCAGTTTGTCTTTGACAGAAGGGGCCTGACTGCCAGCTGCAGCAGGCTGCAGATGTGCCGGGAATCGTCGCCTTTGCCACTGCTGGCAGACAGCCGTGTATGCAATCTTTCGACAGCCACATTTCGACTTCAAGATTGACGGGGGCGCGGACGGACCGCTCTGAACCAACCGAGAGGCCAATCTGGAAATAAGCAAAGACATCTTCGTGTAAAGGGCAGGAAATCAAGTTCAAGAAGTGGGTGGAAAGGGCTTAATTAAGGGGAAACCAAGCAGCAGCTGCCACTGCAAGACCCCAAAGGGCATTCATTGAAAGACTCAGGCACTCGCGAAGGGTCATCGATATATCCTCCCGCATCCTTCATGTGGTTGGTCGGAAGTATGATAAAACCCTGGGATAAGGGTTTGTGTCGCAAGTGTCCAGCAAGATCTGGAGAAGAAGTGACGTCGATTGTCGTGGCACGAAGGCGGGGTAGAAGAATTGCTTGTTCCAAGCCACCTTATCATCTAGACTTCAGGTGCTCATGAATGTCTTTTTATGTGACAAAAGTACATGGAATATGGCCAGCTATCGAGATACCTGTGAGTGGCTTTGAATCAACTAGCCTTAACCAAACCATAGGTGGCCCATTAAAGCAAATGGACATTTAGTAGGTATCCACCATGCAGCAAAGAAGCCAGGATGGACGAGGGAACGTTTGTCCCCAGTTTTTGGCTCGTCTATCAAAGTACATGCTTGGTCCAGACAAAATGGTGTGGAAATGACATGGGGTGGGAGAAGTGTGCCCAAGCCAAACGGTCCCTCACGGGACTGTGCCGATAAGGGTGCGGCAATGTCGCTGATCAAACACGCAAGCTGGGGAGGTCTTCACAAGGATTTCTGTTGCCGTGTAAGCCTCTTCGTCACCTTGATCGTATTACCAGCGCCGATCGAAGTCAGAATATGCCACCAGCCATGCAGTTCAAATACAAATTCCCAGGGAAGGCCGATGGTGGCCCTGGTTTCACGCAACCATTTGCAGGCAGCACCATCGATTAGCCATAAAACAAAACCCAGGAGGAAACTGATGCCACCGAACCGGAACGTTTGGTGCGCAATGTTTCGGTCTGGTCCCTTGAGCTTCCGGCTGATGAGATACAACACTCGGGGCCAGATAGCGGTGACAAGAACAATGAACGTCCAGTTGTGAAGCCACAGTTGATTCAGTTGGTAATGGACAGCACTGATGTAGCCTAGGACGCCGGTTAATAGAATTCCAAAGGTTGCTCTGACGCTGGCCGGACGGTCGAAGGTGTACAGCTCGTATATGATGGCAGCACAGACCCAGAACATGGAAAGATCGTCGCAAATCTGCGTCTCATACTTCAGGGTAAGGTGGAATGCGAATGAGGTGGCCCCGACGAAAAAGAGAGCCAGGTTAGGAAAAGCTGTGGTCGACAATAAAGTCTCTCCTGGTGCTAATGTCTTGAAGGCATAGTAGACTTCACAGTTTTCTGTCAGCTCTCCTGCGTCCTGAGATGCCCAAGGAAGGGTCCCACGGACCATATGCGAGATTTGTGACGCTGTTGACAAGTTCCGCAGCGTATTTGGACAGTCTGTAGTCTTCCTCACAGAAACTACCGAACCAGGAAAGTCAGTACAGGGTGCACTAGATGGGGGTTGGGGAATGTGTACTTTGCGACAGATGTTTGAGGTCCCCAGTAGCCGCTGTTGGCATATGGGTCTCCTGCAAAATTGCGCTCGACATAACCCATGATGAACGTTCGAACGATGATGCCACAACCAGGGAGCAAAATGCTCCGAAAATCTTGGTGCTTCTAGATGCGTCAGGGGGTCAATCCTAATGTGAACGCACGATCGATCGTCTTGAATAATGTTTGACTGCAAGATTTAGAATGAGCGACCAGAAATTTAAGAACAAGTATGTAAAATAAACCAGGCAGCCACGAAGGGTTGGAGTTCCGACGCCAGTCTCGTTGTACAAATCTTCCAGAGAAAAGATCCAAATCCACGAAGAGGGTACTACGAGACGTCCACATGGCTGGTGTCTGAGATGGCGACGAGCCGATGACTGAACATCCTTCGTTTCCGTGGTGACACTGCCAATTACTTAACTACATATGTAACTAGTTTGTTACGCTGGGACCGTATTCCGTATCTCGTACCTTTTGTTCGTATCGGCCAAGATTCGTGGACTGCTTATCTGAGAAAAAAGCAAGCCAGAACTCCAGGAAAGACGTTCGCAAGTAGATTGTTCCAGGTGCCTTATGGACAGCCGTAAATGCGATTGGGCCGTTGCTGTTGCACTTAGGAAAATTCAGGCAACGATTTTAGGAGAAAAGGCTTGCTAGGCTGACAAGAATTCACCCAGTTATGACCCGTACGTTGTTCATGTTCATGATCCACCAAATTCACCCCGGTTATTCGTACCCATCATAGGTCACGATACACCAGCATTGTCTGTATCATCACCACCATACCTGGCCGCCCAATGCCTCACTTCAAAGTTACACGCAGACCCCTCGAATCGGCGGCCGGAAAGGGCGCGAAGAAGTCGTGTTCCATCTCAACATCTTTCGGTGTGGTTTGGTACAGTTCGGCATCGAACTTATGAAAGAAGTTCGCAGTCATCAGGTAAAGATTCATCACCGCGAGCTCTTTACCTATGCAGCTCCTTGATCCCCGTCCAAATGGAGTAAAGTATTTCTCCATCCGCTTCAGTTCTTCGCCTTTGACTAACCATCGGTCCGGTTTGAATAGCTCGGGTTCGGGAAAAACCGATTCGTTGCTATGATTGCCTTTGATTGACATGCTAATCACGGTGCCTGGGGGGAGGGTGTAGGACTGATAGGTGTACGCAGTGCGAGGATTAGATCTTGCCAGTCGCCCTGAGACAGCATTGCCTATACGCAGCCCTTCGTTGATGACGGCCGTGAGAAAAGGCAGGTCTTCGACGATATCATAGTGCGTCAAGGGCTCTTCGACTGCGCCTGATTTTGATACGGCATCGGCGAGTTCTTGCTTCAGCCGACCAAGAACCGCAGGGTTGGCGAGAACGTGGTACGCAATCGCTTCCAGGGACGAACCCGTGGTTTCGCTACCTGCCCCGACCAAAGTTCTTGCCTCTTGTGTCAGCCTATCTACCGTCTTGTCGCTTTCTGGAATTGCGTCAGAGTGGACAATTCCGTCGAGTACGGATTTATCACTTCTTTTCTCGGCATGGACGGCCCCTTCAGCTTGACGCGCCAAGTCCTAGATTCGGTCAGCCAATTCATTGTTCGGGCTTCAAGGGATAGATCATTCCTCACGGTCTGGAAATCAAAAGACAGCAATCCTCCTTCCGTCGAGGTCGCCTTGATAAACCATCTTGGCATGCGCATGAAGATGGGAATGATGATTGGAATGTGGCGATGCCATACAGCGATGTATGAGATGGTTCGGGCTTGTCGATTGTAGTCGTCTGCAAAATCGATGGAGTCCAACAAGTTGAATCCCTTCGGCATACAATAATCCGTTACCGAGTCTGCGGCGAGACACCGGAAAGCATTGGACAAATTCACAAGCTTCCCATTCTTGCGAATGTCTTCAAGCCGCCTGCAGAGCTTGAGAACTTTCTCTCTCGAGGATGATTCGAGCCCCGCAATTGCAGAAGAAGAAAAGAAACGACTCATAGCTTTCCTTCTCGCCCGATGGAGATCAGCATTGCTGGTGCCAAAGCCCGCATCTTGAGAAGCGACAAATGCATAGTACCACCCATCCTTATCAAGCCGGCTTGAAATAGTGTAAAACTCATCAAAAAAGGTCGGGTCCAGAATATGGCATTCATTAGGTCCTATCCGGACGATTGGGCCTGCGAGAACGTAAGAAGCAGCAAAACCTGGATTGGGGCTGACCGGCCTTACCGTACTGCCTGTGCAACTCCTCGATCTTGAACACGAATTTCCCTCCTAGGATGCAATCATAGTAGAAGTCATAGAGTCGGGATATCGCAGCAAGCTTTGGCCCCGGAATTTTGGACAGAGGGTGGAAGAACAGGCGGTAAGTAACCACAGAGGCAATGCTTGCCGAAAACAGCGAAAACAGCAGTGCCAGCAGATTCGCAGAGGAGCCCAAAGCCATTGTGAAGTGAGGACTCGCGGCCTGTCAGACGACAATTAGATACCGAAAATTAACAAGTTGATTGAATCAAGCAATATGCAAACGTTCCCGCCTTGCTTGATGCCAGCTCTTTGGAGTCTGCACCAAGATCGAGAATAAGACAGAGAAAGGAATCCCCTCAGTCCTTGCTTTGATGAGACGAATGAGATGCAACGTAAAGCACAACGATCCGCCCATTTCTGACAGGCCGCAGTAGTTAGATCTGCACATGGCAACTGGTGCATTAGTTGGTTGTTTAGTTAGCCTGTTGGAGCGGCCGTTCAAGTGCCGGCGCACAGCAGCCTTTGAGAACCTCGGCGGTTCACTGCACGCCTCACCAATATGACGGGCTCATGGTAGTATTGAACTGAGTATCGAACTGAATACATGTCAGCTACTAGGTAAGCTACTTTATCCAAGGGTAACACGATGAAGGTAGTCAGGTAGCACACAACTAGACCAATACATGATACCCCAGTCCGGAAGCTCTCAATGCAGTTCCACAAACTAGTTTACGTGGCCCGGTACTAGGGAGTACTGGGTACTGTACTCCTCTATTGTGCATGGAACCGAGCATGGCCAGTGCTTTCGGACATGTACAGAGTACCTACTGTAAGTACTTCGTGGTGTGGCGTGAGCACTGGGTAGACGGTGGTTAGATCTCTGTACATCGGCCCACCCGCGGGGACTAGGCATCATCCTATCACCAAGTAATGATCTCTATCAGGGCTTCTTTACAGCATGCAACTTTCTTCCCTCTTTAGGATCGGCTACATGGCACGAATCTGCTCGCATTGCCTGCCACCCTCTTGGATTTGACCGACATGACAGCGCGCAGAAGCACATTGCGCACAAAGATCTTGACACCGCATCAGGTAGCGCCCCAATCCAAGCATGACGTGAGAGTCGTTGTCTATTACACCTATACTGGACCTTTTCTCGACCTTTCCCTTATGGAGGACGGGGCTACATGTGCAATTTGAAAACTTGCACCCTGCACAATTCTGCAAGACGACAGTAGGAGTGTTTGAGCGCTCTTGGCCCCGGTGATCAACTTGGCAATCGCTTGACAATGCCCTTGATTTTCTTCGATCTGACATGGTACATGGAACAGTGGCCACTGCCGGTGTTGAAGTCTACGGAGTTAATGACTGACACCGGAAGCGCTTGCTCAGCCCCCCCCCCGGAGTCTTAACTTCCAACCTACTTACTACGTCGTCTGTAATGCGAACGGAAACCCATTGAACACACGTGCTGTGGGTTGGGCATACCCGAAACTCTAGGCCACGTGTGCCGCCTGAGGGATTGTGGAATATGCCTGCGGACACGGAGTAAGACGGCTGAAGGAGCATTCCGTGGTAGTATCCACGGCCCAGACATTTCCGAGGTAAGGATGTGCAGGAGGGAAATCAAGATTCAAGTTGTGTCATTGGGTCTTGCTCATTCAAGGCTCGAAAACCAAGCCATCCCGATCTTTTCCTTTCGGTCTCGAGCTTGCACCTCTTAAATCACTCTTATTACTGCAGGTCTCCCCCCATACTTTGGTCATCATCATCATCATCATCATCATCATCATCATCATCATCAATGTTCTATGTGTTCTGCACCATACGTTCCAACAATGAACCCAGACTCAGACACTGACTCAGCCTATGGCGAGAGTGTGCATAGTGAGACAACATCCCTATCTTCCAGTGTCCTAGAGTATCAGTATGAGAATGGAAGACGCTACCATAAATACAAGGCGGGGAAATACTTCGCGCCTAATGACGAGGAAGAGCAACAGCGGCTTGACCTTGTGCATCACGTCCAGTCAATGTGCCTAGGAGGAGAACTGTTCAAGGCACCCATCAAAGAGCCGCACCGAATACTTGATATTGGTACTGGCACCGGAATATGGGCGATGGACATTGCCGACCGCTTCGAGATGGCTCAAGTCATCGCGACGGACCTTTCACCGATTCAGCCCAAATGGGTGCCGCCGAACTTACAATTCCTTGTAGATGATGCAGAAGCAGGGTGGACTTTCGAACAAAAATTCGACTTCATCCATATCCGAAATATGGGAGGTTCAATCGCAGATTGGCCGGCGCTTTTACAACGATGCTTCGACCACCTCAATCCCGGAGGGTGGTTGCAAGTAGGAGACTTCGAGGCCTGGGGATCTACGGATGATAATTCGTTGCCAGAGGACAGCTCTTATCACCAGTGGCAAACGCACTTGCAGGAAGCAGCAGAGAAAGCTGGACGTACCATGAACATCATCCCTCAAATGAAGAAGATGGTGCAGGACGTCGGCTTCGTAGATGTACAGGAAGATATTTACAAGGTGAGTAAGACACGCATTGTCCACGCATAGTTCTATACCACTACTACAAAGCTAACATTGTTACCTCTTCACTAACAAGGCTCCTCTTTCACCTTGGCCGAAGGACAGGAAGCTCAAGGAGTTGGCCATGTACATGCGCATTCTAATGCTCGAGGCCCTACAAGCCTACAGTCTGGCTCTTTTTACCCGTGTCCTCGGCTGGGACCAGGCCCAGGTCGAGGTGCTGCTTAGCGGAGTCCGGGCAGATCTAAGGAACCTGAAATATCATATGTTCACTCGATTGTAAGTCCAATCCATCAATCTCTGGGGGACCGGGAGAACGGGGCTGATGATGTCTTAGGCGTTACATTTACGGAATGAGACCACTTTGAATGGGAATGCCCAAGCGGCGCCACGTGGAGATGCACATCATGGAAAGATCTCCAGGTTTTCGCCAAATACGGGAAGAATTCCATCCCGCATTCCAAAGCAGGACTATTGAACACCGCGCTCGAAGCGAAGATTGGCTAGGTTCCAAGAACAGCGGCTCTTCAGAGGTTCAGCTGCGGTGTCCGAGCCACATGGCTTCGCAAATCATGGTATTTGGAAGGGCTTGGACCTTAGACCCGTGCCCTCACCAATGGTCGGTGTGGCCTGAGCTTCTGCATCCCTCGGCATATCCTGCGTTCAATCCTGCTTGGGCACATCGTCCGTCCACTGATTTATTCTCCGATCGACCTTCCATCTCCTCCCTGGTTATCGTTAGGCTTGCAAGTCTGGAACTTAGCCATTCTTGCAATGAGCATCTTCGCGGTCTGCCACTTTATATTCGCCACATTCAAGTATTGGATCAAGTGGGATCTGCATCCTCGACACAGAAAAACGTTGGCTCCGAGCTCACTCTAGGGATCGACCTTCGATGTTGCCATTAGAAGGTCCACCTGGAGAATCACCACGCTGGCATATGCTATATACCCAGAGGCGGTTCTTCACGGCTTCCGTGTGCGTGCAAGATGCCTCGATACTTTCTTCCGGCGCGCTGTTCTCTCCATTTCATCTGGTGAAACAGGAGAACATTTGCCACGTGGCTTTTGCGGCTGAACATGAGGATCTGTGTGCCCTGGCAAGGTGGGTTGTAAATCGAACACATACACACTTAAGGCTCTGTTGAGCAATCCATGCGAGACCTCGTCTCCATACACACGGCCCACTTCTTTCGCTTGACTTGTTGCCCCACAGCCAGACGACAATCGAAGCCTTTTGCAATGTGCGAAATATAATGACATTGCCCAGAGCTCACCTCGCACCAAAAACACCTGAATCTCACCATCCCCTTCAGATCTCCTGATCGAGAAGTCGATCCACAAGCTGCGCTAACACACATTGCAGGGGGGGGGGGGGGGGCAACGCACAATACAGATAGGAAGCAGGCGGCAAAACCATACGCCCGACAAGCAGCAATGCCTGTGTCTCCACAGGACATCCTTCCTTCTCGACCTGGCAAGCGGGCAACAGCGAATTAGTCATGCTAGCAGTGTTGTTGGATTGAAGGATTTTAGCACAGGACCCTCTTTCTCAACAAACGTGAGGCGCGCTGATCATCAAAAGCTTCCAAATCAGCCGTATAGCTAGTTAGATAGCCGATCTTTCTAGCCGGCCAGCCGGCCAGCCAGCACTACTGAATACAGTCAAACTATGTTCTACCCCGAGAGAGGAGGAAGAATGAAGAGCAGAATCCTTAGTACCGCTCCTGGACAGAACAGCGAAATTTCGATGGGTCGGGTGATTTTACATACTGTGGCTGAAGGACTAACTTTTGGTGCTAATACCTCTTTCCAATCAATGGCTTGCACCACTTTTTATTTTCGTCCCTCCGGCATTTTCGATACTCACTTTGCTCGTCCAATCGACTACTTAGCGTTTGAGAATATGGCCCTGCTGGTTCTTCCGTCCTTTGGCTAAAACCTGATACTCTTACACATTCATTCTTCATGCCCCGATCTTTCCACCGGAATTCACCATTTCACCAGTTCACTGTTGGACGAATCTCCTACGCATTCTTATCACCATTCGCCACGCTCAGACTTCCATTTTCGCCTTGCTTTTCAAAATCTTTTCGCCGTAACAGCCGTCCCGATAGAATGTGATCCATATGCGTTTCCAACCACTCGTTTCCCATTCGTCGCATGCCGATGAATGCCTTGAGAGTCTGCACTGGACTTTCTACAAATGGACATTCTGTCCATCCATTCGCCTTCCGGCAAGCAGGAGGTACCCAATTGTCCGTCAAAACGTTTCGTCTTACGAGCAGTTCGCGTTCTCCGTCCCATAGACCGATCAGGGTGCAGAGAAGTTGGTAGTCCTCAAAATTGCTGAAGTAAAGTTGGCCGGCAAACAGATTGAGAATGGCCACTTGATCCCGCGAGATCGTCCCACCATTATCTTCCTCAGGGATCTTGTACACATCCAACTTATCAAATGACGGCATGCCCTTCGACACTCTCGCCTGGTAAAGGAACAATGACGCTCGCTTTGACTTGCGAATTTCAGGTAGGAATAACTCGGCCTCGTGAGGAGAAATTATGATGGGCTGCCCGATGAGCTTTGTATACAACACCCATTGCACCGGCCTCAAGAAATTGTCTTGATCGCAGTTTGCTTTGCTTACTATTGTGCGAGTGAAATCTTTGGTAACTTGAATGTGCATCGGCCATGCAGCTTGAGAGTACGATGGCGCAAGGCTGGTCTTGGTCAAAACCTCAAACGCAGGAAGCAACTCATCAGAAGAACCGTTAGGCAAGACGCCGTCTCTGATAACCTTCCACAAAGCTTGACAAGGCTCTGGTTTCTGAGGCGTGACTGCAATTGGACGTTGGACCTCTCTGATCTGTTCCACTTCGTGCAAGATCTCACGTTCCTGCTCTTCGAAGATGCCGCTGTCTACAGAGAGAGCGATACCTGTTCGATCCCACTCTCCCAAAAGACCTGCCATGATTTCATCATCAAGCTCCACTTGGGAGGGCTTGAAAGGGAGCTCCTTCTGGCTGCTCACGTTGACACGATACATTTCAGATACAGGACGACTTTCTCGCTCTCGAATGATCTTCAGATAATTCTCGATGTCTTTTACATGCCCGGACGTCGAAACATGACGAGCAGCTGCTAATCTTCGTCGACTATGCAGCATCCCTTTTGTCATGCACTGTGCATGTTGATGTTGTAGATCAACGCAGGATTGATGGATTGCCCACCGGACGACATGAACACTGCTGATTGCTTCCGATGGGCTCTTCGTAACAGCCCGAATGCTTTTGTCAACTTCAGGAGGAGCGATGAAGACCACAGACTGGGATACAGCAAGCTTCCTCATGCGCATACACGCTTGCACAAGAGTGTCCTTTGGGATACGCGGGCCGAGTAAGACTGCTGCAGCAAATGCATCAGGCAACTGGAAGTCTGTTCCGCGAGTGTGGAATTCATCAAGATATAGCAGACAAGACCCAATGCTTTCCTTGAAGATGGAAGAGTTGAACTTTTCAGTGGTACCATCACGATTGACCACCATCTTCTCATCGACGTCGTTGAAAAATATCGCTGCCAGCTTGTGTTTGCATTTGCTTAACCACTGGGATGCAATCATTTCGTTGTCCTCTAAAAATTGTGCGCCGACATCGATTATGACAGAAAGCCCTTTATCATGACCAACTACAAGGTCAAGGAGCTCCTCGTTCGTAAGACGCTGTCCATGAGAGCTGGCACAAATGTATTCACGGTTATCGTGCCGCAAGATGGTTGCCAGCGTAGATGCTGTACTGTGCTTCAAGGCCTGGATATCTCCGAGCTCGACCGTCCAAGGAATTCGACTGTCGCAGGTGCCAGAGAATCCGGTAGTTACTTTGCCACTGCCATAGTCGGCACAAAGGTCCCATGCTGAAGTGGATAATTTCCAGGTAAATTCCCTCGCTACCTTGGGAAAAACCTCGCGCTTTAGGAAGAATTCAATGGCAGCTTTGTTGAGTCGAAGGTGCTCATAAAGGGTAGACATGCATGACGCATCGTCAAGGTTGATCGAACCCGCGCTTTGGTAGACTTCCGGTAGCTTGGATCTTTGCACCCATTTCGAGAATTCTTTAGATGGGTCTGTTAGTTTCAGCATTCTGCGGATGCATTGCTGAAGGTCGTGAAATTGTAGACCCGTGTAGTAGTAGGACAGTCCGGTCAGGATGATCATCATTTCGGGTTGCGCAAATTCAGATGACTGGGATGGAATAGCCTTTGCTCGATAAGGAACTGCCGCGAGACATCCTCCACGGCGATTCCTATCGAGACCGTAGTTTACCAACCATCTCTTGCGTAAGGCGTGAGCCAAGACCTGGTATGAGATCAAACCGCGGACCACATATAAGATGTCCAACTGGCCAGATTCTTTAAAGTGGGCCTTGATCTGTTCTAAAGTTTCAGGATGCACGTTAACATCTTGAATGAACAACCTGAGTGCTTGCAAAAGTTCCGTGTTACAATGACCTAACGGGACACTAGCCAACTTGCCCTGAACAACTGCGTCGACCAGAGATGACATCAAGGACTCGCATCCTGCGTCATTGAGAATTCGAATATGATCAAATGCGCCGATCGGTCGGTCCTCTAGTTCGAGGCCGAAGGGGGCCTTTTCTAGAGCTTGATGTGCATTATGTTGGACCAGATCGAGCAGCTCAAGCGCAACGATCCAGCGCTGTGGGGACCTAGAGAGAGGAAGCAACTCTCCAGTTGTGTATACTAATTCGTAGCCAGGCTCCAGCAGCTGATCAGATTCATCCAGCACGTCTCGAGCAGTCTGGTCAAGAAAGTTCTGAATACCAAAAAGCTTCGGAGCCAGCATTGAGTCAGTGTAAAGTTTGTCGTTGCATAGCAGACGGAACGAGTTCAAATGTTCTGGGAGACTGACAAGAACCCCGGAATTTTGCATGCACGACTCATAGAGTCCTTGGAGCACACATGTGTGAGGATAGTCAAGCGTTGTTTGTCGAGAGATAGGGAGGAAATACACCGTTCTGCCAACAAGGCCAGACAAAGAACGCGAAAGATTCCGTAGCATCTCAATCGCCAAAGGTTTCAGCACAATGACTCGGACAAGAGACGAGCCAGTTGCCAGAGCTGTCACAACCATGGGTAGGATTGTTGAGCTCTTTCCAATACCCATATCAGCAAGTACAACACTAGATTTTTCTTTGATGATTTCAAGTGCGACACGAACTTGTACTGGACGGATGAGGATCTGATTTTGGATCTCAAGTAAAAGCCAATCTGGTCGCTCCTCTGTTGACCACTCAGCATGAGCTGGATTCTCCAACTCTTTTGCCAGTGCCAACTTGTCATTCGCAGCGACATAATTCTGCATGCGTTCTACACGTTGGAGGGCTGTTATTTCTTCTGCATAGCGAACTATGACACGCTTCCAAGCGAGTGGAAGGTGTGACCGATACTTAGATGACAGAAGTTGGAGCAACGCCGGGTGGGAAACTGAAGGCCAAAGTCGAGCCATTTCGAGCCCATGATCCGAGGTCGGTTGGGGCTTGAGAAGTTCTCGAGTTCTCCGAAGAATGTAGTCGATGCGAGTCTGTACGAGAACAGCTTTTTGCTGTAGGAAGACATGACCTGGCGGCTTTATGGTTTTCTCGGAGCTCGTGATGGCCTTGCAGGCTTCGAGGCTTCTATGGACAAATTTTCCGTAGTTCTGGACAATTGGTGCTGCGTCCCGCTCGAGTTCTTTAACGATGTCTTCGAGCTCCTCCCAAGCAACTCGCATGTCGTTGGCATCCACAAGGTTTGGGTGCTCTTGTGCTTGTAGGAGATCTGCGAGGTTATGATCCAGCATGCTAGGGCAGCTTTCATTAAAATCCACGTCTGTCACCTCGGTTTGTTTTATGACGCTGAGCAATGATGGTGGCATCTGGTATATGATATGGGAAGCTTCTATCACATGAGGTTCCAGCTCAGTGACAGGGATTTCAGGGGCTACCCATGAGCCTTGGAACTCCTGCAATTGCTTCTCGTAATCGGCACAAAGCGACAAAAACGTATGGTTACGATACCATGCAGCGTACCGTCCTGTCAATAAAGTTTCCAATTTTCCATAATTAAAACGACTCAAGTTGGACTTCTCCGGTAGCACCACTTTTGGTCCTGGCCAGGACAATACTACAGACTTCAGAATTTGTCGGCGTTGATGCTCAGTCTCTGTATTGTCATCTTCAAAGGTTGTGGATAGTCTTTTGCACTGCGAAATTATTGAAGTGATCTCTTCTTCGGTCACTTCATGTCCTTTGCCAAGGTCATAAGAGTTGCGTGCAGGTGATGGAAGTTCCTGAAGGAATGGTGAGACGGCAAACGCTAGCAATGTTCGAAGCTGTGAGCTGATCTTTTGGTCCCCGTAAGTCAGAAGAGAAAATATGAAAGCGAGTCTGAACTTGGAAGGACCTGTTCGGCAAAAGCTCAGCAATGAGGCCCAGTACTCTTTTAACGGCATACTTAACAATGCAGCAAGTGATAGGCTTGTGAAGTCCTGATTGAAACCTGATACAATCTGCCAGCCCTGAATGAGCGATTTGATATCGCGATCCACAGAGAACTGAGTTGTTCCATCCGCTATAAGACTTGCCATGGAGAATGCTTCTCCCTGAGCCGAGCTTACCACGAGATCACGTGAACGGTATGGGAGGTCCTCAGGGGCCTGTTTGATCCCACCAATGGACTCGTTGCCAAAAAGCTTGGACGTGCGGCGGTGGGATCTTTCAAGCAAACCTACGTCTCCAGAGTAGTGAAGCAGGCAGACCGATTTTTCAAATAAGAAGTTTGCTTTGCGATTGTGTGAAATGATCTTTTCCACAATCCCAAAGAAACAGTCACGCTGTGAGAGCAGTGGGAGAATCTTGTGGAAGTCGGCGGTGTGCATTGTTCGGAAATTTTTAGGATAGAAGTTCCGCTTTGGCGACAGGTCTGCAAGCGAGGCGAGCAACTGTTGAGATCTAGTCGATAAAGGTATCGAAGTGAGTGTTACGTGATCCGAAAGACCGAGGATGACTTCCTCAGATCCAGTGCGTGAAGTGAAGCTGTCGCGCTCTGGAAAACTTGTAACAGCGTGTAGAAAGGTCTTGAAAAGATGGCCTTCCAGATCATCACTGATAAGCTGACCAAGCCGACCATCAAGTCGGTATTTCGAAAACAACAAAGTTTCGTTGGTTCCAAGTTCAATGCGAACTTCGACATGAGGCGAGGCGGGAAAATATTCCACGTTACCGTGCGGGATGAGTACAATTCGTTCGTTTCTTTCCAGCGGAGTTGTTACTGGCCGCAAAACAAGTAGACTTTTGAGCCCATGCAGGGTGCCAATAGACTGGGAACGGTCGACAACCGCGGCAAGCTCTTTGCATTTGAGATCGCCATTGCACAGTACTGAGAAATTGAGGTGATAACGAGGTAGTTTAATTTGGACACCCGTCATTTTATCGTTTGATATGTAAACCACGATATGCTCTGATTTTTCAAACGGTCGGAGTATGTTGCAAACTGCTTGGCCCATACTGCTGCAATTGTCAACTAGACAGCCAATACTGGACTTCATCGACATCGTGGTTTTCGAATCGAAGTCAAGAGTCAAAGTCCAATCATCTTCATGAGATGACCATAAACAGTCGAGGCGGCGGAAGACTACTTTCCATCATGAAGCGACATCCAAGGCAGACTAGTCCTGTAGACTGGCTCTGGGAGATCTCCAGCAAAAATCTCCCTGGGGATCGCCTCGAATCTGTCGGTGCCATAGCGCGAACGGATCAGTACTGCCCCTTCTCTCTTCCCGAAGTATACCTAATGGCCTTGGAAACGAACACACGACATGTATTCCATATCATCCTCATCCGAGGCAAATATGTCAAGGTCGAGGTCTGTAAAGATGGATCGATATAACGGATCGTTGGTATAACTTGGTGGAAGCCGGGAAAGTGATCGCCCAGAGACCAAGAGGCTGCCACTCACAAGATTGTAATGCACAATCTTATTTATCGTGGAATTTTTGATCCACGAAGTGTCATTGTCATCGACAGTTTGCCATGAATCTGTGAATGAAGCTGACGGCCAGAACCTCTTGATGGCGTCACTGATGGGAGTACAGTCATCCTGTAAAGCGAGTAGTAGATGGTGTTCCCACTGTCTAGCACAGTAAGCATCACTCAGCAACTCGTTCTGCCGCTTGGAGCCGTCTCCTGACGAAGCTAGATCCTTGTGGCCGTGTAGATAGAGAGATGCTTCCACGTAATCCGCGATCGAGCTAGAGTGCCTGAATTCCGACTGCTGATGTTCAGCTTCCAGATCGAACGTACGTCGTACAAGTAAACTAGAATTCACAAGCTGGCGAGAGACCTCGTTTATATTTCCATTTTCTGCAGATGTAGTTCGTTTGTTGCCATGTATCTCTGCCAGCCCGCGTATCCATTTTAAAGCCGCTTGACGAATCCGGCGAATGAAGCCAAGATAGCGTTGATGTAAAGAAGCATGAGGACAAAGTGATAGGACCTTAAGTGAGATCGTGAGAAGAACACCAGCGGCAGTTGTCTCCTTCCAGTTGGCTTCAATAGTGTAAAATCTTGCCTCAATCGCGAAGATGAGAGACTCGCAGAACGTCTTGTTGAGGAGGTCTAGCTGGCTGTCACGCAGACAAGAAGATAGATGTGGGGGCTCCCTCTTGCCAACCTGTGATACTGCCTGAGAAACAAGGATAGCAGTTGATGTCGAATTGATGTCGGCTTCCGATGACATCACCATGGCCAAGATGTTGATGAATTGGAGTTTTTCACCTGCCCGCAAAGAACCGAAAAGAACATGTTGATGTGGAGTCATCTCAGGAGGGAGATTCGAGTGCATGGCAAGCACAGAGTTGTGTGTGTGGCTGGTTGTATTCACTTGCCGAACCATGTGATCGGGTGTGCCTTCTGGCAACTGGGAATCGCAGTATTGGCGCAAGGAAAGACGAGGGTTTTGCTCTGCAGTCCATACCTTTCTTCGCTCAGTATCTTTCAGTCTTGGAGCCATACCATTTCGAAGAAATATGTCATCGATGTTGAGCCCACCATTGAAGTAATGAGTTTTGAGCATCGGTTTAATCGACGAGCCAAGGGTGATGCGGCGCAATTTCTTTCGAGCATATTTCGTCAGCGGCGAATACGACAGGACATCTTGTTCGCATTCTTGACCAATCTTGTCATTTCTCCCTAAGGTGTGCACGACAAACCAGGTCGCGTCTCGCCAAAAGACGAGTGTTCCTGGTGTCTGGAGCTCGAACACAACAGCTTTACACATCACCTCATCCTCAGGTAATGGCCACTCGTGTTTCTCGATTCTCATTGCTTTCGCATGCTGCTCCAATTCGCATCTTCTGCATTTCTTATCGTGTCGAGTTTCTCCTGTCCAGCATTCGCCGTCCGAATCAACCCAATTGGGGGTGTACTCGTCGCATTCCATGGAAGCGACATCTCTCATCAACTGCGTGAAGTCTTTCTTTTTCCTCAACCACTCATCTTGTTTGTCAAGTCTGGCTTGTCGAGCATCGTCCTCAATTGACTCCCTTAAGTTCTTCATTAGATCTGATTGATCGTAGAAGTTGACGGCGAAGCATTGTTGAGATGGGTCACTAAATAAGGAAGGAAACATAGGATTTCGCTTCTGACAGCGTAAACTTATGTGAAGCTCGACACGAGCGAGACGCTCTAGCGCCGCCTTCTTGTCAAGTACAAGGCTCTCAAGGATATTGGTTGGTACTTCGGGTGGATATTCCAGGAGTAATGAATGCAGAGTTGTGGTAACAATGTCCATTGCAACCCAAAGCTCGAAGATTGTCAGCCACATGTAAGACGTTCTTGCTGGGTGTCTATAGTATTTGGTGATAGCGAGACGGTAATACGCCGCCATAGTGCTGTACAAGTGGAAGCAAGCGGAAGAAGAGTGAGTGTTTGCTTTTAGCCAAGCTCCAAGATTCATCTCCACCCAATGCTCAAATACCCAGAGGGTCGTGAGGACGTCGCCCGCTTTGCAAAAGATACCAGGAGTAGGTAAGACCGAAGCTGACAATGGGATTCTGGTAGAGACGGGAGGGCTATCTTGTGAGATTGAGTACTTGAAATGTTTGCGAGATCTTTCCCAAATCATGTGAAGATGTTCCCGGCTCTTCCTGAGTGCCAATTGATCGTGGACTTGGCTCATCGAGACACTCGGAATGGTGACGTTGTCTCTCCGAACAACTTGGTCCCACAGCACTGCGATGGCCGCATCAATCCGAGCCAGAGTCCTTCGGACATGGTCCTGAACAAAGCTCAAGGTCTTGTCCCCCAGTTTGGCATGTCTTCGAGCTAACTTCACCCGAAGTATGTGTAGTGTGGCGGGCGAAGGGGTTGTTGACATGATTCCCGTGGAGAGAGTTGCTAGCAAGAACAACATGAAGTTCTTGTAGTTGTATGGGCTATCCTTCCCATCCCAATCGAAGTTGACAAGTGCAAGCTGAAGGCTGACTCGGATTGAGAGCCACAAACTAGACCGCCGCCAGGGCATACCGGTACCTTTCGAGAGTACATCATCATCGATGCGTTTGGAAATCGATTTCCTCAACCCAGCTTTTCCGTAGCTGCGCAAATAGGCGCCAAATAGCAATTCGCCCACAAACTTTGGGGAAGGTGATTGCCGCTCCTCGGCAAGCTCATTTTCTGCCTTTTTAATTTGCGCCATTGACATTTTGAGCTGTTCAATGGATAACTGGTGAATTGCAGTAGCAAGCTCTTTCACAAAATCTTTATTTTCAAAGATGTCTCGTGGCAACAAGACAGCGCTAGAAGGGAAGCTTCGAATCAACGAGTCCTTGCTCTTCATAATAGCATCGTTCGTGGCCGAAACCTCAAAGTATTCGAAGACTACTCCGGTGCGGCGGTGCGTGGCTGTGATTGTAGCGTTCTGACATTTAACATGAAACATGAGGACATCTAAAAATGATTAGCATCCAAGTCAACGAGTTCGTCCTGGTGCTCCATACCGTGAGTTTGCATACGCTCGAGGAATTGAGTGAGTGTGGAGCAACAAGGAGTTCCTTCATTGTAGATGTGGATCCATTGCTCAATAGAGCGGGCAAGATGCGTCCAGGCAAATCTTGCCTTTTTGGTGCGAACGTTCCTTGAGAAGGTACAGGCGGCAGCAGCAACTTCCTTCAGCAATTGGCCGGCGCCCAACTCTTCGTGGTCAATTTCTGGCAGTTGTGGAGGGAGGAAAAGGTGCTCGAAGATGAAATTAGCCACCCGAGGGCAGTCCATGGCCTCTTCGAGCCCCAGAGGTCAGGTATGGTTGCACTGTGGCCTTACAACACAATGCAAAGCCAAGCGATGCGAAGTGCCATGAATTTTGGCTGATAATGTGGTTGAAGAGCAATGAGAAAAGCGAAATGAGAGGAGGTGGGGAGTAGGAGGTTGTGGGAGGCGAATAGGCTGTAAGACAGACGAAATGAAGATCAAAGCAAGGATAGAGGACGAGTGTGAGTGAGGAAGCATTTCAATATGTCTTGGCGGTAAATAAAGGGCTACTGGGCAGTGAAGTGCTAGTGAAACAGCGCGAAGCCGGGATTGAGGTGGTGGTGAATGAAGAGTGAAGGACTGGAGTGCGATTTGGGCTTCACGTCTGAAGCTCTCTGCAAGACCGCCAAATCCTATTGATCGATTGAGCTCCATGTGCTGATTCAACGAGACAGCGACGAGAATACCTCCACCTGGAGTGAAGAACCACATCCCCAGGAGTTCAGCCCACGACCAGCCCCTGCTATTTCCGCCTCCCATTGGTGAGCAGGAAAGCAGGGGAAAGAGTGATGCACGATCTACCATTGAGTCTTGAAGCGCTATTTCGGATGTGACTCGTCGGAGGGCCACGTTGACATCCCATACCTGTGTTCCAAGGCAACATTGGTCTGGGCGTGTTTGTTGCTCACGTCAAGGGAGGAAGTTGTGATGAAGTCATCCAGCCGGGGCATCAGCAATCGAACTCAGCTAGAATCTTGAAGGATAATTTATGTGCCCTCGATGCAATATTTATATAGCCCTGGCCCCGTCGCGAACCGTTGTCCTTCCTGCTGGTGGTGCTGGTGTCTGTGGCAGTACACAGTATTCGGTAGTGAGGTGAGGATTTGGGAACTTAGGTGGGTTGAAGTCAGAGTAGGCTTCTGCCAAGAGGAAAACGCGATACGCGATGCGCGAGTCGCGACGTCAACGCGGATTGGGCAGGCGCGGGAATCGGGAAGGTGTGGCGAACTTCAGGTGGCGGTGCCTCGGAAGCCGGAAGAACTCGACCCCGTTTCTGATGGGTTTGACTTGCGAAGTGCACGTCATCGCTGCATCTGAGCCTCGTTGCTTATTGCTATTTGCATTTGATATTCCCTCCGAGTCTTCTGATTTCTCCAGGCAGCCCCTAAGAAAGAATAAGTATCTCCCTCCCTTGTTCTCACTGCAGCATCATCCTCACAACCCAGCACTGTTACCACAACTACTACTATCGCCATCACTACGATGTCTGCCCCAGCCGAGGCCCCGCCATCTTATGCTGTGGCAACCGGCTCCTCCACAGCATCATCCAAACCCCAATCATCATCACACCTCCAAGTTCCACAAGCCAAGAATGGTATCCCCGCGGATGCCCGTCGGTCGATGGAAGACCTGCAGAGACCGCTTCCCCAAGGCTGGCTGCGGCAATACGACGCCAAGGAGAACCATCAGTTCTTCGTCAACACCAAGGAAGACCCGCCCAAGTCATATTGGGAGCACCCTCTGGACATCCCCGAAATAGTCAGCAGTCTGTCCACAGAAGAACGAGAGAGGCTACAGGATGAAGAGAACCAACTCCGAAGCAAGCATCCCGTATCTGCCGACCATTCCGAGGATGAATCCCATCACATCGGGGGACCTTCCCTTCCACCTCGCCCGGCCGGATCCCACCCACCAGGTCCTAAGAAGTCGTTTGGGGAGAAATTCAAGGACAAAGTTACTGGCATGACGCATGAAGAACGAGTCAAAGAGCGACAGATCCGAGCACGTGAAGAGCAAGAATACTACGAAGCGCATGTCCGATTACGGCAAGCAATGCAACGTGCGCAGATGACTGGCCAGCCTCAGTTCTTTGCCAAAGACAGAGACGGAAGAGAAATCTACATTGAACCTCCGGGAGGTCCTGGTATGGGCTATGGCGGATACAACAGAGGCTACGGGGTCAACCCTTACTCTGGTGGGCCGTACGCCAATCCAAACGCCAGATTTATCAGACCTGGCTACCCCTACAATCGGCCTTACGGTTCTTATGGTGGTGGTGGCTATGGCTTACCCATTGCTGGTGGTCTGGTTGGTGGTCTCCTCCTGGGTGGTCTACTATTCTAAGCTGTCGCGCGAGACTCCGAACCTCGACGTGGGAAAGCCAGCCAGACTAACCATTAGCCTGGCGAGCGTGTATTCATCGAATGAGGAATTATGGGTTTACGAACGGTTATTGTCATAGCGAGGGCGGTGGCGTTTCATTTCATATCTTTCTCCTAGCAAGCACAGTACATAGCTTTTGATATCTGAGGCTTCGGCTTACGTCGGCAACGTCTGATGAAACGATTCATCTCGTACAATGACCTAGTTACTGCAGCCGCTGTTTCCCCTTCCAAGGCGTTAATATTCAAGTAGTATCAGTAAACCAACTCCAAGCTTTTCACCAGCCAAAACCCCTTAGCGCATGCATTCCCTGCCATCCACCACGAACCACCGAGCACAAGGCTTTAAATCACATGCCCGGTCATGCAAGGCTGGGCACTCCCTCAACCCAAGGCAGCGGAGTTCGGCGCACCTTCCCTCGGTAATAAATTTCCTACTGTAGATAAAGCAGGCACGACACGCCGCCGCCGCGGGGCACACGGGCGGGAATGCTGTCATTCTAGACAAGAGGTTTGTTGGATGTTTCGGGTTTTTCTTGTCTTCTCAAAGGACCGAATCTTGTTGAGAATCGAAAGCATGCGGACCGCGGCAATCTGAAAGAACAAGAAGGAAAATAGTGGAATACCATCCGAGTGAGGTGTTTCGAGGTGCATCGTATCGCATCGGTTTCTTCGAACACAAGTCAAGCGTAATCATTTCTTTTCGAAGAGCACGCGAAGAGCACGCGAAGGAAGTTGGAAATCTGAACAGACAGCTATGGGTGACTACACGGCGTTTTTCTACGGTTCGTCCATGCCGCCCCAATTCCAACTCCTCATCCTAGTACACCACAACCACCATCCCCTTATCCTGGTATGCATATCCACCCACTAACACAGTTCCTGCGCCCTCCCCAGGAACCCTCATGGCTCCAGGCGTGCTGCACCGCGTGATCCACGGAACGCCGGACCCCCAACCATGGCAAAGGGCGCTACTAACCTTCCGGCCGGCACTGCTTCAAGCGCACCGGCGCCACCGCGTGCGACACGCCGACTATCCAGCAATCCTCCCCCACCCGGGGTCGACCGTGCGCGGCACGCTCGTGACGGGGCTGACGGAGGGCGACATCTACCGGCTCGACATCTTCGAGGGGAGCCAATACAGCCGGCAGTCCGTGACGGTGCAGATCCTCGGGCACGATCTCGGGCTAGACGAGAGCGTCACGGACGAGCAGACGGCCGGGCTGGTGGCCGGGGAAGCCCAGGCGGATACGTATATCTGGCGGGGCGGGGAGGACACGCTGGAGGCGCATGAGTGGGATTTCGAGGTGTTCAAACGCGAGAAGATGCGGGCGTGGATGGGCGTTGCGGGGACAGGGGAGGAGAAGGGTGGGGTTGAGGTTGACGAGGGCTTTGCAGATGTCGATCGTGCCGTAAGAGAGGACGGGTGGATGCGGCAAGGAGACAGCAACAAGAATTTGGCGCATGATCCTATGGGAGGAAGGGGCGCGAATGGCCATATCACGCAGCAGCTGGAGAAGGCTGCTGTATAGAGTCAGACAGAGGGTGACGTGCTTGAATAGACAGTGGCCTGCATTAGACGGTGATAGACGGACACAACATAAGACATGGCGAACCAGTGGCACAGAAAAGAAGAGGTATGACATTATAGAAGTAGTTCATCGCCTTTAGTTGAAAAGTGTCAAGCAAAAAGCTGCTCCCATGGCCCCATGTACACCGTACGAAAGCCCATTCTTCATCTTCGCTTTTCGTCCCCGAGTGGAAAATTTGCCAGAATTCTTCCAAGCTCGAGCCACTGCTGCGGCATCTAACCCGCCGCTCCTGCGACAGAGGAGGTCTAGCGACGGCCATGGCTGCGGACGGCACTGCCTTGCATCTGTTCCAACTCTCCTTCCAATTGCTTGATCGCAGCGTGAGTGGATTCCAAGTCCTTGTTCAACCGATCACGCTCGCCAATCAACTTTTGTTCCCAAGCCCGGAATCGTTGTTCCTCAACCTTGACTTGCTCGGTGAATCGCTTTCGGAGGGCTTCTTCTTCCTCCTTGAACTTGGGGTTGTCGAGTTTTCTGGGTCGGGCCTCACCGAATTTCCTTGTTTCCATTTGTTGAGCACGATATGCTTCGTAGTGGTTCTCCTCCGTGGTATGGATGAGGTCGAGCATGTGGGTTCGGATCAGGATGGATCGGAGCTTCTTGAAATCACAGTGGTCCTCGTTTTCCACTTCAGCCACTCCCCAAGCATACTGTCTTCCTTTGACAATACGACCATCGCCAGTCTTGACATCCTTCTCACTGCCGATGACAGAGAATGGTATAGCTGCAATGAGAGCACGAGCATGTTGGGTGGCTGCTTCATCATCATCCTCTAGCGGAGGTTGATAGATCTTGATGCCTTGTGCCTCAATGACACTGCGAACACGGTGCTTGAAGCGCGCCAGATCTTCGGGGGAAAGAGTGTCGGCCTTTGCAACCACGGGGATCAGGTTGACACGCGAGCAGAGCCGTTTCATGACTTCGATGTCCAATGGCTTCAAAGTGTGACCAGTAGGGCGAATGAAGTAAAGGCAGGCGTGAACACGGAGATCGATCTTATCCTGTCTCTTGGGTTGCTGTTCTTGAAGCATGTACGACTCATGTTGATCGTCAAGGAACTCGATGATGGGTTGCCAGGAGTCGCGGTTGTTGACATAGTCTCCGAAGCCGGGTGTATCAATGACGGTGAGACGAACTGAGCATTCTAGTTAGGTGCAAGTTCCTTGTAAGAGGCTTGTAACCCCATACCTTTGAAAAACTTCTCTTCTAATTCGGCCTTTGTGATCTCGATCTCGACGGTCTTGTCGACCTGCTTGGCGTGCCGTCGCTTGTGATCTTGATAATTCTTGATGGTCGTTGAGAAGAGGGTGTTGATGAAAGTGGTTTTGCCTAGACCAGACTCGCCAGCGACCTAGACGCGAGTATTAGTGATTACACATGAGAGAAATGTAGAGGCCAACGCCATACCATTATAGTGAAGGCTGCCCCCCTCTTTGCGACAATTTTGTGTCTCTGGTTTGGGAGGTTGGCAATGCCAATCGGTGATGCGGCCTCTGGAGCTGGTTGAGGTGGCGCCATGGTAATCGCTGGAAGAACTCAAATCTGAAGAACGAAAGACTTGCAAGATTGCAGGTGAAGAAGACTGCTGATGATGCCGGAGAGAGGGAAATGGGCGCAGGCAAGAGGATTGAGTTGGTACTTTAGGGGCTCTGGTTTCCTCAACTTTTGGGTCGTGGCTTTGGCTCAAAATCCCGATCCCAATCCAGCAAAATCGGAATGCCCCTGAGCCAGATCACGTGATTATGGGTTGCACCTACCAAAATTCCCCGGAGAAAACTAGTCTGCATCGAGACTAGCTCCGGAGAAGACTGATATTTTCTCCGACAACATTTTTTTTGATGCCCGCATTGCCAGTGGGAGAGGGCGTCCATGAAGTCGTTGGTGTACTCCTCTCGCATTTGCGCCAACTTACACAACAACGCAATGGCACGATGAAGACAGAGTTCAAGGTATGGGAACCCTTGGTTACCCCTTCATATAGACTAACTCTCTGCAACAGTTTTCCAACTTGCTAGGCACCGTCTATGGTCGAGGCAATCTCGTGTACACACCTAATGGCGATTCCTTACTGTCACCAGTGGGCAACCGTGTATCTGTCTTTAACTTGACGAAGTGAGTTGGCTGCATTACTTCTATTTCCCTGAACTCAAACTAACCCCAGCAGAAACACAAGTTATACCCTTCCCTTTGCCCACCGCCGAAATATCACCCACCTCGACCTGACTCCAGACGGCAAGTTGCTCCTCACAATCGATGAAGATGGCCGTGCAATACTGTCTATCTTCACGAGAAGGGTCGCCATCTACCACTTCTCCTTCAAAAGCCCTGTTACGGCGCTAGCATTCTCACCCAGCGGAGAGCATTTCATTGTTGGACTGGGCCGGAAGATCCAAGCCTGGAAGACTCCTTCCACCCCTGGTGGGGATGCAAATGGAGAACTCGAATATGCGCCTTTTGTTCTCCATCGAGAATATGGTGGACATTTTGACGAAGTCAGAGACTTGAGCTGGTCAGGAGATTCACGCTTCTTTTTGAGCTCCTCGAAAGACCTTAACTCTCGAGTATGGAGTTTGGATCCTGAAGAAGGCTTTGAACCTACAGTCCTTTCTGGACACAGACAGCAAGTCAGAAATTCTTGGTTCTCGGTCAGTCAAGAGTCAATATACACTGTCAGCGAGGATGGTGCCTTGTTCAGGTGGGAATTTGTTCCAAAACAACACGATGACGAGGAGGAACCTGCAGATCCAATTGACGAGAGATGGCGAATCGTGCAACGAAACTATTTCATGCAGAATGCCAAGCTGAAATGTGCAGCTTTCCATCCTCCGACAGGGGTTCTAACAGTTTGTTTTGACAACGGGTTATTCTCTCTATACGAACTTCCTTCCTTCTCAAATATTCACAGCCTTTCCATGGCCTCTTCACCTATCTCTGCTGTCTCCATCAACAAGACTGGGGAGTGGCTGGCATTTGGCTCATCGAAGACTGGTCAACTGCTTGTCTGGGAACACGCCTCAGAATCCAATATCCTCAAACAATCATCACACCTGGACACGATGACGACACTATCATATTCTCCTGACTCTACGAGGATTATTACTGGAGCTGATGATGGTCTCATAAAGATATGGGATGTGTCATCTGGCTTCCATATCGCAACATTCACAGAGCATACGTCAGCAGTCACCGCCTCAGCATATTCGAAACGAGGGAATATCCTGTTCACTTCTTCTCTTGATGGTTCTGTTCGGGCTTGGGACATGCTACGTTATCGAAACTTCAGAACATTCACCGCCCCCATTCGGCTGTCCTTTTCCTGCTTAGCAATAGACCCTTCTGCAGAGGTCGTTTGCGCTGCATCACATGATTCCTTTGAAATACATCTCTGGTCTGTTCAAACAGGAGCATTACTTGATCGGCTCTCTGGCCATGAGGGTCCAGTATCAACCTTGGCTTTTACCCCAGACGGACGATATCTAGTCTCAGGATCATGGGACCGTACCATTCGCGTATGGTCGGTTTTCGATCGATCCCAAACTTCCGAGGCTCTACAGCTCACTTCAGACCTTCTTTGTGTTGCAATTCGACCTGATTCTGCTCAAATTGCTGCGTCAACACTTGATGGATCAATTTCTTTCTGGAATCTCAACACATCAATACAAGAGTCTGGGCTTGATGGTCGGCGGGATGTTAGTGGCGGCCGAACCCTCACCTCTCGTCGAACCGCTGCATCAACCCCAGGAACCAAATCTTTCAATACCATAACATACTCTGGTGATGGAAGTTGCCTCCTCGCTGCAGGAAACAGCAAGTATATCTGTTTATATGCTGCTAGTACCCTCACGCTTGTCAAAAAGTTTACCGTCTCGATAAATTTGAGTTTAGATGGTACTCAAGAATTCTTGAACTCATCTGCCATCATGTCCAATGGCCTTCCACGCGATATGATTGACACTGAAGGTGAGGCAAGTGATCTCGAAGATCGGATCGATAGAAGTCTGCCAGGTGTGAAACGTGGCCGAGATGCAACTGCTCGTACTCTACGGCACGAAGTCAGGGTTACTAGTATCGAATTTTCTCCAGCAGGAAGAAGTTTTTGTGCCTGTAGCACCGAGGGATTACTAATATACAGCTTAGACAGTGCTGGAAGCGAAGATTTCGACCCCTTTGATCTCGACATTGATGTCACGCCGCAGAATATCCGAGCCTTACTAAAACAGTCTGAGCCTGAATATCTCAAAGCCCTTGTCATGGCTTTCAGATTAAACGACCGCAATCTAATACGATACGTCTATCAGTCAGTCCCTTACGGTTCGATACCACTCCTTGTCCGAGAACTTCCCAAAGTCTACCTCAGTCGTTTGTTAATGCTCCTAGGCCAACAGATGGAAAATAGTCCACATCTTGAGTTTGCGTTGCTTTGGGTAAGCGAAGTGTTGAGTATACATGGTCGCTATATCAAAGAGAAGCAGGGCGATTTTGCTGCTGAGCTCCGAGCCGTTCTTCGAGGAGTGGATGGAGTGGGTAGAACTGTACGGAGCTTGAGTGAGAGAAATGCTTTCGAAATTGAATTTCTATGCCAGCAGAAGCCCACAGCGAATGGAACGTATAAGCTGATTGAGGATAACTCTCAAAAGGATGTGGTCAATGGAGACGCGATGGATGAAGACGAAGGCGATGGTGAATGGATTGGTCTCGAGTAAAGCTTGACAATCAGACCTCTTGCAGAACCTGGCCAGATATCGGGAACACAAATACGATACCCGACGAGAGAGACACCACTCGCCAGTCAAAGTCTCCCTGGTTCTTGTGACTATGGTGTTCAGAAGCACGGCATCTCCAGCCATCTGCGATGGTTGAAGCACCATGGTGGAAGGATCGCCATTCGCCGTCAATTCCTCAGGCCCGTGATATAGAATAGTCTGCTGGACCAGCTCACCTTTTCTGCTGGACTCAGACCCAGTGCGTGCAAGTACGAGGTCTTGTACAGTTCGGGCCGATGCGCCATATTCATCAGCGCCCGGCCAGAATTGTTGACTGTCACAACCCACAAGGGGACCAGACTATCTAGAAGCTGCGATGCGGTTTGACTATCTTCTCCAAGGATTAAGGATTTTTCATCACTGAACATTCATCGGTTCATGTTGACTGGCGTAGTAGTACTGGCCGACGTTCTCTCGTCCATCCCTCCTTCAACCGGTCCGCTTACTAGGCCAACCAGACAGACTGCACAACACGCACAGCGACTGAGTAGGAAATAGTACGGTATTTTTGAGACGTTTCAGACGCTGGCTATTACAGTGCTTAGTAACGATTTAGGCTCATGCCTGCACTTCCATGGCAGTGACATCTGATGGCCGAGCGGGCAATTCAGTTGGATAGTGAAATCATAATTCCGTCCTCCGCCATTGACAGCGGTTGATAGAAACCGCGTTTTTGTGCCCTCCCCTCATGTGCTCCCATGTGCTGCTGTGATGACGAGTACATTCCAGTATAATCTCTTGGAATGTCATACTCGAGCAATACCGTCGTCTGCCCTTGAGATGCTCGAGGCTATGACCTCAGGGGCTAGCATCTTGGCATTTTTTATTTTTCCCTAACGACGCTCAAATCTTCACGACAGGAAAGGTATCTCACTTTATTCCCTTGACCATCGCAAACGTTCGGTTCGCACTATCCCCAACGGTCGTATATTGAAATTGGAGTAATTGACACATAATCCTAGCAGGAATCGAAAAAACCAAAACCACAGTCTCTTTTCGCCGCCAAATGTACCATGCGTGACCGCAAGGCGGGCCTACCAATCAGTCCTGAATGGGAGTCGGAGGATCAATATATTCAATCACTCCTGGAATTTCCCACAACTTCCAGCTTATTCCACAATCTATGTGGCGGTGTTCATATTCTGGATTTTCTGACGCGAGAACCTGATCTCTACACGACAGTGTTACCTCAGGAATGGCGCGACTGGTTCGACCTGGTGTCAATTGACGACGTTCTTGACCTTCTCCTGCGACTCGATGTTGCACAGCTTCGGGCCCGATCCGAGCCAGCCACTGGATCATCGCAGAAGCTACCAAATCCACCACAGAGCTTACTGGACTATATTTCCAGCATCAGGAAACTCTGCTTGATCAGGAAGTTCTCGCCCATGTCTGACGAGATTACCGAATTGCCCAGACACGTAGCTGTCGGCATGAAACCGAAGAAGATCCATGAGGTCACCAATTTCGCTGCATATGTCGGCGAACTTTCAGCAGATCTCTTTAATCGTTTCCAGGAGCCCATCGCAGTCGTGGACTTTGGGTCAGGCCAGAACTACCTTGGTCGAACACTGGCCAGTCCACCATACCACAAGCACGTGATTGCAATCGAACGGAAACATCATAACATAGATGGAGCACGAAGCATGGATGTCCATGCAAGGCTGGCAAAGAAGGAAAAGATTATGCGCAATAAGAAGGAATGGAAGAGACAGCTTACCATGCCAAGCGAGGTGACCACTCCACAGTCAGAGCGACTCGAACAGAAGCCGCTGCCTGTCCCTGATGTTGTATTGGATTCTTCTGATGATTCACCGCGCAAGCTCATCGACCGAAACAATGGCTCTATGAGTTACGTGGAACACGATATCAAGGATGGACACCTGGAGAGTATCTTGTATCCCGCCGATTATTCTGAAGCAGACGACTGTGACAACACAATGTCCTCTCAAGGCCGGGCGGTCCCGCTTGCAGATGACTCGGACTCAGTAGGGCCTATTGGCAAGCGATCAAAAGCGATGGTGGTGTCACTGCACTCGTGTGGTAACTTACTGCACCATGGCCTAAGGTCCCTGATCCTCAACCCTTCCATCTGCGCCGTTGCTATGATCGGCTGCTGTTACAATCTCCTCACCGAACGTCTTGGTCCGGCCACGTATAAATTACCACAACTGCGGCCTAATCACCCCAGACTTGTAGCTACTGGCAACGCGTTCGACCCGCATGGATTCCCAATGTCTAAGACATTCGAGGACTTTGAGCGCCACGGCGAAAAGGGACTGAGGTTGAACATTACTGCACGCATGATGGCCGTTCAGGCACCCTACAACTGGGGTCCTGACGACAGCAAGGCATTCTTCCAGCGCCATTTCTACAGAGCTCTGCTCCAACGGATATTGCTCGACTTGGGTGTTGTCCATCAATGCTCTGATCCGGGAAGTCTCGCTGGCGGTAGCATCACCGGGAAAGACACAGACGGAACCCCTCTCATCGTCGGAAGCTTGAGAAAGGCATGCTTTGTCAACTTTCGAGCTTATGTCAATGGTGCTCTGGCGAAACTAAGGGACGATCCCGTCGATGGGCCTATGATAGCACAACTCACGCAGCCGCTCAATGACGATATGATAGCTGACTATGAAGCTCGTTGGGGCTACACACAGAAGAACCTTGCAGTGATCTGGAGTCTGATGGCTTTCAGTGCCGGCGTGGTCGAAAGCCTTATTGCAGTGGACCGATATCTCTTCTTGAAAGAACAAGACTCTGTCGAGGACTGCTGGGTTGAGACTGTCTTCGACTACAAGCACAGCCCTCGAAATCTAGTTGTGGTCGGGATCAAAAAGAGCGAAGGGTGCTCTTGACGGCATTCCGACCGCCAAGTCTGGGAAATCACCACTCTAAAGAGCACACGAGGTAAATAAACGGTAGACGACAAGCGAAATGAAAAGCGCTACAAAAGATCATGTGCGGGACCTTCTGCAGCAGACCAGCCTCTAGACCACAGAAAGCGGCCGCGATTCGACTTGTCTGCCTGCTGGTATACTACCCATGAGTTTACAGAATTCCCCCGTTTCTACGTCCAAGTCGGCTGGGCTAAAGCACAACAAGGTTTGATCCAGGGCATAGGACATCTCAACCGGTGCGAGCGACTGCTACAGTCCAGCGTCAAAGCTACTCGTAGCTACCCTTACGAACTCGCCTGCTGTAGCCTTTCAGCCTTGCCTCGGCACTCGCGTACACAGTCAGTCACGTATGCATCAAACAGGAGCAGCTGTCCGGTGAGGGATCTGTTCCAAAACATTCTGGCGCGATGGACTACACGCGGGCCGCTTAACATGTCTTTTCATCTTCAATCTATCCTATCGGCTGCGGTTTCTGCACAATCTACAAAGTATCTATGTTCTACGGCTTCGCACAGCAATCCTGATCTGACCGCAGACAATCTTGAAACCTGCGTCTTTCTCGATTCAGGGCCCGCCACAACCCTGTGCAGAATCTCGGTACCTCCACAGTTCAGGACTCCTGGCATTTCATTAAGATCCGCGACAGAACTCCGTCATAGTTTACCATTGCCTGTGATGGGTGTGACGCCCTCTAAAAAGCCGCCTTTCACAACGGCAGTGATCAGCTGATTGGCAATGGCAGTTGGCGGAGGCAGTCTTAGGTTGCCCTCCTTGTACCCAGCCGGAGCCGGATCTCCAAGCCCGCTGGTTCCATATTTCAAGGCCTCCTGGATCTCCTCCAAAGTGAACCATTTCGCAAGCTCGAGTTCCGGGTCATATTCGAGTTTAATGACTTCGTCCTCGGGACTAGCGGCTTGGGCGATCGCGCCGATCATCAGATTCGCTGGGTACGGCCACGGCTGCGTGGAATGGACGAGCACCCGGGACAGAACGACACCACTCTCCTCCCAGACTTCCCGCCGCACGGCATCTTCAACGCTCTCGGCTGGCTCGATGAATCCTGCCAGCGTCGAGAACCAATAAGGAGGCCACCGCTTCTGGCGCCCGAGGAGGAGTCTCTTGCTGTCGTGGCTGAGGACTGCGACGATGATGGTCGGGTCGGTTCGAGGGAATGTCAGGTTAGATAGAGTGGTGCGGGTGGAGCAGGCCTCTCGTTCAACTGGCGTTTCGGCTTGGTCTTTCGGCGGGCACACCCGTTTACTACCCGCATGCACAGAGAGGGTCTTGTGCCCGCATGTCCCGCAGAATGTGTTGCGGTAGTTCCAGTCCAGATAGTGTCTTCCTTGGGCGTACTCGGCCGCTGTTGTTGGAGGGAGAGAAATTGTCAGTCAGCGCTCCCTGCGGAGGGGCGAGAGGGCAGAGGGAAGAAAGTATTGCTGACTTACCAACATCAGCGGGAAAGCTCATGGCGCGCATCCCCTCACTGAATTTCAGTCCATCGCCCATAAACCTTTCCGTCAGCTCCAGCGCCTCCTTTTCAAACGTCTTTTTCGGCGTGATATCGATGGCGAAATGCGGCGCGCCCGTGAAATTCTTGTAATGGAACGCTTTGCCGTCGTCCCCTCCGCCAGTGACCTTCTCATCGATGCCTAGAAACACGACCTGCGGAGTCTCTATGCGCGAATCGAAGTCCTCGACCTGTTGCTTCTCCGTCTTTCCGAATGGGTTGAGCGGGACGAGTGATTGGATCTCGGCGTAGGTGGCGTAGTATAGCTCCGTGGGCGATTTGATCAGCGGGGACAGCGTCTTGAAGAGGATGAAGCGCGTGCTGGCGTGTGAGAAGGCGGACTCCAGGAAGGTGTAGTCTTCGCGCAGGAATGAAAGGCGGTTTAGTGGTGAGCCTGTGATGGGCGTGGTGTTAATTCACGGACAGTATAATTCTCCTGATGCTTGGATGTGCCGGGCGCTACGAGATAGGGACGGGAACACTCACCGCCGAAGTAATTCGTGACCTCGCGCCCGAATTTCCGGCCCAGGGCTGAGTCGCGGTCCAGATGCGCCGGCTGTGGCAGCTCGGGGTGCGGGATGTGTGCGTTGGCCATGTTTTCGGCGTTGGTGGTTATTGCTGTCGGTGATGGGGTTTCTGCGAAGATCGAGGGGTGGTAGACCGTTGAGGGCAGTTTCGAGTGGACTGATCTCTTGGCGGAGATGGGAAAAGGAGTGCCGATGATAGAGGTAGTGCAGGTGGTGGTGGTGGTGGATGTCGTTGCGGAGTGAAGGGGGCGGAGAACAGGGCGATTGGTAAGCTGGTTTATGTAGCTGAATCGCAGGTGCTGTCTATTTCTATGTGTATGTCTATGTGTATAACGACGCTGTGGATGGAGGAGGAGGAAGGGAGAGGAGCCTGCGCGCATATACTTGTGATATAGTATATGGCAAAGGGAAGGGCAAGGAGAGGGAGAGGGGGGAGTACCACAGGGAGTAGTGTGGGTGAGATGGCAGTGGGATTGTATCCAGCTATGTACAATTGCAATGAGGCGATAGGGAGAGAGACGGTGATTGTGATGTGAAGTCAAAGCCCGAGGCCGCCGTGCGATAATGGCAGTGGGAAAAGTAATCGGCCCCCTGTGCTGGTTCTAGTGGGAATGTGTGTATGCCATACGAAATACTAGATCTCGCAGAATCTCTGCCCAACGATGATTGTTTGATTTGTCTTGGGAGTCAATGGATGACAAGTAATCCGGTAGTGGAGGGGCATAAAATGATGCCATGCCTCGGGTATCGGCAGTTGGGCCGTTATGAGCGTCTGACAAAAGTCAGGCTGGTGGACTTGTGCAGGATCGAGTGGAAGGCACGTGAGTCATTATTTTGTCAGAAAGATTGGATTTCAGAGAACGCGCTAAGTTGTGAACTCCAATTGAATCGACGCTACCCCTCACACGTGACGCCGGCCCCGCCACCAAAAAAAAAAGCTTCCGTCCTTTCCACCCTTTTCGTCTCTCGGCGATGAGGACGAGGACGCTGTACACATCGGGTACAGAGTGCCTATATGCAAGTTGATCTGTTCCCATCCGAGGGGCAGATTGGGGCTCGAGATCGGCATCTGTGGATCCCGTCTACGATCCAAAATATGCACAGCCGGATGCCATATAGATGGCAGATTTCAGCCACACCGTTCTAAGGTTGCTTTTCGTTTTTTCGATTGTCTGACCGGATTGCCGCGCCCAAGTAAAATATCGAGCGAAGTCGGTTCATGACCCGCTTCAAGGTCTGGGATCCTTGTTATAACAGTACAGCCGCCGTTGAGGTGCCATAATCCATGTTGAAATAGCAAAACGCCCATCCCATGGTCTGTTGGAGACGGAAGGGCACAACCATTCAATCACTTGCGGTTCAAGAGACTGAGAAACTCTTCCCTTGTCTTCGCACTGCTCCTCATGGCCCCAAGCATACAACTTGTGGTGGTACTGCTTGCGGTTTTTTGTACCCCTCTCATGACCATGCACAGATGACTGGACTCCATCACCACAGCCACACCTTGAGGTTGGAGGACTTCAGCAATCGCAAGCGCCACTTGCTTGGTCAGTCTCTCTTGGACCTGGAGCCTTCGAGAAAACATCTCAGCCAGTCTTGCCAATTTACTGAGGCCGAGGACTCTCCGATTGGGGATGTATCCGATATGCATCTTCCCAATAAACGGCACCATGTGATGCTCGCATAAGCTGAACACCTCAATATCCTTGACAATCACCAACTCATCATGATCTTCGTGAAAAACTGCGCCATTAACCAAGTCTCTTACATTTTCTTCATATCCTTTGGTGAAGTACATCAGGGCTTTCGCATAGCGCTCAGGCGTTCCTCGTAGCCCTTCTCGGTCGGGATCTTCGCCAATGCACTCAAAGATTGTCTTGACAGCCCCAGCAAGCTTGTCCAGTCGGGCCTGCGCTTGCTCGGGAGTCTGCTCAAGTCGTTCCCTTGTGCCAATACAAGGCCAACTGAGCCCGTCGAAGTCGATGGGAGGGTTCATTGTGTAGGGGCTTGCCGGACGGGATACGGTGGCGGGAGGAGTGATGGGTGCCTCGTCTCTGACATCTCTGGCTGGCTCTCGTAAACTGAGGGGCCTCTTGTGATCGTCGGAGACATCGCTATCGGCGAGACCAGTCCAAGACACCCCTTGTATGATGGTGGGGGAATTTCGAACGTCTCCCATGTCGATTGTCATGCGGCGCGCATAGGTGCTCTTGATGGAGGAAGCTAGACTTTCCCTTTCTTGAGCTCTGGTTTTTGTTGGCTGACGTAGAGGAGAACCACTATTCAGCAAGTGGGATGGGATGGCTGATCGAGGCTTAGGATGTAGAGGGACTAAAGGTGAAGAGGAGGAAGCGCTGTCGGCGGGAGATACTTTTGCGGGCGGTTGACTCATTTGGGCTGCGAGATGTTGGGGGATGTTGTGTGGTCACAAAGTCATGGTGTGGGAGATTTCAGTGTTTTGTAGATGAGAATCCTGTGAGGGTTCCGGGGCTGCTGGTAGAGAGATTGCAGCAAACTGGAAGGTCTGATTCAGGTGTTTCTGGCGGTAAAAGGTTGGAGCGTGCTGAGTTTCCAGGTCACTTTTTGTTCTTATTTTCATTACGTAGGAAGCGGCGCCGGGGTTGTACGGGTTGTCAGTTGTAAGTGTCCAGCAAGTGGATTCGCTGGGTTTTGCGCGCAGTTTGCCTGACAAACCGCAGTTGCAGATCGGGTTCCGGGTTTCGGTGCCTCAACAAGGGAAAGAAGCCCCTCGTCTTTGGCTCCGTCCCTTGCAGGTGCGGGTACAGCTCACGGTTGCGGTCGCGGCTGCCCTGCGGGGAGATTTCCGCCTTACCTGCCCTTTTCAATTCATTCTCTGCCCACCTCAGCCCTATCCAAAAGATTTCCTACTGGACCAGATTCCTCCCAGTCATGGATTATGATTTAGATTTATCCTGTTTTGTCGGCAAACGACAGTTTGTGCTTTGTCTAAACATCCGATTGAAGTACATTCGAATGGTCGGCCCTCCACTCTGCAGAGAAGCTGCTTGTCTTATTGTTGATAGGGGATCGGCTACACCCATCAAAGTCCCAACACGAGCTGTGTACTATACTCCCTTCCCCAAACACATGGTGCATCCCGCCAGGTCCTCTGCCGGGCATTAAGACGAATGTGTACCTTCGTCCCCGGGTTGCCCAGCTCTCAGATTGTCTCTCCTGCCGCTCTCCTGATTGAGTTGGCCATCTCTTCTGGGACGCTCAGGAAAGGGCTGTGACTGGCATCAACCGTCTCGGTCCTCCACTCCACACCTGAGCTCTCCACCATGCCCTTCTGCGCGTGAATGGGAATCGCCATGTCCTTCTCGCAGTACAGGTAGGTTCTTGGGACATGCTTCCACCCTGGATAGGTAACCTTGCTGGCAAGCGTCTGGTAACTATGAGGCTTCAAGAGCTCCACGTATTTCTCCGGGTTCTCGACATCTTTGTAGAAGACGTCGATTGGCGTCTTGGGCCTGACAACCTTTCCGTCCTCTGAGACGTCAAACCAAGGCAATGGTTTGCCTTGTAATGCATCCATCAGCGATACCCCCTCCGGCAGGGCGAAGGCACAACAGAAGTATAGATGCGAAACCCCGCCTTTCTTCCCTGCTTTCTCTCTGCTCGCTTTGTCAAGGCCTTGGACCGCCTCACTGCCAACAACCCCTCCGTACGAGTGGACGACCAGCAGGACGTCTTTACCCTCGTCGGCCGATGATTGGATTACCGATTGAATGGCTTTGACGTCTGGTTCGATGTCTTCCAAGGGCACCTCAGCACCAACAGAGGCAAGGTGCACGCCCTTGGTTTCGTATCCTGCTGCTTCTAGCCTTTTGGTCACAGGCTCGAACACCGTCGGAGGATGCCATGCCCCGGGCACAAATACGATCACAGGTTTAGCAGCCATTTCTCGCTTGCAATGTCAGGGATGTAGATCTTTGCTGGGCGTAACCACTGCTCGAATTTCTGCTCTTGATGGTCCAATAATTTGGAAACGACGTGAACAGTACTTATGGCGTGCTCTTGTAACCAACACGCTCGGATAAAGCACCTCTCCCCCAGCTCTCTTCGGAGACCCGTCAACTCTATCTCTGGAACTTGCCCCGCACATTACTGGGTGCCTGCAGGCCTCACGAACTGATTGGTCACCCCAGATGACATACGATTTTAGGGTCATGGATAGCAGGGCTAATTACTGGCTTTTCAAACCCGACAGAGGTGAGAAAGCCTTCAACCAAACTGGGGTCCCCCCGCTGACTCGACTAATCCGATAAGCATACCAAAGCTTTCAACAGTCGGTTCGGGAATCAATTTCGGGATTCTTCTTTCATTCCAATATGCCAGTGTGAGCGGCTGCGATGGTAGGGCTTACCTGGGTCCGCATGCACGGACTCTACTTGCAAAAACCCTGGTGTCGAGCTGCTTACTGCAAGTCTACCTCCCTGGTACCAAAGATCATAACGCTAGACTCGGCTTTACGGTTATCAATGCTATCACCCGTTCCGCCTGTTACCTAGGTAGGTATTCCTACCGCCACGTGACGTCACGTGCTTGATCTTAAAAGAGGAAAACGTAAAAGTGCACATTGATCCTCTGGTGGTATCACCCAACGAGACTGTCATCTGGCCACCGTCGTGCACACTTGGCCTGGGTTGGGCGTACATGTACAGTTGGCATCTCGAAGAAAACGCGTGGCGATAATCCTGTGGAGCAACACACCTGCCAAACCAGATACCCAAAGGGACCTCGGTAGTTATCTGCGGCCACACAGGTTGACAAGAAGGAGAGCGCGTAAGGGTCCACTCAATAACAAGAATCAATCATATCAAATGGGTGTTCAAAGCTTGTTCTTGTATAGCACCTGCTTTCCTCTGTTCTTTTCAGTTATTGACACATTCTCGGTTCTGATCGATTGATCGACGGTCAAGTAAGCGGTATACCACCGCGCTGATCTGATTCTTCCGGTCCCCTCCCCTTCATCCACATCCACACCCATCACTTTTTCTTCTCTCTCTTTCTACTACAAGAAAGTCAATCCCAGAGCCGTTACAACGCTCAGCCCAACAACGGACCATCCTGTCTGAATAACCTGTTTGTTCGTCAAAGTCCGGCCGGTATCCCAAGCCAAATGCCTCAGGCCGTTAAAGCTGTGGAAGGTGAACGGAAACGCAAAAAAGGCCTTCAAGCCAACCTTCGCCAGGATCGGGAGCGTCGCGAAGCTGGCCGCAAGGCTCGCGGATTCCAAGTGCCAGCCGAACAGCGGTGCTGCGAGGTAAGCGGCGCCGAAGACGTAGATGGACCCAGACAGGATGCAGCCTGTGATGCGGTTCAGGGCGGACAGATACCATGTTACTTGTGGGCGATAGATGGTTAGATGTGGGCTGACGGGTCGTGATCGTCGCTGCGCTGCGAGGATCTCTTGGCCTTGTGTTTGCGACACAGTCGACGACGCTGCTTGTCTGTTGGAATTGAATGTCAGTTTCTCTTCACAGATCTCTGCTATTTGATGTCCTTTTGCAGCAGGTATACTGTTTGTGAGGTGTCGAAGCTGGGAAACAACTCGAGTTCCGGGTCCGGCCAGCACGGGTGCGTGCCTGATCCAAGATTGGATCCCCAACTGCGTCGACGGAAAGGACAGGAGAGAGGTCTCACCTGATCTGGATTTGTTGCCCTGTCGCTATCGCTAGAGGAGCTGGGAGTCTAGAGAGAGCTAGAGGTGTCTTTTTATATGCGGAGGGGTTGACCGCGGCCACTGCAATTAGAGATAACCAGTCAGTCTCGGGAACCAGCGTCGTAGGATCTTGTGCTTACATCGCCGGGTAGTAGCGTGAAGCGCCCTGCGCGAAAACACCGTCGCCGACATTTCTGTAATGTGGGAGTGGAGGGAGACTGCAGTTGAAGTGAGTGCCAGAGACGGATGAAGCTTCACGATGATGCCCAGGTCTCTCTTCCGAGTCTCGGCAGAAATCGCTTGGCCTTTGTGCACGTGACTAGATTGGTTTTGGCCTCTTCGTGATTGGACACCTGGTCTTCGGAGAATAGAAAAGTCCTCCTCCTCCTCCTCCTCCTCCTCCTCCTCCACCACCACAGCCTTACGCGCCCCTGTCAGACCTGGCCTTGTCGTGGGCTCGTGGCAGACTGGCCTCTCCCCTAAATAGTGTACTCGTAGTATCCATGTTACCAGCTACACGGTTTACAAGAGGAAGTGGACCATGGTAGGACATGTTGGAAATAAGTCGGAGTATTTCCTGATGACTAATTCCCGCACAGCGGCTCCTACCAGATTGGAAGTGACTTTTTCGGCAGATGTAGTAGGCTGATCCATTTACGCATAATGATTGGTTGTTGGTCGTCCGCAGAGTTAATAACTCCACCGGGTCCCCCAAAGGATACTGATCTTGCCACAGGACTAAGGTGATAACTGGGACTGAGATTTCAAAGCACGCTCTCTTACCTAGTCCCTCGGCCAAATTTGTCATTGTTACCTCTTCTTCACAGACTCACCTATTGATTACACGCACACCAACCAGCCAACCAACCAATCGGCGCTGCTCAACTGCCAGCAAATTTCTTTGACAACAGAAAACTATATATAGCCTCAAGACACTATTTGAAGGGGGCGTTCTACACATCCCTGAGTCTACCATAGCAACAACTAGTAATCGTCGGTACACCCCAGCAATGGCTCTCCTCTTCAAACCTCTACAGGCAGGTGACTTGGAGCTGCAGCATCGAGTTGTGCTGGCACCACTGACGCGGTTCCGCGCCGACAAGGACCATGTACCACTGCCAATGGTCAAAGAATACTACGCGCAACGAGCGTCTTCGCCGGGAACACTGCTCATCACCGAAGCGACATTCATCTCGCCCCGCGCCGGCGGCTACCCCAATGTGCCGGGCATCTACAATGCGGAGCAGATCAAGGCATGGAAGGAAGTGACGGATGCAGTGCACGCCAAAGGCAGCTTCATCTTTTGTCAGCTTTGGGCATTGGGAAGGACCGCCAACCCAGCTGTCCTGGCCGCGGATGGCTATAAATTGGTGTCGGCCTCGAATCTGCCCTTACCTGAAGGAGCGATCCCCGAGCCTCTGGACGAAGAGGGGATCCAGAATTATATTCAGGACTATACGAATGCGGCGAAGAACGCTATCGAGGCTGGATTCGACGGTGTGGAGATCCACGGTGCGAACGGCTACCTCCTCGACCAATTCTTGCAGGACAAGTCCAATGATCGAACCGATCGCTGGGGAGGAAGCATTGAGAATCGTTCTCGCTTTGGTCTGGAGGTCGCAAAGGCTGTTTCCTCCGTGATCGGCGCTGGAAAGACGGGTTACAGGGTCAGTCCGTGGAGCTCGTTCCAAGAAATGGGAATGGATGATCCGGTGCCCCAATTCACTTATCACATCAAGAAACTGGCGGAACTGAACTTGGCGTATATTCACATTGTGGAGTCGCGGGTTTCAGGAAACGTTGACATCGAAGTCGTGGGGAAACAAGTTGACCCATTCCTTAATGCTTGGAGCGGCGCCGGAGCCATCATCTTGGCGGGCGGGTTCACAGCTGAGTCTGCACAAGAGACTGTGGAGAAGTACAGCTCACGCAACGTTGCAATTGCTTTTGGGAGGCACTTCATCTCAAATCCAGATCTGCCTGCTCGCATCAGCAAGAATCTGCCCTTCACCAAGTACAATCGAGATACTTTCTACGTGCCCGAGTCTTCAGTGGGCTACACCGATTATCCGTTCATTTCAGAAGCATAGAAAACAAGCCGCCGCATGTTTGTTGCGATGTGACAAGTTTCGAGTGAAAAGCGCCGTGCAAAGAAGAGTGCCGGTAGCATCAACCACTCGCCGATTGCTTGCTCGGCTGCTGAGGTGGCGATGCAATTTTGTACACAGAAGATGAGCGACTCCGGATACTAGTAGAGCTAGATCATTGGAAGAAAATCAATCTCTCTGATAAAGAGTTTAATATCGAGACACATCTGGGGTTCGTTTTGCAGGTCTCATAAAGGATGAATCAGCTGCCAGAATGGCACTGCCGTATCGCCGTGACAGCCAGCAGTATCTTCCCTACAAACGTCGCTTGCCAGGCACTTTCATGAAGTCCAAACAATATTCGTGGCCTGTTTGTCCTTGTTGGCTACGAAATCGAAAAATATACTTTATAGTAAATGTCTGGACTCGTTGCTGACAGGCCAAAATGGACCCGACAGGGTGGTAAGTTCACAGCACTCTAGCGTCGGATGCTTATCGATGATTGTGGGCGTTCTTGGGTATTCCCTCAGTGTCTTTCTTGACATGGATCGACTGAGGACCTACACGCGATCTATGGCACGAGTAGGTCCTCAGTCGATGATTTCTTTTGTGCATATATATTTCTTCGTCTGGCGCAAGATGAACCCATTGCCGAATCGAGGCGTTGCAGTCAAACCCTCAGGTAACTGCATTAGTTTTCACACATAACATTGCCTTCTTCCAACTCGCTATAACTTATCTTCCCTGCCCGACCTCTAGGTCGTTCGCAATGTCGGCTTCCAGCAGCAAACTTGTCCATGAGGCAAACAATGCCTGCTCGATCTGCAGCACCAAGCCCCCACACAAACGCAGAAGGTTGAATGAAGTGGATGCGCTTCATGATGTGATTGCAGGGGGAAGGATTCTGGATCCTTCAGAGAGACGAAGAAGATTGCTCTCTCCAGGCTTCCCATATGGGCTTGTTGATTCCGATGCAGAGAGCTCCACTGATGAGGAGGCAACCACTGGTGCACAAAAGCCCACTTATGTGGAGACGGTCACTGGCGCAGATATGACCGCAGATGAGCAAGAGGGCTCTGCTCCCTCAACAAAAGTCGACAGAGGTGCAGCGTGCACCTGCTGTACTCTGGCATACCGGTCCCAGATCAAGGACTGTCCAGCAACGAGACATGTAGTCAGACAGATTACATCCAGAAGATTTGGTCTGGGGTCTAATCCCAGGATGTGCTCTGAGTCTGAGGATTCAATTTTTCGAGAGTTGGCACCGTTGCTCGGTGCCACCGCGTTCAGTCGAATGGGGACAGTCATCATCCGGAGGGATGTACTCCAGCCTCTCGACATGAGCCTCGGGCTCTTGCAGATCCGCGTAAACGATCACGCCAACTGGAGCTTCGACGTCAGGACAAGATACGACAAGACGAATTGCATTGTTCTGGCTGGCCTGAGAATACTCCGAGAGGCGCAGAATCTCAACTTGGGATACAAGTTCCTCTCGATCGATGAAGATTCAACCAGAGAAGCTCTTTACAGGGGCGTTCGTCGTATTTGCAGATCCATCACGGTTCGCGTATCGAACACTCGGGGGCCATCTGTGAAGACTGCCGAAGACCGTGAGAAAGTCTTCCAAGAGCTCCAGGGTACCGTTTTTGATTCGAGGGAGGACGATATGCCATGGGCAGAGGCCTTGTATACATGGTCGATGTCAAATGGAGCTGACATAATTGCATGAGTCTCTTTTCGGACTGGTGGGATTCGATGTGTAAATATTGTATTATCAAATTGGACTGTTGCGTGCTCCGGTGTAATACTAGGTAGTAAATATGAAGCTCATAGTCACCCAGCAGTGGACTATAAGATAGCAGTAGCACTAGCCTACTTACTATTTAAACAAAACTTACCTAACAGCTTCCAACCCCCGATGCACGGCTTGTTTCAGCACCCCATCTCGTTCTGAGGAGAGGCTGACTAAAGGCAGTACTAGGACCATCGAGCCTTTATGGATGGTGATCGTGGAGGAGATGGATGTAGTCAAACGGAGCAAGGCATGCTTCCGTTCTATCACTCACGCTCCGCGACGGTCCGTCCATGTCAAAAGTGCAAGGGTCACTTCCGAGCGTAGCATTACAAGGAAGGACAAGAATTTGTCCAACGCCTCTCTTTTACTTGTGGGCCGGCTGCTGACGGATATCTGCGGTGGGCTTTGCGCGGAGGTCGCCGCCAAGGTCAACAGCACCATAAAGAAAGGTAACCGTGACCGAGCTGGAACAAAAGAACCAGTAAGCCAGCGACCCGGCCTTCGCGGTCCGTGCAATGGTGTGATTTGCTGCCCAAGAGGATCTGTCTTATCTAGCAAAAGAGTTGGATTGATGTGGAGAAAGGATGGCCGATCGTGGTTTTCGTTTGTGGCAGGGCGTGGATTCCACACACCGCGGAATCAAATGTCAAATTAGGGCTGAAAAAAAGTCCGGGGTTGAACCTGACATCGGCACGGCGGCAAAAAGGCGCTGATCACGATCTTCTCTTCGTGAATTTCAATGGCAGGGCGTGCCAGGAACGAATTTGAGTTTTGAATGGATCGCTGCGTGCTAATGTCATTGATTTTATGTGCTATATCAATCCCCTGACCACAGTCCACTCGACAGCCGTTGATCGTTCACATAGCAACCATGCCACAGTAACACAAGATCTGTTGAGCTTATCTTAAGTCGAACTTCCGACACAATGATGCTTGCCCAGCCTATCATACACCCACCTCTCGCAGAGCTGTCTTATAACCCACAATTTTCTTCACCCTCAGCTGTTCAGGTACGGCCCAAGGTGCCGCGAAAAGCAGAAACACCACCTTTCAATCTAAGAGCAGCAACATTAGAAGACGCACAAGCCATCTCTGACCTTGGTGCATCTGTGTTTTCTGCTACTTTCGGCTTCTCAATTCCTGCCAAGGATCTGGCTGCGTATCTGGACGAAGCATATAGCATCACCGCACTCCAAGACGATATCCTCAGTCCCAAGAAACATGTCATTGTCGCATGCGAACCTTCAGATGGCCATGTTATTGGCTTTGCGCAACTGACCGAAGGCACTAGCGAGCCATGCATAGAGGATCTGGCCAATATTGTTGAATTGCAACGATTATACGTTCACGCAGATTATCATGGCCTGGGGCTCGGGAGGGCTCTGACCCAGTGGACCGAAAAGGTGGCTTTGGATAAAGGATATCAAACCATGTGGCTGGGCGTCTGGGAAGGCAATTTTCAAGCCCAACGGATATACGAAGCCATGGGGTTTTCGCGTGCTGGTGAGCATGAGTTCCAAATGGGAAGATGTATTCAGACGGATTGGATCATGTACAAAGCGTTATGATTGTGAAAAGGTATCATGGGAGTTTTCTGTGGGATGGTCGGCGTCCCGACACGCCCCTGCTAGGACTGTTGTTGGCAATGATAGTATATCTCCCTAGCAACACTCAAATTGTTGAGGTTCACGGTCGAAATATAGAGACTAGTACTGAACGAAGCCGTCTTATGACGCCTTGAATGACAGGGAGATATATACTTTGTGGAGGGATTCCTGTGCCGTCCACCATCCAGGATCGGGATCGAAAGGAACCGTCTCCATGTCTGCAATATTTTGAGAGGGAAACCTGATAGAAGGCAAAACCCAGGCTGCCGTACATGTATATGCGTAAAACAGCTGCATAACGGATGGATAAAAGTACGTAGTACCAGACATCAATATGTAACCTTGAATATGAAACCCACATCATTCATGAAGAGAAATGCATGGGCGATTAACGGCAGGTTTGTATGGTCCTTCTAGGACTCCGTTGAGGCAGCATAGCGGAGAATGACAGAATGTAACCTCCATTGCTGCCACCACTTCTAAGCAATAGAGAGTGCTGCGAATGTGAGCTGCCAGGCCGAAGTCCCTGGTTGAGAGAGAAGAGAAAGCGATTCGGAAACTGAAAATTTACTAGCAGCAAGTTACTCATGACTCGCTAGTTTATGGCTTGGCATAAACATGACTCGAAATAATAGATGTTGGACCAGCCATCGGGAACCAGTAGTACCCAGTACTAACCACCTGTCCTTCACGCAGTTTGCGAGCATCTGGTTCCTGGTTACAATTCATGACCAACAATCTCTTGTCCTTTCAAGACCCTTCGCAGTCTTGATGCATTGAAACAAAAATGTGCCAAGTCTAGAAGCACAAGAATTTCTTTCCTCCCGGGTTTGCAATTTCCAACACCACCGAGTCTCATCCAGTCCGCGTTGGCCCTTCCTCAATATGCACAACACGTTAAACCGGTTGCAAACGACCTTCGGGTTCTTCACAACGTGTGCCTTTACTCTCGCGGCCATCATTGCTGCCCTATCTCTAGTCCCGATTCCGGCCCAGACATCCTCTCCAAGCGCCTCGATTGCCGTCCGCAATGTTCAAGTTGTCAAAGGGAGACCACATTACTATTCCGAGAAGCGTGAGGAATATGCCCAAATTCGATTTGATCTTGATGCAGATCTTTCCAGTCTATTCAACTGGAACACCAAGCAATTGTTCGTTTACGTGACTGTGAACTACCCAAGTTCTAAAGATGGCAAGAGCGGGATGTCTGAGGCTGTCATTTGGGATGCAATCATACCTACCACTGCCACTCCCTACTCGTGGCAGAGTCTCAAGCAGAAATATTTCCCAGAAAAGATAAAGTCCAAGAGCAAGAGTAAAAGGGTCTCTGCCACCAAGTCAAAGTCTACCGATCTCTTGAAACCTGGCGTCATATCTCTGAAAAACCAGAAACCAAAGTATCAAGTCACAGACCCGAGTGGTTTACTCAGCGAAAGAGGAAATGCTACTCTGCAAGTGAGTTGGAATTTACAGCCTTGGGTGGGTGCTCTGGTCTGGGACAAAGGTGCATTGGGCAACCGATTGGGAAAATGGGGAGCTGGAAGGGTTGGTCGAAGCGAAGTGTTTGAATTCCCCGCCTTAAAATCAAAGGCAGAAACTGTCCGAGACAAGAATGGACCGAAGACTCCTCAACCTGGCTCTGCAGCTCCTGCTGTCGAAATTTAGCCTCGCATCATGCCTAGTCAATCAAGCAAACGCCTTCGACTCTTTGGCGTCACCTGATCCGATGATATTCTCAATTGCGCACTTAGCATTCGGCCCGAACATGAGTAAGGTTCTTCGCCCGCTCCATTTCCAATCGGTGGACTGATGTATCTTCCTGACACTCGAGCGATCCTGCTCGGGTGTGCAACCCTGGAGATGAATGCACGTGGCTCAAGTGGCCCTGGCCTGCAGGCTTTATTCGACACTACACGATTTTGTATTGTGCTTCTTCCCGGCTCAAAGGGGCTAGTCTTGCATTCTCCTATCTAGGGTGCAACGTGGAAGTCAGCCTGATCTGGAGGATTTTGCTGCACCAGGTCGCGCAATATTCAGACCAGTCGCATCACGCAATATCCAAATGCGCGCGGTAGTGAGTATTCCAATAAGACGAGAGATCCATTCACTAGCCCTGTCTTCTCGGCTGAATGGTTGCGCCGATAGCCGAAATCATTGAACCACTGGAAAGCTGCGACTACTTGCCAATATCTAGGGCAAGGGAGACTGGCCACTCTGCTATGGAATAAAGGTCTTCAAATCTAAGAGTTGTCCCTTACGGTCTTTCATGCATGTCAACTGCTTTGGAGTCGGCTGCGAAGAACAGCGTAGGTAGATTGGGCATTCAGCCTGCATGCATGTTAGTCTCACCTTAGTTGTCATATCATCGCAACGATCCTCCAGAAGCGACGCTTGATCAACCTTCTACGAAATAGGCCATAGCAGTTTTTCAAATCCCAGTAGTGAGCAACTCGTGGCCCTTTCACGGGAACACAGTCTTAAGTCCGGACTGTCTTCCAATCATGTGCTTCCCTTCCTCTGGCGATCCCATCCGACACCCTTATGTCCGTTAATATTGGATGTAGGCCACAGACATCGCTCCACAAACAGAACGATAAACACATATCACACTTCCTCCCTGCAGAGGCAGTGGCTATGGGAAATTTCGAAACACACCCAACCATCGCCTTGTCATCTGCATTCTCAGCATCATGCCTCTGAAGTATCTCAACAAACTTCGAGACAAGCGCGTTCTCGTTGTGGGAGGAACATCCGGGATGGGATTTGCAGCGGCCGAGGCAGCGGTCGAGTATGGAGCTAATGTTGTCGTTGCAAGTTCAAAGCTAGAGAAAGTACAAGACGCCATCGGAAGACTGCGAAAGTCGTACCCAGAGGCAGCAGACCGCATTCGAGGAAAACCCGTGGATCTCAGTGCAGCCGACGTCGAGGAACAGATCGTTGCTCTTTTCGAATTCGCTAGCGAGGGAGGTAAACACACGCTTGATCATGTCATTATCACGTCAGGTGATAGTTTCAAGCTGACACCCCTGTCAGAGCTCGATTCTGAGAAGATCCAGGCTGTTACGAAAGTCAGACTAGTTGGCACTTTACTGCTGGCTAAGGTCTCCTCGCGATACCTTAAAAGCAGTCCGACCTCATCACTTACACTCACTGGTGGGGTGACGGATGCTAGACCTGTACCTGGATGGGTGGCCATGGGTGCTGTCGGCGCAGGACAACGAGGCATCACCCGTGCTCTGGCACACGACATGAAGCCGATACGCGTCAACTTGGTGTGCCCAGGTTTTGTGAAGACGGAGATGATTGACATGTTTCCTGCGGAGCAACTTCAGAGAATCCTTACCATATACAAGGAGAAGGCATTGACCGGCACTATTGGGACACCAGAGGACCTTGCTGAGGTTTACCTTTCGTTGATGAAGAATGAATTCATCAATGGTGCAGAGGTCTCTTCTGATGGTGGTTACCTTATCTCATAGGAGTAGTCAAAATGAGGCCCCTTGCACCGTGCTCCTGCCTGTGAGCAAGTCGCCTCAAGAGAATACTACACCTAATGCCAACGCTTCAAAATCAAAAGTAAACATTCTACAAACCTATATATCTCCAAGAACAGTACCTCTGTGTCCTAAGCCCCCCGCCCCAAGCTCAACCCTTCCAATCCAGCCCTGGCGCCAAAAATGAATCATTCTGGCTCAATACACCGATAAGCGTGACCGCAGCAATCAGCGGATCAACCTCCCTCTCCTCCAGCACCAGTAATCCACCCAGTGCGAATTTCCCGTTCGAACTCTCATAACGCGCGGCCTCGAACTTCTTCCCTGCTACGGCTTTGAACAGCCTGAGTCTCCCGGATAAAGCCATAGGTTTACCCCAGAATGTCGTGTCGGAAGATGCAGGAGAGGCGGTCGTCGTCGACAACGTGTCCCAGAGATACGGCACGCTGTCCTTGACAAAAGACTGAGCCCGTGATCTGTGCGATACCGGCTCGACGCTAATCCCATGCGAGCTGTGAGCAGAGTCCGCAGGGAAGCGGATGTGCACGGTGCCGAAGTTGAGGAGGTGCTTGCGGATCTCGGCGAGGGCCATTGCCCTGCTGGTGCTTTGGCTTCCTTCAGTCGTGGGCTCCTCGACACTTAATCGAGAAGTGACGAACCGCGACGACCCACGGACGACCCACGTGGGATGAAAGATCGGGTTCGCGCGCAGCGTCAGTTGCGCCAGTTGGTGGATTTCAGGAGTTATGTCCTCACGGAACGTGGTTTTCAGATGCGTGGTCAGGTCGAGGATTTCAGAGTGTTGGCCCTTCGATGTTAGAGGGCGCATGTACAGGATCCGAGAGGGTCGGAACGTCACGGCTTGGTCGACGGGGAGATCTCGAAGGTCCTTGTCGGCCATCGGACGTTCTTGAGTTCGACGCTCTCAGTGGAAGTTTCTTGCTAGACTGTTTGTTTCGGGATTCCTTGCTGAACAAAATAGCAATGATGTAGGCCAGTGGGTTTATGCATTCTACGTAAATAACTAGAGTATTTGTGCTTCCTTTTTTTGTTGCGACTGTGCTTTTGCTGGGAACACATGAGCCATTTGTTCATCCATACCTAGAGAAGATCCGAATCGAAGCGAGATACGCGGCATCACACGGCCTTGCTGGATCTCCAGGTCTACAAGAACAGGAACAAAAAGCCAGCCCCTCATGTTAGTCGTGCATTTGATGAGTATGGAGAAAGACGGTTTCCAGAAATCCCGCGGTACTATTTTTAACCATTGGTTGATAACGCCCATTGTCGTTCGTTGGGTGGGGAGATCCTTCGAATGCCATCACCCCCAGGAAATTCCGGGGTAACTTCGCCAGTGGCCAGGAGATGGCATCGTATTCGGGAACTTTCCATCATGGGCCAAATCAGGCTGCAATTTGACTGGCTTCGGTTCAAGCCCCGTCATGGAATTATGGCTACTCCTTTTGGCTAATATGTAGTTGGCTAGCCACTGGCTCACATTTGTAGGAGATGCAGTACGATAGGCTGCAAGAAGGAGGGATAATGGTGCTAAATGCAAACCTTCTAGGCATCGATAGGAAGGTGGTCCAGCTCAACATCCCGTGCCGTGCATTCTCCTATCTTTACGCTAGGAACATGTGCCATTCTTTCCTGGAAAGCGGTAAACTGGTTCCATTTACCGAGTTCAATCTGAAGAAAAATGAAATCTGGAAGGCCCTGCTCATCTCAAACTTCCCTTTATCGTTTCACGGAAGTGAGCTTGACATTCAATGGCTGCAACTGCCAGAGGATCTATTTGGAGATGCGTTAGAGTCTCCCTGAGGAGAGCCTCGTTTGGACGGAGAACTCACGTAGAACCGCGCGTCCTCCACCCAGGTCTTGTGATCTCCGTCAAGCTCAATATCGAAGTTCCACAGAAGCTTTGCAACCACTAGTCGAGCTTCGGCGAGGGCCAGCCTAGGGACACTGTTAGCCATGTTGTAGGGGCCGTGACAAGGAAAAGAGGAAGTGGAGGTACAATTTGCCGATGCAGTTTCTCGGTCCCAAGCTGAAAGGGCGGAGGACCTCGTCGACAGCCAACCCGGCCGGGCCCTTGCTATCTAAGTCGAACCATCTCTCGGGTCTGAATTGCTCGGGATCCTCGAATAGCTTCTCGGAGCGGCCCATATACCATTGGCCCATCGAGATGTATGTCTGCGGTTGCGGGATTAGCATCATTTATCTCTCTCCACAACGACAACGAAAAAAGTGATTAGATATGTCTTAACCTACATTACCACCGATAAAGTCCCCATTGATAGTATACCCCTCCTTTGGCGTCAGGCGCGGCGTGATGTAACTAGCCACAGGGAAAATTCTCAGCGACTCATCAACAGTCGCTTTGAGATACGGTAAGTTCGCCGTCGCTTTGACAGTGATTTCATCGCTGGAGGAGAAATTCCGTCGAATCTCGTTTTTCAGCTTGTTCATCACATGTGGCGTCTTGCATAGATGATAGAATGTGGCACTTAGGCATGTGCTGGTCGTCTCTGCTCCGCCTCCGACGATAAGGATGGAGTTTGAGATGATCTCACCTTCACTCAGTTTCTCGCCGCCTTTCATTTCGCGTAGCATCAGGCCGACAATGTCAGGTCGTTTCTTCTTCTGACCCCCTCCGTTGTCCACCGTGAGCCCGGAAGCCTCTGCGTTGTCGCGGGCAAGTCGCTGGTTGATCGCCGTCTTGGCCAAATTCAGGAAGTTGTCACGCTCGTCAATCATCTTCTTGCTCAGCAGTGGCTTTAGAAGGTTCATCGAAAGACCGAAGCGTCTGAACTGATTGAGAGCAGCAGTTTGCTTCAACACGGAGAGTAGGAAGCGTGGCCAAGGATGCATGCGTCGCTTCTCAAGGCACTGGAATTCTTGGTCGAGCGCCAATTGGCCGATGACATCGTTCAAGGCCCAAAGAAACCATTCCACGATGTTCTGCGAGCCTTCCGCACTGGCCACGGCCAGCTGTGAACAGAGCAGGTCGGTGTAGTGCTGGAGCACGGGCTCGACTTCTGCGATGCCGGCGTTCAAGAAAGCGGGGCCAGCGAGACGCCTGATCCGGGCGTGCTCTGCGTCAGGAGCAGTGATCATACTGTGAGGTAGCCGCTCGGTATCAGGTGGTGCAAAATGATACTGAGTCTTACCCAGCTGCGGTCGAGAGTTGTAGATTTGCGGCCATGCCTCGGGAGCGCTGAATGAGAGCTCGTCAGGGGCGATGCGGACTGTGTTCCCATACTGAGCATGTATGGCAGCAATGCACTGGTAGAGGTCACCAGTCGCATGATGATAAGATGCAGGAATGCGTGATGCTCTCCAGAGAAAAGGCCCTGGGTATTTGTGCAGTGGGTGGAAAGGAGAGATGTTGTAGAGGAACTTCAACACTAAAAGTCCGGCGATCTTGTATTGAATCAGCAAGGCAAGCTTTCGCAAGTGGTACACTTCTCATCTGGACTGGACATACCGTAGATGCGACAGAGAGCCAGATCCAAAATGCTTTGATGCCACACTGGAAAAGAGCCTCGGCTGGGGACGCCATCGGACTGTCAACGTCTCTATCGCATGATCCTCAAGTTGATGGAATATCAACGATTCTTAAGTAATCGCTGTTTCATGTACGGGAGGACTTCTCTGCCTGATTTTTTTGTGGTTTGTCTAGGCTGTCGACTCTCAGCCCCAATCCGAGAGGAGGCCTGACCAATCGTTGGGCTGTCATCTCACTATCATAGCAGTAAGCCGCGGTTGCTAACCGGCTGACATCTGTTCACTCCGCACCTTTCCTAGAAACTGCTGAACAGGGTGATTTTTGTTTGACTAAAGGAGGGCTCACTGTCATAAGCAAGCCGAACAGCATGTTTAGGACGTTTACTTCGAATTTGAAAGGCAAGAGGTGGTAACACACCCTGCCTTCCCCTTTGAAAAATAATTGTGTCTTCAGAGGTTGATCTATGTACCTCGTATACAGGCGTCATATCTGACACACGAGAGTCCTCTCCTCTTTCCGTTCTGCCTGAGTACTAGCTCCTGGATCTCTGTCACTTAATTGCCCTCAGCTACGTATTCAATCGGCCTGGTTTGAGTGTATCTGACGGAAGGAAGGCCATCCAGGTACTCGTCTTGCAGGATGGAGTCTGGTTAGCAACCAGTCTTGCTGTCCGCAGGTAGTGGCAGCAGACAGTGCCACAACCTTGTTGCTCCTGATCAGATATGAACCTCTCGAGGATTGATAGAGCAATGATGGTTCATGTGTGAGACTTGCAAGGAAAAATAAGACATCTCAAAGCAGCGTGGCCAAGCAGAGCAGTAGGGACGATAGAAGGCGCCGCTTTTGGGTGCCAAGGTTTTACTGTGGGGTCCAAACCACGTGATGACGCGGAGTGGAAAACTGGCCTTGCCCCCCTTGCGGCCCCTTTCCTCAAAAAGTTCCCGCAGTCAAGCCGCATTGACACACGGCGTTTGTTCCTGAGAACCTGTGTTCCTTGCGATTTCCCAACCGACGCACAAGTCAGGATGCGTTTCTCTTCGATGATCTTCGGCCTGTTGGCCTTGGCCGTTTCTACAGTCTACGGCACTGCATTGACATACAAACTCGGTGCCAGTGAAAGAGCCTGCTTCTTCACCAACATTGAAATTGCACAGGCCAAAATTGCATTCTACTTCGCCGTGGGTCTCCTCTCCAAATGTACTTGGGTGCCCACTAACGCATACCCCATCAGGTTCAATCAGGCGGCTCGTTCGATGTCGACTACTCTGTCGTAGGACCCAATGACAAAAGAATAATGGAAGGACAGAAGGAGAGACAGGGCGATTTTGTCTTCACAGCTCAGACGGTTGGAGAGTACCGCTTCTGTTTCAGTAATGAAATGTCAACCTATGCCGACAAGATGGTGGATTTTGAGATTGCGGTAAGTCATCATCCACAGGGAAGGGGCTCAACGACTTCTGACGCTTCTCGCATCAGGTTGAGCACGAGTCAAAATCGGCACTCTTGCCACAAAAGGCAGGGTCTAGCCCTGAACAACATTCATCTCTCGAGGACTCGATCTTCAAAGTGAGCGGACAGTTGAGCACTATCAGCAGAATGCAGAAGTATTTCCGGACAAGAGAGAACCGTAACTTCAGCACGGTTAGGAGTACCGAACAGAGGATCTTCAATTTCAGTTTAATTGAAGTCATTATGATGGTGGGAATGGCCGTCTTGCAGGTCTTGGTGGTCAGATTCTTTTTCCAGGGAGCCAGGAAAGGTAAGAGTCACATCCGGAACCCATTTGGATTTACTCTGACAGGAGCTCCTGCTAGGCTATGTATGAAATGTATGGGTGAAGACCATTCTCTTGGGTAATTGGCTGTTGTCCACTTCTCATTGAGCAAATTGTGCCGGCACCCCTGGAACGAATTCTTGATCGTCCTATTGGTCGAGCAGGCCCTTCGGCGCACAGAAAATGTAATGTATTTGGACGAAATGCCAGGATTCGGACAGATCCCACAACTTAGTTGGTCATCGTCATCGTGTCAAGCAATGAACTTCTATTCCTGTTTGGGTGCAGAGCTAATTCGCTAGCGGAATCGATACGTGAATCAACAGTGTTCCAGGGTTGCTTTCGAATTCAGACATATATTTACCTCTCCATATAAACAGGAGGCGCGGTGGTTTGCCGTCTCAAAGAAAATCGATCCCGACAGGAAACCAATGGCTATGCACGGTGACTTCCACTAGGCCTAAATGGATCAAAATGAGTAGTCGGACCTATCAGAATCTCCTTTGGGCTCGGAGCTAACCCTCCGAACAACAGCATGCAGACTGATTATTATGTCTGAGGGGTTGAGTTCGGTTCCGCCTAGTCGCCTTCTGCTCTCTTACATACAAGCTTTGACATTTTGGGACTAGTGCATATCATGCCGCATAGTCTCGACTGCCTCATACCAATACCATGATTGCCCTTGTCTATATAACCCTGCGCTCCTTCCTCCTTGCCTGAGATAAATCTGTTGTCCTGAAAATCTCCTCTTTTGGTGTGGGTATTGGCATTTGCACCATGGCTTCCTCAAAGGCCAACCTCTCTTCATTACCCGCTGAGTTACTGCTCTCGATTCTATACCAATCCCGGGAACTCTCCCTGATCAATGTTTGTCGAGAGTTTCGTGCCTGTCTTCCTCCATTCTCGCCAATTGCTCGATCACTTGCTGTGCTTGCATTCAGCAAGGTCAATCACGCCTCTACGTCACCAGATGGGCAATATTATCAAGGGCCTGTAATGGAGCCCTTTCTTCAGGAATTTCGCTCCGCTCTGGACGAGGCAACAGGGCTAGCGTTTCCTCTGTCACCGGAGCAGCGTGCGCATCTACAGCAAGACGTGCTGTGCAGTGGATGGTGGAACATCAATAGGTTCCACGCCGTGCACTTGTTCCTCTTCCGATACCATCTGTTGAGCCTCGAGGCGCGGCTGAGTGAAGACCCATTCCGGATACCCGATGCGCAGATCGATTCGTTCAAACAATATATTCGCAATTTCGAAACCCACTGGTCACTCTGGACGACTCCTCGGAAGACAATGCAGGAACCGGATTTTCCATTCATCATGCCGTGGAAGTCTATGCCGAATTATTACTTGCACACTGATGTACTCTTGACCCGAGCAGTGACTTATATGACTCCAATGCTGCCCGCTGTTACTGTGGAAAGTACTGATATATCTATGAACCAACACGCATTTGTATTCCAAAGGGGATGGCATATGCCAGAGTACTGGAATATCATGCGAGTCAACAACAGTGACATGAGCGACAATGTAGGTCCTCGAGACCCTACAGCGCAAATGTTGGAGAACAGGAGATTGGATGGCAAGGGCAGGAAATATTTCCTGCCACCACGACCCTTGCTTGTTCCTCCCTTTACAGCACGAAAACGCGGCATCCTAGTATATTTGATCCAAGAGGCCGCTGGTCGTTACTTTATCACCGACATACCGGATCTCAACCACAACAGCACACGAGAAGACGACGAAAGGATCCTCAGCAACGCTATCCTCGAGGCAATTCCAATTGGGGACATCCCGTTCCTGAAGATTCTGCTGACACTGCTTCAGGGTCAGAACCCACCTCATCTCAGCCCCGATCAGAGCTACACTGGTGCGCTCATTGCTCCCGTGGCTGGAACCCAGGACCGAGCAATGGTCCAACTGTACATCGAGGAGGCTTCCTGGTCTCGAGAAGAGATGGACAGGTATGTTCTCACGGCCATGAGATCAGGCAATCCAGATGTTCTTTCTGTACTTCTTGACATCTACGCTGTTTATGATCGCCGCATTGAAGAAATTGAACGCTTCGCACAGCGCATGTCTGGGCTTCTAGACAAAACCGAATTCTTGGATGATGCGTCCCACGACCAGATACGGGATGTTGTCACGAGGAAGATCAAATCGATGAAAGCTGCTGCCATTAGATCTTCGGATTATGCGCGGGATAAGTGGCTGGTTGAGTCGGGAGCTGACTAGTTGGCTGTACCTGTGGTTAGGAATGTGTGGTAGTCGTTGCAAGATGATTTACCATGAAATGGCTTTTCCTTGTTTCTAATGACATTGGATCAAATAGCTGTCCAGCGACAATGAGAAAACATCGGTGTTCAACACCTCAACATAATACCCTGGTCTCCAACAAAGGTCACTACTATTTCAGAGGTGGTTCTAGTTTATTGACTATTTCATACCTATCTCCTCAATCATGCCCAACCCTTCCACTATCCAGGTAAATCAGGGCTATTGTTGCAAGAGGCGTCCCTTCTTTTCCCTTCTGTCCCCTACAAAAGTCGCCCCCCATGATAATTCCACGCCACCACGAACGAGGCTCTCACCAGGCAATCCTAAACCTTGGTCCACATGGTAAATACCGAATCAAGTCGCCACACCACATGGGATACAGTAAGGGGTATAGAACAAGAAACAAAGGAAGGCGAGCCAAGTTTACTTGAGTGACCGTCCGTCATTCGTCTTTGACCCATACCTCGTACCACTACTGCGTAATTCCCCCCTGCCAAGAACGTAACTCATGTCAGCCCCCATCTTGGCTCAGACGGTGGGCGGTGAGTTGTGCGCCGCCTGAAAAGACACCGAGACTCTCATTGTCAGCAGCATATCTACTTTGCGGTGCCCGGTCTTACCGACCCGACTGATTCAGCCCTAAAGCTAAGCTAAACTAACCAAATATTACCTGAGGTGTGAACATGCAAGACATTTAAGGGCCGCGGGTCGCCCTACGAATTTCTCGGACCCCATGCAGACGTAGGGCTAGATTTACGATTATTGACTAACTGCTGCCCTCGAAAATCCCAGCGAAACACCGTGGACTGGCCGACGTAATTCGATGAGGCTGTGAAATCGAGATCGAGACCAATCAGGCTGTTGAGTGATCGGTCTTGTCTCAGTTGAGTTGTGGGAGAAGGGGACAGTTTCTTCTTGTTCAGCATTGCCCAACACCGACTTGAAAGGAGGGAATCTGGAAAAGAAACCTCCTTGTCTTTGCCATCCATGAGAAATATGCCGTCGACACCTCCTTCAAGCATCGAAGAAGTCCGCGCGACCGGCATCATCGCGCCTGAGTTTGCGAAAATCTGGGAAGAGTCACCCTTGCCACCAGGCTCATTCTACACACTCGAGGACCTCAAGGAAGTGAGCAGAGTCAGCTTGCCTCGTACGAAAGAAGTGCTGGCCCAATCGCGGCCGGAGGACATCACTGAGAAGGAGCACTTCATCAAACTTTTCGATGAGTACGCCTCGCGCATTCTCGTCGTTCATCGGACCGCCGATCTCTCTCCAACGACGCCGCCCCGGCCGCTGATTCTCATCTTCCATGGCGGTGGACACACAGTCGGCAGTCCAGAAGGAGTGTTGCCTTTGGCGAGGGCGATTCTCAAGTCTCATCCGGCCATCATCATTTGCGCATCATATCGCCTCGCCCCAGAGTTTCCATTCCCGTTTTCCATCCTTGATTCCTGGACGACCTTGGACTGGGCGGCATCAGAGTCGCGTAAATTCAAATCCACAGTCTTGCCCATATGCACCGACCCACGCGTGGGATTTCTCGTGGGCGGCGAGTCTGCTGGCGCTAATTTGGCGGCTGAGCTCTCACATTTGGCCCGGGACCACAGCCTGCTACCAAGGTTGACCGGTCAATTTCTGTGTTGTGGCACATTCATCTCTCCGCAGCATGTTCCTGCAGCCTACAGGGGCAGATATATCTCATGGACGGAAAACAAACATGCTCCATTGCTCGACGAGGATCTTTACGCCATCTTCCGTGACGCTTTCCAGGCGGAGCACGATAGCAAATTGTGGGCAAGCTTTAATCAGCACCACCCGGCTGATAGTGGCTCCGGTAGTGTCAAGTATGGCCATATGGGAATTCCTCGCACCTATTTCCAGGCCTGTGGGCTTGATATGGCGAGGGATGATACCTTGATATACGAGAAGGTCCTGAGGGAGGAGTGTAATATCGAGACCAGATTGGATTTTTATCCAGGCTGGCCCCATTGTTGGTGGGGAATATACCCTAAGCTGGACATGAGCAACAAAAGGATGCAAGATGTTGTGGACGGTGTCGGCTGGCTGTTAGAGAATCACAAGGGAAGATAAGGGTGATCTTGGCACATTTGCGCGCAAAGGCCCCAATCTCTTCCTCCGTTTAACTTTCATCCTGACTGGCTACGAGATCGAGGATCAGACTTTTTGGGCCTGGATATGATCCCCAGGGAGACTGCAAGCAAGGTGTCAGGTAGAAGGGTAAGAACTGTTGCATTTACAATTGGGTCATCGAATTCATTGAGGGCTGAGTACTGGCGAGCGGGCTTTGTTTTCCTCATAGATGGGTGCATTTTGATACATCAACATTCGAACATTTTAGTCGTACTGACGTTGATGCGACTCCATTTCTTGCCCGCACGGATGCATGAGAGAAATTGCATCGGCCAGTAGACGTGATAAAGCCACCACCAAGGCAAGGGGTCCCACATCTCGTACGTTGCATCCTTCCACAGGAAGAGGTGCTCCAAGAAGGATTTGTAACTCGAAATTAGATCTGGGAATGATATATGTAGCGTGAAGAAGGCCAGTGATGGGAGGACCACCATTGTCACGAGATCGTGGCCGACCCAGCAGTATTTGTCGGCTTGTCGCGGGGTTGCCAATTGGCCATGATCCAGACTCGGGGCATCATCGAGTATTGACAGATAGCCACATATCATCCCTGGCGTGCCTCCGAAGAGTGCGACTGCGGTATGGGCCCTCGGGTTACATTCAATAGGATACAGGACGATCTCTCCGCTGGACTCGCTGGGAGCACTGGCCTCGACCATAAAATCGAAAGAAAGGTGGCCAGTAAACCCAGGTCCGCCATTTGATGCGTATTTCTTGGTGAAAGCTAGCATTGCTTGACTGAGTGTAGAATTATGCGGAAGGGCTTCATAATGCATGAGCAACTCTGCGGAAGGACAAGCAACGAAAGCTCTGACTTTTCCGTTGACCACTAGTGAGTGAGTGCAGTATTCTCTGCCTTCGATAAATTGCTGCAAAATCCAAGGTGTTTTCTCGGAGATCTTCAACTTTGCAATATGCTTCGAGGTCTCCTGTGGTGTCGCTTTAGGCAGAAGGGTCATGTCCGCCCGGGCAGAATCATCCATTCTAATGGTTTTCATGATGAACTTTCTGTCCTCAGGCGAGTTTCGGAGGAGGTTCTCCACAGCGCTTCGGCTAGTGATCTCATGAGTCTCTGGTACGTTTAGACCAAGGGATCTGGTGTGCTCAATAAAGCTATGCTTCTCATGAAGCATTTCAGTCGTCTTGAGATCAAATTGGATTGCTTTACAGTTGGTTCTGACTTCGATAATTTCTTTGGCTATCCCATCTTCAGTAGCCGATGCAACACCAGAACAGCTGACCCAGATCTCTATCTTCTCCTTCAGGATGATATCGAGAAGACTTTGAATGTACGGCGACGCCCCATTCTTCACATCCGACCTCCTCAACGGACGAAAAGCTCTCAAGGACTTGGACACTCTGCCGCAGACAAGAGAACCGTTCGCCTCGAAATCAGCGCCAACGACGTTGTGCCCAGCTTCGTAGAATGCTCTCGCTAGGACCAAGCCTTTTGTCATTCCCACTCCCGTCACCAACACGTTCCTGGGTTTGAAGTTCGGGTCTGATCGCGCAATTTTGCGATTTTCCTCGCAAATGTTATGAAAGACATAGCTCAGGAGATAACTAATGACGAATATTGAAGTATCGAGTGGTAGAAACACAATTGAAAAGGCTATGAGAGCGGTGCCTTGAAGGCGATGGAGGAGAACGGAGGAGCTGGCGTCGAGCATGGTCAGGGGTTAACGTCCAATTCCAAAGTCTGCATTTTTGGGTAACAAGGATGAGATCGCCAGGGACAAGGATATTGGTTTTCTTTTCTTCGGAGCCTGTTGGCATTTGAATAATAGAATGCTAAAATGTCGACGTCACAGAAGTTAGATTCTGACGCTCTCGGCCAAGACAGCCCCAGATCGCTTAATGCCATGATGCCGTTTTCTGATTGCGTAGAGAATCCAACCTGTGAGTGTTCATTAATGGTTCCATCTATTGAATATTTCGGTACCTCACATGATCTGCTAGAAGGCCGGCGTTGGGTTTGTTTTCTATATCGGGTTTTACGACGTGTATAAGGAGGTCGCCCGAGTATGAGCGCTCGGAGTGAGAAGCCTAGGGTTGCTTCCGATTTCCAGGAATACATATATGCTAAAATTAGACGACAGTTCACATTTTAGAGGATGTCTCTTCCATGAAATGCCTGTCTGTCTCATCTGAAGAGTTTACTTTCTTTGGAGTAGAGACTCAGGATGTACTTAGGTCTGTGGGGGCAGCTGGGCAGTTTGAAGGGTCGTGGATCAAAGTCTTGACGGAGGAATTACATAATAAGTCTCAGGTCATGGTCATACACTGTTCCTAGTTGTGCTACAACACATTTCACGCGCATTGGATATAAACTGTAACAGTTTTACAAGACTTCCACTCTACCCACACAACGGGTGATCTCAATACCATCCTGTGAAACTGTTAGCCGTGGCCCTGCAAGAATACGAGGATCGGCTCTTACTGGAACACCTGAGGGTTCGAAACTGTTGATTAGCTGACTCTCGTAGACTAGGTATGGATCGCCTTTTCGAGCCTCATCTAGTTTTGCTTCTCCCTCACGCTGAAGATATTGCTTCGCTGTCCTGTCGGCAAACCGGGTGTCAACGCCATTGACTGACTCGGCTGTTTTGACTGCAGTCTTCTTCTGGGTGACATTGCTGCGGACATACTCAAGATATGGCGGATTTCCAGGTTTGATGACATTATCGGCCGCCAAGACAGTTCCAGGCGTAATCAGTTTCAATTCTTCACACAGCTTCAAGTCTGTCGTGTAGGCAGGCTTGTAGTGATCCAGGAACATAAGATCAATCCGGGATAAGGAGCCATTCTCATATAGGCGCTTGATTGAGGTATCGCTTGACCCGACAATAACCTTGACAGTGTCGCTCAAGCCCGCGAGGTCGACGAGAGACGCAATAACAGCTGCAAATTCGGGATTTCTCTCGAGACTGAGATACCTCTCACCACCAGCTTTGCGTACAGCTTCCCCGAAGAGAATGCACGAATAGCCAACATAGCCACCAAGTTCAACCATGACTTTTGGTTTGACTTTGGCAATTAGATCTGCCACAATGCGGCCCTTGTCTTCACCGACATTCATGAGATATCTCTGGTTTCTAGCATACTCGTCGATAGCGGCAAGAACTTTTGCTGGGGAGCCCCTGATTTCGCCAACGTCTGGCTTGTTGTAGACGAAGTGCAGCAAGTCGATCTCGCGACCGTCGTCAAACTTTGGGGTGATTAGTTAGGATAAACCAGCGGAATTTGAAGAACCCGTACAAATGTCTCTTCTTGCTCCTGATACTTCTTGCTGGGGTCAAAATCTGCCATTCTGGACTGTGGGATAATCAAGAGGTTCACAGGTCCAACGAGAACGTCTTTGTGCCATTTCCTTTGCGGTGGCCTGCAGAGCACGCTGCTAAAGGATCAAGTGGGTCTAAAGTTGAAATCGCACCCACTTCGATTAAATCTACGGATAATTGATCCCCACGAAGTCAGGGTAAGGCTAGGTGGGCCGGGCTCTTCGATCATGATGAAAGGGGATCGACTCTCACGGATAGGCATCCAACCAGTGGGAAGACGAGATCTCCTGGATTCAGGGACCGATGCTGGATCTCCTGGGGTGCCCGTGGGGCGCCGAACTGCAGCGTGTTATAACTAGCCCATCTACGTGCGCCTGGAAATGCATGGGTGAATTCTGAGTCTATGAAATCTGGCCTATACTTCGGCATGTGAAATCGGACTATTGGTATTTCTGGAAGGGGAGTTTGGTTGATGATTCGATGATTTGGAACCACCAATCAAGGAGTGTGTGCTAGTTCTTTTTCAGACTAGCGTGTATCTTTGTCCAACCTCTTCGTGGACCATGTCTCTGAATTGTTTTCTGTCTCCCATTAACATCACCAGGACCACAAAGCTGAGCGATAAGCTACTCTTTCGTCATCACTGGACAGAGACAGATTATTTCACAGCTTGTGTCTAACCGCCTGAGGGCATTGATCGGCTCTTGTCTAGCCTCCAGCTAGGGTCAGCCCTAAGCATAATGTTTGGGTCAGTGTTCCTCATTCAGCTAAACCCAATCTACCCGAACATCACGCTAGAATCTCGCATTTTATATCAATCTGACGCAATTTTTCTATCACCGCAAGCATCAAACACGTTTCCGACACGGCTCCATGTTGATGGGAATCCCGGCTCATTCACCTTTGTTCCTTCCATCGCCGGGTTGTCGGACTGTCTGTGGCGTGCCTGAACACAAGAATTCCACTTTGTGGGTACCGCAACATATACTGGTAATTCTAGAGTCGAGGATACACCGCCAGTGTACTACATCATGACTGCATTTGGCCTGAATTCTAAAATGATGCTATTTTTGCTTTCGGCTATCGCTAAGGTAGGATTGATGAGAATCCCATCATGAGCCATGGGCCATTGATTGGAGGCTAGATCTCGCTTTCTCAGCCCCACTGGAAAAAAATCTTGATAGGTACTACTGATGCCATGTACCCATTCATGAAATGACGGGTTCAAATGGGCAACACACAACATGCACGGTCGATGGTGGATGTTTCACGAGTCTACTTGTGTTTTCGTGGTGACGAGTCCATGAATTCCACTCTATATCAAGCGAATTTCCCTCCAAGAGCCGCTGCTGTCCCCTCTGTTTCCGTCCGCCATTCTAACCTATAGTCCTTGACGCCTTCCTTCTTGTCATATTCCACATCCACATTCACATTTCACTATGTCAGATCTCAAGGCAACAGTTGCCGAAACAGCGGCTGGCTTTGATGTCAGAGGCTGTGAGGAGATCAACTACGGCTTCACCTTCATCGATGGTGTCTTCGACACCAAGCACAACCAGCTTGCTGAATGCTATCAAAAATGGGGCCGATGCCTTGCCGTCATGGACTACAACATCTTCTCTGTGTATGGAGAACAAGTGCAACGATATTTCGATTATTATAATATTGACCTTGATGTGCATAAAACTATGATTGGAGAGAAAGCCAAGTCGATCCACACTTTCCTAAGCATCGTTGATTCAATGAACAAGTTCGGAATTTATAGAAAGGTAAGTTCGACAGGTACCATCTGAAAAGATTGTCGCTGGCTGACACATTCTCAGGAACCTGTTCTCGTCATTGGCGGTGGACTTGTTACTGACGTTGCTGGGTAAAAGCTACCACTTGCCAAAGATGACCTCAAGGCACTCTGGCCCATACACTGTTCTTGTTGTAGCCCTACTGCCTGGAATTGTAACTAACTTGTTAATCCGCAGCTTTGCATGCGCCGCGTATCGCAGGAACACCAATTATATTCGAGTACCAACCACAGTCATCGGTCTGATCGACGCATCTGTCTCGATCAAAGTTGCTGTAAACTATGGCAACTACAAAAACCGTCTCGGTGCTTATCACGCACCTATGCAGACATTCTTAGACTTCACTTTCCTTCGAACTCTCCCCGAAGCACAGATCCGCAACGGCTTTGCTGAGCTCATCAAAATTTCGACCTGTGCCCATCTTCCCACATTCGAACTCCTTGACAAATATTGTGAGGCGCTCATAGGGACTGGATTCGGTCGATGTGATGGTGCCGCAGAAGAAGTTCGAGATGCTGCAGACGTCATCAATCGGAACGGAATTCATGAAATGCTCAAATTGGAGACCCCAAATCTTCATGAACTTGGTCTGGACCGAGTAATTGCTTATGGCCATACGTAGGTTTCGACTACTCCCACTTCATGCATTTTATTGATTTCCTAGGTGGTCGCCACTCCATGAACTTGTCCCAGAAGTCCCGCTTCGACATGGTCATGCTATCTCTATAGACATGGCCTATTCTGCAACACTGGCCAACATGCGTGGTCTGCTCAGTGACGAGGAACACAAGAGATTATTGAACCTCTTTTCCAGAGCTGGACTCTCAATGGATCATCATCAATTCGATGAAGACATTCTTGAGAAGGCAACACACGCAATTCTGAGAACCCGTGATGGCAAGCTTCGCGCTGCCGTCCCTAGTCCCATCGGGCAATGTGTGTTCTTGAACGACGTTTCTACGGATGAAATGTTCGCTGCTCTCAAGGTTCACAAGGCCTTCATGAAAGGTTATCCGCGGAACGGAGAGGGTCTCGAAGCATTCGTTGATGCCAGCGACACTGGCTATACTGTGAACGGCCAGCCTGCCGAGCAGAATGGCATTTCTGATGGTCTCAAAAAAATCAATGTGCTTAATGACGATACCAAGACCAATGGTGTAGGAAGCAATGGGTACAACGGAATAAAAGGCAAGAAGACTAATGGCGTCTCGCAGGCAATCAAGCATGCGTCTGGCCCAGAAGGAGTGGATGGTCTTCAAAATGGTGCGACAGACGTGATATCAGAGAAGGTTAACGGCTTGGTTAATGGTAAACCCAATGGTGTCACGAATGGAGTCAATGGTCATACCAATGGCAATGGCATGACAAATGGCTACAGCAACGGTCTTCATTAGAAGGAGGTGAAAGGCTACGGAGACAGGATTTTGAAAAGCGCATTATAATAGAATGGCTATATAAGACGCGGCGTAGATTGTGATGTAGTAGTTTGAAGTACAATAAAACCATGGCTGGCGGAAAGGAGACGCTTGTTACGAGGAATATTATTGTCAAACATGTCTTGGGCCTGCTGTTGGCATAAACACTCCATCAATGAACCAGCCACAACAAGAATTTCGTAGCCTGCACAATTCCGTGTGAATCATATTCAAAGATGATGATGTCAGACATCAATTTCTTGCTCAGTCAACTACCTCGAAAAGTGACCCGGGCCAGGTTAGAATGATTAAATCTTTCAAACCTGAAGGTGGCTTTCCCACTCAACGCTCAACATCCGCTTTCCTGGAAATAAGAGCCTACCTCATTATTATCACGGAGTACTGCTTTGAATTTTGTGTCGATAGGAAAGAAAAGGAAAACGGAGCCTTGGTTGGTCGCATCATTCGCACCAACGCAGGGAGATCAAAGTGCCTGGAGAATCGAGAGATTTGAGGTGTGAGTAGTGACGGCAATGGAACCAAACTACTTCACTTGTACACTTGGACAAGCTAAGATGCTTGGACAGCGCAAACCATTCCGGACCGTCACCGAACTGGTCGACATCAAGGCTGAAGAAGAGAGTGATACTCCAGCGGTCGGATTGTATGCGCCCAGATCGACGGCTGAACAGAATTGGAAAATCCAAGTCCTAACCTTCCGGGATATCCAACGTGGCTCTGCCATCGTGGCAGCTGCGATTGCAAAGAATCTGTATTCGTCTGTCGGCGAAACAGTAGCCTTGCTCTGTCCTAGCTCACCTGGATTTCTGTTCACCTGGCTAGCTTTGATGAGACTTGGATATTCAGTTCTGCTGATCGCACCGCAATGCTCTCCCTCTGCTGTTTCATATCTATGCAAGACATGTGGGGTTCGAGACCTTATATACGATGACATATATGGAGACCTAGCACGGGGCACATTGTCCGAGTGCCCTGGTGGCACTGCTGCGTTCCATCTGGTTTCCCTTCCAATTGCTGCACAGGATATGATAGATGTCATTAATGGTTCAGCAGCAAGTCCTTCCTTTCCTTCTGCTACAGTCCACGAAAACGACACTGCATATTTGCATCACACATCTGGGACATCCAGCGGAGTACCAAAGCCAATTTCGCAAAGCCATCGGGCAGCAGTTGGACTCTTGCCTGTGCTCGATGGAAGCCAAGCAGCCACGTTGACGACAACACCCCTCTACCACGGTGGAATTGCAGACCTGTTCCGGGCATGGTCTAGCAACGCATTGATATGGCTCTTTCCGGGGAAGGAGCTTCCAATTACGGCTAACAATGTGTGCAAATGTTTGGACATTGCAATGAAGTACGCCAAGCAGGGCTCATGTCCGACTGTAAGATATTTCTCGTCTGTTCCATATGTACTCCAAATGATGGCGAGTGATCACGAGGGACTGAAGTATCTTCGGTGTATGGACATTGTCGGGGTCGGAGGCGCGGCCTTACCATCCAAGGTAGGCATTATGCTGGTTGAGCAAGGAGTTAACCTAATATCAAGATTCGGAAGTGCGGAATGTGGTTTTCTGATGTCTTCGCATCGTGAATATTGCAAGGATAGGGAGTGGGAATACCTCAGATCCGCACCAGGGGGAGAGTTTCTTCATTTCGAGGCCAGAGAAGATGGTCTTTCGGAACTTGTGATTCAGCAAGGGTGGCCTCATATGGCGAAAAACAACCGAGAAGATGGCTCATATGCGACGTCAGACTTGTTCATGCCACATTCATCTATTCCAGATGCATGGCGATACCATTCAAGGTCGGACTCGCAGTTGACATTGATAACTGGCAAAAAGTTCGATCCTGCACCACTCGAAGGTGCAATCAAAGCGTCCTCAACTCTCCTTGCAGAGGTACTCATCTTTGGCAACAGCAAGCCTTATGCAGGTGCTCTACTGTTTCGATCGCACAAAGCATCATCAAAACCAGATAATGAAATCGTGGACAAGATTGCCCCTTGTGTTGAGAAGCTGAACAATGAAAGCCAGAGCCATGCCAAAATATCGCGAAACATGCTTATTCCCCTGGCTTACGAAGAGACGGCGCTACAGAAAAGCAGCAAAGGCACGATTCTTCGTTCTCAAGCCGAGAAGCAGTATGCCAAAGAAATTGAAGAGGCATACAATGCTAAGCTACCATTTGATGACCTGAAGACTGCAGATGCTGAGGTAACACAAGCAATTCGCGAAATCGTTATATCAGCTGTCGGTAAGGACAATGGAGATTGTCTGACAGACGACACCGATCTCTTTTCCTACGGAGCAGATTCTGTGGCTTGCATTCAAATACGGCACGGATTAATGCGCTTTGTTCCAGGGGTCAAAGCCTTGCCGGCTAGCGTGGTTGAGGAATCTGGAACAATCGCGCGCCTCTCCGATTTCATCATCCGCTTGCGCTTGGGACAAGATGTACAAGAGGAAGCCGACCAAGTGCAACTGATGTCCGATCTGGTGAATCGATGCAGCGCTGGATTTTCGGAGCGAGGTGTGACTTCTGCTACGAGCCCACCAAATGAAAATCAACCGCTCAGTGGACTGACAATCCTCCTGACCGGCCCAACAGGGTCCCTGGGGTCTCATGTTCTCCATAAGATACTGCAAGACACAAGAGTTGGGCAGATATACCTCCTCGTTCGAGGCGCAAGCACACATGCGGTCCGCGAGCGAGTCACTAAGGCACTCTCAAGCCGCAGCCTCAGCATCCCTTCCAACTTCGATTCCAAAACGACAATTCTCCCCTGCAAGCTCTCTTCGCCAAATCTTGGCCTGGACGCGCCCAAATACGCGCAACTTGCCAATAGCATCGACCTTATCCTCCACCTAGCATGGAGCGTGAACTTCCTGGTCTCTCTCCGCAGCATAGCAAGCACCCACCTGTCAGGCCTTCAGAATCTGTTGAATCTTGCTCTTGCGTCCACCAACAAACCACCACCGCGATTCATGTTCTGCTCTAGTGTAGCAGCAGTCTCGAACTTCCACCATACCGCCCCTCTAGACGCCAGCATTCCAGAACACTTCATCGTCGACCCTCGTGTCTCCGGGCGAACAGGCTACGCGCGCTCGAAATGGGTTGGCGAGGCCATCTGTGCTGAAGCCCACAAGTCGACGCGTCTTAGAGGCCGCATATCAGTCGCACGCGTGGGTCAACTATCTGGCACGACGGACACAGGCGTCTGGAGTAAATCCGAGGCGTACCCGCTGCTCCTATCCAGCGCGAAGGTCACTGGTGTGCTGCCTGACCTCAAACATGAGATCTTGAACTGGCTACCAGTCGATACCGCTGCGAAGGCGTTCATAGAAGCATCGCTATCACCTCACGGCGACGGCACGTCGGTGGGAAGCACGGCCTCCCGAACTAAATCACGCAGCGACGCAGAAGTACAAGAAATGCCAGTCCACCACGTCCTCAACCCCGACATGACAGTGCGTTGGTCCGACCTCGTCAGGTGGCTTGCCCCGCACGCCGAATTCAAAGTCGTGCCGATGGACGAATGGTTGGCGAAACTCACGGCGCTGCAGGACGACGACAGGACGAAGAATCACCCGGCCCTCCGCCTGCTGGAATTCTGGAGAAAGGCATATGGATCCGTGCCCGGTGACGTCGGCGCATGTACGAGGGATGATGAAGAGGAGCAGGGACAAGGTAAGCAGGCAGCTGAAGTACTAAAGGGAGAGGCCAGGTATCAGATGGAAGAGACTTTTCAGGTGATGCCAGTTTTGGAGTCTGCTTCTGGACTTATGGATGAAACATATGTGTTGAGGTTGTGGGACTGGGTTCAAGCGGAGTTGTGATTTGTTCGATAGCGACTCTGTGTAGTGGTGCTGGATCCTATGTTTTAAATGGCTGTGTATTGAGAAAACCAATTCGTGAACTATGGTGTGGTATTTGGACGACTTTTGCGTCCAGTTTTTTGTTACATATGCAGATGCATGCTCCCTATACAAATTTGCCACCGGCTCCTCACTCTAAAAAGGAGTTTTATAGCCATCACTAATGATCCCTGGGCCTGAAACCCAAAGAACCTCAACGTGAAGCCCCTTGTATCCCATTTCCCTAGAACCTCCTGCCCACTCCAGTGGTGCACGTGCATACGGCCTGAAGATATTCCAGAACAGATGATTCGGTCCTGGCACAGAACGGAGATGAAAGTAGCTCTTACGATAGCGTATGCGTATCTGGGTCCTTTGCATCTCTCGTTGTTGGCGAAATCTATGCCTTCGAAGCGATCGCCTTTGTACGAGCCTTGATTGTCATCTCATAGAAAACATCTTTGAAAGCAAAGAGGAATGCAGCAGTCAAAACGCTTTGGCTGATCTTGGGGGCAATGCCTGCAAATCTCGTTAGTGCGATGGAAACCGAAGTTTTGAAGATGAAGCGCGACTAACCTCTGTACAGCCCTGCGTATCCCTCGTCGTTTACAATTTTGCTCAGACTTGCCAACATGCCCTCCGACTTGGCACCTTTTCCAGCCACGTGGGCACGAGACTTTACCGTAAGATAAGGATATGTAATTGAAGTGGCTAGAAGCTTAGTGAGGGCTCCAAGATAAAAGGCGTCTCGAGGGCCCACTTTTCTGCGAGTCTCGATGAAGTTGCGGGCCTGTTCATAAAGGCCATATTGAATGATTGGGTTGCTGACCAGCACCAAAGCCGGTAGAACTCCAGAGAATAATGCTGAAGGGCCTTCCTCCTTGAGAAGCTTCAGCAGCGTCCCAATGGTAGTGGGCTTCCGAACAAGTCCCTTCTCACCACCAGGAAGGGTTTCTTCGCTCTCGTTCTTCCGGGCGGTCATTCTCGTGTTGACGACCCAGATAGGGTTGGTAAGCAAGACAGTAGCGGAACCTGCAATGGCGCCTGCCGCAATACCCTCGAGTGTGGTAAGTTTCTTGCTTGCACGGCCTGCCTTCAAGGCTGCATTCTCAAAGAAAGACTTTGTCCACTCGTACCAGTAATAATAGACGAAGTTTGTGACCGAGATGCCGAACAACGCGCTATCAAGGCCTGCATAGAGCCCACTGATGCCTTCTCGATTTATGATATGCCTGATGGCTTCAAGAGTTGAGGTATCGGCTCTTTTAGACTCGACCTGCGCACGCGTGGATAGGGTGATCAAAGGATAGGTCAGAGTCATCGCAACAAGACCACCACCGGCGCCAGCCAATGCATGGGCAATATTGTCGCTTTGCTGAGCTGCGGTGGATGCGGCAGTTCCAGCGCCGGCGGTCATGGAGGTTCGGCTGTCAAGGTCGCCCTCTGTGGGCGAGGGCGCGATGTCCTTTGTCTGCGACATGGTGAGTAGGTGTCTGACTGGGCAGTTGAGTTCAGATTGGAGAGTAATATGGTCAAGGAGGGGTGGCCGAGTGTTGGAAAGGTGCAATGGATCGAGGAGCAGGAGGGAAAGTCACGGAAAGGAGAAGGAAAAAAGACAAGAGGTGTCGATAGGTGCCCGCTCTTGTTATTGCGTAGGAGAGCAAGACATGTGCAGGGAATAAGGAATAAGGAATGAATGGAGAAGCGTGTTGAAGGAGAATCTCGGGAATCTTCGCAGTTTGGAGATGGAGTCGGGTAGTGGCATAAACGGCAGGAACCAGCAGCACCACCACCAAGTGACAGCCGCCATACGGCAAGAACGACTGTCATGTTCAGGACAACCTCGGCATCCATGTCTTGGCGCCGAGGCTCCCTTCCACTTTGGAGAGGCACGTTTCAAGCCCAATCCGAAGCTGATTTCTCTGAAACATGTCAACTCAGCATTGCTAATTTGCTACCTTTCAATTATTCCATTATTTACTGCGTGCACCGAAGTTTCCATTTCTAGCTATAGCCGCTTTATTGCCATTTCCCAGTATGACACGCTCCTTCTCCTGAGTGACCGTTCCTGGGACGCTCCTGCCTGCGATCCTGCCTGCGGTCCCTTTGATTCACGTGACAAGAGTGCATCCACGTGACCATCCCTAATGTCAAGCATTCCGAATGAAGGCTATCTGCACGACGTCCAGTTCCGAATAAGGATGTCTTTTCCTTACCAGACAAAACCTTTTCCTTTATCGAGTCTTCTTCGTCGCGGCTGCTGATAGTGGAGCTGGATTTCTACCCTGTCGTTGCTGGTAAAGGATATATCCAAAGTAGACAGCAGCCACTGTTCCAAGGAGGAAGAAGTTGCCTGTACGAGCTGTCAGTCGCAGGCTCCGGGCCTTTCTATCGCGAAGCGAGCACTTACCGATGATAAACCCAAGAACACCTTCTGTCATATTGAACACGCCCTTGAAAATGCCAACGACCGCGTTGAACGCTCCCTCAAAGACGTGGATGATGGTTATGAATATTTCCTTGACGATCTCCACAATCGAGGCGAACAGATCACCAACGCCTTTCGCAATGTCCGACATGATGTTTTTGTGGTAACGTTAATGGTCGTATGAGTTTCTGGTCGTTCTGATTGACGACTTGTTCTTGTAGTGGGGGTTGAAAACAATACCGGTAGGCCCTGCGGTTGCGAGGCACAGTCACACGAGCCTGATGGCAATATTTATGCGCCCCCCTCTCTACCACAGCCATCGTCATTTCGCAAACAGCGTCACACATCGCGACTCCCTCGAATGGCCTTTGTGAACGCCCATCTCAGGCCCTGTGCTTTGTTTGGTGTGACGTCACGCCACTGATAGTTCCTGTTTTTGTGGCTTGACAGCCCCTTCTACTGGTAGTTGGTCACTAGGGTGCTCGATCTTGTGGCGCGTGTCGTAGACACATGAATTATTGATGGCAATGTATGGACGGCACTTCGTCAAGACGTAATGGGGCTCTGCGCTGAGAAGCTCACGCAGAACCCGGATTGAGGCCAGGAATCACGTGCGTGACAGAAAGTGCATGAGCGTGGTGCACCGTAGCGATGATACTGTCGCGTATAGACACCATATCAACATGGACTTGGAAAATAAAAAAGTCAATAGTGTCTTATGTCGACATCACAACATACCTTATCAAGATCGAATATAATGCCTCGGAGAAGGTGAGTCTACAGCTTGAAGCTACGAGCGACGGTGCAATAATGGCATTCTCGTGCATCCAACCCTTCCAGTATGTCGCTCTGCGACTCCCAAACAACTCTGTAAAAGTCGAACAAATAATGCCCAACACGTAGGTTCCAGCTCAAGATCTGTGGCACAACAGATATCAGCCAACGGCTTTGGGAGCTGTCGCTGACTCTGTTACAAGGATCATAAATCTCGGGAAATACGGCTCGTTTCATACCAATCAAATTCTTGGTCGTCCGTACAATCTGACTTTCGAGATCCTCGATCGATCTGAAAGTCGCGAGGGTAGAGAGCTGAGGGTAGTTCCCGCAGCCGAGTTACATGCTGTTGCTTTGGTAGAAGAAGCTGAGACTGACGGGGCGTCCACCCCAATCACGGGAGCCGACGACACTGGTACATCAACTCCTTTCAAATCGAATGTCAACATACATGACAATCCTCTAAATCAGAAGCTCACAATGTCTGAAATTGAAGCATTGAAGCAAGAAAGTATAGGGAGTGGCAAGGATTTGATCGACAAGATCATGCAATCCCACTCCACAATAGACCAAAAGACCGCATTTTCTCTCGCCAAATACTCCCTGAGGAAGCACCAAAAATACATGAAATGGTTCACACCGTTACCGCTGGATGTTACGAACTTATTAGACTGGCTCCTGGGCGACAAAGATCCCAGCAAGATCATGGAGATAAGGAACGAGACTTTAGGCTTGATTGGCTGTTGGGCTAATGTTCATTTCGCTGGACATGATACCAGTATGCTACCACGAATGGATCTATCAGGTCGGTATCTAGTTGTCGATGATACAGGTGGTCTAGTGCTTTCAGCAGTGGCGGAAAGAATGGGGATATTGCACCAAACACTGCTCGCGGGGGACCTACAAGAGTCTGCTGAGGACAACCTGGATGATGAGGCTGAGCAGGATGAGGCTGAGCAGGATGAGCTATCCTTGCCACACAAGCCACGGAAGCATCATGTTGAACTTACAGCCATGAGCGCGACCTCAAATTCCATCACCCTAATTCATGCGAACCAACAGCCCAACCTTAATTTGTTACGATACTTCAACTTCGATACAAACTCACCGACACCGTCACACCCTCTCTACACCAGCCTCAGAACGCTCTCATGGCTGCAACTAGTGGATCCGGAATCTGACCAAGCCTATCAAGAACCCGAGTTCATGTCTCCGGAAGAACTCGCTAATGCAAAACCCAACCGAAGAAGCACATACTACCGCAAACGGCGTCGGTGGGAGCGAACCAAGAAAGTGGTCGATGAGACTCGAGCAGGTGGCTTCAGTGGACTTGTCGTCGCTACATTCACCGACCCGGTCTCAGTCTTGGGCCACCTTGTTCCCCTCTTAGGCGGCGGTAGCCAGATAGTGGTGTATTCTCCACAGGTTGAGCCCTTGGCAGAGCTGGCAGACTACTATTCTACGGCAAGGAGAACGGCGTTTCTGAATACGCCGAAGGAAGACAGGGTCGTTCCATCCAAGAACTTTCCGCTCGATCCGACGTTGCTTCTGCCTCCGATGGTGCAGACGTCACGAGTAAGGAAATGGCAGGTGCTGCCTGGACGGACACATCCACTAATGAGCGGAAGAGGTGGTGCCGAGGGTTATGTTTTTGTGGCAACAAGAGTATTGCCTGCGGATGGCAAGGTTCAGGCCAGAGGAAGACCGCCACGCAATAAGAAACCCAAAATGCAGGACACCGATAGTCTCCAGGCGGAGAGTGATACTCCATCGATATCGAAGGAGTCTAGGATCCAGAGTCACGTGAATCAGCTGGACGAGGATATCACGATGGCTGAAGTATTGGGGGCTCAAGGGGAGAAGGAGATTGAGACAGAAGCCTAGGACCAAGTACCACGAAAAAACGCACCATGATCAGACATTCCATGTTCGTTGCAGCTCGCAATTCTCGCTTTTTGTATTTGTGAATCGTCTAATAGTCAAAGGAGCATCACCACCAAATTGTCTCTCCGTCGTCTATAACCCCTTCCCCATGAATTTCCTCTTCGTAAAGCTCAACCACCACTTACTCGGGCCAACACCGCCCTCGTACAATCTCGCATGCAACCTGACAGCCAACTCCTGTCGCACCTGGCTGAGATAGCTCCGCAGCGCCTCCGCCTCATTCCGATCCCTAGGCGCCTCAAAAGCCTGGTTCAGAGGGAAGCCCGGCTCGCCGGGAAGACTGAATTGTTCCAGAGCACCGTTGATCAAAGCCTTTTCAGCCGACTTCGAGTCCATGTGCGGCTTCACTTTCGTCAGACAGTCTGAGATGAATAGGATGCCATAGATCAGCATGCGGTCTGCGGGGCCTTTGATTTCGAAATTGCGGAAGAAAGTGTTCGCGCGGAATAGAGAGAGGATTTCGTCCAGACAGTCGTAGGACTCGGAGTCCGGGTCGACGTCCAGTGGGTTGGTGCCGGCCGGGAGTTGCGGGAGAGTGAACGCTGGTCCCCGTGTCTTTGTGCGCAGCGGGAGGAGTGGGAAGTTTCCTGATCAGATGTCTTAGTGTCTAGACATATGTTGGACTTTCTGTGAGCGACCCCTTACCTATCGTCTGTACGCCCTGGTCTCCCAGGAAGATTGAATGGTATGCCTAGGTGGGGGTGTCAGCGACATGATCTTCGAGGCCGGCTGCAGAGAAATCTGCCTACCGGCATGTTGGGCTTTGTCTAGTGCCTGCAGTTTGCGAGGGCACTTGTACCGTAGAGTGAAGTCGTGACCTATCTGCCCATACTGCAGGAAGGCGATTAAGCAATACACAACGTCCTAGTGTGCAGCCCTTCTGACGCATATCAAAGCCTCAAGTCCGGCATTGCGTCGACGGCTTGGCATGTTTGACAATTACGTAAGATACGGCGGATCACAGGGACGCCTCTCACAGCACCTGCGTCCAGCTTCGTTTCATCTTGTGACGTACTTTCATAAACGTTTGGTTTGGGATACACGACCATCAGAAACATCACATCAAGTAGCAGGCCATGGTGAGGTGCCCCATTTGCTGAAACATTTGATGTTTCGAAGCTCCTTAAGAGGGCACTGATTGCGCACGGTGCCAACCTCACCATTCACGGCATTGGCTTGGTCCGAACGTTCTTGAGAAACTTCTGGTTCAAAAATGCTTCACCTCAGGCCATGACTTCATCCACAAGGCTTACATTCTAAGATGGAAGAATGCACGGATATGAAACTTGCAGCGAGATCACAATCATAGACTCACAGAAATCACATTTTCCCAGAGCGCCCTACCATGGCATACAATCGTGATATCGTGCTTACAAGACCCCAGAACTCCTGCAGTGCTTCTTTCCAAGAAACATCTCGCTGCCAACCAAGTGAGAGTCGACCAACTTACCCATGCCGTGTTTCCGGACCTCTCAAGAAGCCTCGTCCGTTCAGGCGACGCCGACCTTTCCAACAACAAAGTCAACAGCTTCGTCTGCCCGAACTCCGTAAGTGAGATGAGCTGGCAAGATGAGAAGAGAGCCGCTGCAAACAGCATCGCCGGCGTTACAGATGATCAATGTCTTCGCCGGATCAAAATTAGGGATCTGTTCGTTGTCTTGCTCGTTTTGTGTGTCGCCAAAGGTAACCGCTGCAACCATTTGATCTTTCACGTTTTGTGGAAGATCTTCAACTGCACGGTGAACGAGTGCTGCTCCTTGACTATTGATTGCCTTATATTAGTGCTCTATTCCTCAAACCTGGGCGGGAGACTGACCTATAGCCACTAGCCACCAAAGCGGAATCCGGGCATTGCGCGGCAGCTTGAGTCAAAAAGTCGGCCATTGTTCGGATGCCGCCTGGGTCAGCACCGCCTGGTACGAGGTTACCAGCGATAGCTGCCGGATAATCAATACCCTGTATCGCAACGTTCGCATCGCCGAGTGAGTCCTTCAAGCCATTTGCAAAAGGTGGCCCAACAATACTCCCCTTTATCATACGGTCAGATATACATCTCGAGACGGTGCTCTGAACCAGTCAACTAACCATATTACCACCCTCAGTGGTTCCTCTGGCGAAGAATACAATCGTATCACGACAACCGCCCTCCACAAACTCGTCTGCATTGAGCCGAATAGTTTGACGTTTTTCAATAGGCCCTGCAGCGACCAGCGCTGTGAGAAATGGAAGAATCAGAGCGAAGTGCATGGCTGAAAGTTGAAGGAATGGAAAGACCGTTTAACCGTCGAACGTTGGCCGCTGAGTTGGAAAAGAAAGACCTGAAACGATTGATTGCAGAGTTGCCTGACAGATCATAACCATACGCGTTCTTTGCATTGATTATATAGCTGTCAACGCCCCCTTTGATATCTCGATCCTCTGAACGATTTGAGTTTTGGCTCACAGCCAGTCTCGAAATCCGACCACTCAAAGCTATTCTCAATACTTGAAGGCCGAGGCTCTCCTTCTAGGTGTTGGTCTTAGCAAACCTACAACAGTCTCACGACCGTAGCCAAGCATGGCACCTGCGGCAAACTCAGCAAGGATCAAGGCTGTAAAGCTGCGGGATCGTTAGGTCAGTTTGCTCGTCAACCATTTTTAGTAGGCGAACACCATAGGAATGCGGATGTGGAACCATTGGTCTCGTGAAAGGCTCCCAATTAGGTATGCCGCCATACCAGGTGGTTGGATAAGAGACGTCTTGGTACCATATGAGGCAATATACGAGGAGCGCCCCAGAATTTTCATTTGAAAGACTTGGAGGCAGGGGTAGCCCAGCCCTGTGTGATACCCTGGTCGTATCAGAAGCGAAACGATCCGCGAGTCCACTAAGACTCGCTATTCCATACCTCGGTAAGCTACAAGACTGGATATTTAGTCTCTCTTTCTTAACACTTAAGCAAGGCATGGGCTGATCAGGGGACTAAGCAAGTCATCTTTAACTCCGATGCGCCACTCCCGCCTATAGTTGCTGAGGAGTTTTGCCCATCCTAAAGCAGTAGCCCCCGTCAGGGAACATGAAATTCAAGATGTTATGTGTATCTACTTGCATTTGAAGGCAGGGCTGGCTTACCATGAAACAGTCAATCTCTGCCAAAGTTGTATTGGCTTCCGTCGGGACTTCGATCATGGAGAAGGAGGGGCAGAGCTGGAGTTTCCGAAATGAGAGATTTCGTCGCACCAAACCGTGGATTCAGGTGGGTTAAGTCACGGGAGCAGGCACACCTTCAAAGAAAAGCACAAGCATTTTACAACAAATACTTGTCACCGCGGTATACTCGCATTAGACTCCCTAAGATATCTGCGCTAACATGCATCGCTTACTCAAGTTGCTCTTCCTCTACCCAGTCTCCAATATAAATCTTAATAGCGCCAGACCTTCGATCAGCCGACGAAGTGAGTGCATCAACCGCAATTTCCCGGGAGAAACGACGGGTCCCAAGCTTCTTGAGGTCCTTGTAGCCACGGGATAAGAGCTTTGTGGCTTTGGGTCCTGTGTGATGATAACGGTTGATGCACGTGAGGTCAATCTGGTGCTCAAGGTTAGCTAGATGTGCCGCTCAAAGCCAGGGGCGAAGAAGCAAGAATGATCACGTCTTCATACGCAAACATACCTCAGCAAGTGACATATGCATAAACGGAAGGAGGTCCATGGTCGGCCTCCCAACACCTACAGCCATCACCTCCCCTCTCGCGCGTGGCAGATATGCCGCAGTAATGACGCTGCTCTGAACGCCTGTACACTCGAACACGACCCGTAGCTGCTCTCCACTGTGTGATTTGATGGTTTCAATGACCTGACTTGTAATACCTTGAGATTCTGCCCTAGGCGAAGTCAGGAATGTCTCACAATGTGGAGCAAACACTTTCGCGAATTCGAGCCGATTGCTGTCGACGTCTGCGACGATTATTGGATATGCACCTGAGGCTCTTGCAACGGCCGCGGCGATCAATCCGATGGGTCCTGCGCCGCAAATGACCGTCGTCTGGTCCGATGCACGGGGCTTCGCTCGAATGCATGAAGCACCACACCCAGAGGCTCCAGTAAGGCCCCGTGCGTATAGGACAGATATTCTGGAACCTTATGAAGAAGCCGTGAGTCGTGGACAAAGACAGATCGGAAAAAGCCATTGTAAGGCGGCGCTCCGGTAAATCTGACTTCAGCGCACAGATTGTAGATGCCGGTCGAACATTCGTGGCTTTTTCCGCAGGGCAAGCCGGGTTCGATAGCAACGCGGTTCCCTTTCCGAGTCTGACTCACGTTCTCGCCGGTCCAAACCACGACGCCTGCCCCTTCATAACCAAGCGCATAGCCTTCGCGGACTTCAAGTGTGCCTGTCGCTACTAACTTTCAACAGTGGACATCAGATCTAGCAAAGACCGGGTTAGCGAGAACCGTAGACCAACACCCATTGGAGTCGAGAGAAGGATGCAGACAGCTTACCTGCAGATGTCATTAGAACGAACACGGACAACACAGTCATCAGGGCCAGGCTGGAACTCAGGAGACTGTTCGAGGTAGATCTCATGGTTCTCATTGGTGTATAAGCGAGGATTTGAGCAGAACTGTTTCATCTTTGAAACGCAGTCAGAGACTTGATTGATGCAAAAGCAAAAGATAATCCTCAACCAGGCTTATTTATGATGAGTGAAGTCATGATCTTTATCATGTTAGGCTGTACCTTAGCCTGGGTGGCATCAATTAACGCGATTGGTACGGTACCTTCTATAGCAAGAATACAATTGCAACCGTATCGAAGGTGGCAGTTCCAGGCGCTGCGCTTCCACATTCCTCTCCTGACATCCAAGTCGGCCTTATAACACCAAGTGGGGTTGCTGTATGGCCGGCTGTGAAGGCAAATTTCTACATTTCGTTGCTAGGGCGGGGTAGCGGCTAGAAACACATTCAGCCTTATCATATACAAGTCGGTTCAGAGCCTACAAGTAAGTAGGGACCTAAGAAGATATTTAGGCTTATCTCAGAACTATACTGGTGTCCCTAATGTTAGTCAAGCTCGTAGACTATCTTTTTGGCCGAAATTTTGCCATTGTGGTGCATCTGAAAGCCCTTTGGAATTGATTCAAAACCATTCAAGATTGGGCTTGACCTTGTCTTCCCCAATCCATTGAGGCAGATTTTCGAACGATTCACTCGCCAATTCATGGTCTGCTTTGGAGGGCTGTCGAATACGTTAGTATGTGCGTACCATGTCTCGAAAGAGGATAAGTATGCGCACCGGCCAGTGGAACTTTCCATAGTAAACAATCCTTCAAGAACGCTGTCCACACACTGCAATTTTTAGGGATTTAGGGACTGACTTTGTGTTGGATTTACCTGGACGCACTGTACACAGTGTAGCGTCATGCTGTGCCTATTGAGCAGCTGTCGTTGAGGACTTCTTATTTCCGATAGTTTTAAAGACGTATTCCAAGTTAGGCACTGTTTGGCGGATAAGATCTGCAACATCAGGAGAGCTATAATCCAAGACATGAGGGGCAGCAGGTCTCTCGACAAGTCCAAAGTTTCTAGGACTGCAGGTTGTGATGTTATCAAAGGAGTATATCGTGGACTAACTGGATCGCATCTTGGCCAACACTGGCTGCAATCTATCAGACGCTTGACTTATTAAGCAACAAGAGAGTAACTTACAGCTACCTCCCCATATCAAGACAGTTTGTTTGTCACCACGTGCGATCTTCAAACAGCTCTCAGAGAATAAAGCCAACCAGGCCGTTGCTGCTGCGAGAGGAATGGTGGATGCGGCAGGAGCAGTAATTGCCGCTGGCAGCTTGAACGCAATCTTCTCGTCCGCTAGCGTGTAACGGGAATATGCACCGAGACCTTTCTTTGGACCTGCTCAGTCGCAAGTACGTGAGGCTCTCGTGAACCTTCCAAGAGATCTCATGCCCCCCAAACAAGGCCGACTGTCATGTCTCCCACCGCGAACCGAGTGGCATCGTGGCCAGCTTCGACAATAATCCCCGCGAAGCCGCAACCATGAACGGCGCCATCTCCAAAAGCAACTGTTTCGGAGCTCTGGACTGGATCTGGTCAGCCTTGTTCTCAAATTCCAAGAACTGCTTACCATTTGTAGGGCTTTGAGCAACATATGCTACTTACCCGAGGACCTGGCTGGTTGCCGGTTGCCGCACATCCAAATCTTGCTGCTTAAGTGAAGGGTTTTGACTTGGCCACAAGGGCTCAATTATTAGAGGACAGCTTACCATGGTGCGAGGGGTCGGTGGGAGTATCGAACAATCAATGGATCAACTCTGAGTCTTCTTGCTTGGAATTTTATGTTATCTCTTTGATGTTCGAGGCGTGGAGGCAAAAGGGATGATGACAATTATTCCGACGACTGCCCATCTTGTTGGGTGAAATGACTCCAGAGCGATTCATACTATGACCTCAAAAAAGGACTGGTAAAAGTAAAGGACTACAAGGCTGACGCCCTGATAAGCAAGTATAAGCGCTGACAAGGTTTCCCTCTACTTCCGATGTAAAGGTTAGCGAAGCTGGGATTTGGGCAGCGCTGACCTCGAATAACACCATCGATCCCTCATACTCTCGCTCAAGCCACAAGCTTTGTGCTATCCATCAGTCCATGAGATAAATTTGTGGAGTTTTACTGGTCTGCACAAAATCGAGGATGAAGTTTAGGTCGATATCATTTGTCAACTTCGGCTTTTTCCGATACGTGTAGACAATACTTAATTTCTGAATAGATCCAGCAAACTGCATCAAGTATGGATGGCATTTCTCCTGTACTTATTTTTTCCTCTCCATGCATTTGAATGTTCAGAAACTTTCTACTGGTGCCTGCAGAAAAAAATCTGATTGGTCCATGTTCTGTGTCCTTTAATCTATGTGCAGTGGGCCACTGGTAAGGGTCTGCCAACGTCAGCCGAGGCTCAATGATGTTAACATAACCTGAAATAATCTTATATAAATAAGAAATTGATAAGCCCACAAGTTCTGAGAAGGAGCTCCAGTCCCTCGATCTATCGGTCAGAAGAATGTCTCCAAGTCGAGGTCCCTCAGCCGGCAACCACCCAAAACCGGCGTTGGCCCCACCAACCGTTACACTTGAAAGCCACAAATCATTAATTCTGGAGAAAAGTGAAAGGATGACTCGCACAAAGTGGTTAGGATCACGGTTGCTGATTCGAACGCTCACTGGCTTGGGGGACGTGCAGTTCAAGAGTCCGCAGCCTTGCGCACGAAGTGCCAAACTTGACATTTGCTTCCGTGATTGAGAGCATGGAATGGACTTAAGGGCATTACGAATCGCAGTGCGCATTTGAGAACGTGTGAAGCAGTCCAATCTACTGTAAGGACCTAGGAATTATTCAAAGTGGTTCGGCTTAGGCTTGAGTGCGGCGCATCTAGGGAACAACTGTAGGGACAGAAAGCCCCAAGAGGAGCTGATACACCCACACCTCTTGTCACACCGTTCACTAAACTGCCAGGAGCCTTATGATGGATATAAGTACTGATAATTATTGCCACGTGAGTTGACTACTTCTCTGCAACTCTGTGCAGTTCTCTCCAATACGTGAGCATGTAGTAGATTTCAACAGTAAGATATTGTCCAGTTTACCGCACTCGGGCCTAAATGCGCGGTTTCCTATTTAGATGTTACTCTAGGATGATTGTGTGACGAGTAGAGTGAGATTACTGGAGCCAACACACCCTTAGGACTCCCACTTTCTTCTACATTGATACCAGGATGGGGCGGCCATATCCTCTGGTAAGTCCCGACTCAATTATAAAGACTGGCGAGGGCCGTTATGCAAATAAAAATAAAAGTACATAGTATTAGCTCTGGAATAACAGTTCTGTCCGCAAGGTAAGGAATCAGAACACGTGAACTAAGGATTGTGGTTTTTGGATTCTGCACCAAATACACCTACCACGGAGGACACCGGCAAAATAGGTACTGTACATTTGGTCGGGCGCTCAGAATTAACCCTTCCTCTTTTGGACAGGGACTCCTACGCTTTCCCAAAAAACCAACATCAGAATCGAAGTGGGGAAACGGTCCGGTTTCAGCAACTGCACTTCCATTGAGCTGGAAAGAGCCTCACAACCTCCCGTTCCACTTTGCTGCTTTACCGGATGGATGACTGAATGAAAGCCGGCCGCTAAAATTCGAGTGTAAAGCGGATGCTCGCTCGACCACCGTGTTTGACAATATCTTAGGCAAGCCCACAAGCTGTACGAGGGGCCTGCCCGCCCGTGATCCCTACCCTACCCTTGGCTCGTGTATGCTAATGCAGAGGAGACTGGGATCAGGGTATTAGAGGCCACCACAGGTATAATGGGCACCCCCTGTCCCCTTCTCTCTTCAACAAGGCGGAGGACAATTCAGCGGAGGTTTCGGAGAGAGACACACGGTCTTCGACAAAAATACTGCAATACTTTGTCAAAATGATGGATGCGGCCAGCTGTCAGGTGGGATTATTCCCACCTCCCAATGTGGTCGGGTACCCGGCAACGCAGCAACGGAGATTGGTCTCGTGTCCATCCACGGCACGGAAACCTCAGTTAGTCGGCTCTTTTCAAGTTTCTTCCCTCACCATCGCCCCGTTCCATTCCCAGCGCTGAAACGGATTCCTGCTTAAGCGTACGGCTACCTCATCCACATTATTGGTGGCGGAAAGGCAAGCGGCCTCAATATGGATCCTCGAGTCGTCCAGTCTCTCCACCCCCCAACTTGAAAAACTCATGCGCCACCTCAATCCGCATTGTACAGTGCCTACTCGACTAGCGGTGCCCATTTCAATGAAAGGTCGAAATCCATTGAGTCCTTGGCACCTGTTCTCGGGCCCCCTTGTCTGGTCGGTATCGCGTTAGCCGACACGTGGGAGAGGCCGTGTCACCACTGTGCGGTCTACTGAGAGCAACAGCACTGTCTTCGACCTGGGTGCGGCTCCTTTTACCCAATCTCGACGCGTTGAAGGACACCCACCCCAAAACGTCCGCCTTGAGGTAAAATTTGTGTTCTCTGAGTGCTCTCCCGTACCCACTCGAAAGCGCCCGGAAATTCTTACAACTAGTTTTCGTCGAGAATGGTGAGCCACAGGATGTTTAGTGACCAGACAAGTCTCCGGTTGGGCAGCATCTTCACGCTACGTATTCGATTGATTCAGCGCCCATCGGATCTCCAGCAAGGGAGTTTTAGAGCTTCACCGCTTGTTTCCTGTATGGCTTTGACGAACATAAGATGAGGCATTCCGGCCACGGCAGTACAGACAGGTGGGTTTTCTTGTCCATCATACCTCATCACCATCGTCAGCCGCATCTATTGTCCATCTCTTTTTCTGAGCCTAAGATCTCTCAATTTCATTACATGCCAATACGTGTGAGATGGTGTATAAGCTGAACCCTCTGTGAAGATCAGTCGACTCATCCACATACACGAGCATTCTCAGCGGTTGACGCTGTACCTTCAACATGCCTCGACGTCAGAAACCAAGCCATATGCTCAGTCGATTCATTGTAACACCTGAAACGTTTGACCATTTGCATCTTGGCATCCCTGCCAGACAATACCATCGGCTCAGGCAGGCGCTATTGATCTCAAGGCTCGATGCTCTCATGACGAAGCTTGAACTGAACCTGCTCGGGCAACCGGTCGCTGATGCCAACCACAGTAGGTTCACAGAGCCTCCAAGTTTTCATTGACCTCTACTAAGCGTCTCTACTCTTTCAGGCTAGTCACTGCCGAATTCTCGGTGCCTGCGCCACAGTACGCCCAAAGTCACAGCCTGTCATCATGCCTGTTGTGCATTTGGTATGACTGGGATAGGTTGCCCTGTTATTGCAGCGGCTCGTGCCGTGGACTTTGTATTAATTGGCTGTTATTCTACCACAAATACCTATTCTTTCGGTGCTTGAGCTGGCGTCAGAATATGTCTCAACTTTTTGGTTTTCCAGCGCTTCTGGATGTTTGTGACAAGGCAATATACTTTCTGTTGATCTTTGCACTAGGATTCGATTTGAGGAGAGAATCGTTGTTTCTGATTCTCGATGAGATTTAGAGGCGGTCTGCTTAGGGTTTGCGGGAGGTAGGGCTTAGGTTGCTTTTGGTGGGTAAACGGTTCAACGGTAGTCAACGGCAGCAGTTCCACGCGAAGAAAAAGGCTCGTTCAATCATACCCGCAATCCCGCAATCCCGCAATCCCACAATTTGTGGGACATAAGTTCTTATAGAGTATGGTCCTCCAATCCAGTCGTTTTGAACCCATTGTAGATTGATCAATCGGCTAGATGGAATCGTGAGATGGATGGCCAGTGACGGAACGGGTCGAAGAAGTTCATCCAGGTTGTGAGTCGCAGGCGGGGGTTTATCTACCTAGGGTTCCCATGTTCATTATCGTTGGCGGCTAGATGGCTGGGTTAGACTGCGGGGTGGTCTAGCAATACTTACCCCTCCACTCGCAGCAAGAGATCCTGGTGTTAAGATAGTGACTTCATAGCAAACCGCCTTCTGAGCACTTCACGGCCACAAGGCCATAATGTGACAGTCAATTAAATAAAAACAAACAAGCCGCTGCATCAGGACAACTGATGATTGATTGATCTGGCAATTGACTCGAATACCGACAATGTCACACCCACAATGAAGATGGGCATCTTGTGCCCTTGCCCCTTCGTATCGCTGATTAAAATAGTCTCTGATGTTCTTGCTTACACATTCTACAGTATACAGCCTTTGTTGTATATATTGAAACTTCCCTCTGGCAATCCGTGCATGCCTTCTTGACCAGGCGATGGATGGGGGCCCATGGTCGAAGGCATGCTCTCTGGGCAGTGCATAAGAACGGAAGTGGGGCTACACTTCATACCGTCCTCGAAGCGCCCGGATTGCTGGCGCAGAATTCAGGACTTCACTCCATGGGTTGTCCCACTCCGGGATTACGTTTGATGGGGCGGATGCTTGATGGAGCCTTTCATACTCCTCAATGTAACGCTGCGACGCCATGGCGGTAATTAGCGCACGCAAACTCGACTGCTGGGCTATCTGTGGAGTTCGAGAATGGGGTTTGACATAATTGAGAAACGAGGCGTATTTGACGTCATCTGTCAACGGTACGGTGTGGCAGAGCAGAGAAGGAAAGGCGGAGGGGGACTAGCATTGACAGGGAGTCCCGGAGCTGCTGATTTCCTCGTATGAATTCAAATAATCATGTGGACAGCGGTTGGCGCCAGAGGATAACTAAACAAGGAGTAAACAGGTTGGTCTCGGTTATCCAGAAGTGTTCTCACCTTGCCCCTGTCGGACACTGCGCTTAGCCTGGACCAGCTGCCGGGCAACGATTTCAATGACAGTATTCGTCTTCCGTTTGCTGCGGCCCTGATCAATTATAGTCTAGCCATTCTTTTGTTTCAGTGGTGTTTTGGAGACGGAGCGGTGAATTGCTATCCGCCTTTAGACAGGACGAATGGGTCGTCCATCGCCTGAAGAACAATCCCAAGACGCTGGCATCCTTCTCGGAGTGGACGGAAGCTGCACCACTCTGGCGGCGGGATTGGCAGTCGAGCATGTCAGTATCGGTTTTGCACTAGCAATTTCCGTATGCGGCTCCTTTCGAACAGGCTTTCGTCGTGTAAATTGAACCAAGCCGATGTGTTGGCAGGACTGTGTCGCTAATCCAGCCTTTTTGAAAGACATGCATGTGCTAGCCAGTTCGCTGGCATCCCCGATGGGAGCTAAGTGAGTGGTAAGAGGCGGTCTACCCTGGTATTTCATGTGGCTGTCAAGCGATCGGAAGACAAGGTTGATATCGTACACCGGTCGAACCTCTCTGTCGGGACCATGGATGTGGAAGCTTGCATGCCGCTCCGTCGCTTAGAGCAAGGAAGAATGGCAAGGGACATCGTCTGAGATACATCAGTGGTAGCAATCTGGGTGGATCGCTCCATGCTAGGAGCAAATCACCCCTTTCACCCTGCAGATTACCCCGTAGAGATCAAGCTAATTTGTTGTCCTGTCAGAGTTTCGGAATCGGCAGAAGTACTTAGTACACGAGGGCAAGCTCCTGGCAAGGGAAGTTCCGACAGAAGTTCTCTTCCTCCAAACCAGACTGTCGGCGCCTAATTTCGGTGCTCTTCAACGCCCCCGGGCGAGGACAGGTACTTCCCCGAAACACTAACGACAGCACCATCGCCTAAGGAGGTATAGGCCCTAATTTGCTGGCCCGGATTCCTGGATGGACTAACATGGGTTCAGAAATCCTGCTTGAAGGGGAAGCTTCTTCTCGAACAATGGCTTGCGTCATCTCAAGTCCCTCCACTTCCCGTGCTCTTGTTTATTTGCGACCAATCTCGTATTGCAACACTGGACGCAACCATTCACGTGAAATCCCAGCTCAAAATATCACACAAGCAGAAGGCACACGAGCTTCAGAGCTTTTGGTCAAAGTGCTGAAATTAACCCGTTTGGAAATAGTCGGTGAACAACGATTTGCGGGCCAATCCCTTGAAGCCGGGGAACCTGTTCAACTTTACTCATGTGTGGATTGTCTTGGTTCTGTGGCCGTGAAGCTCTCAGCGCTAGCCGGGGCGTTTGGCAAGAAAAAGCAAGTTCCAAAGTTCCCAACTTTGGCTCTTAGCAAAGGGCAATCGCACCCATGACCCCTATACCATGGCCCTTCCACCTCCTTGGGTCATATGGAATCGGATTTTTGTGGGGAAGAGAGGGCAACCCCATGTTCCTTGCCAGGGCGTATTCCCCTGCACGCGCTGTTTCAAATCACAACCAGCCGATGCATGGCCTTTTTTTCTCTTCGTGCCTCTTACGACGCATGCATGCCGGCCTATCAAAGCGACGCATATGCCTTGGCCTCTCCACTGCCCAGATACTATCTCTTTCATCCTCGCTCCCAAAAGTCCCTTCAGAAAAGTATATTTCATTCCTCCTAGATGATACACCAGGACGGAATGGAGTCTCCCGTCACCCAGAGCGGGCTCCCTACTGGTGCAGGGATTGTAATTCGGATCTAATTAGCTGAAAGCACCGTCAGACTCGATGGGATCTTTTCGAAAGTTGAGTCTTTGACACCAGCCTACTCGTGTTGGAAAGCCCGCTAGTTATGTTGCGAGATAGCTCCATGGTATTGCTTCGAGAAGATCGGGTTTTGCTGGGTTGCCCTGGATATCTTGATAGCCTAGGTTCCACTAGCACTTCTGTGCCCGTTCGCTGGTCTGCTATGCATACATATAGCTCTACCTTGCATCTCCCTCCACGGACCTCTCAAACTCGATATTCTCTCGAAATTCGTCCTTGTATGGGCTTTTGAAACTATCAGCCAAATTACTGTACAAATTTCCAAGACCCTTCTTATCTCCACGATTGAAACCAACAACCTATAGCTCTCGAATTCGCAGTATCATGGCAGGTTTGATTACTGTCAACAAAACAGTGTTGCATACTATCGCTGATGCAGACTTGCTCCTTGATATTGAATCTCTTGAGCATGATTCTGTTGCTGCCGCGGCGGACCTGCAGGTAATTCACTTAGCGAGTAGTATCGAGCCCTCCGTGGGAAGTCATATTGATTTGGGTCAGTTTCTTCGCCTCCATGAGAAGGGTCTGATTATGCTAATTATTGATACCTCTACAGCTAGTGTTGGAGCACAGTTCCAACTAATCGAATCCGACTCCACCTGTCTTGCCAGCAGAAAAGAAACAATCGTCAGCCAACTTTTGGCATCCAAGCTGTAACTGCGCACGGTCTAGCAAACAAAAATGCTGCGTATCAGTCACATATACTCAAGCATATATATACACACAAAGCACTGGAGATCGACGTTGTATGTATGCCAGTTGTGGTCTGGACTCACATGCCCTAGACATTCGGGAACGGAGGGCACCTTTCATGATTCGGCGATGGAAAGGTTGTGGGTACAGAGGAGAATCCCCTTCATTAGACCCTGGTGCTCTTGTAACATTACTATTCCCAGTTTTGCAATAATGCATATCAAATGAGAAGAAAACCTCGACACTCACATAAAGCTATGTTTCCTAGCTAGAATATCACAATCAAAAGTGACAAATACGAGGTTGTAGTCCTCAGAAGCGGCGGTGTAGCTTCGATTGACATCTGAACGTGTCGTAGTGTTACAGCCTCCATGATCTCCATGTCGATGCATGCATATTATCATAGTCAGAATGGTTCAGGGACATGTCCAATTCTAGTAGTTTAATATTCATTGGGTGTCTGCAGCAGTTTGTCCTACCGCACGCCCACCTTTGTTGGACAGTCAACCTCGGGGTGCATTTATGCAACTAGTCAACGCACTGGACAGAACTCCCGTTCAACGTCAATTTTGGTGACAGCTCGACTTGTAGCAAACACGCACCCAAATGTTCGAGTCGTTCAGTCACGCCTGCATACCTAGGACCATGCAGGTTCCATCCTTGATCCTTCTTGCGTTCTTTTTTGGTTTTTAAAAAACAATTCTTGTAAATCTCGGACAAAAGTACATTGGCCTTGCGCTGGCAGACCTCGACGAATAAGAATATCTCTCCGCTCAGGTACAGCCACGGTCTCATTACAGCGTGCCTCGTATGATTGACTCCTGTGACATGCAAAGCACAAACTTGCAGAAGCCTGGAAAAGTTTGGGTTGGCTTCAATTATTAATTACTAAATAGTCTGTTTAGCTAGTACAACACAGCATGAGCGATATAGCAGGAATACGCCTTAAGATGAAGAGGCCTGTTCGTAGCTCGTCTCGGCCGTTATCGATAGGTTCTGTCTTCGTTTCTCACAGAGATTGAACGGCCTGGACAAAGGCTCCATAGCAGAGGAGGATGAAATCTCGCGGCGACGAATACAATGACAGCCATATAGAAAATAGAATGGAGATATTGATGTTGGATATTTTGCCTGGCTCTCGAGGCGAATGACAGGGAAGTCACCTACATAGTATTTAGGCGTTTATATGTCGATCGCCCCGTGCCATGGCCCCAGATAGTAAACCTATATAATACTAGGGCATTTAGACTTATGAAGAGCTTGGGCCAGGTCTTTTATACGGATGCCTTGCGGGCGTGTCTACAGAGCAATTATCAACTAGTCTTCGTAGAGTGCGCAGGCTCTTAGCGTAGACAAAAGATGCATGCCATTAACTACTGCACTAGCTTAGATCATGGTCCGTCCAGCCGCTCTCTTCCCCCTTTTATCTACGTAGAAGACGGTGAGTAAACTTAAGAGATTTTCGTATCAGTGGCATGCCATAGCCTATTTAATGTTTCGGGGGTTGAAGGGATGGCGAAAGTACTTAGTTCAGTATGTGAGCAAACGCATTCCGCTTGATCCATTTAATCCAAAGCATTACCTCCTCTTGAGCCGCTGTGTTGGATATGAATTTCGATTGCCAAGAATCATTGAGACAACCAGATAGCTATCTGCGTTACTCAGAGCCTTTCCAATTCAAATTAGATCTCCGGTCTGCTAATTCAAGTCTCCTTGTCTCCCCGCCAGCTTTACGACTCGTCCATGGGGATATGCAGAATGAATTTCCGAACCATAGTCGCCATAATGGTTCACAGGATCAATTCGGCGACGTGCTTCCCTAGACATCGTCGCGGGCCGAAGCCGAAGCGCCAATATCGATAGCGCACACCGGAACGAGTCAGGTCGATAGTCATCGCGGTCGGCGCCCCAGTATTCGCTTTTGACGTTGAGTCCATAGGTATCGACCACGAGGTCTGTCCTTGCCGACATATTGTACTCATCGGTCAGACGGTCGGTGGGTGCGGCTTGGGGCACGGTAAAGGCGGCCAACAACCGGAGGCGTGACCATTCCAAGATACACGTGGCCAGCAAGGCGGTAGAGCTCCGTATGTATTTTTGGACTCGGCTCCGGTGTGAATCTCTACTAGTTCCTTCCTCAGATGCTCTCGACATCCTGGTTGTCGGCCAAGTAAACGAGATTCCAAGAAAAGGCCCCCATGGTCACATCCAGATTGGCGAAGAGCATCCCGTTCGGCGTCTGATGGCAATGGCCCCAACTGATTGTCCGTCTCTGGGCCTCCTGGAAGAGCGGCACCACTACCACCTCTAAGGACTATGTGACATGTAGGGCGGAGTGTAGAGACCTGTGCGCCCAGTATGAAGCAACTCGCGCTCCGGCTCGCTGCCAAGACTAGATAGGCTCGGAATAGGCTTCTCCCGCCCCGTGAAATAGGCATTCCACCCTATTTCTAGCCCCGGAAGCTTGAGCATTGCTGGGGACTTGGGCTGGGCTTCCCTCGTATGGTACGGAGTACATAGCCAGCCATAGCCCATCAACCCATCGAGATTCGAACGCGAAAGCACGTGAGCGGATGTGTGCCCTTTGATCATCGGTAAACACTGAATCGCCTACTGACTCACCTCCAGTGCTCGCCTCGTCCGCACTGCGTGTCGCTCTTCGAAGCCACTACAGTTGTGGAAATGTGGGCATTATTTGCCAGAGCCGTCGCGAGTACGGGATAGTGGATTCTGAAGAGAAGCGGCATAAGGTTACAAAAATGCCCCCTCCCTCGTCCGCATGAATTTGCGAGTTCAGACACGGGCATTGATATCATTGACGCGGTCCTCGAACCTCAACAGATCGATACACAGCAAGCCCTTCGGATACTCAACATTGTTCATATATGCCGCCAGTTTGTGACACTGGGGATATATATATACATTTGCAAGGACCACAGAGACGATGTATCCCGGTGCATTTCACTTTTAAGACAACTCTAAAGCGCACCTCAAACAGCACTACTACGCTCGAGGTCGTGGAATTACCGAATCAGGAGACAACAGCCGCAAGGGTATCAAGGTCCATACGAGCGTCTCAGGACTGTCATCTTAGGCTTCCACCATACGTCATCCAATTGGGTCTGCCCTCCGTTGCCGAGATGCAATTCACGAAATCAGACTCTTTTTTGGCCCTGGAGATTCAATCGGCTTATCCCCCGTTACACAAGAAAACCCGATCACTCTTTTCTGACAGCACAAATTCTAATGCTTGTTGAGGACCTGAGTCTCGACCGAGTCGTGGACTGGCAAATCAGAATCAACGACTCCAAGGTCCTCACATCCTCCAACGATAATGTACGGACTGCTATTGGCTGAATCCAGCCGCCAGATCCAGGATGGTTGTCACACTAGGGTCTATACTATGTATTCAATCCGTAGAAAAGAATGCGAACAACCTTTCCCCCCCCCATCCTCCCTGGACCATCTCTTTCCCTGTAAGCTGGATTGTATGGACGTGCAAATGGCGGCGCAAACATCAACCGCAGCAAAAACGAAGGTGCCAATTCCGGTAACACTATTGTCAGGATTCTTGGTATGTCTAACAGCACTTTGAGGGACTCATTCTAAGCGTGGTCTGTTCTTCTAGGGCAGTGGGAAGACGACCCTCCTCAAGCACATTCTCACCTCACGCGACCATGATCTCCGCATTGCAGTCATTGTGAATGATATGGCTGCTCTGAATATTGACGCATCCCTAATTAGACGTCATGTTGTCTCAAAGACGAGTGAGAAGCTGATCCAGCTCGAGAATGGATGCATTTGCTGTTCTCTCCGAGGCGATCTGCTGGACGAACTGGCAAGATTGGCAAGAAGTGGTGAATGTGACTACGTTATTATTGAAAGCACGGGGATCAGCGAACCCATGCAAGTCGCCGAGACATTTACGGAAGAGTTCACACAGGCCATGATCCAGGTGGCAGAAGAGGGAAATATGGATAATGCGGATGACCAGAAAACTCTCCAAGAGATGTGAGTACATCCTAGGGCTCACTAAAATGGTACAAGTTAATCGCATATCATAGAGCCGAACTAGGGGGGTTGCAGAAAATCGCAAAGCTGGACACATTGGTCACCGTCATTGATGCGTTCAACTTCTTCCTCAACTTCTCAACCACCGATTTCATTTCCGAACGATGGGGGAAGGACCAGATGGATCCTGAAGATGAGAGGACCGTTACCGATCTCATGGTCGATCAGATGTATTATCCAAGCTAGCTACCTGTACCGTGAAATCGCTAATTTGTGTGAAGAGAGTTCTCGACAACTATCATCATCAATAAGGCTGATGCTGTCTCGCCAGAGGCAAAGGAAAGGATCCTGGCTATTACGAAGCAGCTCAACCCAACTGCCAGAGTCATTGAGAGTAACTTCTGCAAGGTAGACATCCGTGAGGTAGTTGCCACACAGTCCTATGACTTTGAGAAAGCTGCCACTGGGATGGGATGGCTTCAAAGTCTGCACGATCTGGCTATAAGGGATGTCAACGGGCAGAAAAAAATTGGTCCCACGCCAGAGACCGAGGAGTATGTGACCCCGATGCAGAGTGAGCATATGGCTAACACTGCAGATACGACATCTCAAGCTTTGTTTACCAAGCCCGCCGCCCATTTCATCCGAAGCGGTTGTATCAACTAATTCATGACAAGTTTGTCCTGATGGAGGGCGTGGTCGAAGATGAAAACGAAGATGACGAGACAGTGGAAGACGGAGAAGACAGCGACGAAGATGACAATGTTTTGGACAGCAGTTCTAGCAGCAGCTCAGACCAAGGCAAACAGATGGGAGATGTCGATTCCTGGTCAGACATTTCAATGGCTGATGCTGAAGAGGAAGACGACTTCTCGAAGTCCATCGACCCAAAGGTACATAGTTTCTCCAGTTCATATTCTTGGGAGATCTTTTGGTACTAAAATTCTTGCAGACTGCTTCAACAAACAAAGCCAATGATCCTGTATTCAAGGGGCTACTGCGCTCGAAAGGATTTGTATGGCTTGCCACTAGGCCTGGTCTTCACGGAGAATGGTCACAGGCCGGTACAATGTTGACACTTCAGGGAGGAGGTCCTTGGTTCTGTGTTCTTGAAGACTGTGAGTATGCACTATCCTGATGCGCATAATACTAATGAATGCTTTCAAGCTCAATGGCCAGAGGATGAGCCAACTCGACAAAACATCATGGCTGATTTTCAAGAGCCATGGGGTGACAGACGTCAAGAAATTGTGTTCATAGGAGAGAAGCTTAACCATGACGGCTTGCAGACCGATTTTGATCAGTGTCTGTTAACAGACCTCGAGATGAAAAAGTGGGAAAGAGTAATGCGGCTAAAGGACAAAGATGCCATCCATGACAAGCTTGCGAATCTATTCGAGGGTAAGTTTGCGATCGGTCGTACCACGAGAGCTTATTGACCAGAAACAGACGGGTTTGAGGATTGGCTAGAGCTAATAAACGACAACGAGGACGAGTATAATGGCCATGCAAATAACCATAAGGGTCACCATGCTCATCGCAAAGGCTAGCTTCAGTAGTGGAGCTGTTTAGAGTTTGATGTCGTATCCATGCGGCTAAGATAGAAAGGCGAGACAGCCCCTACTACCACTTCGACAGTAAAACCAGTCCCTAGAGTAGGATACTATCTACATAGGAGCTACCACCTGCAAGAATGCCCGATTGAAACCCTTTGGGCCGTTTCCCAGCTGAGGCGGTAGATTGGTGTTGATGGTAGGGTCTTGTCCAGTTTTGGGGAAGTTGCCACCCCACCGGATTTTTGCGGCTTGAGATCAATTGTCAGCCGAGGCATCCTATAATATTGGCAAGCGACGACGGTAAGGGTGCCATCTCGTTTGATCTGGAATGTCAGGGGACCCGTGATTTCCAACCCCAAGTCAAAGCTGTGCTCGCCTTCTTACAGCGAGTCTCGTATAGTGCTCGAATCGATGGAAGGCAGCTACATATTATCGCGGTACTGTAATCTGCAGAGGTCCAGATAGTCACGTCGCTATTATCCCCTACGCCGTGAAGACCAACAATTGCAGAACTTCAGATGATGGTGCCAGCTGAGAAAACTTTCACAAAGGGTCCATTGAGCTGGTCCCACCGAATTGGAATAGGAAGCGTAAGCGAACAATCGAGGTGATCCATCCAGTGCGAATCTTGTGTCAATGGAAAATTTTTGTGGAGAATTGTGGCCTACAGGATACTAAGCTGAAACATGATGAAGACACCGTTCTTCTGGTACAAACGCAGCTTAAGGTCTAGCAATTAAGGAAGTGGCAGGTTAAGGATCAATAAGTGTTGGGTAATGTCGATGCTACCATGAGCGCAGGTGATGGCGTTCATGTTGAGACATTTCCCATTGTCAATGATTTTGTCCAAGTTGTATGCGACCAGCTAACACTGAGGGAAAAGTAGAACCATGAGTCTGATTGAAGGCAGAATCACGAAGCCGAGGGAGGCTTTTTCCCGGATATGAAACTTGCGTGACGGAAAGATGCGCAGGGGGAATATGAGGATCGAGGTTTTGGTGGCCAGGATGATAAGCACAAGGAGAATTCCGCCAGCCCAGACTGTCCTGTCAGCGGCCAAAAAGTGAGGAGATGACAGAATTCGCCCACATAGCTGATCATTCAGTGCGTGACTGATTCGGTCTCTTATTTATTTTCGCATTGAAAGCCTGTATTGTACGAGCAAAAGACTTATGCGCATCACCGTGTAAACCCCTGTTGCTATGGTCGGAGCGATATAAGTCCAAGGCGAATCGGTAGACCGAACTCTTGTGGAGTCTAAAGAATATCGGATCTGTCGTATTACCAATGATGTCTTTTCTGGGAGATCCCTAAATCTGATGGACGTGGGTAGATCTCGATGGCATGAAAGCTGCAGGGAGCCAACGACCTGCCCTGGCCAGCGAGAAGTTGAAACTCGGGAGCGGTATGGACTGTTTTCCAAAGCTTTCCTCGGAATATATTGTCAAGCCTGCCAGTATCTAGTTAAGAACAACCGAAGTCCAATCGTTCATTCGTGTATTTGGTATTGTGTTGTCCCCTCAGTAGCCCAAGAAGCGAATTTGTCGTGGACTTGGTAGGGATCCAATGTGCAAGAGTGTCAGCGCAGCGTGTGCGCCTGTAGCGGAGGCTCACACGTGGAGTCCTCCACCTCGCTGTCAAGGCGCGCGTAATTTGGCCTAAATCCAGCACCCAGAGATACAGGCAGAAGGTTGTACGGCGATCGCCCTAGCAGAAAGAGGAGTGGCGCACTCGAAGTGAAGGGCATCAGTCTGTTCGAGGGCTTGTCTCCCAAAGCTGAAGCAGGGAAAGCGGGACCTGGACTTCCAGGGCTTGTCACAAGGACCTGTTGGGAACGCGAGTTAGTGGGGACGGAAGAGCATGGATACGCCTCATCGGACGCCTCGTTGAGTCGGTGGACGACAAACCACGAGGGAGGAGCACGAACTGACGCAGACCCACAGTTGCGGCCAAAATGACCAATCATGTCTGGGAACAAACGACGCTTGGGGGATCTCGGCCCTGTTCCAGCTTCCGTCAACGACCATGCGATGCTATCGAGGTACATTCCACCGTGTGTTCAGAATAAACGGGAACATGATTGAACTCTTTGACTCCAGCTTTGGACTCGAATATTGATCAATCCAACAATTTGTGCCCCACTGCTTGACCCATCTTCGTTCTCTCCTTAGTCGGTGTGGAGAAGACTCCTACCCTGAAGTTAGTCCTCTACCTCTTGCTCTCTCTAGCGACTAGTGGGAGTCACATTTGAACCGACTCGGTGTCGGTTCCCATGCGTAAATGGACCGACGTGTTTTTGGCAAGCTTGTCTGCTAAGTAATGGCTTCATCGGCGCGTTTGCGTACCAAGACCGGATGCATGACGTGTAAGTTCCTGATCTTACTTACAACGCTTTACTCAGCACTGCTTATGTCTTTGAAGGTAGAATGCGTCGTATCAAATGCGATGAACAAAAGTCACTGTGCCAGAACTGCACACGCTCGAATTTCGCTTGTTTATGGCCGGTCAACGATGAGTTCTACGACAGACGCTTTCGGCAATTTCACAGAGGAAACTCTGTGAGTCGAGGTCCTGAGTTAGCCACCTCAGCCTCAAACTCCACGATAAACAAATCTCTAGCAGAAGCCAGGAGCATTTAATTCAATACGCCATACCTACACGCCCTTATGACCACCACAATCTAGAAGATGCGATAGTTGTACATTTTTTTCGTGGATCAGCAATCGTCGCTGATCCTTCGGAGCGCACATCCAGGTTTCATTGAAGCTTTCCTGCCAAAGCTGATTGTTCTCAGCAGCAGTTTCGACGGGCTGAGAAGTGCTGTCCTTGCTAACGGCGCATCTCATCCGTCTGCCAGTACTGGCAACCAGGATTTTTTTCACTTGTCCCTCAAATACTATTCCACCGCGGTCCACGAAGTTGCACGCGCCGTTAAAGATACCTTGACACAGAAGCCTGGTCCAGATGATGGACTTATTCTTGCAGTCATATATTTGTAGATTCATGGGGTAGGTTGAGTGCTTTGTTGACCTTGTTCGCAGTAAACACGAACAGATCTTGCTCCTAGAATCCTACTGACCCGTCGCCATCTTAGTTTTGGGGATTTGGGACACAAAGTGATGTTCCACAACACGTCGCAGGAGCTATTCAGCTGCTCAGACAACGACTGGCGACACGGAAGGCGTATCAACCTTTCAACCGCATCGCATTGGAGAGCACTCTCTACCAGAGCTTCCGTATATCAACACTCTCGCCCTACTCGTACGATACGAAACCTGATCTGGAGTTCTGGTCAGAATCGGAATGTATTATCCGGGACCAGGCTTTCCAGGACTCAACGGTAGAAGCCAACAGACCTGTATGGGGATGCCGCTGCAACTCCAAATGTTCATCAACAGAATGGTGAATTTCACCCGGCAGCACCGAATGCCGCAAGACCTGGAAGTGTCCCGTTTCAGGAATGAAATGGTCGAATGGCAGGAGCATGCTGGCGCCAGGGATCCGAGGACGTTGGGCGGGACTCCAGAGGCAATGGTAACTGGTAAAACCTTACACCAGCTCACAGTGACGCTCTACATCCTCGCCGCCTCGGTAATTCTGGACCAATTTTTGGACAAAGGCCACTTCCAATCTCGAGCTACGTCCAGGTAGCATCCAGGAGGTCAAGTATCGGCGGCAGGTGCGAGTCGGAGTCGCAATCCTTAACCTACCCGAATTCAGCAAACAGTGGACACGATGCTTTATGGGTTCTTGGCCAGCATACATATTGGGACTGGCTGCTGCCAGTCCAGAAGAAATAGCCGTCATTAGGAACGATCCTCGTCAGGGATGGTCGCATCTACGATGCTCAGAAGGGTTTTCGTGCTTCAAAGATTGGAATCGGTGTGGAAGGTACACAATGTTTCTAACTGATCGGTGAACCTGCAAATGTACTACGCCGTAGTCAGTGAAATAACAGTTGCCTCTACTTTTCGAGGTGCCTTGTCAGCATAGCCAGACACTGCACAACTCCGTCGATCAATGAGATATATGGTTCTGGTTGGTATTGAAAAGCTACCATGCCTTGTGAGCTAAACCTATGGACAAATAAGACGAATTCGAAACTCATGGATTGACAAATTTCGTACCACATCCCCTTGGCCTTCTCCCAGAAACGAATCCGCATCATTGTCAAATCTCTTTAGCTAAAGATTGAGAGATGACGTCCACGGCTGCCACCAAATTCTCATCCTCACCTGTCATGGCGACTACCTGGATCGAACATGGCTCTTGATCAGCAATTTAGGGATCATCTGGTGGGATGGATCAGTTTACAAATCTGGTTGTGGTAGATGTGGGAAAGGGTGACTCACAAAAGGGCAGCCGGGAATCAGCGTGGTCAATTGGCTTGTCAGCAGTACTTAACGGTATCACGCAAGCAGGATACTGTGACGACATCAGCAGTGTTACCATTGAAGCAAGTTATGCGTATCTGTTTGACACCGTCGCCGGATTGCGGACCGCTTGACATTCATCTGAAAGAGCTCAAGCGTTCGGTTTTTGCGGGGATTCACATGTGATCTATGCATCTTCTCAACGGCACTGACCAATGGCTCGCCAGACGCTCCAGGCCAGCCCTTGTAAGGAACTAGAGTATTATCGAGGTCAAAATAACTCCAAGTGAGGTCTCCTGCTTCTTCAAATGACGGGACGTCACCCAGTATGCCAATGTCCAACCCGGCGTGGCGCAATTTCTCAATGGCGGCCTGTCTCGTTCGAAGCACTGGTGACGCAACTGGATACAGTGGATCTTCGATGATGCAACCTACTGTTAAATGGTTCTGGAGACTGCTTGGTGTCCATGGCATTGAAAGTGCTGTATGATCGTATTTCCACGGCTTGGACTCGACGATGGTCCTCAAGATAAAGTGTATGTCCCGGGCAAAATGCGCTAACGGCCCCATAGCGTAGCTCACGTTGGGCTGGTACCCATATTTCACAAAGGGCGTCTGACCAAAGTATGGTATTCGATCCACAGTTGGTTTCAAACCGTATAGCCCGCAGCATAAGGCAGGGATACGCACCGAACCTCCGATATCAGTGCCAAATCCCAGGACTGAACCTCGCATTGGGAGCAATGCACCTTCGCCCCCACTGCTACCTCCGGGGCCCAAGCAAGGTTTGTGAGGATTCTGTTTTATCATCAGTTGTTGATCTGCACGTTTGAGGATTTGTGTCAAGATGTCGAGCAATCTTGCAGCAGCTTACCAGTGTTCGGCCGAAAACATTACTGACTGTTTCGGCGACGTGGTGATATGCCTCCGTAACTGTCTATTCCATCATGTTGCCCCCAAATATTCTTACCATCCTCGTTCGAGGTACGTTTGTTTTGAGGTATAGCACAGCTCCACTGTCTTGAAGAAGTTTTACCAGTGTCGACTTGGTCTTGGACGGTCCGTCAGCAGCGAAGGCTGCGTAACCAGAAATAGAATCGATCCCTTCAATACGAAAACAGCGCTAGAGAGATTGCAAATTTGTTAGTATAGCCTAGTCTTAGATGATCAAAGCCTGGCACAATTTTGTACCTTTATGCTGACTGGAAGACCGTGAAGTGGTCCCATGCGACCAGTTTTGTCGAGCTGGGTATCGAGCCAAATTCTTTCGTGCCTCTTGTATCTGGATTTATCGCAGATGATCAAGGATGGAGGTGAGTGTTCTGGTGGCCAACCATCATCAGCGCGAGGTTCATCTTCAAATTTATCTTCCTAGAAGACACGAGCGATATCTGCAGCCCACCGCCAGAGGTTTTGGAGTATTTGTCAAACACAGCACAAGAATCGAGCTCAGACGTGGTACCAATCGATGGCACCAAAAGTATCCGTGATGGTTTCATCACGATTCGAGCGTCTGATATCGACCATGACGCGATTGGTTTCCCCCAGAAGGCTTCTACTCGGAAATTGAGGCTCTGGTTCAACTTTCCTGCAAGGCTCTTCTGGATGTGCTAATACCGGATCCTGTACTTCCTCAGCTGGCCTTCATTATTCTATGCAGGGTAAATTCCGGAAAACTTAATGATTTCTCTGGCTGAAGATGTGCAGCTTTCTCTACGACTCTTATCTGATCTAATTCTATGACCTCTGTGAAATGGCTCTAATCATTGTTTTAGGGAACTCGTATAACCTCAGGTACGTTTCAAGTTGGTCGAAAACTCTGGGGCGAGGTGACCAGAGGAAATTGCAGTGCTTCAATAGTCGGAGTCTCTTATCTTGCGCCAACTGTTGGAATATTATTGGGTACGTGAGAAAAGTCCATAGTTGATTGACTTGTGCTCTGACACATTCAAAGGTCCCTTTTTACAGGACCGATGAGAGATCGGCTGGTTACCAAACTGGCTCGTGGCAATAAGGGTATCACGGAGGCAGAATATAAACTTTGACCTTTTGTCCTGTGATTAATCCTCGTACCAGTTTCACTATTATTATGGGATGTGGGAGGTACGCGTCACATCCATTGGTTCGGTCTTGTGTTCGCCATGGGCGTTCTCAGCGTCACTCCAACTATGAGTCACACTGAGCGTCAACTGCCTAGTCGACAACTTTCACGACATCCGTGGTGAGGCTATGTCGAACTTCCTTGTTGTTCACAATGCCTTGTCCTTCACAATAAGTTATGGGTGAGATGATAAAATACTGTACTAGTTCAGCTTTTGCTGATCATCTTTTAGGATTACTGCTTAGTTTCACCGATCGAGTACTAAAAACTGATTCATCTCTACCGCTTTCGTGGGCATGACCATTTCCTCGATCTTTGTCTTCATCAGAGGACAAGAAAAACAACCAACAGTTGTGATTGCAAGACAGGCAGAACTTGTTGCAATTTCAGATATCCGGTGGTACCTTGGTACATCTAGTTGAGGCTTGGAAATTGTCCCGCCCAGTCATCGGCTGGGTGAGCCCAGTGCTGGGAACCTTACAAATGTGTTCCTGAGTAGAATGATCATGCGAGATTGGATTTGCCACGGAAAGACTTGCCTGCATAGGCTCTACACAGAAATGTATCGAAATGACTCAATCTGCGAACATGCTTACAAGTATTGAACGGGAATAAAAACGCGTCGTTTGATACGTAGTCCCCTACCATCGAGATAGTACCGTGGGCATAATCCGAATAAAAGCTATCTGAGCTCGGTCACTTCGGGAATAGCTTTGAATAGACGGTGAGGCCGCGGAGAAAGTAGATTCAGTCTGGTCGGTCGGACCGTGAGCAAGATTTGGAACAGTAGCTCGCAGGGAGAATGCAATCCTGATTTTTGGGTGTTCCAATTATAGATCCAAGTTTTGGTCCTTATCATCCAAAAGAAAGGCAAATGTTGTCTGAGACTGTGAATTCTGAGAAGCCAAATGTCTAAACCGCTCAGGATCTCGATCTCACCGTGATTTTTTTACTTAGCCGGACCCCATCGAACCAATTTAGACCCATGTCCCACCATGTAAAAAAGGGAGCATAACTCCCACGGCCCGTCCGATGATGTCTCGAATGCTCCTTCGCACCTGATCCCCATCCCTTAGGCAAGATTTTTTCGTAGCCTAGTGGTAAATCCATACCACAATGCGCCTCAACCAGGAGCCACACAAACACCGGCACGAAAATGGTGCGGCTAAGGACGTGGGAGCCGATGACGTTGAGGCTAAAATTAGCCAGGAGGACAAGGGAGAGGCGTTCGGTGATGGAGAGTTTGTTGGTCACTTGTGGGTGAATTTCTTGATGCGTATGGTGGGGAAGATGGTAAGGCTGTAGGGCCGAGATGCGGTGAAATCCTACGTGGGCTAGGAAGAAAAGAGTGTCGTAAATGAAGAAGGAGGATATGACCTCAATGACCAATCGACGGCTGGTCGGTGGCTCGTGTGGCAAGGCGCGAACTAACTGGACAGGGGACGCCCAGCTGAAGTTGTGGACGGTGACGAAGAGAAAGGAAGCATCGATATTTCTGTCGTTGCTTGCGATCAACAGTCGTATCATTTCTTCAAGGGAAGTCGCTCCGCTAAACGCGGACAAGCAGGACGAGGTCGATGGGAGATCATCATGTACGGACTTCGAAGGAACCGCAGAATACCCGCCAGCTGTCCTGATGTCCTCCACTGGAACACCAGAGAACTTCTTAATCAGGGTTAAATCGAGAAGTAGAAGTGGAGCGATGTAGGTAAAAATCTCCCCCAGGCGCTTGGATGGTCGTTTCATCTTAGGCAACTGGGGGGAATTCCCCTTGGTCGTAGCATTGTTGGCTCCTTCGCTGCTTGCCGATCTGCTGGTGCCTCGTTCACGGAGGTCAATACGGAGTGAAGGACTGTGTGCGAATTTTCGAGTATACCTAGGCTCTATTAAGCCATAAGATAGGACCGTGAGGAATGTCTCAAAAGTCGAGGCACGATAAAATGCCGACTGGTAGAGGGATGACCAGAGTGCGGACAAGGCGGGCTGAAACAAATCTGGATGGGAGACAGCCGAGAGAATCAGAGTTGCCAGGCCTAATTGCAAATACCAGATTCTGGAATCTACCAGAGCCGAAATTCGGGTTGTTGCCATTAGTGCGTGTGAGTGATAGTAGAAATTCGAAGGTGGTTTTTCGTCAGTTTGGTCTTAGTAGTTGCTAGCAGGACCAAAACTTGGGAGACTGTCAAAGACAATATGGGGTGAGAGAAGTTCATTGACTTGAACGAAACAATCCCACGTGCCGATTATCGGTACTGCTGTGATCGTACCGCGTAAGGACGTGAGAAAGTAAGTTCTCATTCTACGTGATACGAAAGCTATCGTAATCTATATATACGACTCGGGACCGGCCATGGCACTGTAAATAACGCCAAGGTATTTCGAAGGTATTCTTAGTACGCCGAGGCTAGGCGTCATTAGAAAAGAAATGACATGAAAAATCACATTGCGTACTCGTACACCTGAGGACTCCTTTCCGTTATGAGACAAAAAACGTAATATCCGCGCTAGTACTATGCAGAGGGTGTGGCCATTTTGTGTGATTTGCGCTACTATAGAACTGACTATCTCCTTGGTTGTCCACTAGATCTTGATCCAGCGAAGGCCGTCGGGAAGCTGCCTCTAAGTGACCGTAAGACTCGTAATGAATAATGCAATCGTTAAAGACGCCAAGAGAGTTACAAACGCCAAATAAGCATTTTTCCTTCGCAAGCTGACGGCCTCGTCCTGCTGAAATTCCTGCGCAGCTCGACCCATAGCGAGGTCCTCTTTCACCTTAGGGATGGCCGACAAAAAACAGATTCCCGCGACCCAATACCCGACAGGAATAAGAATGGCAAGTATGTCTCGCGTCTTCTCCAAATAGGCCGTACTTCCTGGTTTGTAATTCCTCAATCCTAGACCGATCATCTGTGGAGCACTCGAATAGATCAAGATGATGACACTGGTATAGATCGCTAGGCAGAAGGTTTTGGTTCTTGTTGGCAATAGTAAAGCCAAGAGCGAAGCAAACCCGCCCAGCCAAAGTTCAGCGGTGAGATAAGCTGCGCTCATCACCCCATACAAGATGCGAACTCCCGCTTCCTCGTGGCCATTCGCCAGTTTCAGGCTGAAAACCATGCAAATGACAAACGCGCTTGAGATGATGCCGCCGATGGCGGTCAGATAGAGTATAACAGTCGGCTGCCGCTTCAAATAACCGCAGATTACACCTCCAAGAACGACAGTGACTGAGCCGACGACACCGACAATAATTCCATATCGCGAGAGAAGCTGATCTTGTGATGCGTATATGGAAGACAAATAGGACGGCATGTACCAACCAAATACATTCCCCGAGAATTGTCGAGCTCCGGCAGCCAGAGTCAGAATCCAAAATGATTTCATCATTACAACATGCTTGACAGATGCCGACAATTGAGTCCTAGCTTGGCGGAGTTTGCTTCCGAGTGTAGCATCGCTGTCAACATTTGTCCCCGATGAACTCTCGGTATACAATGGCCTCGCCAAGAGCCGCCTTCGTCGTGGCTCACGCAAGAGAAGGCGGGTAACAACCGCGACTACCATGCCGACGATACCAATTGCCTTCAGTGCGTTGTTCCAAGGCGTATGAGTCCTATCAAACGCTGTAGCAATTTGTCCGCTAACGGCTTCGCCAACGTAGACACCGACATAGAAGATGCTGTGAGAGTTCGATCAGTACATAGCCAACGGCGGTGGCTCATTCTGCAAGACTTGAACCCACCTTTCACAGAGGAATAGCCACTCCATCGACACCAGATCACTAATTAGACTGATGCTGAGTGCTTCCACGGGTGCCTGACCAATGCCCATGCCGATTCTCGCAAGTAATATCTGCCAGAAATTGTGACTTAACCCTTGGAAGAGCACGCAGAGACTCCACCAAAATGCTGCAAGAGTAAGAACCCATACTCGACGGTTTGTGTAGTCTGCGATGAAGGCTACAGGAAGTGCGAGAAGTGCATAAAGGATGCCAGTAGCATAGCCCGACAACACGCTGTATTGTGTCGAGGTTAGGGAAAGAGACTCTATGACTTCAGCCTGGAAATAAGATAGAACGAATTTATCGTATTGTGCCAGAAAGTAGTTGAGGAAAAGCAATGCCATCGCAACAAAGACGCGAAAAAATGATAGAGCATTCTGTCTATCCAGGTGATGCTCAGGTCCGCTTGCTTCGTTCAGCGAAGCTCTTTGAGTGGCATCGGTCTCCTCTACTGTCACTCCTTTCATGATTGATTCGTCGGGAGAATAGTCCTAGCCAGTGTGCGCTTGTAGAACGTTGGGTTTGTAGAATTTTATTGCAATGCGGGCCCTTTTAAGAAATCCAGTACGTTAGTTTTGCGGATAACAAGGGTGGCAATGCGGCGTGTGAACGCCGTGCCGACCCTTGCTAGTGAAGTTACGTCCCGAGATGCCTGGACGAATACGCATTCTTACCCCTCTAAAGTGGGCATGTACTCCCTGGCGAATTAGGAATTGTTTGAATTCAAAAGCTAGGACTTGGATACGCAAATGAGAACGAGTACGCCAGATGGGTTCTATTTTAAGCCAGTGGTATAAGCGAATACGCCCACGCCAACATTCTAGGCAATATTCGCCGAGCTTCCCGGCTGAAGTCTGTCCGTATTCGACAAATATCCATCAGTGCATTGTGATTTTGGACAACCGTGACTCCTTCTCCCAACATCCTGTCTGCCGTCTTCCGCTCTATCTTCAAGCGTCATGTCTCAACAAACGAGTAATATTTACATCCTCTACAACGCCGACGCTTCGATCCTGGGCAAGCTCTCATATGCCTGCCGCAAGTTGACAGTAGGGCCGAAAGAGAGTCCATGTGCCGCCTGTGATCTAACACACGGAGGGCTCAAGTTAGACGAGTCGCCCAAGTGGAAGCAAACTAAACAGCAGATTGGTGGTGCCACAGTCAAGCAATTGCATAGAGACGAGCTGACCTCCGAAGTAAGTGTTGAGCAACCCTTCAGTGGCATCCTTTATTGGCAAATGAAGATAAAATGAAAAAGAGATAGTGCTGACCCTGCTACCCATCTTTCGTAGCTTCGCGATTTCGTCTCCTCTAACCGCCTCCGTTATCCTCTGGTTGTTGGCCAAGCGCCTAACGGGAGCGCCTTGAAGGTCCTTATCGATTCCGAGAGTCTACCTTCCGTCTCAGCCGACCATTCCGCTTTCCTGTCGTTGCTAAAGAAGGAAGCAGCGGATAAAGACGTGCCCATCTCCATCTTGAACACCAGCCTCTGACGAAAGGTCACATTATGTTCGACGTCCCACTCCGCAGGGTAAAGGACACCTATCTTCTCTCCTTGGTGCCCTTGGTCCCCAAGTTCGTCTCCCCGAACCATATCACATTCCTCGCATTCCTCGTTGGCGTTCTCGCGTGTGTGAGTGCCATGATCCCGGGGTTAGCATTCGCATCCGTCTATTTCTGGCTCTTTAATCGCTTCCTCGACAACCTCGACGGTGTTCTCGCGCGGGCAAGGCGTCAGGCCACTGACTTAGGTGGTTTTTTCGACCTCCTTAGCGACTTCGTCATCTACTCATGTATTCCCATATCCATCGCATATGGCCAGTACGCAGACCACGGTGTAAAATGGTTTAATCTCTCAAGCTTCCTCGCCATCACTATCCTTGAAGCCACTTTCCATGTCAACAATTTCGTCCTCTTCTACTGGGCAGCGATTTCGGCAAAGAAGGCCGAAGGAGAGTTGACTAGTCTAACTATGAAACCTGCGCTGATCGAGGGGTTTGAGTCTGGTGTGATCTTCACACTGATGTTCGTCTGGCCCCAGCAGATTGTAGTGATGAGCTGGATGATGAGTGTTGGGGTCGGGATTGGAACTCTTCAAAGGATCATCGCACTCGCTTCCTCGTTGGACAACCTAGAGTTCAGGAAGAACAACAAAGATTAGTAATCTTGATTATCCATACCTCAATAGAACAGAATCGTGATAATGTCTTTCATGGCTTAAGCGCACCCGGCAGCCTTCTGGTGGTCAGACTTTGAGGCCCAGCCAAATATCTTGCATGACGACGTGCAACCCAAGCCCGCAGTCTGCCCAGCCGGCTTCCAGAAGGGCCCACACAACTGCCACGGCTGTTCAGTTTGCGAGAGGTACAATAACTCGAGCTGCACACCGCGTGCCGCGGGTCAGGAACATTTAGACCTTTCGAGTCAGCTGTTTCTACTTAGCGCATCATCTGTTGCAATACTTGAGATTTCCCTACACCACCGCAAGTGTCCTCAAAAGATTGCCACTTTTGACAATCCCATTCCAATTGATATCCTACCATGGTGTCACGGTTGAACCAAAGTCTCTCCTTCCACTCATCACCCGAGTCGTTCATCTCCTCGCGACTGGAGCACCTTTCCTATTTAAATTCTGAAGTACTGCCCGCTTCCCCAGGAGTGGGGGTACGCAAACTGCGCCCGATAATCAGAGCCTCGATCTTGAACAGGAATGTTCATATTGTCTCTTCGTACAGGCTATGCGAGGCAATTCTGAAATTTGGATCCGCCTCGGGTGGTTCTGACTTTAGCCAAATTGATCAAGAGCCGAGTCACCAAGAAGAAGTTGCTGCCATTTTGGTTGCAGCAGTCAGTGGTCCCAGTAACGGAGACGAGCCCGTCTTTACTGCTCGTCTAGCATATGCCCAATTCATGTCCGCCTTTTTTCCAGGTCCAAACGTACTACTCGAGGATGGACCACAGCACGCTGCACATAGAGAGAGGTGGAAGCAACAATTAAAGCATATCCCTGAAATTTCTCAATCCATGATCCGGTCCCTGACTGTAAAACGACTCATCGAGCCACTGCAAGGTGCTAAATCTACGAACGAGGGAAAGAGCATCGACTTGTACAGCGCTATGAAGTCGCTAGCATGGGACTTGTTGTTTGGGATCTTTCTTGGGCTGGATAGAAACGAAAACGGGGCAGTGTTTTCAGAATTGGAGAGGTCACAGGTCGATCTTCTTCAGGGACAGTTTTCCTTGTTTCCTGTATCCATCAAGACGCCGTTCTGGTCGTCACCCAGGAGCAAGGGATTGGATGCAGTGAAGAATGTTAACGGCATTCTGAGAAAGCGCTTACGCCAAGTGGGTCATGCTGGAGACACAGGGGCGAGAAGGTCAACATGCCCGTTCATGCAGCGGTTCCGAGAACGAGAACAAGAGGAAACCCCTTTGACCGATGAGGACGTAGTGTCTCACACACTATTGTTCACCAGTAGCCTCGTGAACAAGGCATTGGCATCACTATTGACGGCCTATCTCCTAAACCTGTTTATGTGGAGGGATGGTGTTGACAGAACAAGTGGTGGCGGCCTTGCTGATCTGATACGCAGTCAGGAAGACAGGCCTATGGCTCAGCGCATGCTGGAAAGCATCTTAAGCGAGACAGAACGTTTAAGCCCCCCTATCGTCGGGGTTATGCGTCGAGTGACGCAGGATATTGTTCTGCGCGGAGCCACAGATCAGAAGGCTCAAGACGAGACCTCAGACTGCCTTGTCCGCCAAGGCGAAGATGTTTGGTTATACCTTGCCGGTGCAGGGCGGGATAACGACGTTTTCGAGGGTGCAGATCAGTTTGTTTGGGATCGGTTTATGTCGTGCGAGGATTCACACGAAGCTGGTCATACTTTCGGCAGAGGTACCAAAACTTGTATGGGGTATGCGTTGGTCAGGCAAATCTGCTTGACTGTCGCAAGTTCCATCCTTGATTCCACCATTTCGTTCCGAGGGGTTGTTTCTGAGCAAGGTGTTAGGCACTGGCTGGGCTGGGAGAAGGATGTGCCACATGAGGTAGTTGCGAGGGACGTGAAGCAACTGCCGTCTCAAAGACCCAGAAGGCCTGTCAATGTGGAGGTCATCCTCGGAAAATCGCCATCAGAGACACAGAGTCCCTAAGTCGCCTTTTGATGGCCTGAGAACTCGCGTAGCATGAATGAACAAGCCACCTTTAGGAGCCATCCTGTGTTCACGAGAGCGAGGCATGACATGCCGAGTTTGCAAGGAAGCCGCAGTTTCCGGAAAACCTCCCATGTAGATACATTCGTTTGTTTTCCAAATGTGCTGATTATAGAGTATAGTAGGTAAACCCTGAATATGGCGAACGTCACCATGTAGGCTACACTGAGTACTCGGATAATCCGCGTCTTCTGTGGTCGAAAATTGATCAAAAACCACCGTAGCGTACCAAATGGCGATGATGCATTCATGAGAAGCATAGCCACAATTATGAGAATCCCTTTCTCCTTCCGTTGGGCAATATAGACCTGAAGCAGGACAAATGCAGACCCTAGGAGAGCATGATGCCAGCCGAGATGTCGGAAATTAAGACCCCTGATAGCTCTGTTATCAGAAGCCTTACCGTTGGACCCTGTGAGAAATGCTCGTTCTCTCCTAGCAGCGTACAGCAAAACGATCGAGTCCTGTAGTAAATATGCCGTCTCAATCGCAGTCAGAATATTGGCCAGTTCTGACTTGGTCGTAATGATTGGCTGGTCATGATCTGGCAGGCTATGGTATATAGGCAAAGAGAGCGGTAGGTTTCGTTTCAGGCATATAATAGCCAGCGTCGTCATCATGGTGCAGTGGAGTAACGATATGGCCTCTCGGGACGCCGCAAGGCGGAGAGGAGAAGATTGTCTAGGGATCGAAAGATAGAATGCGGCCAGGTATGTTATGAAAGAGCTGAGGAGCGCGTACTGAGAAGGAGAAAGGACGGCCATTGTCGACTTCCTCGAAACAACCAAAAATAAAAGAGCGACCGCGAAGATGACTTGGTGTTCTAAGCCCGTAAATTGTAATGAGCAGGAATGAGAAGTCGTAGTGCAACACACCTAGTAATAAGTATTTTATCCACTTGTGTCTAGGCACAGTGCTCGCTTACCGGGAACAGCCTCTTTGTATTGAAAACTTGCCGATGTCACTGCCAGCACTTAGCGTTAAGATATACTTTCTATGTGTACTCAGGTAATTGGTTTGTGTGCCTAGAGTGTACTCGAGTTACTCTATGGTATTTGTAGTCTAAGTAGTACCGCAAACGATGGTCAAGAGACATAATCGTAAGTGTGTCTATTTTGTCTACACTAAGATAGATCGCTACTATATACACTTATACTATATAAATTTTAGAGGAAGTAGGTAATTATGTTAAGTACTATAAAGGTTATTATAATCAATATATATTAGTTAAGATTCGGCTTTTCTGTCTATATTTTCATGGTAGACAATTAGGAATTAGGATAATAATATAGATATAGCACTAGCTAGACTTAGTAGGGCTATCTACTATAGTATAGTAGTAGCTTATAGTAACATGCATCGAGTGTAGTGTTTAGGTTAAGGAAGAATAGTAGAAGTAGTAGTAAGGATACTATATCATCGTCAATAAACTATATAAAGTATAAAGGTATACAGGATCAGTGTAGGTAAATACTGTCAGGAATGCCGAGGGCGGCCTTCTAACAAGCATATAGCTAATAGGTCAGAGATATCCTCGCACTTGATGCGAGATTCTAGTCTTTTGAGCGATTCTCAAGGGCTTACGGAATTATTGCCTGACAAGTACTAACTACCCGGACTTAATACGGGGCTCAATACTGTACTAAGGTACCTTAATACTAAAATACGCACTACGAAGCGTATTACTAATAAAATCTACTTTGCGTGTAGGAAGGTACTAACTAACTCAGAAGCCTTGGCGCACTAGTAATTACGGGAATTAGACGGACCCGGCTGAAAACAACTTCAGCCGGTATTTTCAGCCGGTAACTTAGCAGTGGCGGTGCAAGAGAGGATGACCTCGACGACCTCCTTGCCATTCGCACCTGATCTAGGAGACTTTGGGCATTTGATGGAAGCGAGTCGCCACGCCATGCCACCATACCTCCGGCCGTACAAGAACCAGCTTACGTTCATACAGTTGCGCAGCCTCAGAATCCAACACCCGCACAAAGTCCACCGGCATGCCCAGTGAACGAGCTGCACTGAGCAACCTTTCCTCTCCAAAGCTATCATCGCCGAACCCAAGCAAGACGAATCCTGTGCCAAAAAGGTCTATTATGAACCGCTCATTGTCCAACCAGTAGTGGGGAGCGCGATGACCAGGTCGTGCGATCTGTATGTAAGTACTAGGGTCATCTGCTGGCGCCGGCGAACCATCAGGCACGATTACCGGCGAGGTCGAGTATTGATACCCCATAGCAATGCCCAGCGAGCGGAATTCCTGCTCCAGACTGACAGCCGCCTGCTCTCCAAGCGCTCTGCGTTGTGCATCAGCATCGGGCCCTTTTTCTAGCACCTTCTCATGGCCTTTCCGCTCAACCCAGATCGCGTAATTCTGGGTCGAACTGATCCGTTCCGCAGGGCAACCTGCCGACGTTCGGCAGTATAGGCTTCAATAAGACCTGGACCGCTCCAACCGTCAAGTAAAGCCGGCAAAATCCAGCCTAGGTCCATAACATCACCCAGTCCGGTGTTGAGCCCGTGGTCTCCTGTCGGCGACATGCTGTGGGCAGAAACACCGCAAAGAAAGACACAGCAAATGTTTTAGCAGTGAATTAGCTACGTCGCCACGGCAGGACGCACATTAGCTCGAACGGAACAACGTCGCGGCCGAAAGCTCTCCGTACCAGAGAATCCATGTCGACTTGTGCAGAATCTAGTCTGTCTTCGTAACCAACGACAGTAAACCGAAACAATTGACGCCCATCGACAGCGGTGAGGTTGGACCAGACGCCTTCAGGACTGATAAACATGTACCGCTCGCCCATACGCATTGGATACTGGGTGAGATTGTCGGACCTTAACAATAACGCTGATGGAGTACCCCCGCTCGCGGCCATCTCTGTCGATCCCGCCTGCCTTCCGCACTCGACTCATCTAGACCATCGCAACCCACGAGATATTCTGCACGAATCTCTTCTTCTGCCCCATCTTCCAGGTTTCTCGCTCGACAATTGACCACTCCTTTATCTTGTTGAAGATCAACGAACTCAATCCCATAACGGATCGTGGTCATTCCTTGTCGCACGACCGCGCGAGCGAGCATAGGATCAAACCAGAACCGTGGACATCTTCTGTGCATCTCTCGACACGACGGGGGAAGGACACGGTCTTGCGTCGAAGGAAGCTCCAAACGACCGATAAGATGCCCATTCAGTGAAGTGCAGAAGATCGTGTTCCTCGACACGTTAGGATGGAAACTCACGCACAAACCCTTCAAAATAGGCAGCGTGATACCTAATCCTGTCAGGGTCATCCCAAAACATCACCAGCATGTTATCAAAAGGCTTCCTGCGCACCGACTCGCCGCTCTCTCCGTCTGGATAGAGCTTGCCATCAGGTCCAAAGACTGTAATGTCCATTCCATGGACGATCACTGACGATTCACCCGGGTAGGAAGGCAAAGTCCGTGTGCCATGCACGAATGGCCCGCATAATTCGGGGCCGCCCGACATGTTCAGTTGGCAGTCTAAGCCGAAAGACTCAGCAAGCCAGCTGGTCAAGGAAGGTGTGAGGACAGCGCCCGTGGAGACGATGGTGCGGAGATGAGGTGCGAGCGCCTCTGTCAATCGTAAGGTATCAGTGTCTCCAATTTTGTCTAGCAAGGGGTCGACATCAATGATCAGACTCACTAACTTTGATCTCCCACTTTTATACCTCGGAGTAGTATCGCGGCCTAGCGCCGAAGGAGGCGATCCTCCTCTGTCAATCTCTATCCGTTCGCCGTGCGCGTATGCGACGGCGTTGACCAAGCCCAGTCAACCACCAAACTCAGCCATGACGCCTAGACCTAAAGCCCGAGATAAGTACAACAAGTGACTGTATTGTATAGCTAAGTACTAATGCCTCGATGCGGGGAAAAGGCAAAGAGTGGATCTTAAGTGTGTAGTACCTTGTATCGGCTTACAGGCTGTAGATCTAGTGTGATTTTGGGACAGTTCTCGACTTTACACTACACCTGATGTTTCTCAGACTCGACAAAATCAGGCCTCGAGCTGGCCTTCTAGGGCCATTCACATCATCTCAATGTTAGATGACTCATTGCGTGAAGAGTGTGCGGGCACCCAGTAGACGTCAGAATTCGTTGACACTTAATTGCGATTTCCGGTAAGTACTCTACGGGTGGCGGGCATGGCAGCCCCCACTACGGAGGCAAATCCCCTGGGCCAAAGCGCCCCAATCTCCCTCCAATTATCGGAGAAAGTTGAATGAATTGGTTTCCTCAGGGGCCGGTAAGATAGGAATCTATATACTTTGAAAAATGAGAGGCTCGGAATGCCCAAGGATACCTCTACCAAGCACCAACTCATTTGTTTTACTTCCTCTTCATCTGTAGACAGTTGGCCAAGGAGCAACATTTCAGTAGTAGCTAGAATGCCCATACCCAAGTCAGACCCCAACAATTACAAGAGCCCTCGTCTAACAGGCTTCTAAACCAAAAGGTGCGCTATAGCACCAAATAATGCGTAACCTCTCTGCTATTCTTGGCGCAGCGGGCTCAAGACTGGACAGCATTGTCGAAGTCAGCACGGACGTAAGTACTACCGAGTCAAGTGGAAATATTTCAATGACTAAATTGTGTTGCAAGGTGCATCGGCTTCAAGCAGCTACCATACGGCTCAGATATAGAGCTGAAGTGCGTTGCCGTGCAGGAAGAATTACGGTCTCAGTAGCAGAGGGAGTATATAGGGTGGTGTGTACGTAGAGCAGGGGCTTGAAACGAGACGTGCAGAAAGGCATGCGATGATAGAATCCATCAAGATGAAAACAGGTACCTAGACATAGCTATTGCATGGACACCAGGAATCCGCAAAGGCCCGAATTATCTTGCAACCTGCAGATTTGCGCGGCCATTGTTCACACGCCTACAAGGGTGTGCCCGGCCGTCTGTGTTGGTATCTCTACCAAAACACAACTACCATCCGCGGGCTCTTTCCCAGACGTCCACGACCTTCCTGCCCTGAGACTCATCAGACGAGTCTACCACAAGATAGTGTGGGTATAGCGCTCCAGTGACGCACGCATGGTTTGGATAGATGCGCACCGTCTGTCCGATCGCGAGCGGAATCGGCCTCTGAAAGTCTTCGCCAGCAGCGTCGTTGCATTCTCCTGCCGAAGAACGCTCCCAGCTGATAATGCTGTGTTCTTGGCTGATGCGACTTACGATGAGACGACGCCGCGTATGTGACTCCCTGTTGTCCGGTGTCAGGGATGCTTCACAGTCCACCACTCCCCACCCTGAATATGCCACACACGGCTCTCTCCCCAGACCTAACGTACCAACCGCTACGAGAGCCTCGGACTGCTGGCGCTCCCCATCGTTGTAGATACTACAAACCTCGGCGGCAACGGACACAGCGATCTCGTCTTCGTAGGTCCCTAGGTGATCACCCCGGGAACGTGTGGACATTTGTTGAATGTCCAGCACAGAATACACGCCGGCATGGAGTTCAAGTGATGTTTGAAACCCGCTTGGATTCCCTGTTTGTAATTCCTCGATTCTCTTGCGCAGGCTCACTGCCGCAGCCGATGACGGTGCCGTCTCCATCGCGAGGTTCTCGATGGAAGTCACCTGAGGGGACGCGCCGACGCTGATAGTCATCTCCCTGCAGACTGAGAAAAGGGGCCCGTTCAGGTGAAGCACGTCCAGGCACCCCGATATCTCGGCCTCTAGGTTTTCCATGGCTTGGTCTGGAGTTGTGTCGTTGTAACTGAGACTGCTATGCGAGTAGAGCCCGGTGAAGATAACCTCGCCTTGCTCGTGCAGTTGCATTAAGCTTTTCACCAGATCGTTCTGGTTCACACTATCGGGGGGGAGGCCAGCTCGGTGGTACCCTGTGTCTATTTTCAAGAATAGTCCGGCAGGAAACAGGGCCAGCTTGTTAAAGCGCTTGACATGGTCCAGCTGGTGAACATTATCGACCAGCACAGAGATGGTACTTGGCCCTAGCTGGCGTCCTAATGTTGCGAGTCGCCCAACCTGCGACAAAGGGAGTGGCATGCCATATAGAACATTGACATGCCGCCCGTGGTCCTGGAATTCCAGCAAGACTGGCAGTAGATACTCGAGCTCTGCGACCGTCGATACGACAAGCCTAACTTTCGAGTTGGACTCTCCGGCTTGCAGGCGAAGACCTTGTCTAGTCTGTGACAACCTAGAATCAGTCTCATTTACGTTCTCATGTCGAACTAAGCTTAAGCTTCTAATTTACCTTGTGAGTCTTGACATGGAAACGAAAATCTATTCCGAGACGCTCCGTGGACGAGCGTAGGGACTCGCAATGCCGCTGCATCGTGGCCCTGTTAAGTAGCACAGCAGGCTTGGCCACATGATTGATATATAGGCCGATGGGATCTCGGGGTAGAGAGTCACCTGTGCTACTATCAACCAGGGTTTTGGTCACTTTAGGGGCTGTGCTTGCTGGAGCGCTCATTTTCAAAGGTATAACTCGAGCGGACGTGGTCTTGAGAAATGGAAAAAGGATGCCATTGCCAGGCTGGGAGAGTTTTTCACATTGAAGCCTCGAGTTGAGATGTTCTCGTGCTTATTTCTGACTAGGGCACTCGACCTGTACATACCAGCACGCTGATCGAAGCTGTGGCCAGCGGAACAGCAGCACCGATTCTCAAAACAGTGCGCAGGAGCGACAATACAGTCGTCGACTTATCTTAGAGATAAAACCACAACGAAAAACCCCGAGCAGCCTTGTAATGCTCAGTCCCATACGCTTGTAATAGCACTATACCAGGAAGAGTGCGCGGGTGAGATGGAAGCCCCACCCAATCTTCTTCCCTGTACCTTGATCAACGCATAACTACGAAGTAACAAGAACTTCACAGCAGCTTGCCACCTCCGATTCTTTCCCGTTCACTTTGCCTTGAGCACTTATCTTGATAAGTATATCAACTGCTACCTCTAAAAAGATACGGTTCCTCTTGGGGTCGCACATTAGCGCATGGCTCTTTCTCAAACTCGACTACTTGGAACCACGAACCGCAATAATATTGCTGGGTTTGTTTTCTGAGTTTCCGCACAATCCTGGGCATGAGAGAAGTAAACATTGTACCTGCAACGGCTTTCCCTCAATTCGTTATGTCCACAACCCAGACCACTGAATCTCCCTCAACATGGAAGCCTAAAGCCATAATATTTGATCTCTTCACCGCGCTACTTGACTCCTGGACCCTCTGGGCCGCCTCCACACCTCAGGACAGCGCTGCCGATGGTCGACTTTGGCGCGCACGTTATCTTGAAATCACGTTTGGTTCAGGCACATACGTGCCCTATGAAGATCTTGTCCGCACCGCAGCACGAGATGTTGGCCTTCCCCAGTCTGCTCCTGAGGCTTTATTACGTAACTGGGATGGATTGGCACCATGGCCTGAGGCACCTGCTGTGCTACAGAGGCTGAGAGCTCAGGGTTATATGCTTGGCGTGGTAACAAACTGCTCGAAAGAGTTGGGGCATCGAGCGGCTAGTAGGGCGAGTCAGAGTTCCATTGATTTTGATGCCGTCGTAACAGCGGAGGAAAGTGGGTTTTACAAGCCGGCCTCGCAGGCGTATCAGGCTATCTTGACGGCTATGGCAGTGGATGCCCGTGATGTGTTGTTCGTTGCTGGCAGCGCTGGCGACGTCCAAGGGGCGACCAAGGCGGGTATGAGAGTTGTGTGGCACAACAAAGTTGGTATGGCAAAGGCCGGTAATATCGAACCGCTTCGGGAAGGTAGGACGTTGGATGACGCTCTCAAGAGCTTCTTGTAACAGTACCACGAGTGTATATAGACCGGTTCTTCCACTCAGACATACTGAAATTAGCATCAGACAAAAACAGTTGTTTTGTCGGGGCGACCAGAGAAACTGCTGGCAGTGCAGCTTAGCAGTTGTAAGGCAACTAAAAGAAGTAGCTAGTGAATAACCATGCCGACATCATATCATCCTGGTATACACGCACAATTCTCCTGTAGCTCTTGATCGTCCATAGACAGTGAGAGAGCGTAGGTCCTGACTGTGATAGGAGCCAAACTTCCCACTGCCACCGCCATCATCCTCTGTTTGGAAGAGCGCGATGACATCCCACCCATTACTGCGCTCCATGTTCACAAGGTATAAAGTGTCGAGTATCTGAGACAATGGAAAATTGCCCTCTTCCAGGTCATTGTCTTCCACTTGTCTCTCGAGCCAACTCTGAAACCAGAGTCCAATCTCAAGACTATGGCAATGCATTGCACCAGCGAGGAGAAGATTGGCCAAGCCAACTCTATAGACATTGAGCCGGACACATTCTTTCCAATCCAGCCCGGTGGCTATGCCGATGAGAATGGAGATCCACCTCTCAGCCTCGTACGCAGTGGAGGCCTCGACCGGAAGCCGCTGTTCCAGTTGTTCGAGTGGGCCAGTACATTGCATGACTCGGGCAGTAACGTAGTAGGCGAAGTTCATGGCTGCATCATGAGAGGCAAACCGCAGAGGGTGAATGATATTGATGGACAAGCGATCAATCGTGTGAGAGTCCCGCTCCGGTTCAGATAACGGTAGGTTCGAGGCTGGTTGAGACATGTGCCACTTGTCTAGCATCTGGGACTGCACTTGCAGGTGCATGATATGCTGTCGAATGTTGGATGTGCTCGGAGTAGAACCCAACCCAACAGACTTGGGAGATGATGGGTCATCTGATTGGATCACGGTTTGGTCGCCCTGAATGCTGCTCCAGTTTGACACGATGGCGGCGCTATTCAGGCGATGGGACTCGCAAAGTATGAGAAGGACCGATGCTCTTGGATTCTTCGTTGCTTGAAGAACGAGGCCCAGAGATGAGCTTAGTAGCTGCGATGAGGAGTTGAGCTGGTCTCGATGGAAGTCAGGGGTACTGAAGTATGCTCTTCGCCACCAATTTTGGGCTTCGACGTCGACCCAGGCTGCCAACAAGTCGGCTCCATAAAGAGTCACGATGTCGGAATATTTTTCTGTAAGAATTTTGATGGCGTTTGAGTGAATGCGGAAATTCCTAAAATTGCCCATAGATGCTTCCAGATAACAGAACAATACTAACAGGAACAAGCCAAGAACAGGATTTGTATCAAAGGCCTGGTGGTCCCAGCCCGCCACTCTACGCATCACCGTTCCGTAGTGCTCATAACTGAGAGATTCATGACCATTGTTCGGGCGGAATCGCGTTACCGGATTGTGCGGACTAGAGGAAACCTTTCGCTGTGGAAGCCTTCGACTTAGGCAGCACGCTGACAAAGAAATCATGATGTCTGTGACAACTGGACTTGGACCAAATGCGGGTTCGAGATATTGGAACGTGGTGTGGAGCGCCGGAAGACAGTGCTTTGCCCAGGTGTGCGTGTAGAATGCAATTAGACTGTCGTTATCTCGCCGTTCGAGGCTTCGGGAAATATTGCTGTTGAGGTTCAACTTGTGCGACAAGGTTCCGGTCGTCAGTATTGAGCCGTAATCTTCGTAGCCAGGCGATTCTCTCGCCTCAGGATGTTGAGAATAATCCTCAAGGGGGGTGGGCGAAAGATCGTCGGGAGACCGGTCATTGATTCCTCCTGAATCTGGAAAATTGATCTCGGCTAGGCGACCGAAGAAGCCAGGGTGGAGCTCCAGTACTGCAAAAGCTTTAGCCGCCGTGGACGGAACATGATGGTGTGCATCTAGAGCATTGTGGTTAGGCGTATTGATCATTGCCCGAGGTGTCGGATGGATCCATGCGGGTGAGACAGTATCTTCGACGATTGCTGGGTCATCTCGTGTTACATTAACGGCATTTGAATGCGTGGTACACTTGCTGCGGACCTCCGATGAGGAAACGGATAAATTTCGAAACGATAATTTTGGCGATGGTTTCTCACAGATCTTGCCGAGCCTCAAGCACGTGCTACACGAGGGTTTCCGTTCATCGCACTACAATTTTTAGCCCCCTGTGGTAAAGGATGCAAGACGGAACGGATGGATATGACCTTAGAGTGCCTGATCTTACAGACTTTGCATCCTGTGCGACTGCGTAGAATATTGGTCTTCTTGGGCCGGGGTGGCGCTGGCTTGTACATTAAGGCCAGCAGCGCAAGGCTTGTAATCAAATACCACTGGTGAAGGGTCGAGACTTAGTAGACTCGCTGCTGACCATGACCAAGTCTCGGAGATTTTAACCCTAAGCAAAGGTTAAGAAGCCATCAGGAGAGAGCGAGGTTCATGGAATTGATGTTGTTTGGCGTGAGCAGCCTGGCGGTCTCGATAAGCTTTGCTGAAATCGTTGAGCTTGGGACCGTCGGCCACGTAGCCCGTGGTCTGTATACCGCAATGGCTGGTATTCGACGAGAACCTTGTGGCGGTGGTGCTACAACTTGCTGCATTCAGGGCTTGACATGCACTGGGACTTGTCGTTCATCAATTCTCAAGGTGTGAAGGGATGAGATAGGGGAAGGTATGGAAAAGCATCGTCCGATCGAGATCATAAGATCTGCAAGGGCTCTCGCTGACCACGTGATTATATCACGTGATACCTCAGTGCATATAGCCCACGTGATAGCCCCTATGCGTCTATCGGCTATTGAGGTCTTCGCTCACCTTAAAGGCTGCATATCACAAGCCTCCCAGAGGCGACTGCGGTTCACTTGCATACTCTAATCCATTGGTATTCAACGGCGACAAAGCACCTATCTAGCTTTTGGCACCCGTTTTAGTATGTGTCCCGCCGCTTTACTCAATAATCTGGTAACCTGGCTACACCGGGCTCAACTCCTGCTCGGCCTCAGCATACCCTACTTAGCGTACTCAGGTCGTTGCTCACAGTTGCTTACCGCTGCTCAGACCTGGTTCTGGGACACATTGCTGCAACTGCAAGACCATACGCAGAGATGCGCGAAACCTTTCGTCCAACATAGAGCGTAAGGTAACCATCTCGCGCATACAGTGTCTCAAAGTCGCCATGTAGAAGTGACGAATAATCGATCGCCCAAAGTATGAAAGAAGTTTGCGCATCGGATCTTCACTGTCTCCCTTAGCGGCTTAAGCAATGGTAAATCCGCTGGGAGTTCACGAACGTTTACCTGGACGGCGCTGCTTTAAAAGTACACACTCGCGACTTGCCATCTTCCCACCTTTACTTGCCCTTTGACCCTCGGGGAGATACTGGATGATCATAAGACTCTTGGGAGCGAAAACTTACATCTGTTTGTCGTTCGACGACCTGGCGTTATTACCATTCGGTCAAGTACCAGCACAGGTAATTGTCCCCAGGTTCCGGTGCTTCGTTCAAAGATTTGGAGGATTTGCAGCATAGTTCCTCTCGAACCATTTGCTATGCTGAGTGGGCATGTGTCGTGGTTCTTACCCCCTACAATACTCCCAGAACAAACGTAATACAGGCGCAAAGACTCTTATCCTGAAAGACTCAAACGCGAACGCTCTGGATAAAATTGCGCCAAGAGACATGGAGACAGTAAGCAGTAGATATAATGAGCAATTGCAAGGCTGTCTTGTGTTGTCCGGTCCTGTCTCCTTCCAGGACTCTGGGTTTGTCCCTCTGCGTTCCTTCCTGTTTGAATGCTGGCCCAGGTACAAGATCCCATCTTCATCTCTCTCTTTTTCCTTCTTTCTTCTTCCTCATGCATGGTCTCAGGGAGGACAAAAGATTAAAGAGAACAGATTGAGTCGTCATTTCTGCTTCGGACGATCTGTCGCGGAAAAGTCTGGTCCTGTCCAGCCACAATATTACGGTGTTTTGCAAGAATTCGACATCAAGCTGGAGTGCGGCAACAACATATCCTTCTAGAAGGGATCACCTAAACTGAGGGGTCGCAAAAGGCTCAGTCTCGTCAGGTGGGACGAATCACGCTGTCCTACACAACCGCTAGAAATCACATACAGACAGATCATGAAATGATGTCGTTGCTGAAAAATCCCATGCCATGATACGAGCGATTCGACAATCTTGAGCGTCGTGTACGTTGGCATCCAACTTAGGACAGGGGCTCTATTAGAGGATAGGCGTTGTGGGCCATTAGACCGACAGCTGAGAATAGGCACTTCGACATGAACTGAAAAAGAATGATTTGTGCTCGAAGAAATCCGCAAGGAATACTACCATGTTCGCGCTGTTTTCTCCCATCATGGCTGGAAATATCAATTAACTTCAGGATCAAGAGTTCAACCTCACTATCACGGATCCCATCAGATTATCTGGTTTAGTTGCTTCTAGGATGTTTTAGGCCTACTTTTTGTGATTGCTGTGTAAGCCTCTGGCGACAAGGTTATCTAGCATTCCTAGGTTGGGAACCTCGAATCTCACGGAGTGGAGGCACGGCAGCAAGTAAAAATCAAGGCTTCATGGGGCATACTCGGGATTCCGAGTACTGCTCCACCAGATCGTCAAGTCAACTAAAACTGCTAAGGATGTTCCTGACTCTCAGAAGGCAGTACGTTCTAGATGCTTATTATCTTGGTTTAAGTTCAAACCTTGGCATTATGATATAACAAGCAGCCTGCCCACCATGGCGTTCCTGGTATTGTTATCTAATGCTGCTGAGCAAATCCTTGATCTGCTCAAGGTTACCCGAACAAGATGGGCGACAAAAGGCACGATGTCAGTGTTGAAAAGCTTCTTGTGAGAGTTCCGAGGTCACTGTACGGTCAAGATACGATCTAACGGTTATTAGCTCACAGGCACAACCGGATATATTGGGTTCAAGACTCTCCTCATAGCACTCGAAAGGGGCTACTGGGTCCGATTGATAGTCCGAAAGGAGAGTAACCTCAATGACTTAAGGGCAAAGCATGAGCTGGTCGCAAAAGCGTCCGAGCAGAAGCGGCTCGAGTTTGTTGTGATTTCTGATTTCACTGACGCCGTGTCTATCGAGAGGGCCTTGCAGGGGATTACGGCAATCATACATTTAGCATCGCCATTGGCGAAAGCAGTGAGTTGATTCTTCTCCTTCGTTTACACAGTTCAGAAGATATTCGGAGGAGCCTCCCAAATACTAAAATGCGCGAATTTGTACCAGGACAGCGATTTCGAGAAAAATATCGTCGACCCCGCGGTTCTGATGGTCAACACAATCCTTGAGTCTGCCGCCAAAGTCCTCACAGTACAGCGGGTCGTAATCACTTCATCGTGTATGATTCGGGTTCTATCCGCTTGGATGTGATACGGGGTAGCTGACAATACTAGGTGTCACATTGATTCCATTTGAGTGGAACTTTAACCCCGACTCTGAGACTCTCTATACCGGTTCCTTTCAGCCCCTTTCCGAGCTCCTTAGATATATCTAACATCCCCCACAGCCCAGAATCTCAATAGCAACCCCACAAAGCCATACACCAACGCGATGGAGGCCTACTGGGCATCAAAGGCACTCGCTCGCATCGCAACACGAGACTTCACAGCGAACCAGAAACCACATTTCGATTATGTCAATCTACTCCCCTCGGTAGTCATAGGGCCAGACGAGCGGATCCCAATCGATGGGCATGTTGACGAGCTTCTTTCAGGGGCTCGCGCCGCAGTTCTGGCGCCTGCACTGACGAGCGATCTGAACTCCGCATTTCCATATGTTGGTGTCCCAGTTCACGTCGCTGACGTAGCGCGAGCACACGTGGACGCCGTCAATGCCAATTTGATCCCCGGAGATACGGAGTATATCCTGTCTTCTGACACGCCGGAGGGGGTCGAGTGGGACCGAGATGTCAGCAACGCGGCGCAGAAGTATTTTGCTGCGGAAGTCTCAAACGGCGTGTTGCCTTTGAAGGGGGCTCTTCAGACAATCAAGTGGCGGATCGACGCGATGAGCACTGAGGAGGCGTTTGGTTGGAAGTTCACATCTTTCGAGGAAACGGCCAGGCAGTTGATCGCTCAGTATATCCAGCTCAAAGGGAATCAGACAGTGGGCTCCAAGGGAAAGTAATAGCGAAAACTGAAAACTGTCGTTGTTTGTGGATCATAGGGTATCTAGATATGAGCTGTTTGCTCACGAGCGTCCTTGAGTCACAAAAACATACAGTCGTTCTACAGAGCGGCTAAAATTCTGCCACTCGCTTTGCCCGCTTTGTGCTGTTCAGTAAACACTGACCGGCTTGCCATGTCAAAATCAAGCGGTACACCCTATTATTGTTGCAGTTGCTCTTGTTTTTATCCTTTTGAAGGGAGAATTGGATCACGTCCATCATTAGTAATTCGTCTCTACTTGTAGTTTACAGCAAGCCCAAAGCTTTGACAGCCTCATAGGTATCCTCCACTGTCCTCTGGAACGGAATAGTCTCCTTCAACCCCAGGATTTCCTGTTGCTTACTCTGATCCAGAGAAAAGTGATTAGCGGGATTGACCAGCGCACCAGGCTCGCCTAAGCCTTGAACGCCCTTGGCCCTCAATCCTTTCAGCCCGTCCTCATAGTAGTCGACACCCCCGCTCAGAAGAACCCTCTCACTTTGGTCATCTTTCAGGTCAATGGTCGCTATACAGGCCCTTGCGGTATCTCTGACATCAATCCAGGCAGGGAGGCCGGGCGTGGCGACTTTCGGGGCGAATAGAGGGTCCTTGCCGAGAATTCCGTTCATTAGGCGCATCGTACTGGTGTTCAAGCCCGAGATGCCCTCCTTGGGGACATTCTCCGGCGAGTAATGTATGGGCGGGCCGTAGATCATCGGCGGGCACAGAGTCGTTAGCGCAAATTTCGCCTTGTGTGGATGGCTGCACTCATCGGGCCCGACATCGTGAAGTTTCCAGGCCTCGCGTTCCGCGAACGTCTTGCTTGCGTGGTAGCCTAGGACGCCGTTCTGGGCGGCCTGTTCCTCTGTAATTGGATCCCACTCCTCGGCGGTGTATTTGTACCCTGGCCGGGGATTTTTCGAAATGTCCACCACAGATGCAAACGATGAGAGCACAGTCAATCGTTTTAGCTCCGCTTCGCCGTACGTCAAGGCGCTCAGCAGCACATTGCGCGTAGCATTGACTGCAGGCTTGACTAACTCTTCGATGGGATTAGAGCTTGTCGTAAAATATGGAGACGCAAGGTGGATGATATACGAGATCTTGTTCTCCTTGAGCGTGGAGTCTAGCGCATGTGGCGCGGAGAGATCTGGGTTGGTGGTAAATGTGAGATTGCCTGCTGAGATGTCTTGCGCGTATTTGTCGAGGAAGTAGTTCGCTTTGCTTGTAGAGCGGACCGGTGCGAGCACACGGTACTTGGCTGAACGTAAGAGCTGGTCGAGGACATGTGCTCCTACGAAACCGGTTGCTCCGGTTAGGAGGACAAGAGGCTTCGTGCTAGCCATAGCAGGGTTTCTTTGCTGGATGGAAAATAAAGCTGCGGGCGTATTTCAAGTGGTAGTCCGTACTGAATGATGTACGCAATTCTCAGACAGAGTAAACGACCTAGATATGAGGCAGCAAGGCGGATCAGTAGTGTTTACTGCGGTATGGATGCGCGATAAACGACTTTAACACCTTGAGTCGCTCTCGTTAATGCAAGATGGTGCTGCAAACTTCGACCAGGCATACCTCTTCCTAATATACTTTCGATCATGCCATCAGACTAGGTATGAGCGGAGTTCCGGAATTCCAATCATTCCTAGTCCCTTGGAGAAGTTCCTGTCGGTGCGTTTGAACCCGGATACCAGTAAGAGAAGAAGATGGTGAATAATCAGAGCAGCGCTTATCGCCGTTACTGCTTACTGTTGGTGGAACAACGAAGAATTCGGCTCTGATGCGGCACAAGCGGCCGCTTTGGGTGGACGCCATTGAACTTTCCTGCGTGGAATAACGGCAACAGACAAGCGGTCCTTTGGGTCGATCTACTTCATATTAATTAATTACTTCAAGATAATCCCATTGCAGAATAGCGTCATCACTACTCACAGGTTGCTACCTCTCCTAGCTAATAGCAGAGGTCATCAAGCCCTCAAACCCTCAGCTCTTGCTCCCCCTAAAATATGGCCCTACCAAATTCTGCAATACTTTATTACCTTCCAACTCTTCATCTCACCTTTCACTGAGTCATTGGTATAATCTCTCACTCCACTACGGTAGACCACGGGCGGACGCTGCCATGGGAAGCCTAAAGCAGAAGGACAAGTTTACTACAAAGTTTCTCCCATGAGTGATCAGATAGCATCCCATTATCAATATCACAACTTGCTGCTCGCCTCACTGACACTTCTAGCCTGCTTCTTGAAGTTCTTCACCAGCAGACGCACAGCCAAATCCAGCAAGACGTCCTCGCTCCCTCCAGGAATCCTGGCACCCATGACATCGCGATAGATCTTCTCGATCAACTCGCCTTGGCCAGTTCTGGTATATCCGTTGCCGCCGAAGACCAGAACAGCAGTCTGAGCACAGTCGTTGAACACCATTCCAGCCTTTGCCTTCAGCAGCGATGTAGGGCCTCCAAGCTTTTCGTCTGCCTCTTCTTTAGACAGGTGGTTGAGCTGGTAGACAAATTCAAAGATCCAGGATTGCAGCGTTTCGAGATCTGCACCGGCCTTTGCGATGCGGTGGCGGACCACAGGCTGATCCATCAGAGTCTTTCCGAATGCTTCTCTCTTCATGGCGTACTCAACAGCAGTCGAAAGTGCGACGCGTGCTTGACGGGTCACGCCCATGCTGATAAGCAGCCTTTCGTGATTGAAGTTGGTCATGGTGTACTTCATGCCTTCGCCCTCCTTGCCTATGAGATTCTCCACAGGGACCTTGACATCGTCCAACTCAATATACGTGGTTCCTCCAGCCTGCTGCCCGCTGACCTGCAGCCGCCGCATGGTCACACCGGGATGGTTCTTCAAGGGAACCACCAGAAGACTGATTCCTGACGGGCCGGGTCCGCCGGTCCTGACCACCATTGTCGCAAAGTCTGACCAGATTCCATTCGTGATCCACTTCTTCTCGCCGTTGATCACGTAGTGAGACCCGTCCGCCGACTTGACCGCCGTCGTCTGAATATTCGCTACATCCGACCCGGCCTGCGGCTCCGTGATAGCAATGCACGCACGGGCGTGACCCGGTAGCAACTTCGGCAGGAACTTCTCCTGCAGAGCCTCCGATCCAAAGTTCAGGATCGGAGGGATCGCGTAGGCAAACCCGGGAGTCAAACTTGAACCGGGCCCTGAGATTCCTGCCCGCGCCCTTTCGTCCACCCAGATCGCGGTGTGCAGATAATCCCACTCCTCGACGGGGACGCCGAGGATGTCGTTGAGGCCGAGGCGATGCAGCCATTTGATGGGCAACGGCGACTTCAGATTAGGGAGTAGCATGTTGTGCTTGTTGAACAACGTCCATACGTGCTCTGGAACTGTCCCTGCCGTTTCCCACTCCAGCACGTAGGGCAGGAAGTGCTCACTGAAGAATGCGCGGCATCTTTTCTGGAATTTCAGATGCGTGTCCTGGAAATATGGTGATGGAAGCCCGCGCAGATAGCTGGGCTCTGCAAAGGGGATGAGACTACTTTTGGTCGACATTTCAATGTGCTTAAATGTGGTTGACGGGGTCGTGACTCTTGAGGGACAGACTGGTGTCAAATTCCGGACTTATTAGATAGAGGTTTTCACCCGCCTTGCCTCCATCAGCAAGCATGTAAAGAATTGGTTTTTGAAAATCATATTATTTCTCTACTCTATCAAGACATGTCTGGCATGTAGTCAGTCAGATGTGGAATACTTTCCCCTCAGCGTCGGCCAAGTGCGTTTCGGCTGTGGTTCGAGTTACCGAGGTCTGACTGTCACACCCCAAGAAATCACAGCCTTGAAGTTAGCGAGGCTATACACAGTTGCTTTCGTGCAATCGCTGGCTACCCTCACATTGCTGAGAAGAAGGATCAATACGGGAGGACCGCCAGATACAAACTCCGATGGATTCGGTCTCCTGTTCCTGATTTGAGTAAAGGGTAATTGCAGCTGAAGGCCGGCATATTTGGGGAACGAAAGTTGATTAAATAGTCAAGTTTTAAATCGTCAAGACCATATCTGATCTTGTCACTGGCTCATACTTCAATCTCTGCAGCGTCCAATTTCCAGTCATCAAGCTCTGAGTCGAGGTATGCATATTCCTTGTGGAGCTTTACGATCTCTTCGTCCCTTCCCTGGTATCCAAGAAGCCCCTCCAGGGCATGGAAACTCATCTGAGTCCCGACAGTGTTGCCTAGTGCCATATAGCCCTTGATGGCCAGTCTGTAGAACGGCTCGCTTTCATCGTAGCGGTCCCATTCAAAGTACAGGTCGCAGAGGTCGAAGCATGCAGAGACACCGTAACCATCACCCTCTGGATTCCCTGTGATTTCAGCGGACCACTCCAGTTGTTTGTGGCAAAGTCGTTGACACGCCTCATATTGCCCTCGGCTATATCTCACAGCTATAGCACTGCCCAATGCCACCCTCTGCTCCTCTTTAGGGTGGTTAAATTGAATGGCTCTCTCCTCACACATCTCGACAACACGTTTAACAAAGTCGCTATTCCTACCGTTATAGGGCCAGAACTCCGCTGTATCTCTTAGCATCGTAAATTTTGCCAATGATTCAGGCATAGCTTGTAATATGTCTAGATGAAGCTGTGTAAAGGTGGTTACAAGTGACAGGTGGATGTCCTGTTATGGATTCAAAAGTGCCATGCATTGTGTGATAGGATGTGAAGTGCCCAAAAGAGTGCGAGCTGACGATGCTACGAATTGGAAAAGCGATCGCAGAACCTGATTGCGAACGTCATTGTACCTGTTATAGAAAGCCACAATATCAACAAGATCAAACAAAGGCTGGAATGGCTGTTGTCTCAAAATCGAGCTCACTTCCGCACAAGACCTGTTCAGAATTGCAAATGCATTGCCAGGATTTGTTTCTAGGAGTGAGAAAGCGCTTTCGATAGCGTAATAAAATCCATTCAGTGGCATACAACTGTCGACCTGAAGTTCGGATGCGGTTTGGGTATTGTAGCAAGTGTAATAGCGATGAGCACACCGTAGGAAGAGCTCTATATTTTGGCTCTGTGAAGATTGCTGAAGAAGATATCTCTGAATGGGGCCCGCTCGATGGGTAGAATAGTAATGTTTCATAGCACGTCTGACCGCATGATAAGCTCTGGTAGCGATTGAAAAAGACGTGCCCTGGCGCTGCACGCGACGATACAGCCGTTGTTTCTGGACCAGCTTTCCGTTGAGTTCAATCGTTGCGGTCAACTGATCATCGGAATCTTCATTGGAAAGTCGTCAGATGACGTTCTTCTGAGCTAGAGTTGTAATATTTTCTCTTTTTCCAGTCGCCGAGTCGTTTCTTGTACATTGATGGCCTAGTTTCCGTCAGATCTCTTCGACAACCGCACTCCTCGAGCCACCTACGATGCGTCAAAGCCGTGGCTGGCGATCATCTCCGCCCGAACCTCAGTAAGCGTGAGTTCTTTCTCAATGTAGAGGTGTTCGATAGTGCTTTTGTGCTTGTTCCAAACATGTTCTGGGATGACCTTAGCCCTACGACGAGCTCTTAGCCTCGCAGCAGGTCGCATCGATCCTTCGGCTGGAGCTGAATCTGCCTGACGGACCACATCGTCAATATTAGGGTCCGAGATACTCGAAGGAAGAGTCTCTTTAGACCAGGGTGCGTCGTTCGAGTCGTTTTCGAATCGGACCATTCGGTTGAATCCGCGTGGACTATCCTGGCCTGTGAAATCGTTCGGCAGCGGATCTTCAGCCTGATCGGAGCAAAAGTCCGCTTGCGTCCGCCAATGTAACAGGCATTTGAGATGCCAACCTCGTGTTAGCTTGAAGAAAGGTATCCAAGTCGAACAATTTGAGAAAAGGAGGTCGAATAAATAGTCAGAGAGCCACGCAGAGGATGTTCCATGTTCTTCCAACAAGCAAAGCGGACGACTTTTGTCGCCTCAAGTCAACTCTAAAATACAGTGTCGACCAGCGTCAGGCTGGTGACCACACCATGCCATCCAATAGTTGAGGGAGATGGAAGGTCACGACGGACTATCGTTGTCTTGGCTTGCATGCAACTCCGGATTCTTGCAAGCCTGTGTGACCTGAGCTTTCTGCTGGTGGTCGCTCTGTGGCTGCGTCCGCCGTGCGTCTTGACGGCTGCCAAATGGGATCAACAGGATGGAATCTCGCCTAAGAATTGATGTCGTTGTGAAGGCGCATTTCACACTTGGTGGGCTCCTCCCAGACAAGGATTTAGAAACAGAAGGGGTGTTTCCCAAGAGTGTACGTGTGGTCAGTAACAAGAGCGAACTTAGAGATTTATTAAGCAGGTAGTATATCTATATCCCAGTCCAATCACCGTCGTCAAATTTTGGGTCGTATCGTCGGCTTCGATGTCGTGTGGTCCACGCCATCACTTGTACATCGAGCACTATTTAGGAAACGCTATGCAAGAGTACCAACAGATTGACAAGCAAATTTATATCCCCCAAAAGGCCCTTTCCCATGGATTAAAAGCAAATATGTAGAAAATGCGTCGCTTTATGCACAGCCAACATTGTTCCCAAGAGGCAAGAGTCGAGTCCTGACCGCGGACTATTTGTGGCGATACTGCTCGTAGCCGAGATCTGGCAGGCGTGGCTCCCGACTGAAAGGGGGAGGACTGACAGAGTGGCCGGACCTGTTTTGACTCAGGCTGCGATAGCCTCCGCTGCCCATTGCGGCGGCACCTTTGACGAGGGTTTCCTGGCTGTCTGCGTACTGATTGCCGAACCTATCTCGCATTGGCTCAAAGCCCGGTGAATCTCTTGACGCCTGGCGGCTATGGGCCGGAGGTGTGGAGTAGTATGGATTTGGTTGCATCAGGAAGGCGTCTCCCTCGAGATCTCGGGAAAGGTTCTTCTCGGCAGCCTTGCGACGCTTGCGATGAGGGTTTGCTTTGAAGCAAGTAATGATGCTGTTGATGAGGATGAGAATGAATAGAATGGCGGTCAGGCCCGACTGCACAGCAATCAGGACAACACCAGTGATGGTCTTGGTTGTCTGAGCAATGCCCAGTTCCTGAACGAAGATCAAAATGCAGACAACGGACATAACTCGCACGACTTGGATGATGATATTGATCCAGTTGCCAGATTTGCGCTCATAAGGTCGAGTCCAGAGTAGGAGACAGAGCATGATCGCTTCAATGACGAGTTGGCCAATGGTCTGGACCAATCCATGGCCGTCACCGGCTGCCAAAACGCACCCTTTGGCAAACATGTAGACAATGGCTGGGATGAAAAGCCACCAATATCCACGCTTGTAGTTTTCGTAGAAGTTTTTGTACTTCTTCCAGGTTTCCTTGTTTTCGTATAGCGAATTGGAGTTTCCTTCCATTTTCTTGAGCTTGCTGACTACACTCCAGATCTTCCAAGAATAGAAGATAAGGATAGCTGTGAAAGTGGCAAGTGTGACAGCTGCGAGTAGCTTCGCCGCCCAGGAGTCGCCATGGGTGAACTGGAAGATACAATACAGCGTCCAAACACCGTACAGAAGAAGAATTAGGGAGACGATTGTCTGCGCAATGACACGCCAGTACTCTTTCCTGAATGTGTACAAGGATTTGGGGAATTTTCCAAACAGCGCCCATGCTTCTAGGATAACTTTGAAGAGCAGGATACCAACGATAATGGCAGCCAGGACAATTGCGAAGATCAGGAGAACAGTCATGAAAGTATTGGCATCAGGAATGGTGAGTTGTTCGACGTAAGCTTGGATGCCTTCCACAAAGTGTTGTTGTTTCTCGTTGCCAGAGGTCGATGTATCTGTGTCGTTAGAGATGTCGATCTGACGAATGAAGAGCAATGCACGCTTCTTGAAAGTCGATGATGCGGTGCTTGTTGAATTGTCAGAAAAGACAAGCGTAGCATTCTTGAGATAGTCGTAGTTGGACTCGTTTAGATTGCCTCCAGTCTTCTCTCTGAAGCTATCGATGGATCTTTGCATTCCAGCCCATGGAATAAGACCGGTGCTGAACGCAAAGTTCTTGGTGAAGCTACGATAGACGGTGGGATAAGGGACTGAATGCATGCCATTCATGGCCATTCCTTGAAACCAGAAGATGACTTCGCTGAAACCCGGGCTTGAGGTCGATGATCCAGGATGACCACCACTGGCAGCGGCTCCGATTAATGAGACGGCTGCAGCAGCGGCCGCAATTGCGGCCGCCACATAAGAAACAGCAGGGACTTCAACTGTTTTGCCGTTGTTGACACCAGCTTGAATACAAGCGATCTCAGATCCATCTTTTGCCTTGAGAAGCAATTGAGCGCTTCCCTCAAGATCAGGTATCGAGTACGCAATCGATGGGATTTTATCGACATATTCTGAAGGGATTTCTTGCGAACCGTTTGCGCTGAAGGCCCGAGCGGGGACTAAAACGCCCGTTAGCACTTTGCTCAGTATTCCATGGGCCATCTTGCGCACTCACCAGGACATAGTTCGTCAATTTTGGTATCATCAGAACAAGGGTCGAAAGAGTCTCTGTAAACTTCGATCCCGTAAGCGCTGACAATAAGCTCCGCAGTTACTTCCTGTTCGACAGTGCTTTCTCCCGACACATCGAAGTTGACGGTATTGGTGCTGCGATCAAAAGATATATCAACGTTGTTCACTTTGATAGTGCCTGTTCCATTTGCACAATTGGTGAATCCATCTGTTTTTAAGATATCTGCCGCAAGGACTGCAGGAAGGATGGCCAAAGACGCAAATGCTACTGCTGACGCCCCCCACATGTTTGGCGACTTTGCTGGTTTTAGGCAACAATCGATACAGGAAAGCCGACTTGCGGCGAGAGCACTTGATTGTAATTGCAGGTACTTGAGATCTGGGGAGAGAACTGGTGGGAATACGATCGCTAGGGTGACTTGTGGCGTTGACGACGAAGAAAACGATCGACACGAGGATTTCGAGACGGTGGTAGGATTAGGAGGAGGATGGAGAACGAACGAGCGACAGTTAGAGAAGCAAAAATATCAAGAGTGAAGGTAAGAAGCGAGTGTAGGAGAAGTAGTGCTGGTGATCAAGAGACGAACGACAGGACTTGCTTTTCAGCTGAGCATCGATGTAGGCGGTAGTAATACGAGAGAAACGCTGGATGGCACTGTTGACTTTTGGGAGGCCAAGCATGCCGCTTACAGAAGCCGTTTCAAGACATACGCAATGGCAACACCTGAGAGGTCCATCGAAGCCTTCAGAACGTGGGTTAGTCCCTCAAGCCAGGGCCAGGATAGCGACCTGGTGGGCTTGTGGCGTAGACGACCGAGCAATTTTTGGGAAAACTCAGTTCTCCTCCCAAGTTCCCAACAAGCTGAATGGCCCATCGGTCGCCCGCCATGGTCTATCGCCCGCCAGGTCTCGTCAGGGGGGCGTTCTCTTCCGCAACTGGGGGAGTCAGGATGACCAGGGCATCAATCCACCAACCGAGAACTGGTAGAATTTTTGTTGATGGTGGTCTGGGTGGTGGTGGCTTAGGCATGGTTACCTCCAACTGCTAATGCCACCCTGGTGAAGCTCTCCCATGACAGGTTGTGCTATTACGTGGGCTTCGGCCAAACACGCTTTGACCACGCGGTCACTGAAACACTGTGCGTGTCGAGTGTATATTCATGGCAGAGACAGCCAGAGAGATGCTCCGGGCTTAAAGAGCGAGTCCTGTCCCCGCATACGTGTTCCTGGTTGATGCCGTTGACAGACATCTGTTTCGATTAGATGGTGATTATCAAGATACCCGACTCACGATGTTGAACCTCCCTCCCATCTGGTTCGGTCAGGAGTGGCGTGCCTGAAGGAAAATCAGTGGAGCTGCCTCGTGCCTTGGTAGGAAACACCAGGGGCAGCCCGTAGAGTAGAGGCGGCGTGGGGCAGGAGAGGCGCAGTACCCAAGCTAAGAGACCGAGCACTGGGGCATGGAGCCTGTCTCTCGGTCGGGCTCTGACTGCCTGGGCGGTTGCGGTTCTGCGAGACATTGTATCCACCCCAGGAAGACTCATCGATGCCGCTATTGGCGCTGTCCTTGCTTAGGCTCGTTAGGCTCTTTGGGGTATCTTAGGGGCTCCCTAGGGCTCGTTAGGGGCGGCTTAGGCGCTGAGCTGCGCCTCAATTCCCCATCAGTTCGGGAGGGGCAGTGCCTTTATTCCCCAGGTCGAGAAGTCTATTGTTTGTTGCTCATGCACAACTCAAGTCAGTGCTTGTACGTGCAGGGGAATGTGAAGGCAAAACGCCCTAGGTTTGATTCACCGGCGATTGCGATGTTATTCCAGCGGCAAACGTGTTTTACTCGGTCACGGGTAATCATCGATGGCTCTTAGTCTTCACTGAACCCACTATGGCCAACGAACCCTGACAGAGCGCTGGTAGCGGTAAGCCTATTAATAGCCGGAGTGTTCCGTACTCGTAGGCGAAAGGCACGGACGCCACACAGCCTCGCCGACCCACAAACCAAAGCTTCCTTCAATCAGGCTGCATGGAATCGGCATTGATGATTGCACTGTTGTTGATTTCAGGAGAGATGAAGTGTACGGTGGTGCGATCATAGCGGCGATAGCGAGAACTTCGACGACACATTATAAACAATGCCGTAAGGTAGATTTTCCATTGGTACACTAAACTCTCTCCCATAGCTAGTCAGGCCGTGAGAAGGGTATTGACCATGTAGTATTTCCAGAGAACTCCCTATGATACAGCAAGACTCCTGGTACTAAGCCGAGCATCAACTCGCATATCTTGCTTTTGGATCAGAAATACTTGTGGTGACTTGACTCACGTCCAGCGCCACCTCTCCCGACTCCAGAGCACTCAATTCTGCTGACTTTTTGATACTCCGCTTGTGGCATGTCAACCCCATAGCAGAGTCCACCACGACCATAAGTGCAAGGTAATACATCGTTGTATCTTTGCAAAAACGAGAAACTCTCTTAGCTCAAGACGCGATTGGCAAGGCCCTATCAATGGGACAAGACAGCAGGAACTGCAACAACCTCAACGCCCGTAAGGATGGTACCTGCCACGACCTCCACGAAAACCTCCAGTTGGTTTGCCGGGGTTCTTGGGTCCTGTTGGTGCGTTTGCAGGAGCTGCGCTGGCCTGGGTGATTGCAGCTGGTCCTTTGGGCGGTTTGGGTGTGTTATTGCGCACTGGGCCAGCAGATCCAGGGCCTCCCTCTGGCTGAGGTACATCATCGTACATGCCCTCCCATGACTGGGGATTCTGGTTCTGGAACCCACCACCGCGAGGACCACCAGGGAAGCTGCCCGGTCGGCGAGTTTGTTGCTGGTGCTCGTACTTTTGCTGCTCAAACGCCATCTGCTCTTGTGCCGAGAAGCTGCCACGGTTGTTCCCTTGTCCCATGGAGCCTCGCCCGCCTCCCATATTATTCATTCCATTCATTCCACCCTGTTGTTGTTGTTGCTGCTGCATTTGCATCATTTGTTGCATCATCTGTGGATTCATGCCTTGCATGTTGGCCATGTTTCCCATTCCTCCCTGAGCATTGGGGCTGTTCCCTCCTTGCATTTTCTGCATCTGCTGCATCTGCATCATCATCTGGGGTGTCATTTGGCCCATGCCCATATTCCCCATGCCGCCCATGTTATTCATCATGTTGGATGCCATCTGTTGCTGCATCATAGAGAAGTATTGTTGCATTCGCTGCCAATACTGAGCCATCATCTGTGGGGTCATCCCACCGGCTCCCATCATATTTTGACCCTGATTCTGACTACCTTGGGTGGCTTGGTTGCTATTATCATTGCCGAACCGATCATCTCGATTAAATTTTCCTCTTCCTCGCCCGCCTCGAGAGAAGTCGTCTTCTTCGCCCATCTTGCCTCGTGGCTGTGCTCGTTTGACCTCAATTTGTTTTCCTAGGATCTCCAGTGGCTGATATTCCAGGCATTTCTCCACGGCCGCATCGCTGTCAAATGTCACGAACCCAAATCCTCGGGGTCTTCCTGTATCTTTGTCCATCATAAGAGTCGCATCGACAACTCGTCCAAATTGGGCAAAGAATCCTTCGAAGTCTTCCTCGGATGCCTCCTGGCTAACGCCACCAACAAAGATTTTTGCGGTCTTCTCTTGTTCATCTCGGGGGATTGCACGCTTTGGATCGATCTGAGAGCCATACTGTAAGCCTTTGCCCTTGCGTCCTGGCCGGAACGACCGTGAAGGGGTACCATCTTTCTTCCTTCCTTGTGGGGGTTCTTCGGATAGGGGCCTTACTATTTTACCATCAAGGAAATGTTCTTTGACCATCACCGTATTGACTGTCTTGGGGTCCTTGAAGGTGAGGAATCCGAATCCACGGGATCTTCCAGTTGCGCTATCCCTCATGACCGTGCATTCTTGAACCTCGCCGAACTGCGAGAAGTAATCGTGGAGTGACTCTGTTGGGTTCTTAGTTACTCTGGACCTTGATGCCGAAAAGACGCTCTAGTCAGAGGCACGAGGGATAGGGTCATCCTTACGATCAGTTGTTTCCCAATTTAAGCCACCAATAAACATTTTTCTGCAGAGACATACTGTTAGCAACCAGCGAAAGGAAATGAAAGCGGCGACAGCAACATGATGAGAAAGAGCATCAACGGCATGAATCAATGCGCAGAAAGTGAGTAGGCACAAAAGCTTTAGGGAAATCGGTTCTCTCCAATGCATCTCGGGCATCGGGATTGATCTGTGGTCTGTTCGTGTTCGCTGCCTCGATATCTTTCAAAAAGTGCCAAGACCGGAAAAAGAAAAGCCCCGAATACCCGGGCAGCAATTGGGCAGGCGGCAACATTGTCTGTGCCAGCTTATACGCCATCATATATCCTTTATCCATAGTGCTGTAAATTGATTGCATAGGATTGGTACGGAGCAAGGATATGGCAGCTGTGTGGCAGACTTGAGAGTGGGATGGGGCCCAAGGTTGGACCCTATCAGAAGATAGCCTGCCACAACATGGACTTTGAACCATACTGCGACACATTCATCATCTTTCAACAATTATCCGGGTCTTCAGGCACTTCATGTTGGGAGGCTTCCTTTCTCTTGGCGGGTGGTGGTCGTTGTGGAAATTGAGATAATGGCCACGTAAGTTCCATCCTGACGACTACTTCCGTTTGGTGGATGCATGCAGTCGTCTAGTGGATAGAAGACAATCTTTGGTTTTGCCTCTCTCTTGACATTGTAACAGATACTGACAGCATCTATCTCCTGCCTGATTTTTGCGATTGGTTACTCTGCTCTGCTCTGCTCTGAACTGTAAAAGTATGTGGTGTATGGACGCAAGAGTTCCTCCGACTATTCAGCCACGACCGGCGACATCTCTCTTTCGATATGGTTACCGATTCGGCTAGTCGAAGCACATAATAGCTAGTGCTTGGAGCTAGGCTCAACATGGATGACGTATCTTAACTTGCTTGACTCGACTTGACCAGTCCACCTGACAGCCGACAAATGGTATCCCAGCCTCATGCCCAATAAGGGGTTGATCCGACCTGTGCTGCATTTTGCACCAGCTCATTGTCATCATCCTGCGAGTCCAGCATTGCATGGTGATAGTGCAGTACTCTGAAGCTCATGGCAAGTCTGCCAGACACCCAAATGATCACCTCCATAATCAACCATGCACCACAGCAAACCATTTGTGGCAGCTGGGCTCACAATACGCCGAGAGATGCTGGTGTCCATTTGACTTCCAGGTTGCTTCATGTGTCGCCAGGTGTTGTATGGTCTCCTACTTCAGGTGTGGCATTATGTGCATTCAAGATTGCAACCTCGCGTATCGACCTCGATATTTTCCTGGACCCTTGCAATTCCAAATTGTGATGATTCGAGAGATTGACAGGAGAAATGGGGTAGATGCTCAAACGAAAGGAGGCTGAAGGAACAGAAATGCAAAACAATGCTGGTTGTAGCTGGTTGTACTTACCCGTCCTCTTTCATATTAATACCCGACGACTCGGTATGGGCTGGTCTCTCATGTACCTCCGGTTCCGACCTCATATTTTGGGCACCATTCATCTGGTCATCTTGTCCCATCGCATCCACGTCAAAGGAAGTGGGATCATAGGCAACGTCTGGCTCTTCGCCATATCCAGGCTCATCTTTTGCTTTATTGATCGACGTATCAACCGGAGCAGAGGGAACTGCGCTAGTTGTTGATAAGTGGGTTGGAGCGCTGGCTTCATCGGCATCGTAGCTGAGATGAACTTGATTTAGTATGGAAAATTTAGGAACAGGGATGGGACACGTGTCACTCAAGTCCAAGACAATGGCTGGGAGTGTGGATGGGACTTACAGATCAGCGAAGAGATCCTCTTCGACATCATCTGGTTCTGTCATCTTCTGGGACAAACGAGGAATCAGAGAAAAGGGAGTGAGCTTGACGGTCAGAGGATGACGGTCACGAGCAGTTGATCGCCGACGACAAAGCAATACCACTATGAGGTGGCGCCGAGCCACAGAAAGAAGAGGTGAAAGAACGGGTTGGATTATTTGAGAAGGAATACAGGATGTGCAGAATAAAGAAGCGTTTGAAAGAGGAGAGAGTATCAAGTCTGCCGTTCAACAGAGAGGACGACGGGAAACACGAAAGGAAACAAGAAGTGATTGATCTTCAGTTCAAGGCGGCGACAAAGACTTGGCATTAATATCACGTGGAATCCTGCCGTATCAAGTGCATGATCACTCATCATCACTCCAGGTCAATACCAGGTACTCTTGTTCTACATATCAATGAAAAAGAGAGTCAAGCGGCATCGGATGCTTGATGCGAGCAAAATATGTCGAATTAAGACCTCTACCTATTGCCTGCAGCCCTATGCACCGCCCGGAGGATTACCCCTAGATACCCTGCGTAACACGAAACATTACTTCAAAGCATACCGCGAAGTAGTTGACAACTTGCTGCTGCTGCTATGGCATTGCTTGTTGATTTGAAGACTCACCTCGCTCTGGTGACCGGGGCCACCGGCGGTATTGGAAAAGCCACATCTCTTGCTCTAGGCCGGTTGGGTTGCTCGATTGCGGTACATTACAATTCAGCTGTCGATACGGCCAACACCTTGGTCGACGAACTCCAGTCTCTTGGGGTTCGAGCGACCGCTTTTCAGGCAGATCTATCCTCCTACGATGAAGCTAGGCGCCTACATGCAGAAGTCGTCAAGGAATTGGGACATCCGAACATCTTATTCAACAATGCCGGAGTAACCCAAGGTAAGAGTGGCGTGAAAGATATCTCGGAGATCTCGATTGAAGACTTCGAGGCGACTTGGCGGGCGAATTGTGGCACTTCATTTTTGCTCACGCAGCTGTGTCTGCCGGAAATGGTTGGAAAGGGGTTCGGCAGGGTAGTCTTCTGTTCAAGCGTGGCAGGCTTCACTGGCGGTATTGTCGGGCCACATTATGCGTACGTCCCTGTCGTTTGGTCATCCTGACCGGGGAATGATTGGCTCACCGTGAAATGCTGCAGGTCATCGAAATCGGCTATTCATGGACTTGTCCACTGGCTGGCAAACGCATATGGTAAAAGGGGCATCACCGTCAATGGAGTCGCCCCTGCTTTGATTGAAGAAACCAAGATGTTGCCTGGCTCAAACTCAGAACTTTCAGCCAGTAAGTATGACAAACGAGACTTTGTTTGATCGGCTGACAATGAGCTACCGTAGAAATACCCATTGGCAGGCTTGGAAAGCCAGAGGAGATAGCCGAGACTATTGTGTGGATGGTAAAGACTGGTTATGTCCATAACAAGGTCGTTGCTGTCGACGGCGGCATGTTTATACAGTGAAAAAAATGGCTGAAACTGGTGTTGCCGACTTCGTTGGCTTTCATCCTCCCGCTTCCTTTTTTTCCTGGGCTGCTTCTTCTCGCTCTCTCTTTCTTTGCAGGAACCGTTCCCTAGCACCCATCTTATCAGATTCGGTAATTTTGCTTTTGTTCTTTGCTTGCTGCTCCCGTTGCTCTTCTGCCTCTGCTTGCTTCTGTCTCTCCGTCATTTCCTCAATCTGCCGTTCCATCATTCTCGACTGTCGCTCGCGCTGAGACTGTCGAGCATCTTGAGCTTTCGAGGATCTCCAGAACTCTTGAGGACGAGCTGAATCCTGCGCTTTCGTGGTGGTTTGATGCACACCGGGTTTCTTAGGTGCCGAATTAAGACCAGCCGATAGTAGCTGTCGCTTATCGACCACTTCCCCATCATCATTCAGCACGATTCTGGCCCCTTTCTCATTCAGCTCCTGTGCGATTTTACTCTCTGATTGCTCGGCCTGCCCTTCTGTTTCAACTTCCTCGCCCAGTTCTTTTCGCCGCAAAGCAGCCTCTTCAGCCTCTTTGATAGATTTCATTCTCTCTTCATCTCTCTGTAGCATGCGCTTGTGGAAAGCGGTCATACCACCGCCTTTACGCCTTCGCTCTTCCTCGACCTCTTCACGCTTCTTCTCTTCTTCCTCCATTTTCTTCAACTCCTCCTGCTGCTTCTTGTACGCGCCGGTCACGAATTTCTCTTTGTCCGCAAACTCATCCCCTTCTGCATCTCTTTCGCGCTGTAATAGCTTTTCTCGAGCACGCAGCTGGTCCCTTTTTCGCACTTCCGCACTGTCGAGTAAGGAACCCATATATTTCGGCTTGGAGCCCCCGACCTCGATTGATTTCTTTTCTTTAGGCGCATTGAATGTGTCATAGGCTGCATCGTAGTCATATACCGAAGCATCAATTCTAGAGGACTGCTCATCATGTAGCTTTGCACTCCGGAGCGCAGACAAATTCATGTATTTCTCAGATCCTTCCCCATTCGCAGCCTTGGGATGGAAAGTCTGCAGTCCTGGGTTCGACACCTTTGGTGATTTCTTGGGAGGTTCTAGGTTGTCTTCCCCCCCATCGAACGCATCAAGTGGCTTTAAAGGTTTCAAGTTCTTCTTTGCGGCGTGCTGTTGAGGAGGGGGGTTATCCAAACCGTCGTCTTCGTCATTGTCCCCATCGAAGAAGGCCTTTCGTTTCTGTGAGCGCTTCGAGGTTCCGGCCTGGGGTTTTGTACTGTTCAGGCCAAATGCCAGAGCTGGCATGTTGCCAATAGTGACAAGAGTATAGGCTGTAGGCACTCGTGTGGAATTGCAGGTGCTGCAAAGTGTCGAGACTAGAAGGTTGAGAAGGCTCGCGTGTTATGTAATCATATGATGTCACCAGGCCGAATGCTTTTTTGGAATTTCAGTGAAGAAAGTGGAAGCACGCGACATGGCGTTGGAGTAATTTGTTATCTTGTAAGGTCGAATCTATTTGCTCCAGCAAACATGGAGTTTGAATACAGAACAAGCCACTCTTATTATAAAACAATATCATTTAACTGCATAACCTGATTTGTGCAGGATGAACAGGCCCCTCGGGCAGAATAAATCACACCTTGACAAAGCAGAAAGCGTGGTAGAAACCAACAGCTTCCTCTTCCTCAGGGCTGAGGGACTTCAGCCCGCCCTCATGCTTCGTGACGCCCATCCTCACAGCCAGCTGCATCAGCTCAGTGTTTCCTCTCTCTGACTCATAGACCTCAGGGAATGGTTTCCGATACCGCTGCTCGAGGTTGAACCCTTCTGCAATAGCACGGAATGCTTCCCATGGGACGACAAACTCCGGCACATCGACCGCCTCAGCCATCCAGTACGTATACTTCCATGAGAAGGGAGGTCGGAAGCCGCCATCGGGTTGGAGCGGGCGGAGCGGATCGGCGGGGAAGCGGACTCTGTAGATGGAATTACCCCATGATGGGCTATCCTCGGCCTCACCCTCTTCTTTACCATTTGTCTCGTCATCAGCGTGGGTGCTGCTCTCATCCCTTTCCTTCTTCTCTGCGAACCATTTTCGGATATGCTCTGCGGAGACATCGCTATTGGGGACGACACCTAAGAACCGACCCCCTTTCTTCAAGCTACCTGCGACATTTCGTAACATCATCCTCACTTTCTCCTCAGACTCAAAAGCGTAATGCATTGTGAACATGGCAGCAACAACATCGAATCCGCCGCCACCCCAGCGGCTAGGTTGACCACTGCCTGCGGTAGGATCGATACCAACTTCTTGAACGATACCAACCTCACCAATCCATGCTCCAAAGCAGTCCTGAGGAACAAATCGGGCTTCGAATATGGGTCGTCGTCCTCGTCGCATTTGCTGATATCTCTCTCTGGCCTGTGAGATGCTCGTCTCGGCGGGATCCAGTCCAACATAGAGTCCAACCTTTTGAGGGGCCTGCTGCCACTTTCCAAGGTCGCCACCTTTGCCGCAGCCAACATCCAGAACCAGAAGCGGTTTCTGCTCTTCCGGTTGTTTTGCTTCTTCGCCCCAACCCAATTCTTCGACCTCTTGTTTCTCCTCCGCACTGAATTTGTGAATAAGACATGATTTGACCCAGTTGTTGAAGCTTCGTAGTCCTTTGATTTGTGACTCGTGTCTCCGCCAATCCCTGCCACGTTCTTTCACCCATTCGGGCCGTGCATTGTAAAACTGGTTAGAGACTTCCTGAACGCCGCGATTGGCTTGAGCTGCTTGTTTCGCTTCTCGCTCGGCCGCAAGCCGTTGTTGTTCAGCAAGGACATTACGGCCTCGACCGCGTGCACCCCCAGGTCGAATCACCTCGCGTGGAGGGGAGTCACGGATCGGTGATGGCGATCTACGGCGATCTCGCGGTGGGGAGCGGCGTGAGTAATGATTGGTAGGGGAGCGGCGTCGTGGTGAGCGTGATCGACGTTGAAACTCGCTGTTTCTTCGACGGTCTTCTGGCTCAGGTCGTCGACTGTAAGCCGCTGGAATACGGCGTGCTGCAGCGACCTCACCATCTTCTCTTGGTTTAAGTGGAATTCGAGGAAGGTCTGAGGGAACTCGCGGGGGAAACTTCTCAAGGGGGACACTATTGCTTGACGGTCTGGGCGAAGGCCGTTTTCTTCTAGAAGGGGAGAGAGATGATTTGCGTTTCTTGGAGATCGGCGATCTTGTGTGTGTAGGGCTTTCCCCATCTAGCTTGTCTTTCACTTCTCTTTCACGAGATGTCGAGCGACGCCGCTTTCGACTTTGATCCGCGGGAACTCGGTCATTGGACGGACTCGACGTGACAGCAGTCCCAGACGCTGGTGGCTCCTCATCTGCCTCAGCAATGGCATCCTCAGGTATGGTGTTTGGTAATTCCTTGAAGGTGTCTCTGGCAGGATCATAGGCAACAGAGGAGCGCCGTCGAGCAGGTGCATCGCGAGGAGGGTCCGACATGATCTGCGAAAGAGTCCCCAGGAATTGAGTCGGGTTAACCTGCGTATATACAGGATGAACTGCTGTAATAAGGGTTGGATGTCGTAGCAAGGTGAAGTTAAAGTTGTCAAGTTTTTCTGAGGCTGCTGTGATTTCTTTGTCTCTTGGTCACCACGGCTGGTCGAGAAGCAGACGTTAGGAATATTTGGGGGAACGCGTCGAAGCCAAGCTTTACTAGCGGGTGCTAGATAAACACTAGAGCGTTCATTGCTAGCCTGTTAAGTGATACCAAGAGTCACCATAATGTTATCTGCAGATCTACCTGAATCGGGAAGCAACATAGCGTGTTACTAGTTTACTGCCTAGGACGGCGCCTTTCGAAGGTCTTAGCGACTTTGTCTGAATGTTCTATATTTTTGACAACTCCAAGCCGATTTCATTCCGACGCTCGAACGAAAACGAGAATTAACTATGTATGGACCACCGGGCGATTTAAGAGCACTAACTCCAAACCAAATTCTGCGACAACTAATGTTGAAGGGGGCGAAGAAGAATGGGACTAATACCTGGCTGTCTTGGTGGCATTGCTCCCACGTTATTAGGATCTTTCAATTCCCCAAACGGCGCCCTGCATCAATAGCAATGAGGCAATACAAAGTTTTTGCACCTGGCTTGCCAAAAGAAGCGTAGAACCACCCGATCTCAATGCTTCAAGGCCACTGTCAAGTCGAGAAAACATCATCAGTAGCAGGCCTTGACTGGATCGATTTAGGCTTTCAATTAGTCCTATTGCTGACAAGGGTGTCGATTGATGTCTCCCAGCAACGAGCCCCATCAAGAGACGAAAGCTCGAATAAACGACTGGCCGGCGGCAAACATCCTGCTTCACTTCGCGCCTCGCCGCATTCATGCCTCATCCTGAACAGGACAATACTTGAAATACTGATTTGTCAATTTTGAGATAAGGCTTGATCATGCTTATTCCATGGCTGAATTGAGCGTGAGCGCCTTATAGTATGAGTGAGTTGGCGGATCTTGCGCTTCGTACAAGTCAAGGCCAGACATAACCAATGATGACAGTCCCACTAAAAGACAAAAGTATGATCATCGGCGGGGCTATTGGTGGTATTCTCGGCGCAGCAATGATTGCAGTGTTAATCGTCCTGTTGCTAGCCCTTCGAAGTCGCAAGTTATTGCGCGACAATTACACTGGTCTCCAAACAGAGTACGAGGCCGCGCTGCAAAAAGATGTAAACAAAAAGTCTACGCTGCAGCAACAGCTCCCAAAATATCAACAGATGCAAAGCCCTATGTACTCTCCGCTAGGGCCATATCCGATGCAGTTCGTGCCTTCTCCAGCATTGCCTATGGGAGGTGTGGGCGGTCTCGTGACCTCAGAAGTCCATGGACATGCTAGACCTTTTGAGATGGATACATGGAGAGGCGCAGCGAGATTTCCGATGATAGCTCTCGACTTGAGAAACAGCCCGTCGGGCGAGTGGTCCATGAGTCGTTAAGCAACGGGGCCAGCGACGAGAAATTGCATATCAACTCGATTTAGTGCGGACGGAGGGGTTTCAGGCCAAGTAATAGCTCTGGACTGTGCAGATATTTCTTATTTTTTGTGCTGTCTGCGTTGAAATATAAAATCGCCACCATTAAAAAGCGCAGTTTGAGGGCTCTTAATCGAATGTAATTCTCTTTCCTGCAAATTGAATCTGACCTTGATCTTGCATCTTCCTCTTCTTGGCTGCTTCCCATGAAGGGTGAATTGACCCTTGGTCGTCCCGGGACTTTGGTTGATACTGCTTTGCCTGATCCTTTTCAGCAATTTTACCACGTGAGATTCTCTGAGATGGTCGATTTTGTCTGGTGCGTTGGCCCATACTGTCTGGAGGACTCACAGCACCTCGCTTTGCATCCCAACCAGAATTTCTCAGATTGACTGTTTTTTGTTTTTGGAGATGCTTCGCTCTTTGGCCAAATCTTTTCTCGGCTAGCTGCTGACGAGCTCTTTGACCTCGGCGATTTTTTCGACCTTCCGGCAATGGAGGGCTCCGCCGGCCGACTTCATCATCCCCACCAGATTCCGATCCAGAATAGTAGCCACCCATGCTCAATGAGGGCAAGAATGCCGTTTTGGATGTGGTAGTGATATCTCGCGGCTTTGCATGGGTCCTCTCGTTTGAGAGGCTGACATCTTCTTCGTAGTTGGTTGAGGAAATGGAAACATCGCGTTGTTCGTAATTTTGATCCTCAGAGAGACCTTCGCTATTACCACCATCTTCAGCAGAGGGAGCAAGCCGATGGTCGAAAGTGAGATCGATTTCCTCGCTTCCATCTGTGGCTAGCCGTGGAGGCTTCCGGTCGAGTTGCACTTCTCCGTGGGAAGCAGAACTTGAGAAGCCATTGAATTCGTCGTCTTCCGGAGCAAGGGCGATCTGCTCCTTTCCTCTCCCCTTTTCTTTCGTTTTCTGGTCCCCATTTGTGTTATGAATCCGAGGAATTCCAAGAACACCGAATACGCTCTTCATGATCGCGTCAAGTGCCTGTTTCACAGGAGCAGAGTTGAACAATCGACCCAAAACATTAGCTTCCGCTCCAGATTGAGCTGGGGCCACGGAAGGATTTTCCCCATAAATATGAATAAATGCTGGGCTTTCTCGTATCCGTTTCGTCCGGCTGAGATGCTTTATGAGATGATTCTTTCCTGTCTCACCAAGTTGCAGTTGCTTTAGGACGATTACTTCCTCGCGAAGCCGTAGTAAGGTGTGGGGGTCATCATTGGCCGCTTTCTGTCGTCGACCAAGCTTCTGCCGTTCGAAACCTCGTGCAAGTCTTAAGGCAGGAGTCAAGCTCTTCAGGGCCTGGTCGAGTTTTGCCCTCAATCGCGAGACCTTGATGCGGAGGGCTTGATCTTCGATTTGAGAATCTTGATCTCTAGCTTCATCTTCCCTCTTACGTTTCGGCATTTTCTGGCGACAGCCGAGCAGATATATCTCGCCTATCTACCGTTTGCAATAAGACGAGGATGGCATCTAATGCTTGTACTTTGCCAGTAATGTTCTCCTGTTAAGTGCATTGGGCAAGAAGATTTAGATGTCTTGGCACATATTTTGCACTAGGGCTTTAGCCTAGGTGCTGAAAGCACACTAGCAGCTGAAACGGCCGCTAAGAGTTCATGTTAGGTAAGCACGATTGCTGACGCGTCATTTGGCGCCCCGCCACCAACGCGTGCTTTCTACTATGAACTATGTAGGCTCCGGCAGCAGCCTTACACAGGGTTCGGAGCACTACCACTTCAATCATCTAAGTATGATGGAGATCGATATCTCCTTGTGGCCTCTATATAGTCTCTGCTTCACACGAGCCTCACCTTTTAAGTTGCTTGGTCTCATCGACAAGACTTGAATCATTTGCCCATCGACGCATTCAAGGCTGAAGTTTAGGCCCGGCTGTAGCCGCCAACCCCCTGAGCCTGTCGTGGGCTTTGCATGGCGGCCGTTGGAAGATAGGACAACCTTGTCCAACGGCATGCAATCTGTGCATTCGGACTTTTACGGTAGATGCGCACATTCATCATCATGACCGTGCAGGGCATCCAAAACATGTCTATCACGTGTCAGATTTTCCAGGCAAATAGGCGCCCCAATCATCCATCAGCCCGAGTAGTCAACTCCGGCAGTTGACAGCTTGGCTCGGTGAGGCTGAGACAGGGAGCTGAGCTGATGATCGCTTCAGGCTGCCGGCTGCCTGTCGTGAAATTATGTCTTCCTCTCTGTAATTCATCTACACCTTTCTCTCACAACCATCAAGACTTTGAATCTCAACCGCAATTCATCTATCTACTCTAGGTGACACCGTCCTGAGAATCATTGCACTTGAGCATTGACGCGCTCACCCCTGAAACCGAGCTTAGCTTTAATCATGGCGCTTACTCTCCCAAAGCTCCTCCTCATAGTCTTGTCCGTGGCTGGCTTCTGGACACTGTGGGGTTTCCCATATCAAAATGGACTTCTGAAGCTGCTTGCAGCGCAGGCCGAGCCTGGTGCAGTCATCCCGGGTCCTACACTAGCACCAATGAAACAGACCTACACCGGGATGGGTGTGGTGGACAAACAACTCACGGTTTTAGTCAGCTTTTTTTATACCGCCATTGACGGCAACCGAGCGGACATCTCGCTCTCATTCCTGGCTCTTGGTGGCCAGGTCCTAGGAGCCTGGACATTGATCACCATTGAATCTCTGAGAGTTGCAAACAAGGGCAAGTTCTTGTTGACAGCGTAAGTTTGAGTCTCCCTCTACTTGTTCATGCACAGGCTGACGATTTAACAGAACCACCCTGCTTGGACTGGGAGTTGCCATCATCGGGTATGCTTGCGTCGCACCGTTATGGTTTGCACTGCATCTCTGGGTTTCACCTACTGTAAATAATCCAAAAGACTATCAACTGATTGTCGACACGCCTGTTAAACTAGCAATTGCCCCGATCAGCATCTTGATTGGGTTTGGCCTCCCTTCGGTGGTTATGACCCTTCCAGCCCCGGCTGTGCTGTCTTTCGACACTAAACAGACCTGGACGGCAATTCAGCAAGGGTGGCCCATTTGGATTGGGATCACTCACTTCATTCTCTCCACTTTTGCCATTATCCTCGACCAAAGAGCTTCCATCATGACGGAGAAGGCAAAACGTGCCAAGACAATCACATACCTTCGTCGAGCGTATGCGTTCAGTATACTGTCTTCTACTGGCTCTTACCTGGGAGGCTTGAGCCTTTCGATGCTGGCGTACGCTTTTCCAGTCTTATTTCGCTCCACCTATCTCGCGCAGCTGCAACCACAGCAGGTCTACTGGCCCGTACTCCCATTTGGCGAGCATCAAGTTAAAGAACTCGCAGATGGGGCGCTCCCGTTCCTACAGTGGGATCTCATTATTGCAGTAGGGGCAAACCTTGTTTGGGGTCTCGCTGTCCGAGCCGCAAGCAAGACTGAGAAGGGCAGCATTGGTCAAACCCTCATCGGTAGTGCTAAGATTGCCGTGATCGCACTCTTGCTGGGCCCGACTGCGGCCGCTACTGTGGCAGTTTGGGCTCGCGACGAATTTATTTTTCGCAGGAGTGATCCTTCAGTCGAGAAAAACAAGGAAAACTGATGGGATGGTATCTGCATTTTGCGCGTCACCAGCAGCAGGGCCCGAAATCATTCCTTAAGTCCTTGCTGGGAAGAATCCAGTATGTGACTATCGCTAGTCGGTATTTATAGTGAAACATGCGCACGACCACGGAGAATCAACTGGTGCATAGGGAAGGATCTACTATTGTGGAACGGAGTCTGACCAAGTAAAAGAGTACAACAAATCTGGATCGAGTTTGGATCTCGCATTCGTTCTTCTTAGAAAATTAGGTAGTCCTCCTTCGTTTGTAACATTCTGCTCTGCTCTGCGATATGCGCTCCTGCGAATCCGTGTTAGGACCACAAGCTCAACGATCGCTCGATATGCCTGGAGACTCCACAGAGGTACGTGCGACCAGGCCAGGCTTACATACTCGGTTCCTTACGAGTGCGAGGTAGTCTTGAGCAGGAAATGCTTTCCTTAACCTGTCCGTGTTCGGTACTGAGAACGAGGTAAATACTAAGTACATGGTGAGGGACTGGTGCCTCGCCCAACGGAGTTCCGTTCCACGGCCAAATCTTACAAGTGGAAACCCCTTTTAATTCCGAATAGACTGGAACTTTTCAGCTGCGCTGTGCGTCAGCGAGACCCCTAAGCCTTGCACAGTGGTTGTTTAGTAACGGTAGGAATGACAGTCACTAAACAATACTATATGTGAAACGCGTGGCAAACCATTTAGCTTGCAGCTCTCAACAGGGTTCACTAAAGCCCACAATCTCACATCCATTGCCCTGCTATGTAATAGTTTCGCTAAACCATGTCACCCCGTGTGTATGTAGTCCGGAAAGATCTGGGACCATCCCGACAAGCATTTACTGCATTTTGTTTACACAGAACGAGCGGATTGATGTCTATGGTCCTCTATTCAGTAAAACGAAATACACTACCCTTCACGATGAAGAATCACCCGGCTCTGCTGTTCAGTCATTCTGTCAAGCTACGGCCCCTCCAACAAACCTTTGTAGAGCTATGCATTTCAGGCACAGAGGTGACATTGGCTGGATCACTAACGTTCAATCTCGGCGATCCAACTACAGCGGCGACCTCTGGAGGGTCAGCAGGCAACAGTACGTCGTCAACTGCTGCTGCTGCCAATCTAGCTGTTCCCACTGCTTCATTGCCCGGTCTGGGTTTGGTCGCCGGCGTGATGGGGCTTTGGTTATTTCGATGAAGGTGATACAGACATATTCGGCGACAGCGTGGGTTTTATAGAGTGCCGAATGGTCGATCGGCTAGGATGATCTGTCTGACCCACGCACAAACCGCTTCTTTTGGAACCGTATGTTTGGGAGGCACTATCTCATGGTTAGAGGTTGGCGTGGCCAATTGTGACCGGAGCGCATACCTACGTCCAGCGGCCAAACTCACATTAGCATAAATGGTGTATCCATTCACATTTATATTTATCTGTTTGCTGTGTTAATCTCCCATGTGAACGCGTTGCCTCCAGAGCTTTGACAGATGCCGAAATCATTATGATCATGTGTCTTTCGTTCGACGCGGCTCGTAGCAGCACGGGGCGAGCTGATTGGCGGCAAGCACCTGCCTCAACATCATCGCCCGCACCTCACCCGCACATTTATCGGGAAGCCGCGACCGTGGATGATATCGCATCTGCTCCTGCCCCTCCAAGTTCCTCCCTCTTTCTTCTCCTCAACTGTTGCGAAACGCGTTCATCACATATATCGCGCACCACATTAATCTATTCTGCAGAAACATATCGCTACACGCAGCAGACTTAGTCGATCAAAGATGACTCAGGTGTGATCTCAAGCATCTGCACTGGAACCCTCACCTCACCTTGTCCCCGAACCCTTGACGCGCCTTTAAATACGCCGTGATCCCCTGAGATTACAGCGAGGTGCTCTTCAGGGTCATCGGAGACATTCAACCATCATACATACCACATGAGCCACAATCTCTGGCGCTTTCTTTTCGAAGACGATGTCGAGTCCTTTCGGCAGTACCTGGCGAACGCCACCTTCTCCGCTGCCCCGAGAGGCACCACAAGCAGCCAGCATGGAGGCACATTAAGGATTGGCAGCCCGGGGAATCTGGCGAGTTCCCCAAAAACTCCTCTCAAACTGAGAAAGAGCTCTGGGCATATTCCCACAAGCGGTGGTTCGGGCAAGAATGCTAGTGTCGTGCTCACCAGAGCCGAGGTGAATGCGAGGGACAGCTTTGGAAGAACGATTCTGCATCATGCTGCTTCTTCACGGTCCAATAACGCACTCGCCTTTGTTATGGCGCTGCTAAATATACCCTTTCTGGATATCTACATTCAGGATGCAGAGAGTGGCTGGACAGCTCTCCATCGAGCGCTTTATTGTGGCAATATCACGGTCGCGCATGCGCTCATGGCTCGAGATATTCAAGCGGTCGGCCATTATTCCACCAATTCATCATTTGTCAATGCTGGGGGTCTGGTAAAGATCAAAGATCATGAAGGGAACAGTCCATTTGAGGTGTTCGGACTAACAATCGCCCCTCGCACACTTGATCGCCATTCTGCGACCTTGCCTTCTACACTTGAGGACGATGACAGTGTCAACGAGATGGACGTCGCTGAAAATGACGGGAGTGGAAACGTAAGGCAAACCGTTCGTCCTTCAATAGACCTTGCAGGAGATGAAGCGGTCGCCTTTGGTAGCAACAAAAACCTGTCACTGGGACTGGGTGATGAAGATGACCGACATTTCCCAGAGCGCATTCAGCTTACACGACCGACACAGCTCCTTGATCGTATGCTAGAGGATCATCTGGCATCGCGAGAAGAGAGTGGAGTTGTTGAAGATCTCGCCTCCAGCACTGCCAATGCTAGCACCCATAGGGAACTTCCAGCCGTTGTCCGCCATCGACCAATCACTATTCAAAATGTGGTAATGGCCAAACTCCATACCGCGGTTTTAACAGCCGATGCCGTTTCCAACCTCTATATCTGTGGCTTTGGATCTGGCGGGCGCCTTGGTACTGGCGACGAAAACACCTGTTTCACTTATCACTGTATTCAAGCCGGTGGTCTAGCCAAACGCCACATATCTACCGTTGCGCTTGGACAGGATCACACCATTGCGGTCTGTTCCCAAGGCGAGGTTTACACATGGGGCAGTAATCGCCATGGTCAACTAGGATATGCTCTTCCCGAAGTGGCCAAAAATGAAATTCCGACCCAGCTGGTCCCTCGCCAACTGTACGGCTATATCAAGAAGGAGAGCATCATTGGCGCAGCTGCATCATCAATTCACTCTGTTCTCTACGCATCGAATGCGTTGTATACATTTGGCAAAAATGAAGGCCAGCTTGGTCTCATGGATGCCGATGCTCGTTCCTTGGAGACACAGGTTACTCCACGTCGGATTGGTGCTTCTCTGATATACACTCCCATCAAATCTGTCAGTGCTATCGATCGAGCTACAATTGTACTTCTAGACAATCACGATGTCATCGTGTTTACTCACTATGGCTACACTCGGGTGCCTTTCCCCTTGGAGACATTTACCAATTACTACATGGCCGAACATTTATCGTTGAGATACAATCTAGAGCTGAACTATATTAAGCAGATCACCGGTGGGGGAAACACTATATGTGCAATGTCTTCTTACGGTGAAGTCTATACAATCGAGGTACCAAAAGTTTCAGAGGCCGTTCCCTCCGGCATGTCGACGACAAATCCAACGAAGGCCCGCAATGCTCTGCCGCAGCCCTCGCGTTTGTGGTCTATCCGAAAAGCACACATGTCCGCTATAGATGTTGATGTAGGCCAGGACGGCTCCATAATCCTTTGTACCGCGTCGGGCTCTGTCTGGAGGAAAGAGAAGCGGGCAAAAATCAAAGTAGTCCGAGAAAGGGGGGTCGTCACTGGTCGTCGTCCGAAAGATTACAAGTTTGTGCGAATTCCTCATTTGACACGAGCAATAGCAGTCCGAAGCAATGCATTTGGTGCATTTGCCGCTGTGAGGAAGGACTGCACTGTCACACGCGAGCAAATCATCCCCGAGGCGCAGTCGCTCTGGAATGACGTCTTCCCGTTGCTCCCATTTGCGAAGTTCGGCATTTCGCCGTCGGACGGCACTGGCGAGAACGATGCTGCTAGGATTTCTCAATCCATCATTACAAGCTCCGGGGCAGAAGTTGATATTGCGAACATTTGTAAATCCTACGAGCCGCTATCGAATAGCCAGTACGACCTCTGGGTCACGTCCAACGTCACAGACGTACGGTTCCCTGTTCACTCATTCCTGCTGAAGGCAAGAAGCCGAGTCATGCGATCCGCTTTGACCGAGTTTCAAGAAACGTACTATTATACCATTCCCGATGTCATGTCAATCGAGTATGGTCCGGATGGCGATGTTCAGCTTTCTTTCCAAGGCGCCGACTTTCTTACCCTGGCGAATTTCGTCTTCTATCTTTACACGGAGAATGTGATCGATGTCTGGCACTATACATCGAAGGCCTTGCCGTCTGCCACCCGTTACCGATCAGTGCGACTCGAATTGATGAAGATTGCAAATCAGCTAGAATTGTCCCAGCTAGAGCGTGCTGTTAGGGTCATGGTCAACCCTGCTCGATGTCTCCACAGAGATATGGAACTGGCTATCTTAGATCCGGATTTCTATTCGGACGCTGATGTCATCATCGAACTTGCAGATGGAGCAGAACTACCCGCTCACAGTTCCCTACTGTGCATCCGTTGTCCCTTCTTCGATGGCCTGTTCAATGGACGTGCCGGGGGGCGTTGGGTCGCTTCACGACGACATGCAGCAGATGATCGGGCGGAGCCTGTCAGGGTGGACCTCAACCATATCGACGAAAGGATTTTTTCTCTCGTCTTGCGATATTTGTACGCTGATACCGGCGAAGGATTGTTCGACAGCATCGCCACCTCAAAACTCGACCAGTTCATCGATATCTTGATTGAGCTGATCTCAGCCGCAAACGAATTGATGCTCGACCGTTTAGCGCAGATCTGCCAGCAGGTGATTGGTAAATATGTGACCATCCGGAATGTTTGTTCTCTCGTGAATGTGATCGCGGAGTGCTCGGTGGACAGCTTCAAGCGAGCTGCACTTGAGTTTATCTGCCTGAATCTAGAGATCATGCTCGAATTGAGATTATTAGATGAGCTAGACGAGGAACTATTCGATGAGCTCAACGACATTGTCCAAGCGAACCAATTGGCATATCTTCCATTTGCGCGAAGTGAACGTGACAAGGAAGTGCTATTCGACCGCCATCCAGACTTGTATGATCAGATTGAACTCAGCAAGCAAAGAAGGATAGATTCCATGCGCCTCAGATCAAGGCTGACTGAGGACGAGGATCGGTTCGCCAACGCAAAGTTAGGCGTTGGCAGCCTCGAGCGAACCGCTTCCTCGCCGCTCTCCAGAGGCCATATGCCTACCCCGGCCGATGTGTCTCCCGTGATCACACCCAGTCCCAGTCCAGCAATAGTGGCTGTTGATGGCACGGATGATATGCCCTTCGTCATGGACGACGAGGACCCACGCCTGCTACCGGCGCCAGCCAGCCCACTGGACAATTCATCGTCGCCACAAATGCCACCACGCCGACAAGGCTCTCTTGCACCGGCCCCACCAAGAGAAGCGGAGTTGGGGGCTTCTGCTCAATCGACGCCGCTTGACAAAAGGAGCGCTGATCACGATGCTGTACTCCTTCTAGGTGGTCCGGAGTCCTCCACAAAAACGTCTAATCGATCCACAAACCTTAAATTGGTGTGGCAATCAAGCCACTCAAACATCCAGAAGATCGATCTCAAGAATATTATGGAGCAGGATTCTGCTACTCGAGTATCAAATCTTACCCAAGAGATGCAGAAAATGTCGACTTCAACAAAGTCTTTGGCCAAGGTCTCCCAGAAAGAGCGGAAGAGACAACAACAGCAACAGGTGAGAGAGCAAGAAGCAAAGGACCAGCCCACAGCTCAGGTACCTAGCAAGACAGGATCTGTGCCATCCCCGTCGCCGTGGCAGACTGTTGCAAAACCGATGAAGACTACTGTTCCACAAGTACCGCACGGAAATGGTGGAGGGGTGGATATGGTGACACCAGTGCCTGTGAAGCCATCTATGACAATGCGACAAACCGTTGCGGCAGCCAGTCCTAGTCCATCAACTATCGGGAAAGGGTCAAGCCGAGGAGCACCATTCATGGCGCCGACACTTCCGTCCAAAGCCGTTGCACCACAGATTCAGTCGATCCGACACAGTCCTGTTCTATCAAGCACATCATCATCAATTGATGCCCGTGCATCGATGGCAGATATACTTGCCCAACAACAAACTGAGAAGGCAGCGATCAAGGAGGCTGTGGCTAAGAAATCCTTACAGGAGATTCAACAGGAACAAGAATTTCAAGAATGGTGGGACAACGAGAGCAGACGAATACAAGAGGAAGAGTCACAAGCAGCTGCAAGCTCTTCTCGTTCCGGTAAGGGCGGACGTGGACAGAGCGGAAATCGGCGTGGTGGCAGTGGGAAGGGCAGACCAGCGAAAACAGCAGCGGTCAGTCAGGAAACCGCCTCGTCCACCTCAGCCAAAACATCTGAGGCTTCTGGCCGTGGAGGCAGTCGTGGCCATAGGAGTAATGAGCGGGGGAAGAGTCGTGGCCAAGCAGGCACACAGCAACGAGGGGCAAGGCAGCCATAGTCGATTGAGCAAATTCAGCGGAGTGCATCGTACGTGAAGAGTTTAGACGTGGCCCTCCAGTTTGTTGATAAGAATTGATCAATTATGTGTTTGTACGACCTTGCAGTGAATTGGCCTCGGATGAGGGAGACTGCAGCTCTGATAGGGAGACTACCGCACTGGGGTTGCTGGTCCAATGGGATCGATACCCCGAGTTTACCAGTCATAATGACGAGGGTTTTTTCGAGCGCACAAATGTGCCTCGCACCAAGGTTGAAAAATGAAAGGAGAACATGCGAAGAAGTGTCGGTAAGCGACATTGATGCCTGATTGAAGGATGACTATCCAGTCACCTCGACCAGTACCGCGAATTGTGTTGTTCCAATGGGAATATGGTATATGTCAATCGCTCTCCGGGGAGGATGTAGCCTAATCTGCCTGGAGTGTATCTTGTGAGCCTTGGGCCCTTGGGTCCTCACAGTATCCGTACTTTGTGCTTGTACAGTAGTGTGAAGTGGAGTTGAAAGTGAGGGCCGCCCCGGACACCAGTAGTGGCTCCCATATGTTAGCACTGAGCAGCGAACAGTGAGCAGTGGCAGCACTGAGCCCCGGGTCTATGGGGCAGGCGGAGTCGATGATGGACCACAGCTGGATCTGGACAAGCACCTGAGACGTGGGGGAGCAGCGGCCATTGGAGCCGGAAGGGGAGCCGAAGGAAGGCTTTGCCAGTTGAGGAATAGAACGGCGGGCAGGCCGCAGAGGCGTCAAAGCAATGGATGAATCATCGAGCAACTCCCAATGTCTGCCCATGACGAGCACACATTGGTGGCAGACAGATAAAACATGCAGTGGCCTCCTGAGATACCCTACTCCGTGCATTACAACTAGTCGTAGTAGGTATGAGGAAGTCAGTCCCAATGATGATGCTCCCAACAACGGCTCGCTTAGGGAACCCTGCAGGCCATGGGCTGATAGACAGTCGGCTCTTGGGGCGGCTTAGGGGCCTTCGTCCATGGGAGGGCCACCTATAACTGGGCTTGTCCGGGGTATCCTCTGGACCGAGGGCTCTGCGCCCTGGCTGATCCACCGCCTGTGCCTGCGCCTGGAATGCAAAGCCTCCATGCAAGCAAATGCAGACACAATCCACACCCAATGCCATTTACCCAGCAACCCATTGTGAGTGGGTGTAGGCAGCTTCAGGTGGGCCATCGGCCTCGAGACCTCGATCCTCTCGATCCTAGCCAGCATTGAGTCAGCTTCAAGCTTTGGTGCTGTTGCAGGCCACCCATTTACGAGTATTCCCGAATGAGGCCCTGGAGCCCTTGTCCTCACCGGCTACTAGTGCTCCCAGCTAGCGACCGGAACTAGTCCCGAGCCCGCTAGTACCTGTCTCGCCTCTTTAATGGCAGGTCACGCTATAACGGAGCTATCTCGGACCTAAGTCATGCTAAGGAGGATTTAGCTTCCCGGTGACACCGAAGGAAGGCTATGCGATTGGCGCTGGAGCACCGCTAGCAGCCAGCTCTATCTTTCTAGCTTGGTTAACGCGAAAGCACATCTCATTGCCATTTTCCGCACCTCACTGACGGCCTGCATCCCTTCCACATCTCATCAACATTGTGCACTTATCTTCCCTTTTCCATCCCAACATCGAGTAAACCTCCCTTCTCCCTCCATCGCTGCCTGGCTTTTGGCTCTGGCTCACACCTTGTTTCTCCACTGTCTATTCTCGCAATTATCTCTCCCTCTCGCCCATCGTCGCCTGACGGACATCACCTCAGACCCAGTCCTGTGACTCCAACTCCAAATCACATGTGGCTTCCGTCATATGCCTCCGACTCGAGACCATCCCTAGCACCGCACACGTCCCATCCCTCAACGACTCGCTGATCTTCCTTTTCACTGCGCAGCCACAATGACTCCTTCATAAACCTCATTCACTCTGCAAGTTATCACACTATCCTTAGCGCCATCGGTTACCGTGCTCGACCATCTCCAGCTCCAACTGCCTCATCAGAGCCCAACGTTGAGGAACACTAGTGGCATTCTCTACGAAACCATGGAAGGCTACCGGATAGACACGACTCCCCATTCATCCCTTCACCGCTGAGCCAGGCACCAAACATTGAAATCCCTACCTGAAGAAAACGCCCAAATCCACCCGCGTAACTAAATCCACCAAGGGTTCGGGCATCATGCACCAACATCCTCGCCCTCCACCTGTAACTGCGTCTCCCGCGAACTCTGAACAAACAAATCCCACTCGTACAAACAATCCTAGAGATAGAGACCTTCAGGCATTAAGAGCAACTTCTCCCACCACCCAAGGCTCTGGTTCCTCTGAAGACTTCGCTGCCACAAGACAAGACCAACCAAATGACAACCCTCTTGCTCAGATGCAGAGACTGAACCAAGTTATCCAGAATTTCCACACAAAGGCCGCCTTGATCATTCTACATTCCCGTGCCGAGCTGTCTCCCGCCTACTCCAAGAACACAGATACAAAACGAGTCAACCGGTGGTTCAACCTTGACGTCGACGAGACGGACGACTACAAAGACGATATCAGGAAGTGGAAAACCTGTGATGTGAAAGATGATCGACCTCCTCCACTGATCATCGAAGTTTTCCTCACCACCGATCCATTGCAGCAGGGACAGCGGCTTGTGATTCTGGACGAGGACGGGAAGAGATGGGATGTGGCCAGTACATTGAACTCTGCTTACGGCAACTCTCGAGGAAGCCAACGGCGACATGCAGACACACATGAGATTCTCCTAGAACGCTGGACGATAGAACTGGGCGATGCCACTGCACCTATTCCCCCGGACCTGGCAACATTGCTCCCCCTGGTCTACAAAAAGAGCATTGTCCTGTTCCGCTCCGTTTATACATATTGCAATTTTCTCCCTGCATACAAATTAGCACGAAAGATCGGCAAGGGCCGCTCTACCATGGCCTTGAAATTGGGTTATCGGTTGGTTGACGGCGCCCAGATCAATAGCCTGAACCGATCAGATAACCTCAATCTCCGTTTGTTCGATTCTAACTCCGATGTCCTTTCCACCTATAAGTTTGGCGAGACAGATTCGCCCGCTGGTCCGTTCTCGGTCAAAGTCCAGTATCGTTCGAACTGTGAATTCCGAATCGACGATTCTGAGGAACTTTTGAGTTCAAGATTTCTGGGGACTGACGATGAACTGTTTAGACCGTCTTTGCCCGGCGACCAGGCCACTCGGACAGAAGTCGGCTCATTACCTATGGATAGGCGACAGAACCTCTTGGAACGTCCTGAACTAGGGCATGCCTATGGAAGCTTGTCGACATTTCATCAGGCAGGCATCGCTACGGGAACAAGTCCCATTTCAGCTCTACGAAACGCACAGGATTTCAGCGCCGAATCTCCTCCTACCCCTGAGCCAGCTAGGCCTGCGATGCATGCCCACACCCCAAGTCAAGGTTCACGGAATACACTCAGAGCCGCGGCAGCCAATCGGCGCAGCTCTTTCTCGGTCCAGCCATTCAAAGCACCGCCACTATCTGCATCGCCACTTGGGGCTTCTCCATTAGCTAGTTCACCTAGAACCCATGCCCGTATTCCCACCCTGGGTTCCTTGACCGAAGAAGGAGTTTTGCCTTCGCGGGGATCTACCATGGCAGGGAGACGCACTGGTTCCCTTGCCTCAGACCAGGGTGTTGCATTGTCTTCCTCCAGCTCTCCGAAACCTGCACCTGTCACCAAGTACAGCAGTAGCTTCAGCCACAGGAGGGCTCGCCTATCGTCAGGGGGTACTACCACTCGCACGGATGAAGACCAAACTAGTAGTGGGAGAGGAAGCACGGCTTCCTCTGCCCAGCCAGGCTCTGGTCTGATGACTGAAGCAACAGGTGGTGGTGCGAGTTCCGGTTCTGCCGCAGAAGATGACGACGAGAACATTCCTGGATTCCTTAAGATGCTGGAAATGCAAAAGGATTTATTAGCACCAGCAACACGCTCAGCAGCGGAAGCATCCACCAGGAGGACTGCAGCTGCGCTGAACCGCTTTCACAGAATGCGAGATTCTAATACTGCACTGTCTGACTCCATGTCATCCTCCTTGATGATGCAAAAGTCCTCCACGTCTTCGAGTCGTCAACTATCTGGTATTCCACCAATGGTGACAGGTACTTCAATATCGACCTCGTCATCTCCTGGGAAGCCCATCTCGCCACATACACCACACACACCGTTCGCTCCCTCCAGACTCAGCGCAGCGTACAGCCATGATGATACAGAGACACCGCATGGCTTGACAACACACGAGCCTCCGTCACCGTCTGAAACTCCAACGGACGAGACCGCTCAAGCACGATCAAGCACTCATGTTCCAGCTATTGACATTCCTAGCTCGCCACGGACGTTCTTACCAGGCTATCAGCGCTCTAGTTCAGCTCAACGACAACCAATGAGTACAGATGATGATATCGCTGATTTGTATGGGATGAGAAGTGCAAGTATGGGGGCACAGGAACGACGGCGTCATCAACGACAGGAGTCTAACCAACGAAGCGTCGACGCAGATGACCGAACGGGCAGTGGTCGGCAGACGGAGCCATCTGCTAGGGCAACCGATTCCGCACGACGGCCCGCACACGCTCATCCTTTATCAGGTCTACCTGCACTCGCGACTGATGGCGGCGGGTCTGGATCTAATTCTGGACGATCTTCAGCCAATCCATATCGATCTCGTTTAGCGAGAGGGGGAGCTGGTCGGATTGTGACGCCGCCTCAAACGTCGACCTCAAGCTTTGGTGAAACTGGAGTTAGTATTGATCGTGGTGATAGCAGCAGCGTAAGCGGATCATGGGGAAGAGGAGGCAGAAGGAGCGGAAGTCGACCTGAGAATCGATTTGACGAGGATGAATTTCTACCATTTGCGATGGAAAAGAGCGACTTCAATACCGCTGGTCGGTCTGGTGATCCCGGCGGCGTCAGTGAACGTTAGAACACGATCATAATATGATACCCTTACGTACAAAACCCTATGTACGACTTTTGGGGGAGGACCAATTTGCGGACTCGAACCCGGGGCAACCTCCGTAATTGAGGACATCCTTGCCCACCTTGCATACTACACGATTGCACACAGACAGAATCTGGAATAGAGGTGATTCATATCATAACGATCGCTCGATTGCATGCGTGCGCCTATGAATGAATTCAAATTTGCCACTTTTCAAACATACGGCGTTGCGTTCTCTCTCGTACTTTTGGGCGTTCTCACAATGCAGTCAAAGGAACCTCTCTCCCAGTGAATCAGTTGGAGTTTTCTTGTTTGGGGAATAGAATTGACGCTCGATCGGTAGTCGGTTTTGGATTGGGGTCGCCAGGGTGCCGTCCAGGGGGTTTTCTTTGTCTAAGAATATAAGGAACTCTTGATCTCAGTGCGTTTTACCATGAACAATTGCTATAGCTATATCTGAGATAGTCTCACGCTCAGTGTCTTGGGTACATCCATGTCACTGCCTGTGGGGTATAGCTATTTTCAATAACGAGCCCCGCTCTAGCATACCATTATATCATACCTAGATCACCAAATCTTTCAGATAAGATATATCTTTTTCGATAATGCAGAATATCGCTTTTGGGGGTCGACGTAGTTGCCGTAGTTGAGGGAAAACGGGAGAAATGGAAAGCGGGTGACTGGCCGTAGTGGCATGTGATCTCCGCTGAGCTGAGGCTTGGCGTCGCGGGTTGCGCTGCAGCCTTGCCGTGATGGAGGGAGATGGAGGTGAGCAGCCTTGCGCTGAGAAATGTTAAAGCTGCGAGGTCGCCGGCATCACGACTATAGTCCTTATCGGCCAGAGCCTGCGCCATGTCACATATACAAGATAGGGAACACTATCCTGCCTCAGGAGTTTAGCCTTGCACTTGTTGCCCTGGGATGATTTCTCTCGCTCGAAAGAATACATCCCCAGCGGTCTGAGTCAATGGAGTTAAATGCAGAGTCAGTGTATGGTAATTGCGGGGATCGACCATAGTGAGAGAGAGCGACTCGTGACAGGTCAATAATGATAGTCAATAACGTCCGTAATATTGCTTTTCAGTGCCGCGAAGCCCGTAGCCATGTGCATATTGTTCGCCGGAACAACCACCCCAACGTTGTGGGCTCTGTATTATGTCATGAATCCCGGTATTCCGCGCCCGCGGAGTCTCGCACTCGATGACCCCAGAATCTAGCGTCACTCAGCGCCTTTGCCTCTCGCTTGATTTGTTTGCCGCGATCCTTGGAGACCTATCTGTAAATTGCCAGCTGATACCGATACTCCCAGACAGATACATGTCCGGGTCAACCTCATTGCGAGATTCACCGAGAAAGAGGCCGAATAGGTCCATCTCCGAATTGCAGCGAGACGCTTTTTCCAGGTAAGCAAGTTTGCGAGCTGCGAAAGTTAAGCCAGCCAGTTGATCTCGATGATGTCTAAGCGACTGTGCCGGATGCCACCCCAGCTCTGGTACACAACCCGATAGCAAGCTCAGGATGCGTTCCCTGAAGTAGTATCTTTCCGTTGCATCTGGCATCCCCTCATTCTTCATACATATCTTGCATATATTTCATCCAAACACCTGAAACTCAATCTCAATTCAAATTTTGCCCGTCTTGTACATCATGGGTTCCATCGCTCCCGACTTTACCACCTACGACGACTTCCACGTCGATCAAGTATTAGCAAAGTTGACACCGGATGAGAAGATCTCTTTGATCTCGGGCAGCGATCCATGGCATACTGCGCCCATCCCTCGCTTCCACGTACCGAAGATTCGCCTCACAGATGGACCCAATGGCGTGCGGGGAACCAAGTTCTTCAACGGTGTTCCGGCTGCCTGTCTGCCATGCGGTTCGTAAAGAGCGCTGCTCTTTCAAGTGACCTTTTGTTCAACTGACTAATCCATCTGAAAGGCACGGCCTTAGCATCAACGTGGGACATCGAACTCGTGCGACAAGGCGGCGCATTGCAAGGCCGGGAGGCGATCGCAAAAGGCGCTTCTGTCATTCTCGGTCCTACTACCAATATGCAAAGGTCCCCTTTAGGAGGCCGGGGCTTCGAGTCTTTCAGTGAAGATCCCGTCCTAGCTGGTCACATCAGTGCGGCGACTGTCTGCGGGATTCAATCTACAGGAGTGGCAGCGACGATAAAGCATTTTGTGTGCAACGACCAAGAACATGAAAGGCAATCTGTGGATTGTGTGGTTTCGGAAAGGGCTTTGAGAGAAATCTACCTGATGCCCTTTCAGATCGCTGAGAGACTGGCGCGGCCGAAGTGTTACATGACGGCTTATAATAAGGTCAACGGATTGCATGCCAGTAGTTCGAAAGAACTGATTCAAAATGTTTTGAGAGAGGAATGGGGCTTTGACGGTCTTGTGATGTCTGATTGGTAAGTGCATTACTACACTGCTCACCCTGGATCCTGGTCTAACACTAAGTACAGGTTTGGAGTCTACTCTGTAGTAGATTCGATCAAGGCAGGGCTCGACTTGGAGATGCCGGGGCCTACATATATGCGTGGACAGTTGGTTAAGCATGCTCTTGGCTCTGGAAGACTGCTCGCGAGAGAGGTCGACGCTAGAGCCAAAGAAGTATTGAAGCTCGTTCGGAGTCTCCTTCCATTGGGAATCCCCGAGGACTGCCCAGAAGAAGCTGTTGACACCCCCGAGACCGCGGCCTTGCTCCGAAAGATCGCATCAAACAGCCTAGTGCTTCTTAAAAACGTAGGTAAGATACTCCCATTCAGCGATAGCAAAACAATCGGAGTAATCGGGCCGAATGCTGCTTTCGCCGCTTATTGTGGTGGGGGATCAGCTGCTCTGGCTCCGTACTATGCAGTCACACCATTAGATGGAGTTCGAGCTAGATATAAGGAGGATAAGGTAAAGTACGAATTGGGCGCACCTGGGTGGAAGAAATTGCCGCTGCTTTCTCAGATCGCAAGGCGCTCCGATTTTCAACCCGGGTTTGATGCCAAAGTCTTTTTAGAAGCCCCTTCTTCGAATGTACAGAGGAAACCAGTTGATTCCTTTACGGTGACGACCTCAGACATCTTCCTGGCAGACTATAAAAATGACCACATCGAGGGTAATCTTTTCTACATGGAATTCGACGCCTCTTTCACGCCCGATGAGACCGCAGAATACGAATTCAGCCTCTCGGTCTCGGGCACTGCGAAGCTCTACGTTGCGGGCCAATGCGTGGTGGATAATGCCACCAATCAAACTGCTGGCGATTCTTTCTTCGGATCAGGCACCGTGGAGGAGACAGGCACGATAGCCTTACAAAAAGGGGAAAAGTATCCGATCCACATCTCCTTCGGCACCCTCCCAACACGCACCTATACGGTGGAGGGAGCCAATCCCTTTGGAGCAGGCGGACTCCGGGCAGGAGGATTCCGCAAGATCGAGATCGAAACAGAGTTGGAACGCGCAGCCACGCTCGCGAAGAGCGTCGACCAGGTCCTCCTCTGCGTCGGCCTCAACGGAGACTGGGAGTCAGAGGGCTACGATCGTAGCACCATGGATTTGCCAGCTGGCAGCGACGATCTCATCCGCGCCGTGCTGCAGGCCAATTCTAATACGGCGGTGGTAGTCCAGTCCGGCACGCCCGTCACCCTGCTCCCGTGGGCGAAGGACGCGCCCGCCATCATCCAGGCCTGGTACGGCGGGAATGAGACGGGCAATGCCATCGCGGATGTGGTCTTTGGTGTCACCAACCCCAGCGGCAAGCTCCCGTTGAGCTTTCCCGTCCGCAACGAAGATAACCCGGCGTTCCTGAACTACCGCAGCGAGCGCGGCAGGACCGTCTACGGCGAGGGCGTCTACATCGGCTACCGCTTCTACGAGAGAACGAAGCGTGAGGTCGCGTTTCCATTTGGCCATGGCCTCAGCTATACCTCGTTCGAGCTGTCTTCATTGCAGTTACAGATCCACGAGTCCGCGGAAAAGGCCCGGAACGACCTCGACGCTGTCATCAGCGTTAGTGTCGACGTGGCAAACACGGGCCTCCTCCCCGGCGCACAGGTCGTGCAGGTCTACGCTGCGGCCCAGGCGGCTAGTGTCGGTCGCCCTGTCAAGGAATTGAAGGGTTTCACCAAGGTCTTCCTCCAGAGCAGCGAGCGTCGGCGCGTCTCTATCGAAATGTCGCTGAAATACGTCACGAGTTTCTGGGACGAGCAGGCGCATGCCTGGGTGCAGGAGCAAGGGAGGTACACTCTGCACGTGGGCGATTCGAGCGCTCACACCCCGCTGACGGTGGACTTCGAGGTGGCCGAGACGGTCTGGTGGAATGGGTTGTGAGGAGGATGAGTACATGATCAGATATCGAAAAGCCGGAAACCCCGAAATAGCCGTTTTCGAGGAAGGGAACCTCGCTTGAGGATCGCAGGGAATAAGTAGAAGACGCGTCTATATGGATAGGTTCTATGTCTTCGTACAGGATAGGGACTTTAAGCTGCTAAAGGAGTGATATGGAGTCTCCGTTTTCGCTATCTTGTTGGAACCTGGCTTGGCGGAAGACTTTTACATTCATGGGACTCTGAAAAGGCAATGACCATGGCTAGCTGTATAAACACAATACATGGTTTTATTTCATCTTGCTGTGCATAAGCATTTTCTTGATTTTCATAGATATATTGTCCGGATGATCGTGCTAGAGGAATCATACACTTCCTTCACAGTTCCGTCCTGAAAAGTGGACCTAAACTTGGCCATGCAAAACTAACAGCGGCACGCGGATATTAGAGCTGGACTTGCGCGCAAGCTTCCAATGGATAGCTTATAGAGAAAGTTCAATTCGCTTTGGTATCAGGTCCGAATCTCCTCTATAGCCGTCACCTTGTCTGTATTTGACAATAAAGCACGTCTACGGTTCACACAACACATCACCTGCTCAACACTATCATCTCAATACTGGCGACTGGGAGTCCTTGTCCCTACTCTATGCCACTGCATCAATGTTGGGACGGAAAAGATGGACCTGGTTTAAGGGCTGACCAAGACATCTGCGCGATCTTCGAACGCTTGATGACGCTAGTCGTGGTTCGCTGGGCTCCTTTGAATTGATCGTCGGACGTGTTGCTGCCTCCACTGCCTCTTTGGGGGCGTTGATCACTATCTTCGCTCTGGCCTTTGATGTTTTGTCCAACAACTAATCGACTATCCGGCCAATCCGATAGTGGTGCCATCTGCAAATGCTTCGACCAGGAGAGCAACGTTCATCCTGGATCTTGTCAACGCTGCGTATCCAGCACCCTAGGTTTACTGCAGTCGAAGACGCTGTCGGATTCGGTATGTACTCGAACAATTTCGCGCAAAATCCAACTTGCCCTCCGCGGAGCTGTCCCTGGCCGTCTGTGCACTCGGTCTGCTGGTGGTCGAAGTGTGAAGATGCAAGATGGCACAAGCCAGGCCATGATCACTGCTTGTGATCCCGTACTCGATTGGAATATGAGAGCCTATCCAGTCAGAACCCCGAAAATGGCCAACTGCAAGATCTCAATGCCTGGTTCTTGAGCCAGTCTCTCTGCTGACGCTGCTCAGTCAAGACCAGGACTGTGGCAGTCAGCCTGATGCATATAATTCTCTCTTTGACGTGTCTGGAACTGTCAGGAACTCACCAAGTTGTCAATCAGCTATTGCAGTTGAGGGGAACCAACTCGAATTCCACGAATACGACCTCCGACTTCGAACTTCAGGGGCGTATGGTCCTACAAATGCTCCACATCTTGCTCGTTCCTGGCTTTACAAAATCCGGCTATCGGACCAGTAAGGCGTTGAAATGCAGCGTTTCAGTTCAGGACGCCCAGCAGCACGTTAAGCTCGTGAAGTCCAGATTCCCTCAATCGCGTTTCCACAACTTGACAGATTTAGGGGAGGAGTTTTCTGCGTCTCCGTTGGAAACGGTCAACGTGTTTGGAGCTCGATGACGATCGAAGGAACTACAGCAAGGTGTCACCATAGATATCCATCAAGCCTTCGATTGTAGATACAGAGCATGACTCCTTTTGCACTGACAGTCAGGTTAGATCCATGTATGCCCCTAACTACAATTGGGCTTTCTACTTTTGATGCATGGATCGATTCACTTGCGCTGGCCATATCTACAACAGTGTCTGTCAACGACAGTAGAATGGTCAGAATGGTCTACCGCCCTTCTATATGTTTTTAGCTTGGGCTTCGACCCGAGTCTCCCAGAGGCTCCTACATCGACCACATTCTGCACCGAGGCGGTTTTGAATCCGGACTGGGGAACACAAATAATTCTCTGACGACTCTCAATCTTGAATATTCGGTAAGCACCGTTTCAGGCAATCTTGTCGAGCTAGTTGTCTTCGTTCACGTACGGTGGCCATGGATTACGCTTCCCGCAATCCTAGAGGCCGCTGGTGCATTCTCGCTAGCCATGGCTACCCTTGAAACGAGATCTACCGGCGTGGAAAGGCTTGACCATGGCTAGCTCTAGTGAAACCTGGTTGAATAAATTCCGAAGTCCAGGACTTGCCAAGCATGTGACAAGGGTTTCTTTCTGGTTGTACCATTCTCATTATTATCCATGACTCAGCTTCAAGCTCGATTTCTTGTTGCACACCGCGTTTCATTCCCGTGCCACGGTCAAACAGTTGTGGAATCAGATATCATACACATGCCGCGGAACTTTTTCAAGCACAACCGACAGGGTCGCTACCGTCAATGTGGAGCAAAAATGACCGGTGCCGCCTTCACGCTACGTGGTTAGATGGGTAAAGGGGAAGTCGAAGAACCTTGGCCTTCAAGTCTTGTGGCACGGAGGAAGCTTGTCAGACCTAAGCCGTCTCGTAGGCTTGTGTCGTCCTCAAGTGAAATAGTTACAGCTGGATACCTTACAAAGATTTATTTATGTTTGCCTTATCTCTCGTTTTAACCTCGTTCAAATCCATCCTTTACACCGACTGCATTTACAAAAGCTGTTGGAGACCTTGACGAAAATATGAGCCCCGGTTGCTGTGCACCCGTGGCTCCGTGTCCAGCGGCCTCATCCTCAAGCAGTGCTGCCGCAAACCCTGTACCTGGTTGTGCTGATGGAGACAGCTGCTGTGACGCTGAGGGCGACAGCGATGATGACTGCTGTGCTTCCGACAAGGAATGCAAGAGCGAGGATTGCTGCGAACCGAAGGCAAATGATGATGACGACTGCGAGAGCTCTTGCTGTGCGGGAGCCGCCGGTGAACCCGACGACTGCTGCAGCGGCAGCGGTGGTGTTGCCTCTTCCCAGGACAAGAAGGATGTCGATGTTACTGGTGGATGCGATGGATGTGAATCGGGAGAGAAGGAAGCATGCAACGGTTAGTCGAGATTTTTCGAAGCCAACCTCATCACTCGATCCTCTATGATGAAGCCTGGATGTGCTAACCGGGTTTGCGCTCTTTTTATCACAGAGGCTTGCATCGACCGCGCTGCCGTTATTGAATGCCGAGCTGAATGCGGTCCAGAGTCAATGAAGGAAAAGAAGGAGAAGAAGAACGAACTGGAAAAGGAGGAGAGCAAGCCAGGCTTCATGGGTGAGAAGGCTACCACTGCATCGGCTGAGAGCATGTACCCCACGGTTGCGACAACTGAGAAGAAGTATGTTGAAAGCAGCGACACGGCCTCCTTCCTCAGCGCATGCGACGAACACAAGCGAGCGGCACATGAGAAGTATCGAGCCGTCGCGGGGGTGTTGAGTTGCATCTGTCGTATCTTGATGACGCGTAATCTCGAGCCTTGCTGTGGACAACAGCAGAAGCAGAAAAGGGAAGCTCGGCGACAACCGGCCAGTACGCATTCGCATGAGGAGGGACACGGACATGGACATGAGCACGGTCACGGTCACGGTCACGGTCATGCAACAGCCCATCGCGGACACGGTGCGAAGCATTCGCATTCACACGCAAAGGCGACGGGCCATTCTCACCACAGCCGTGCTCACAATCTGAAAGATCGAAAGGCGGCAAGAGACAAGGCCAATGCCATCAAACATGCCCAAGCAACGTCCGTTGGGAGACAAGAAATCCAGAGTTCAGATCCAGAGAAAGGAGCAGCCGAAACCGAACATATAATCATGAGCGTCAGTGGGATGACTTGCTCAGGATGCGAACTGAAACTAACCAGGACGCTTGCGAACTTTGAACAAGTCCAAAATCTCCAGGTCAGCGTAATTCTTGCCAGGGCTGCCTTTGATCTCGATACCAGTCGCATGTCTTTCGATGAGCTCCTGACCTATCTTCGACGAGCCACCGAGTTCTCGTACGAGCGGATATCCACGAAAGGTCATGAGATCCATGTCCTTTGTCCACAAGGTTCGAAACCTTTTGTCAAAAACCGCCAGCCACTAGGCGTGATGGGTATCAAAATTGTGTCCGATAAGATCGTCCGCATTGAGTACGATCCGAAAATCATCGGGGCCAGAGATGTGCTCAATTCCTTCGGTGCGCCGTTGCAGCTGGCTCCCATGAAAAGTCCTGAGTCGATTGAAGCGGGGATGAAAGAAGTTCGTAAAGATGGGATGATCACCCTCTTCTCTTTACTTCTGACCATTCCTATACTTGTATTCGCTTGGGCGCCATTGCCGGAGCATCCTGTTGCCTACGGATCTGCGTCTTTGGCCCTGGCGACAATCATTCAAATTTTTGTGGCTGGACCGTTCTACTCTGTGGCTTTCAAGAATATTATCTTCTCGAGATTGGTTGAGGTCGATATGTTGATCGTACTGAGCACGAGCGCGGCATATATTTTCTCACTCGTTGCATTCGCGTATGAAATGCAGGGCCGACCTTTGGAGACGGGCGAATTTTTCGAGACAAGCGCATTAATAGTGACATTGATCATGCTCGGACGCTTCATCAGCTCGTGGGCTCGTCAGCGCGCGGCAGAATCAATCTCAGTCAGAACACTGCAATCATCTACCGCCATACTCATCGATCAAGCGACCGGCGCAGAGACAGACATCGATGCTCGACTCTTGCAATTTGGAGATATCTTCAAGGTCAGTCCTGATTCACGAATCGTAACGGACGGTACAGTGATCTCCGGTGCCTCTGAAGCGGATGAGTCTATGGTGACTGGCGAGTCTCGTCCAGTGCCGAAAAAGACACGATCGACTGTAATTGCGGGATCCATCAATGGGCCAGGCCTCCTGCAAGTCCGTATTAGTCGTCTTCCCGGCGACAACACCATCAGCGCGATCGCTGACATGGTGGACGAAGCCAAGATGACAAAGGCCAAGGCTCAGGAGATCGCAGATCGGATTGCAGGATATTTCGTCCCAGTGGTATGCGCCATCACCGTCCTCGTGTTTGTTGGCTGGATTGGGTTTGGTATCGATCAAAGGAACTATTTGGGTTCCCGAGCAGCTGAAAACGCGGTGACTTATGCCATCGCTGTGCTTATCGTGTCTTGTCCATGTGCCATCGGTCTCTGTGTCCCTATGGTCATTGTGATCGCCGGAGGCGTTGCTGCAAAACATGGAGTCATCTTCAAGACGGGGCAGACGATTGAGCTTGCGAAGAAAACGAGACACGTCGTTTTCGACAAGACGGGTACGCTCACTCAAGGGAACTTGACGGTTGTTGCTGAAGCATTTCCTGCGGGAGACGCGGCTTCTATCAAACCACTCGTGCTGGGCTTGGTGGCGAGTGTCAAGCACCCTGTGTCGATTGCGGTCTCCAAGTACCTAGGAGACAAGGCGATGAAACCCATCGAGCTTGGAGATGTTACCACCCTCGTCGGCAAAGGGGTCGAAGGCATCTTCAATGGCAGCAAGGTCCGCGCAGGAAACTCCCGATGGCTCCATGTCGAAGATGATCGAAATGTGCAGGCCTTCCTCGCTCGAGGCTTGAGTGTGTTCTGCGTGATGAAGGATAATCAATTGCACGCCGTCTTCGGCTTAGAAGACTCCATCCGACCTGACAGCGAGGAAGTTGTGTCTGAACTCCGCAATCGTGGCGTCGCGATCTCAATCGTCAGTGGAGATGATGACGGAGCTGTGCAAGCTCTTGCCGCCAAACTCAGCATTCCCACATCCCACGTCAAGTCACGCTGCTCTCCAAAGGACAAAGTGGCATACCTCAAGGAAATCATGAACGACCCGGCGTCCGTGGTCGTATTCTGCGGCGACGGAACCAATGACGCCCCTGCACTCGCTCAGGCTACTATTGGGGTCCATATCAACACCGAGGGCAGTGATGTCGCGCAGAGTGCCGCTGATGCCGTACTTGTAAGGCCCGCTTTGAAAGGCCTTTTGTGTTTGATTGACCTCTCACATGCGTCGGTCAGGAGAATCGTGTTCAATTTCGCCTGGTCGTTCACATATAACCTGTTCGCGGTGCTGCTTGCTTCTGGCCTGTTTGTGAAATTCAGGATTCCACCAGAGTATGCTGGTTTGGGCGAGGTCGTTAGCATTATCCCTGTCATTGCGATTGCCATGCTACTCAAGTATGCCAAGCTCAAAGGCTGTGATGGAAATCATTAAATGCCCTGCACTGGATAAGCCATTGCTTGGGAACGGCTGTTTATCAGGTTGAGAGAGGCCGCAACACTTGGGAATCTTTGACATTGTCTTGCCGACTCTGCCGTCAGTATAGAGCCGTCACTCGTTCTAGATCATTTTGGGTTCGTCCCAACTTAGATACATTTGCTCTTTACTATCAATTTAGATCTTCACTCGGGGTGACGGGTGCAGACACTGTTGACGCCAAAGAGTAATCAACGTCCCCATCATGGACTGCATATAAAACCGGCATTTCCCAAGCTGTCGGCCTTCTTTCTTTCCTCCAAGCCATGGTCGGCAAGAAGAATGCCGACGGCGCGGCCTGCCTGCAGCATTCCGGCACCTGATCACAGGTCAATGACAACGAATGCGTTTAAAGCCAGTATCCGTCTCGATTCAATGAAGCCATGTTGAGAATTATGCAGGTTTGGGCTAGCGTCCTCCTAGCGGCTATTGACTAACTAAATAGGCACTAAGTCGATTTTAACACGTTGCTATTTTGTCGGTCACTGTTTCCAGATATCAAAAACCAATTGGTGTGTCGTTGCTGGTATTGTATGAAACTCACATCATTATCAACAGAACGCACTAACAGATTGCCGTCACCGGACTCCTCCAATCTCAATAATCGTAGCGTGCCTGGGGTTTAGTCAAAAGCATCATTCAGAGCCGCAAGCTGTGGAATCACTCTAGCCACTACACTAGATTCCCCAGCATCAACAACACACCGCCACCACCAGAATAATCAGACTGAATAGATCAACATGTCACACTCTAAACGGAACACATCGCTCGCATTTTTCACCGCTCATGAACGCAGCCAAGTCCGCGCACACTGGGGCTCGCAATCGACACGCCTGACACGCGACAGCTTCCTGCCCTTCGGTCACTGTCGCCTCTGCCTTGGCGTAGCACGGGACCCTGTCACTTGCGGTGGTATCGGCAACAGCAGCACAAACAACGACGCAGCGAAACTAGCGCCGCCAAAGGTCCACATCTTCTGCCGCGAATGCGCGCTGAATGATCTAGTCACGCAGAGGCGAGAGATGAAGCGTGCAGAGAGAAGCGTGGAGGAGCGCGAGAGGGAGGATGCTGAGCGAAAGGCCGAGGAGGCCGAGAAGCAACGACGGCGGGATGTCGAGGCCTTCGAGAGGGCAAATTTGCTGGGCTTTGGGCCCGGCGATGGTCTTCTAGATGGTGGTGCGAATGGAGCGGCGAGGAAAAGGAAGAGGGAGGCGAGGGAGATGCATTCGTCTGCTACTACATCGACTTCCACCCCCGTGCTGGCCTCTAGCAATGACGCAAAGCGGGTCGAGAGAGACGGCAGAGGCAGAGGAGGTGACCACCGCCAACACCATATCCCCCACCAGGACGAGGACGAGGACCACAACGGCACGAAAGAAACGAAAAAGAAGAAATCCTCCGAGGCGAGCTTCTGGATCCCGTCCAGCAGCACGAAGACCGACCCGACCAACAACCATGATGCCCCCAAACCGACCAAACTCCACCCGATCTGCCCGGGCTCAACACCGTCAACGCAGCATGCATACAGCCTGAAAACACTGATAACAGTGAATTTTAGGAAGGAAGCCGAAGCCGACTCCTCTTCCTCTTCCTCTTCCTCTTCCTCGGCGCCGTCATCAACAAGAACCGAGAAAACGCGGATCTGCCCATCCTGCAAGAAAGCGCTGACCAACACGTCACGCCCGATGCTCGGTGCGGGTGGGGGTGCGGAAGGATGCGGCCATGTGCTGTGCGGCAGCTGCGTGGATTTGCTCCTTCGTGGGCCCCCTCCGTCGGCGGCATCGGGCCCGGCGAGGAAAGAGATCAGGTGCTACGTGTGCGAAGCGGACCTGAGTGGCGGTGGTGCGGGCGCGATACCCGCCCCGCAAGGCGAAGGAGACAAAGCCTCGAAACAACAGCCCAAATCGAAAGCCAAAACGAAACACGGCGGGGGCAACAACAAGCAGGGAAGACTGCTGGAGATCAGCTGTGAAGGGACGGGGTTTGCGGGCGGGGGCGCGAATATGGCGAAGAGAGAGGGTGTTTCGTTCCAGTGTTGATACCAGGGCGTTGTGATTGATTACTGCGCATGGTTCAGTGTCACAGATGGGTGGGTGGAATTGAGTCGGTCAGATTGTGTGTATATGACAGTGCAACGCATAGAGCTAGCTACCTAGTCGAGTATATCGTTACTTCGATCGAAGATGGGTATCATTGAGACTTTATACTGTAGCTATGCACCGAGCAGGGGAAAAAAATCAGGGTATCATGCATGCCCATATTGCCAACTCATCACCAACAGCAGCGAGCCAAGATGTCGTACCAATACGGTCTGTGTTTTCTTCGATCCCCTTCCAATATAACATCGCGATCTTTCCAGAATAGAAGAGTGCTCCATGATGATGACCATAGCCCGACCGAGCGCCATGCTTGTATCAAATTCATTTCTGCGTCATTCAATCCAATCGCTCACTGATGTCCATCTCCGTTCCAAGACTGAGGAATGAGAGCCCCCAAAACTATCGACATAAGAAGAGAAATCCAAAATCAAAACGTTTCATTCAAGTCATAACCTTCTTGCACATTGTTCAGTTGTCGTGACGGTGGACGCATGTCCCCCATACTTTCCACTCGGTGTTGCCCAGAGCTTTGCCTTCTAGCCAGGGCGGGCATTTTGCTCAATCCTCCTGCAGCATTTAGACTTTGTCTTTTCGTCGGGCTGGGAATACTTGTGCCCACATCGCTAGACCTTTTCGCAAAAGTCGTTCGTCGCGGTGTGGGAGTGACGGAGTCTTTGAAATCTGACAGGGCAGAGAGCTCGCTGGTCTCTGAGTCGAGAGTTCCATCATAGCCGTAACTGGAAAGACTGCTCTTGGGTCGGATCCGATCGGTTGAAGCATTCGGTGCATAGCTTGCAGCGGCTCCGTTACCCAGTGGAGCGCGGAAGCCAGAGACACTGGCACGGCTACCTGGACGACTGTGCGTCGGGGCATACGATGACCGACTCGAAATCAGGCCACTGGTCCTGCTGGAAGGACGGAGCGGTGGTGCTGCCATCTCACCACGTGTCGGAGATGGGGGTTGGTGAAGCAAAGACGTTCGACTGGTATTTGTTCTTGGCATTGACGGTGTTACTGATGCCTTCTCGGGGAGGGAATCGATACCACTGATCGTACTACCATTCGTCCGCTTGCGGTTTCGTACAGTGACAGAAGAGGGGATATGGTTGCCCAGTGCGGACCCACTTCTCGGCGAGCTTCGAGGGGGAGTACTCACGGGAGCAGGGAGTTTAGACCTGGCTGTCTGGACACGGGCCTCAAGTTGTTGCATCTTTCCTCGCAAATTCCTAAGATGAATGATTGAGGTGGATTGTGGTAGACCGGCAGGCCGAGGAATGCCAGCTGTTTGTTTCGATAGGCTCTGACGGAAGGTTGAGGATGGTCTGGAGTGGGACACCGTGGCAATGGAGGTACCGCGAGCGTGGCTGGTAGGCTTTGGAGTGACATTGGAAGGGCGGGGAATTGAAGGAGCGTTTAGAGAGCGCCTGGTCTTGGGGAGGGCCGCTGGCATAGACGACTTCGTGGTTGTAGATTGGTCAGAGATGGGAGGCGAGGGGGGGGTTGGGGCATCAGAAATGCCCGAGGAGGATGCTGTCTTTGCTGGAGGAGTGTCGAATGTGGGTGAAGAGGCGTTGGTGGTGGTCGGGGACAGTTCTGATCGAGGAGATGCTGAGATGGCTATGGGTTGCAAGGTGAGGTTCTTTCGGATGTGAGACGACTTTTGGATTTCCTGGTCCAATTTGTTCTTGGTGATTTCCGCCTCGACTCTGAGATCGGAGAGTTCGTCTCTCAGGCGTTGGGCCTCTATCCTGAGAGCTTCTCGTTCTTGCTCGTTGGATCTCATCTCTTCCTCCAGCAGAACACTCCGTTCGATGGTTTGATTATACTTGGATTCCATATCTTCCAGTGAGGATTCAGTGTTGCGTTGCTTCTTTTCATAGTCATCGTTAGCAACCTCGATGTCTCGCAGGCGCATGGTGAGGGTCCGGTTGGTGTCGCGCAGTTCGGTGATTTCTCTCTGAAGCGCGTTCTGGGCATTGGAGGATTCGGTCTTGGATTGTCGGTATTTGGTTTTCCACTCGTCGACTTCATATTGGAGATTGGCCGCCTTCTCCTTCAGCTGCCGCTCACGTTTCTCAGAAGCGTCGATGTCTTTCTCGAGCTCGGCTTCGAGGTCTTTACTCGACGCCTGGAATTCTGCCAGCTCAGATTCCAATGATTCGTACTGTGCTTTGTAGTATTTCAAGGAGTCTTCGAGCGATGTGGCAGGCCCAGGGGAAGACGCGGGAGTGTCATCGGAAAGGGGCATGGTCGCGTGGTTGAGGACGAGGCAGTCGTTGATTCTAGGTCGCCGTGGTATGTCGAGCTGATTCCGGAGTCGTACTGTTGGGCTTTAGTCGTGGTGGTCCATGAAAGTCGCGATTGTTTATTCTTGGGTCGGGGGTTGGCCGAACGGTGTGCGGCGGTGTATCGTTGGATGTTGATTGGTCGTTTTCTGGCGATGGATATGTTGTCGAGATGGATTATGCTGCTATGGTTAGTAAGAGTGGCATGGTGCGCTGTAAAGCGCAGAGATGTGGTGTTAGGACGCTGATGGACGGTGTTGATGTTGATGCTGGTGTTGGGTTGGTGTTGATGGGATGGATGCGAGCGCAGGCAGATGACAAGACATATGCAAGTTGGTCAACAAGTGGCAGGCGCACCCCAAGCGTCCTCGCGGCGGCAGGTGCAGCCCAGGCAGGTGCGTCGATGGGATGCGGGTGGATGCAGATGGCAGGGCAGGTGCGACTCCTGCAGGGCGGTGACTCCCTGTCGCAGCAACAGCCACGCCAAGATCCACTCTCCACCACTCCTCGAGCTCCATCCCTCCATTTAATTCTCCGAATCGATAAACAAATGATATCAGTGTCGACGGAGTTCCCTCTGCTACGTATTATAAGGGATTGCATCGATACTGCCAACACAATATCGTAACGGTTGGGTATTCTGTATTACTATTCCATCTCCGTAAGGTCTATCACTCCTCTCGCTCCTGTACCCTGTGACAGCGGCTGGGTATGGGTGTAGAACGTGACTTACGAGTATGGCTGCGACAGTCTGTCTCCTTCGCGAACTTTTCCCCGGGCGCGGGCCGATCAACTGAACCTGGACATCCCCTACAACTCAATAACCAAATGCTCAGTTGCTACCAAGGTGCATACGCTCAGGATATGCGACATGATTATCACGACCGACATGCTGCAATTTCATCTGACACCGAGAGCAGCGCATTCGCCCACACGTTAGTCTCCTTGTGGTGGTTGCGACTCAAACAATCAGGACCTTATGGCAAGCAACCAGGTCTGAATACCATTGGAGCCTTTGGCTGCTCATCCCGTAGAGACACGATGCGTGACTTGTGGCCAGAGCCGCTGGTCCCGACATCCCACGACTACCACAAATCACTTGACAAGCATCTTTGCCTAAATATTCCATGAAGACATTTTGCTCATGTTCTTCGTCTCGAAAGAGGACCTTACCTTAGTAAAGTTCGCATAGATGGCCATAAACCGCTGCACCGGGTCTTGCTTTGTTCACAATAATCCCGGGTGTACCACCAGAGGGAGAAGCCATCAACCGCCAGTTCGACTGCTTGAACCCAGAGGATCAACTGGTAAATGCAATGCGTCATTCCCACTATTGCCCATGCTACTTCCTGGACCAGGAAGTAGGGATTTTCGCGCACTTGGTGGCACTGAAAATCTCGTGGACGCTCTTTCGAAGCATGTAGGAGGACAACTCCACCGCCCCAAGGAAGTATTGTGATGTCCAGAAGCTGTTGGAGATTCCTTTCTATTACGATAACAATCCACCACTGGGATGGTTAACAACCATTACATCCTTCTAAATGCGTTGCCAGACGCACTTCTTCGATCACCCGGCCGTTTGCCATTTTTGGGGCGGTCCCCGCCATCGAAGCGATTCTTTGGTTTGCTGCTAGGTGCATCGAAGGTGATGACTTGGTTGCCAACGACGTTTCGAGTATCATTCCGTTTGAACCGCTCAGCAGGTCGGATGTTGTCTGCCCGAGACCCAAAGGACCGATCGCCCGGATTTTTGCCGCGGGAGTTCGAGCCGGTAGACGAACTAACTCTCATCTCTATTTGCTTACGCCCTTTTTGACCTGATCGTCGTTTGTAATCAACGTTGGATATGCGCTCCTTGGTCTTGTATCTCGAAGATGGACCCTCATCTCCAAAATCATCGTCATCACTTGACGGAGGCACTTCATCAATGGCTTCCTCCTCCACAGCAGTAAGGCCTTTCTCGCGATCCAAGTTTGTGGATGGTGCAGCTTTGGTGCTGGGGTTGAGCTGTTGAAACTCTCGGGAAGTTTCATCCACAGCAAAATCCTCGTCTTGGAAGAGTCTGGCAAAACGAGAATCTGCCAAAAGACCTTGCTCCTCTTCCGGTGTGGGATGAGCTGGTTGTTCACTCTCCTTTTCATCACCTCCCTGGGCCAAAACTCGTTGTGCACGTCGTCTTTCATTCTTCTCTTCGCGGTCGAGGATCCTCTCCACCATCTTGCGATTGACTTTGGCAGTGACTTTTTTCTTTCCACGGATGCGGCTCTCTCGCTCTTTCTCGATCTTGGCCTGCACACGCTTTTGCCGTTCTTCCTCCCAAGTCGTAGGGTTTGCAATAAGCCTGGCCTCCTCATAGAGTCCCTGGGCAACAAAGTACCCATGCATATAAGGCCTCAGCAGATTGGTCTTGCCAATGAGATGATCTAGATTGAGCATGCGAAGTTGGGGGAGAGTGAGAAATTTGAAATTATCGTACACTTCGCCCACATGTGATCGGGAGAAAGCCATTGGATCATTAGGATCGTCCGCCATCTCTTCGACAACATTGTCCAAGAATGAGCACCATTTAGGAGCAGGTCCAAGCTGGGGAATAAAGAAAGCGTGCTGCTGCCGACCCTCGTTGGCAGTCAGAAACATTCCGCTATCTCTGCACCAAGCGACGCAGTTGATATCGACGGTGGGTTCCACCGAGGTCCACGGCGCACCATCATGCTGATCCCACAATTTCAAGATCCTTCTATCGGCAGATGCAATCTTCGGTTCAGAAGTTGAGGCTCTTGTCGTACTCGAAGGTGTCAAGTATTGCACGTAATGGATAGGATACCCATAACCCTGGTCCTTCTTCAATGTGGGAAGCGGCGAGCGCAGATCATAGAGATAGATGAGACCGGATGAGGTACCAACAGCGGTACTGATACCCGAACGATGAAAATCGAGAGCGGTCACTTCGGGGCGTCCATCGTGGTCGGAGGGCATTGCCAGGGTCGCAACACGTGCTCTCGCTCTCGAGTCCCAGTACTCGACCGTTCCGAGAGAGGTCCCGAACCCCAGTAGATTGTGGCTACCTTCTGCCACTGCAGCGGTATTGATGCTGCCAGTACGGATCCCGCCTTGTAAGGCCCCGCCCCCCATAGATGTCATGTCGTCACCACCGACATCGATCTCGAACTCTTTCAAGAACCTCCCTTGTTCTAGGTTGATCCGGAATACTTCGCCCATACCATTGGAATTGACTCCGACGGTGGGAACGAGCAGTTCGGAACTGCTTCTATCATATGCCAAGTCACGACCATACCGGGGTATTCGTAAGGAATCATGACGGCCGCCTGGAGTGTGGAATTCTATCGAACGATCCTCTTGGAGGTGGACCGTTTTCGAGTAGTCAGATGAGAGGAAGAGGAATGTTTTGTTGAGAGTGTCGGTGTGTCGCGCCCAAGAGAGAGCGAGATTAGGAAGGTAGTGAGTGTGAATCTGCGGTTTGTATGTGCCCGTGCTCATGACCCACTCGCCATCCTCGCTCACACGAACGCATGAACTCGCCTCCTCGAATTCGAAATCCTGTAGAAGCTCGACCCTGTTTGCATACTCGGGGTCCTTCCTTTGCTTTTGCTTTTGAGACAACCAGTCAGGAAGATTGCGTGAGGTGGCTGAGCCGGAGACTGTGTAGACTGGTACCGCACTGTTTGTGAGTCTCATATTGACGGCGCAGGAGAGAAACGAGACGCTAAGTGTTGACCATGGGTATTATGGCGTCGGCGAAGTAGTGCAACCCTGCTGCTTAATGTCAGCTCGTCATTGTCGATCATGCGCAAGTTGTAGCATAGTCGCAAGACATACCTGGTGAGACTTATGGAAGCCACCCAAACTTTTTTCTGGCCCACCGCAGAGAGACATTTTTGCCAAGATTTCGCTGATCATACCGGAGTTCTGCCGAGGGTGCGAGGCTGACCTAATCTCGTGACAAGGCTGAGATTAAGAAAACGTGCATCACGTGCCTCAATTTTGGTCACGCTCCTCCACAAAGTTCATGTGACGGGTAATATCTTTCCTTCTGAATAACGTCCCACCTGATCCAACAATCACCGTTTTGCGTGACATTTCCGGCCAATTGAGTGGAACAGCCCATATCTTGAAGCCCGGGATCAGTGATCTCTCTATCTCATCCCCCTGATCGCCTGGAACCCCGCGATGTGTTCGTGGACCAGAGAGGTCCTTCCAGTCCACCTTCTTACCTTCTATCGGTCTCAATGACCGGGGTTGAGAATCGACTCCTGAATGGGCAATGAACTCCTATATTCATCCAAACCTTCCACCGTGCACTCCGCAGAATTGGGTCCTCGTGCGTCCCAACGGTTGAGCCATGGCCGCCGCTCTCGATTTTCCCAGTAATTGTGCGACAAACGTATACACGCTCGTATGATGAAACAAAAATGAACTGTTGTGCTCCACTGACATCTACTGTAGAACGATTTTGGCGAGATTGCCTATATTGTTTGTACTGTAGCCAATCCCCCAATTCGGGATCCCTCAGTCACCAGTAACACGCGGGAAAACACTGTGGCCCGTCTCAGGAGAACAGAGAGACAATTTAGAGAAGCATCGATTCTCGCTGCCCTTGATGTCGATGCTCTTCAATTATTCACATTTTACAAGAAGATCGACATTGCAAATGCAAAGGATCAAAAGACATTACTGAGCAAATTCGGCTTCGTCCTTCGGAGCAACACCTGTACCATCGCCTACAAAACGGCAGCCCGGCTTGCAGACTTGATGAAACCAGACCAGGGTCGACTATACCGGCTGTTCACCACTGCAATAATCTCGAGCCTCAGGCTTTCCCCATCAACCGAGTGTGAGGTTCAATCTCTTGGGCCGAACCTCTACCTGATTGAATATCTACCACCCGCATCAGATGTCCATGAATTCGAGTCTCCCAGGAGATGGGTCCTCTTTCGTGTAGATCTCCAGGTGATTCTGAGTGGGCACATCATTCTGACTATCGCTAGCAACGATAACTTGTCATTTGTGCGGCTGAGAGAAGCTCTGCGACATGGTGATTATGCTCCCAGAACGACAAAATGCATGACCCTTTATCTGGCCCCCATTGGCAGCGTTGCCAGACTCACGGGTCCCAATCTGGCGAGACTTTATTCTCGAATCCAGGATGGCCTAGAAGCCCCAGGCCATGAAATCTCGAGCATGGAAGAGGATGCCTGGAAAGAAATGCTTCCTTGGTGGCTTCGCGATCAAATGAATTACACGAATGACCCCAAAAATGTTCCCTGGGTAGAAGTACAAATCCCTATTCAAAAGGCCGACATGACATGGGACGACAGCTCACTAGACTCTTCTCCGGATTCCTTGACGTTCGAGTCAATCTCCTGGAAGAGTATTTTTTGGCCTGCCAACCTCTGCTTCATATGGGACAGGGAGAAAGGGACGCCACGGGGTGCCATCCACAACATCGAAGATCCCCTCCAGTTTGTCCAGACCTGGATCACCGGCGCTGCCGGTGGACCTGTCACAGATATGTCACAAAATCACCAGAACGCATTCGAGGACGATGAAGAACCCTTGTTTACCGAAGACGGCACCTTTGACGACCCTGAGCATTTTCAACCGTTTGGCCCACCAGCATTTGCAGCGAGCCAGACAATATATCCCACTCCTCCGGATGTCATCATGACCCATACCACGCCTGGCTTGTCTGTTGACTGCATCCCGGTGACACCGGGAAATATAGCTCGTGAAAATGCGGAGCTCCCCCAATTGCAGGATGAAGAGATGCCTGATTTTGAGGTCCCTCATTCCTCCGGCGCAGGGCCGGGATATTACGACGAGGATTTGTTTGAAGAAATGCCGGACGACAACTTTGGGCAAGAAGGAACCGGAGATGAACCTAACTGGGATTTCTTCGATCAACCCGGTATGGATTCCAAGGATGTCCCTCTGGGTGCCCCACGACAGATCAATGAAAATCCCGTGGATGGCGTCGTCGGCCATGACGTTGGCGCAAGCAGAACCAAGATCACCGAAGATTTTGACCTGTCGCCGACCGACCAGAGAAGCAAAAATGAAGACTTGGAAGCCATGGTGGCAGACAAAAAGAGTTCAAAGACTCTCGGGCAAGGGGGAAATTGGTCGCACAGCACCAGCATAATTGGTGGCGACTCGAGGGCCCTACAACCCGTCCAATCACGGTCTCCCGATCATCACGTCGCTTCCGACGAGCCTGCTCAGAAATCGACTCCGCAAGACAAGGCTACACGTCGACGTTCTAGTGTGTACGACGGGCTTCAATCTGTTGCAGTTGCTTCCGACCGGGATAGCAGATATACGTCAAATGGCGCTTACTGGTTTGATCCCAGTCCTGCGCTCACCAATCCAAAAGCTGTCAAGAAACAGAATGCGATCTATCAGATTATTCCAACCAGCCCTTCAGGAAGCGATGGTAGCTCAATGAGCAGCCGTCCCATGTCACTAGACCACGGAAACACAAATATGTGGACGCCAGGACTTCCAAGGCAATGGACCGAATATCACGTTGAATCACCCATCGAGCAGAATCTACACAACGACGTTGAGAAGGCCGCTATACAACGAGACATACAAAAGGTCTTAAATTCGCTCCCTACTGGGCTCAAGGTTCCTCCTTCAACCCTGGATTTCAATCTAGTGAAGCAAATTCGAGAGATTCCAGGCATCTCAACTCAGAAATTCTTACAGGTCGCTCACATTTTGGTCGATCAAGTCTCCCAAACCTGTCTTGTTCGTCACACCGGAGATCCTCCTGGCCATGAACCGATTCCGGATGACCATTCATACGTCCATGCCGATCTCAGTGGGATGAACACCTCTGCATCTTCATCCAGCTTACACCAGCTCGTGAATCTCAGGGTCGATAACAATCAATCCAGGCCCCAAGGTCGGATTCTTAAACTCTTCTCACCACAGATACATGTGAGACGCGCTGAACAGCCATTGACCGCGTCGACCTCGATTCTAGGGTTCTGGGATGTCCTCAATCTCCAACCTGAGCACGGAGCCAAGGATGTCACTGCATTTTGTATTCATCCAAATGCGCAAACGGTCGCAGATGGCTGTTCCAACTTCATGCAACGGATGAAGGATGCCTACTCAGCCTGTGCTCTCGGCAATCACCACCCCGGTAGCATTGCCGGGTTGACCAATGATGATGGCCTTTTGGCATGGGCCACCAACGAACCACACCAGGCTAATCTTCGTTCAATTTGCAAAAGGCTGGGAGATGCGCTATCCGCAGCCTCGGATCTGAAAGGCATGATAGTGGTGTACATGACGAGCCAATCCGACAGGATGACGGACTATCTGGAGACATGTTACGCATTCTATACGCTATTTGAAACATTTGCGCAGTCATCTACAGACAAGAAAAATGTGGTGGACATTGCGCTCCAAATCATTCCTCTCGACTTTGTGGCAGACGGACAAACTCTGATCATTCCTCCACAGAGTGACTATATCAAGCTAGCCTTGGAAGTGTACAATCGATTGCCTCCGCCTCACCCAGAAGCGGCACCAGGGACCTGTGGTTCCGCAGTGAGTGTTGCAGTGGCGGAAACGTCGGTCCATTTTCGACTTAATACCGAGGTCAGCTCACCTTTGTTCAAACATGGGCGTCTTCTGCACGTCTCATACTCCATCAGTGACGATGATCGATGGATTACGGCTGCCTGGACCGATGAATGTGGCAAACTAGCTCTCACGATGTCCTACTGTACACAGATATGGAGGTCGAGTCCCAGACGGCAACGACGGGATATTTTCAAGGAGATATGGGAAGTGTCACATGATCTCATAGGCAAAGAGCAAGGTGCCTGGCGCTTGTGCGTCGCCAAAACCGACTCCTATGATTCTGATGAACTCGGTGAATGGCGCCATGTGGTTGACGGAAATCCCACCTCGAAGAAGCGATGTACGCTGGTGCTGCTGTCGGTACGCTTGCATCCACTATTGAAATTGATACCACCATTCACTCAGGGAAGAAATGGTCCAATGGGCGGCCCAAATACGTACGGCACCCCGGCATCGACGCCGCAAACCAGCATCACGTCGCCCGACCAACTGGTTCCAGCCACACCGACACCTGGTGGTAGTGGAATCGTGAGCGCACCGACCCCGCCAGAACACGGGTATGATCCCAACGTCGAAAGCGATCTGACACTGGTGGACCCTGCTGAAGAGAGCTGGTCCATTGTGCTACCATATGGCATCAACCAAACATCAAATGTGGTGGAACTTCGTCCTTCGATGCTCACAGGACTGTTGATGAAGCGTAAAGGCGTGAAAGGCGAAGATGGCCATGCGTCAATTGAAGTCAGCTTGTTCAATTTGATCCCGTCAGCCCCTGCTACGGAAGAGCCATGGATGGATGAACTTCTGGAAGATATCATCAAACAATATCGGGGGCTTGTGACTTTGAGTGTCACACGAGGCTGCATCGATGCGGGCCTCGATTGCCTTCCATGGCACGTCGCCACGTCGATCCGTGGTGCGCGCGTTCTGGGAGAGGTGATGTGAGCTTGGCATTTATATATCTATATTTTTAGTCTTAGTGGTATCAACAGGAAATGCCATCAATGGAATCCGAGATGTCGATTGGAATCAAGGGATCCCCGATCACGCGCCTTGTGCACATCGGAGAAAGCACCGTTTTTTGCACGCGCAGCCAAGCATACATTTTGCTTGGTCGGGCTCAATTATACAAAGCCTTGGTGGAAAGATAGCTCCGATTCTCGGAGTAGTATTCCAAGGGATATTCTATCCTGACTTCTTGCCAAAGGTGGGCCGTCAACAGGGTACGCCAGGCAGGCCAGACCCGAACGAGCCCAGGGCAGTCAGGAACTCATGCCATGAGGATTGGCACTGTATTAATGAATTAGCTGCAATTTCTTCCTGTCCATGGGTTTGACACACGCCAACCTCGCACGCATGACACCCTAGATGGACCAAGTACACATGAACCCTGAGTAGGCAGGTGTACCCCCGTGTCAAGGGCTGACGTGCCCTTGTTTCTCTTGTGGTAAGACAAGTGAGAGGTGCGGAATGCCAACACGACGGATAGCCACTGAGAATAGCCTGCATAACTCCCTGTACCACCCATAGGTACCCTTGACCTCCTTTCTAGCGCCTGGGTTAAGGGCCCGAGGGCCCCGAGGGGCCCATAAAAGATGCCTAAGAAATGGGAAGCTGAACCGGATGAGGCTTGCCAATGGTCGCCCCATTAGCCATCAGCCGATCTGATTAGATTTTGTTTTTCACCCCCCCACCTCCCACCGTGCATGGCACGGGTTACGGCAAACAATCTATGCAACTAATCGTAAATTTCTCACAGGGAACTACAAAGTATGAGGCACTAAGTGCTGGGCCGTGGTCACTCCAGATACGAGACCCTCGGTAACGACCGCGAGTCGAGATGGGTTTGGTACAGCTATTCCGCCAGCTCCTGGCCCAGCAACACCCACCTCGGTCCTCCGTACATCTTCTCTTGTCCGACCTGGAGCGCACCGTCAAAGAACGCTCGAGAAGAGTCGAGCGTGAATTGACCTGTAACTCATGACAGCTCTTGGCACGAGGCAATAAGTTTCGAGTTCTCCCAAGGAGCGGAATAATCGAGAATCTAGACGGACTATGCTATCCCAATTTCAGACTATTGGCATTGGCATTGGCACAGCTAATGACAATGAACAGCATCCGTTCTTCTCTGTCCACCCTTGTACCTTGGGGACCAATCCGGGACCCAAAACACCCCCGACCTTTGTTTATTGTCACCGTCGTGCTCAATTCTGACCTTCTAAGGATGATCCGTCTCCACATAGTCTGAAAACTCTGCATCTGATAAGATAATCACCAATCGCTTGATCAACACTCCAGAGCTTGCACCCCACCCATGCTGTGTGATACCTCGTCGATGGAGCGGATCGTTCACTCAGAGCCTTTGGGTGTCGTACATTTGGGGAGAGCTTGAGCTCTGGTCATCCCGCGTCTTGCACTAAAGGATGGCATCAGCTGGATTCAATGTGGACTTTCGGCTAGAAAGGCACACTCCTCGTGGCACTCGCACTTGGTCGCTTGTGTAGTAAATGTTACCCTCGACCATCCCTGATCACTACTGCAACGGGGCGTCCGATCCAAGTCTACCTTTTACTGACCCATCTGATTTAACCAAACGCCACCTGTTTTTGAGCATAAAATTTTTGATTGCAACTTAAGTAAGGCTATATTCCGTCCAGGGATCGTTTCCTTCTTCGTTCTTCTCCCACCTCTTGACATCTGGCGTAGAGAGTGGCTTTCTGACATCGCGCTTGCGGCGATTCCTTACAAGACCACACAATCGTTCAACTGCTGGCAGTCCACAGTCAGCACCTACTGCCACAATGTCCTTCTCCGATACCTCCAAGGAGAGGGAACGGGGGCTCAATACCAATGGTCTTTCATCCGAGCCCAAATCCGAGCAGACTCTTCCCAATCCTGAAGAACAACTGGGCGGTCCGGAGGAGCAGTATCGCCAGCGCCATGGATCCATCCTTGTGGGCGCAAAATCACCCGGTGTAGCGCGAATGGAAGCCATGTCCGAGGTGATCACCCGAACGGATCGAATCTTTTTGTTTATCGGGATATTCTTGATCGCTTACGCCTACGGTCTGGACGGTACCACACGCTACACGTACCAGACCACGGCCACCGCTTCTTGGGGGCAGCACTCTCTTCTCGCAACAGTCAACGTGATCCGATCCGTCATCGCAGCGGCCGCTCAACCTACGGCCGCCAAAATTGCCGATGTCTTCGGTCGTGTGGAACTTGTTATGCTCAGTGTTGTTTTCTATGTCTTAGGTACGATTATCGAGGCTGCGGCAACCAACACCTCGACATTCGTCGGAGGTGCAATCCTCTACCAGATTGGATATACCGTGGTGATTTTGTTGGTCGAAGTCATCATTGCGGATATCACGTCGACACGGGCACGCCTGTTCTTCAGCTATATTCCGGCGCTTCCCTTCATCATAAACACCTGGGTCAGCGGCAATATCACGCAGGCCGTCCTCACGGCAACCACTTGGAAATGGGGCATCGGCATGTGGGCCGTCATTTATCCAGTCTGCGCATTGCCGCTCATGATCTCCCTAATGGTGGTGGCCCGCCGAGCCAAAAAGGCCGGCATCATGGACAAGTACAAGTCTCCCTATCAGCAATTGGGCGCAAAGCAATTGACCGTGGAGCTTTTCTGGGCCTTGGACGTGATCGGCATTATATTGTTGATTGCCGTCTTTGCGCTCATCCTCGTGCCCTTCACAATTGCCGGAGGATACGGCGATAACTGGAAGAAAGCTCATGTGATCGCTCCATTGGTCATTGGAATCCTCTGCGTTCCAGCATTCATTTTCTGGGAGTTGAAGGCTCCAAAGCCCCTTGTTCCCTTTGACTTGTTGAAAGACCGAGCCGTCTGGGGTGCGTTGGGTATCGCTGGTACCCTGAACTTTGCCTGGTACATGCAAGGAGATTACTTGTACACCGTCCTGATAATTGCCTTCAACTTCAGCATTATGGGGGCGACTAGAATTCTGTCACTCTACAGCTTTACTTCTGTGGTGGTTGGATTTTCACTGGGATTGATTGTGTACAAGGTTCGACGACTTAAATGGTTCATCGTCGCGGGCACGTGCTTATTCGCGGTGGCGTTCGGTCTACTCATCCATTACCGTGGATCGCCAAACTCAGCAGGACAGTCAGGCGTTATCGGGGCCCAGGTTCTGCTCGGCTTCGCTGGTGGTATGTTCCCGTATCCAGCCCAAGCCTCGATTCAAGCCGCCACCAAGCACGAGCACGTTGCCGTCATCACCGGTCTGTATCTGGCAACGTACAACATTGGGTCTGCGTTCGGAAACACGGTCTCCGGAGCAATCTGGACCCAAGTTCTCCCGTCAACCCTCGATGACCGTCTAGCAGTGTTCGGCAACTCGACGCTGGCCGCTGCCGTCTATGCAAATCCCTTCGCCGTGGCCGCGGAGTTCCCTGTTGGTACCCCCGAGCGCGATGCTATCATCGCTTCTTATCAGCATGCACAGAGACTATTGACCATCACCGGCATATGTCTTTGCGTGCCACTGATCTTTTTCGCCAGCGTCCTCCGCAACCCCAAGCTTACCGATACTCAGAGTTTGCCAGAGGCGGAGGAGAGGGTTGTTCGATAAAGCGAGGACTCTGACGTGTATTATCGGTGACAGGAGATGCGCTTGAGCAAGATTGACATGTAGTATCTGGAACATTTGCCGTATTCAAAACGCTCGAGTAGGATTTCCTTACATGATTGGAAAGAGAGCTGACATAATACGTTTCCAAGCAATTTAATATTTTTGTTTACTGTAATCGTACAAAAGCGTTCTGTCGTCCTCGTATTCTTGATGATTTGAGATACTTCAAGCTTTCCAATGAACCTTATAATGACCGACGTGGCCCGACGGAGGTAAGGGATGTCACCGTAACCACAGTATCAAACCACATCTCGTAGTTCGACGAAACAGCTGGTGTGTTGCATGCGTTGTGGCACCCACAGAGACGCAGCCACGGGATCAGTGGCTTGAAGATTGTGGCTGTGTTGGAGTCTATTCCCAATTGGGCCTCACGCAGATCATGACGTAATGTAGCAAATTAGACACCTGGTGACCAGAACAGCGTAGGGGGGAAAATACATAACATCGATAAAAGGAGGGGGTGGCATGAGCACAACCCAGTTGATCATTGCTGTTGCGCATCCGGAGAATATGCACAATTAAGGTACTCTTAGATTCACACTCCTGCCTAGCCCCTGGGAATCGCAACCTTGTCAGTTGCTCTCACATCAACCAGTGTTGCTTGTCCTGCTTTCTTTCCCTCACCAGCTAGATCATAACCGGGAGAAGGTGCCAATCGCGTCCTCCCACTCCATTCTCCTGCGATCCGAGGTCGAACAACGTATAAACAAGGTCTGCATCCTAGAAGCATCTCACTAATACCACTCGACTACCATTGAATCGTCTGCTAACCATCAACATGACAGCTCACTATTTCACCACTCCTCCTCCCAGCTATACTCTCATGGCTACCTCCAATCTTCCTACCAGAACCAACACAACTCGGACTGATTCTGGGGAGGATGTGTTCGACGGAGATCCGTCAAGCGCCGCCGGCCTCCTGATCGAGCGCCTGCAGGCATGGAAGCACATGTGTGGATACCTCGAGAACTACATCTCGCACGTCGCGAAGGACGAACAATCGAAAGCGAAAGATCAGGAGAAGATCCTCAAGACGCTTTCCGATCCTCTAAAGGAGGCACATCACTTCGACACCGCCATCGGTGGCATCGCCTCGCTTTTTGACAATCTTCGCTCCAACACACAAGCTCAGAGCCAGCTGCACGCAGAGACCTCCAAGAATCTGACCGGACAGGTTCTACCCATTCTCGAGAGATTACACGCCGAGATCAAAAACAAGAACAAAGAACTCACCAGCGGTGCTGGCAAGGGATCCAAAGCGGTCGATCATGCCCGTCAGGTTTCACAGAAGGCGATCGAGCAGCTCGGCCACCACGCGGCCAGCTTCGATTCTTCGGGCGGAAAGGTCTCTGCACAAAATGACCCCTATGTCATTCGTCGCGGCATCTTGTATCGCCTCAACCGACAAATCTTGGAGGAAAACAGCAACAGACAGGATTTGATTTCCGTGCAGAGTGCCTTTAGTCAATTTGAATCTCACGTCGTGACGACGGTCCAAACTGCCCTGAATGCCTTCAATCAGTTCATGAGCAACTCGGCAGATCGCCAAAAGGCCATGTACGGGGATATAGCCTCCACGGCCAGCAACATCCCACTTGACTACGAGTGGAACGGTTTCATGCAGAGAAACAATCATGTTCTGGTGAATCCAAACGCACCGGCAAGGACGATGGATGGAGTTTCCTTCCCCAATGAAAACCATCGTTCCACAAAGCCACTTATCGAAGGATCTTTGGAACGGAAATCACGTGGCATGGCTGCATTGAAGGGCTACAGTACAGGATACTACGTGGTTTCCCCGGCGGGATATCTTCACGAGTACAAGGACAACGACAATTTCCACAAAGATCCCACACCGGAGATTTCTCTCTACTTGCCTGACGCGATCATTGGCGCGGTCGATGGTCCGAAATTTACCATCAAGGGAAAGGACACCTCCGGCAGCAAGCTGGGACAGAAAATGGCCATTTCGTCTGAGTTCCAGTTCAAAGCGCACACTCATTCCGACGCCGAACAGTGGCGCTCCATCGTCGCCAGCTTTGCCAATTCTTCAAACAGCCTACCGACAAGCCCCGTCGAGAGTCGAAATGTAACGCCCATTGCCACCAGGATGGAAGAACCCCAGCAGTCTGGTGTGACCAGTGGACCAAAGAGCGCGACGTCTCCTCAAAGTGCAGGCACTGTACCAGCGAGCGCGACATCCCCTCAAGCGGGCAGCGCACATCCTGTGGCATCTCCTCCTTCGGCAACAACCACGTCCCCACAGTCGGCTGGTCCATATCATGGCGCACCAGCTAGCAACGTATTGGGAGACAGGAAGTTTGTTGAGAAGTGATTCGAGGAAGAGACGGCTGGGCTTTTCCATATCCTGCTTCTAATTCTGCTTTCGAGTGAAGCTGTTTCCTTTAATGCAGTTCTTAGTAATAGTCAACTTAATCCGCATTGATACCCGCATTGATTCTCAGAATCCTCTCTTGGCCGATACTGCTGTGTGAAGTATGCTTATTGCTATCCTCTCGGGTATATGCGCAAGTATCTCACTCAGGAACGCTACCCTAGATGTACTGTTACGAACCACGTCCAGCCAGAACAACATCACAACTAGCCCTCCCATTCACTTCCCATTCGTAACAACCACCAACTCTCTCCCCACCTCGTTGTCCTCGCCATCATCCTCTCCCGACCTGGGATGCCCACCATCTGAACCCAGCAACCCGGTCCGGGGTGGGCTGAACTGCCTGAGCAATACACCCGCCTCGTCCAACACCCGCCTGCTCGCATCGTCCATATTGTAGCTCTGGCTGAACACCACCTCCTTGACGCCCACCTGCGCAATCTTGACACTGCACGTCAAACACGGACACGTGTCGCAATACAGCACGGCGCCCTCGCGGATGCGCTCCCTCCCGGCCTCCAGCAGCGCGTTCTCCTCCGCGTGCAGACACAGGCATGTCGACAGCGCGGATCCCCCTGTGGAAGCGGCGTTGCACCGCGCGCACCCGCCTTCGTTGCAGTTGCGCAGGTTGCGCGGCGTGCCGTTGTAACCGGTCGAGATGATACGCGCGTTGTGGACGAGCACGCACCCCACCCGCCGTTTCATGCAGTTGGAGCGTTGCGACGCGAGCGACGCGAGCGTCATGAAGTACGCGTCCCACGTGGGCCGGAGGCGGATCGGGGACGGGAGGTCGAGCGTCGAGAGGAACGTGGAGTATGAGGACGGGGTGGTGAAGGCGTTCAGGATTTGCAGGTGCGCGTGCGAGGCGAGGTGCGCGGTCCCGCGGGGTTTGGTGCTGCTGCTGGTGGCGGAAGCACCGCGAGTGGGTGAACGGGATGGAGATGGAGATGGAGATGTGGATGTCATTGAGTAGAGATCTGTCGAGCTGCCGTATAGTTGGAGGTCGTTGTATGCGATGAAGTCGGATATAGGCATGGCTGGCAAGTTGCGTTGGTGGCATCTGTGTTTCGGCATTCGAGACTCATCGTCAATATATGTATATGTTTTTTTCTGCAGAAACTCATGTTTTCAAGAGTGGCCAAGCCGTATGGGGTGAACGACGTTGAGACCGTCCATGTAGACTCAGCTTTAAGCGAACGAGGGGATATGCTATTAGGTACCATTCACAGTATCGTCCGATATCCGTGTCTCAGAGCTTCCAGCCAGAGATCATGTATCAAAAACAAGGGTGGTCGGTCAACCAACAAAGAGACTCATTCACAGTACCAATGGCAACCAAGCCAAAGAAAGGAAAAACCAGCAGAATGGACTCACCGATGATTGAACCGCCTGAACCTCAGCCCGACAGGAGCGTCAACGTTGACGAGCAGGAAAAACGGACGCCTCAGCAACATCTCCAACGTCGCCTCATCGTAAATATCGGTCAAGACCCAGTGCTCACGCCACCTCTTGGTGACAAACTCCAGCAGTGAGTCGACTTCTGGAAATGTGAGGCCGCGTGTGCCTCGCTGATCTGTCACGGAAGGAAGAAGCCGGTCGTGGTTCAGCCTCTGTTCCTGTTCGTCTGCTGGCGTCGACGAGGATGACGAGATATGTTGGCTCTGAGACTGAGCGGGTAAGTGCAGTCGAAGAAAGCCGTGCTGCTGCACTAGATACTCAGCTGTAGTGTGCTTGCCTGAGCAGATCGAGCCGCAGATCCCAATCAGCATGTTGGTGGTGCCCGGCGGTGGGCTCTCAAGTGAGTAAATGGTCTGTGCTCAATATTTCAGGTCGACTCTCTTTTTCTCTTTGTTGGTTCTGCTGACCTATTGGATCCTTTTGCCGGGCTTGTTTAGTTACGGCAGAAGGAGATTGAACTGTTTATTCTCATGTTACCTCAAACCCTGAGGTCGTTTGTTTGGCGTAGTTTGAAACTGATATCCACGTGCTGTGTGGGACGCGTAAAGTGGTTCTGTCATTTGACCCCAGAAGCGCGTCAAATGACCGGATCAACTGTTCCGGCGACCGCCCGGTCCCACCCATTTCGCCTCCCCATCCTCCAGCCCTGCCACCAACCATCTGACCTCAAACAGCCAGACGCTCTAAGCCTTGCTGCCTGTCCATCGCTTGGTCATCGATTCTGAGTTGAGTTGAATGTTGTTCCCGCTCAAGCTTGGATATCTCATTTCATGCAATCCATCACTGATCATTGCTAAGCAAGTAGGCTGGGAGGGGAGCCATCTGTCCGACCCCAATCTACAAAATCAATTCAAACAATGCAGTACGTACCCTTCGCTTCAGATATCGAGATACCCTTCTACGCTTCTTTGGCATCTCACAAGATCAACCATGACAAGCTCGATGACTCGGCCCGCAAGCTGCTGGGTCTGTACGAGATCCGCGCATCCGATGCCAAAGAGCATTCATGTCGTATGCAAGTCCATGGGAATGCATTGACCAGCGATGACGTCCCACCGAACTTCTATCGAGCTGAAGGCATCATCAAAAATCTGAATACCATAGAGGAGTACCGCAATATCGACAAGCTCCAGCTGATTCAGCAGGCTGGTAGAACGATCTGGGAGGCCATTAATGATGGGACGATTTATTCCTGCCCATCCCTCTTGGCATCGTTCCTCGTCCTATCCTTTGCCGACTTGAAGAAGTATAAATTCAGCTATTGGTTTGCCTTTCCGGCACTGACCCAGGATCCGTCGTGGGTGCCTGTTGAAGCAGAGTCTACTTCACTAGCAACCTCGTCACACCCGGACGCAAAATTTCCTTACGCGAGGCTGAACTCCATTGAAAGTACGACTCTGGTGGATAAGGTCATGACGTGGAAGTACGGTGTAGATTCCCGCCAGCATGGTTTCTTCATCGTGAGGAAAGAGCGTACCCGATCACAAAACGCAGAAGACGAAGAATTTGGTCCGACGTCTCCTCAAACACCACTCACGCCATCGGAGAATCTCGGATATATCTGGACGGTGGGCTCACTGTCGAGCTATGAAACAGGCTTCTTCGACGGGGTCGAACCCGAAGACAGGTATGTCTGTTTTGCGGATCCATCAAATTACAGCGACCCGGCTGCTCCAGGGTGGATGCTTCGTAACCTACTTGTCCTCGTCGGACAGAGGTGGAAGATCGACAAGGTCCAGATTCTGGCATATCGCGAGACACAAATGAGGCGAGACGCGGCACGCAGCATCATATTCACCATGCAGGTGTCGAAAGAGAGGAAGCTACCACCCCAATCGTCGTCGTCGGCCGCGGAACCTCCACCGCTAGCGACCGCAGCATCCCAGATCCCACCGACCCCGAAAGTCGTCGGCTGGGAACGTAACGCACAGGGAAAGCTGACCGGGCGTCTGGCCGATCTGACAGAATACATGGACCCAAAGAAACTGGCCGACAGTTCAGTAGACCTGAACCTGAAGCTGATGAAGTGGCGAATCAGCCCGAACCTGAACCTGGATAAGATCAAGGAGACAAAATGCCTCCTTCTCGGTGCCGGCACACTGGGCAGCTACGTGTCCCGCAACCTGATGGGCTGGGGCGTGCGAAAGATCACATTTGTGGACAACGGGACCGTCTCGTTCTCCAACCCCGTGCGGCAGCCCCTGTTCAATTTTGAAGACTGTCTTGCGGGCGGCAAGCAGAAGGCCATCGCCGCAGCCGAGGCCCTCAGACTAATCTACCCGGGCGTCGAAGCGGAGGGCCACGTTCTATCCGTGCCAATGGCGGGCCATCCGATCACGGACCTAGAGAAAACCAAGGCAGAGTATGAGAAATTGCAGACACTGATCGATGAACACGACGTTGTGTTCCTCCTCATGGACACGCGTGAGTCTCGCTGGCTGCCCACGGTGATGGGCAAAGCGGCAGGGAAGATCGTGATGAACGCGGCGCTTGGATTTGATACATACGTGGTGATGAGACACGGTGTTAAACCGGGCGGCAATTCGCTTCCGTCCTCCTCAGGACAGCCTGCAGAACTCGGCTGCTACTTCTGCAATGACGTGGTCGCGCCGGCAGACTCGATGAAGGACCAGACGCTCGACCAGCAATGCACCGTCACGAGGCCCGGCATTGCAGCGATCGCGTCGGCACTGCTGGTTGAGCTGCTCGTGTCCGTTCTACAGCACCCGCAAGGTGCAGCGGCGCCAGCCACCCAGTCACGCTTGACATCCTCATCGGCTTCAGACGAAGGAACCGAGCATCCCCTTGGCATCGTCCCACATCAGATCCGCGGGTTCCTGTCCACGTTCTCGAACATGAACATCACTGGCAGATCGTACGATTGCTGCAGCGCGTGCTCGGATAAGATCCTCGACGCCTACAAGAGCGAGGGCTGGGAGTTCGTCCAGAAGGCGTTGAATGAGAGGGACTACGTCGAGGAGCTGAGTGGTTTGAAGGATGTCCAGAGAGCCGCTGAGGCGGCCGAGGCGGATATTGATTTCAGTGAGGAGGATGGGGATGACGAGGGTGATGGGGAGCTGTTGTGATGGAGATGGAGATGATTATGATTATGACTCGGCTTCTGACCATCTTTTCGTCCGGTGTGACTCTAGAGTAGATGGGATGAATGTTGCTCTTGTGATGATCATGGTATCTGGATGATGACACGGTTTTATATCAGACCAAGTACTAAGGCGTACGCACTACGCATGCAAAGGTCTTCACATTGGCGCTCACTGGCCGGCCGGATTGGTATTTTCGAGCACAAAGGACCCTGAAAAAGTATAAAATAGTATAGATACCCAGGTTTCTCTCCCCTTGACCCCTCCCCCACCACCAATATTCATCCCTCAGCGAAAACAGCGTCCCTATCGGCATTGGCGAGGCGCCGGATGCCCACAAAGTAAGACTCCTTGGACTCACTGCGCGAGCTCTCAGGCTTGTCGCGGTGGACCTTCTGGAACATGGCCTTGAGGCTCTTCTCCAGCGCCTTGTCCTCGCCGCCCTGGTAGAACTTGCACACAAAGTGGCCACCGATCTTGAGCGTGTCGTAGCTGAAGTAGAGGGCTGCGCGGCAGAGGTCCTATATGATGACGGAGGTTAGAGGGTAAGTTATTGTTTGGCCTGGTTGGCTGGTGGGTGAGGAGGGCGGGGCTTCTTACCATACTACCGGCATGGTCACGAAACGCATTTCCACTCGTGTTCATCAACCTACGATACGGGTTACTGATTGATCTCTTGTACAGCCCATCAAGCGGGTCCCAGGGCTCCCACATGTCGCTCAGGACGACGTCTACCGTCTTATCGAGGTGCGCAGCCTCGTCTCCACTGACGCTGTCCTCGACTGCTTCGCCGGTGCCAGAGTGCTGCCGGTCGAGGTAGCCTGTTTCCCCCTCCTCGATCCTCATTTGATCCACGGGGCCATCTGTGGAAGATGGCTCACTGGGGTTCGTGATGAACAATGGGTGGGTGTTGCGGAGACGGCCCCGGTCGGGGTCGCGCAAGAAAGATTTGATCTCCGCTTGGACGTCTGGGGAGAGGAAGTTGCCTTGGACCGTCGAGACGCCCTTGGGTGGCTGTACGGGGATCAGATCGACGCCGAGGACCCGACCCCGCGGTTTCGTCAGGTCGATTGCCACCTGTTCGTATATCCTTCGTGTTAGATTGCAGATATGGACCGCATATTGTGTCTCTGCTCCACGGAGGGCACTCATACCTGACTCCAACTCCCCGGCGCAAAACCGAGATCTATCACGGTCATACCCGGCTTGAACAGCCGATACTTCTCATTGATCTGCAGCAACTTGAACGCAGCGCGGCTCTTGAGGCCCTGCACCTTGGCCGCACGGGCGAACTGGTCTTTCCCCTGCCGATCAGTCCAGCGCCGCGATGAGGCGTAGCGTTTCCACGTCTCTGCCGCCCAGGGTAAGCATAGTGTAGGTGATGTGGAAGGTAAATATGTACGTCCAACTGGCGATGAGGTACAGAATGTCCCATTGCTCCATGGTGAGGCTGCGGGTCGGGGTGGGAGAAGGAGGAAGTCGGAGGATTGTGGTTGCCGTAGTGAGCGGAGAGTCTGCGATAGTGGTTTACATGATGGCATAGCACGGCGGACCTTTGCAGGACTCGGCACAGAAGTGCTGCAAGGGGAGGGATATGGCGTGGTGCGGGCGCGAGTTGGGATGTTGGCGAGTGAAATGAACTGGTCGAACTATTTCTCGATATCATCTTGGAGCAGGATGTTAGGGCGGCGGGATATAATGCTGATGCCGCTTTTAGGTACATCAAAGTCGTTGGACGAACTCTCCCGGGCTTTAGACATGATGCGCAAAGGCCACCAGTGGAAGAAAACAGAGGCTTGGAATTTAACAGAAGCCGTGCCTGGGTCACGTACTTCAATTCCGATGTTTACGAGTAAAGCTGTGCTGTCATTGCGTGCAAGGCGTACTCTCGACAAATGGCCAACCCAACGAGTTTCATATACAAAGCCGTTCAAACGCCGCCTCATCAGGCAGCCACCATTTCCGTAGTCCTTCGAACCTTCTTGAGTGGAGAGAAGTCAGCCAGCACCTTTCCCTTGCCATTCGGTTTCGCTTTCAAGCTGATCCGTCCTATCCCAGCGGCATTGGCACCTAGATTCCTAACCTTAGGGGCCGCTAAGCCATCCTCCTCGTCGAAAATGTTAGTTCGCTTAGGGAAGATGTTTTCCTTCTTGGCCGGTTCGGACGTGTATCGTGTAGATCCTGTCGCGTTCTCCGACGTCTCATGGGATTCATCGTGTTCCAAGTCGCTATCCACGTCTGAATTCTCCTCCACGAGCTTCTCAAGTTGGGCCTTCTTGATGGTAGTATTGGCCTTTGCTTTGGTGGTTTCCTTGAGTGGCTGAGTCGCATAGTCCTTTTTCTGTCCGGTAGTCGTCGCGGCAGAAGGTTTTTCAAGCTTTGATCGTGCTCCTTTGGCCTTCGGGGGTGTTGAATTGTCTTCCACGGTTCCGTCGGTCTGGTCTTTCGCAGGTTTCTGCTTCTGCTTCTTTTTCTGTGGCTCGTCCGCTCCCGCCGAGGGTGACTCGGGCAAAATGCTGAGAGTGCGGTTCAAGAACGGTGTCATGGAGAAGGTAGACTTGTCACCGGGGTTGACAGAAATACGCTGCTTTTTCCCTGCGGGTCCCCCGTTTCCTGGTGTACCAATTGTCATGTCTGGATCGAAACGGGCAACATTTCTCTTTCTAGGATTTGCAGCGACACCGCCATTAAGCCGGACTTTGGTCATCTCAGCAGATTGAGCCATCTTGGCAGCTTGCAATTTCTCAATTTCGCCCTGGGCCTCTTGAAGCTGGTCTTTCGTCGCTCGAAGCTTGCCCTTGTACGCCTCGAGCTTCTCTTCGAGGTGCTCTTTCTCTCCCTCCCATTCGACCGTCTTCTTCCGATTTTCTCGGTCCATCTTCTGATTTTCTCTCTTTATTCGGACAAGCTCCTTCTTCAAAACCTCGATTTCGGCCGCCGTGGTAGACTCGTCGTTGGCTGATGACTTCCCTTGCGCCTTGATCCGTTGTACCGTTCGCTTCTCGGTGTCCAATTCCACTTGTAAAGAATTGACTTCCCGCTGCAGTGCTAGCTTCTCCGAGAGCAGGTTCTGTTGTGTGGAGGTCTGCGACTTCAAATGTTCGAGTTCGGGCTTCAAGGTATTCAGTTCTCTCGCCAGTGCCAACTTCTCCGAGAGGAGTTTCGTCGCATCGGTACTAGCTGCGTCCAAGGCATTGACCTCCGCTCTGAGATGATCCAAGTCTCGAAGTCGGGCCTTCAAGTCCATCTGCGTCTGTTGCAATTCCGACTCAACCACCGAGACTTGATCTCGCAATTCCTCGTTGGTCTCCTCCAGGTGGTTGTACTGATCCTCATACTGCAGCGCTTGTTCCTGCAGGTCATCGTTTTCATCTTCGAGGAGTAGCAGTTGCACGCGGATTGCGCGTACCCGTTCTTCTTCATAGATTCGTTCGGCTTGTCGAAGTGCGCGTTCGTAGGCAAGTTCGAGTTGGGAGGTCCTCATCGACTGCGCGATTTCGGTGGTAGTCATAAATTCTAATTCTGAGTCCATGTTGAATACTTGTTCGCGTAGTACCCTACTTTCATATCACTGTTGAACGCGGAAGAAGAGTTGGACGGTGCTGGTTGCGAAATGCAATTAATGATTGCACCATGTTTCGGGAGATGTTGACATATCTCCTAAACGGGGTTGGTCCCGCCAAGCCTTTCCCATTGCCCTTTTACTCATTGACCATCTCTTATGTACTGCAGACCTTAGACATCTTGTGGTAGTAGGCACAGTACGATTCACCAGTACCCAAGAATTCACTCACTCTGAAGCTCTATTTAATGACTGGAACACGACTGTCTGGGTCATTGAACCTCGGGTCCTCGTTTGCTTCAAAGGGAGCATTTAGACCTCTGAGGCCAAAATGACACTTCCTTCATCAGCGTCATGCTTGCCTCGGCTTGTTACTATTGCGACGGAACTATTTATCAGAATTGAATACCTTACCTCTGTGATGGGGTCCGGAAATGAAGCAGCGATTGATCGCAGGAACAATCCCGACTCAAGGTGAGATCTCGATGCAGATGCAGGTTGTTACTCATCTGCAGCTGGGGACGGATAATTGCATATCCAGTTGAAACCACTTGCAAATTACAACCACGCTGTTATGTGCATTTTAGTAACACACATGGCTTGTGAATCCCTTCAGTCTTAGATGTTGACCTCGAGATGGTTCCAGTCCCATGTCGAAGGACCGTGTGACGCCTTTTTTGACTTGAGTACAGAGGCAGCGGTTCAGCAGCTTCCATATTCCCTCTCATCTATATCAACCCGCCTTCCCCAAGCCTTTTTCCTTCTTTCTTTGTCTCCCATCCTTATCCTTTTCTCCATTTCTCGGTCTTCTGCTGTTGATATAGCAACTTCGCTCCGTCCTTCGACCTTTTGAGTTGGCCGATCTGTCCTCACCGCACCAATTATTCATCAACTCACCAAAACCCAAGTCGAGGTTGGTGCTCATGTTTTAAATCACAAATCAAACTTCCTGCAGCTGTTTTGCGTCGAACTGAGGTGTTCTTGGGCAATCCCAGCCTCTTGGGGTTGCTATATATATATATATGCACCTATACCTGCCAGCTCCATAAGCCATCATCCGGTCAAGGTCCGTACTCTTATTTCCACGGCACCTTGTCCGTCTGGCTCAAGCTTACGTGAGAGCAGCCAGTCACCCAGGACCCCCAATCTATTCAGTGTTCACCTGCAAATGGAGAAACGAACGCGCCTTCAAAGCGGCCCGGGGCCCAGAAATTGTTCCACGACCTGAAGGTTCACTGCCAACTGGGGCCCTCACTTTGTTACCACAGAAGGCGGATGCGTATTGGCATATTTCCAGAATCTCATCGAAAGTGGCTGGCCAACAACTATCGCACTCACCTCAAATATCCCATGATGGTCCAGTTGCAGCCGTGCGACAAGCTACTGGTTCGTGGGTCGAAACTTTCATCAAAGGCTTGACAGAAGGTCGGCCATTGAGATCTACAACAACACTAATCAGCCAACTTCAATCAACGGGTATACTCCCTTCCTGAATGTTGCGAATTCCCATGAAGAATTTGAGGAAAACAGCGCGAGTGCCCGTAGTGATGCTGAGGCCGACGCATTACCTGCTTAGTCGCATCAGAAACAACTCCTCCAGAAAAAGGCGGTTGAAGGCGGGTGGAGTAATGCAGACATTAGCATCGCTGTCTCTACTTTCCATGCTTCCCAGGGACGAGAGCAACGTATAGTGATTGTTGGCATGACAAGAATGTGCCCAAACATACACATGACATTCATCGTTAGTCCACGCCTCTTCAATGTGGCAACAACTCGGGCTGAGGACATGATGTACTTTGTGGGTCATTGGCTATCGATTATGATGCAGCCACTACCTTCTGTCCTCCGAAATTACTTTCAATTACTCGAAAAACAAAGTTCGGGGGGGTGGGGGGGGTAGGTATGAATCTGGATCCGACTCTGGTGGCAAGGGCAGGAAGAAAGTGTCGGCCAAAGAGCGGCCAAGAAGGATCGAAAGAATTCAAAGCGCGCAGCAGATCCCAATGACAAGCTCAAGAACAGAGCCGAATTGATCGAACTACATCGCTGCATCGACGGCATCAGATGCATTGAAGGGATCCAGCTTACACCAACATTCCCTTTCTCGGAGGGTACCTCGGCATGGCCAAAACGAATGAACTGGAAGAATTCACAGACGACAATATTCGGGTCCTCAAAAGCTTCGAACATGCCAAAGATGCTGGAGGATGCGATGTACTTCATTGGCCATTGGCCGTCAATTGTACAGCAACCATCCTCAATCCTCCGATAGTACTTCCAGCTACTTGAAAAAAGAAGTCGGACGGACTTTGTCCTACACATCGGCTCTTCACCCTATGCAATAATGAAACAGGCAAGTTTCAACGCCGAATTCACTCTGTCCGCGAACCTGGGTGTCGTGCCCATTTTTCGCAATTATGTTCCGGAGCAGGTAAGAGGTCGCATACTACGGGAGATTGTGTCGCGCAGTTGGATCGATGCTCACACGACGACACATCAATTGAATGTCTTTAGATGGAAATACCTTGTACATGCTCGTTGCATGAGCACGGAGTACTACATACGACTTCCTCAGTTGGAGGAAATGTGGCAGGTTATGGGAAATGCTCTGAAGAAGGTCATGGAGATGTGAAGAAAGTTGTTGGCCTTAATATGGGAACAAGAGGAAATGTATTACGCATTTTAACTGACCGTGACTGAGAATTCGTTAAAGCCATGGCATGCCATCAGTCTTTGGACAGAACTGTACCTCATCTCTAACTTCGATCATGAGGGCTGTATGATTGCCTAAGGCAACGGACAGAAGTAATTAACGGTATGTATTTCAGCAGACAAGTGATAATCATAATTTCGGTGTTGTTCTTCTCCTATGTCCAAACGCGTACAGAATTATATCTAAGATGTGTACCATTATATGCCTAGGTAAGATAATGATCCCAAGAAAGCTTACACAGCACTACTACGGAGTACCCGCCCAGTGACTAGTGCTACACTTCAACAATGAATCACAATCTATAAAATTATACTAGAGTCTAGTTCATACCAAAGTCTACCGCCTCTAATGCTGATTTCCTCTGTACCGTATATTTTTGCACCTACAGGCCCCTTGCTGTCTAGTACATAGCTCTTCTCACACCTTAAGAAACTTATTTTCTCCTCTTGTACGTTATAAAAGTCGTCGAAGATTCGAAGCGGATGATGGCAGCATTGTCGGGATAATTAAGTAATCTCCCGCTTTTTGACGGAGAGTCCAGCCGAAGCGCTTTATCATCACCTCAGCAAAGGCAAACGTGTTTCGAAGAGTCAAAATAGTGTAACGTTAATTGTCCAGCATTCAAACCCGCTGAAATTATCTATTCATACCTCCCCAGCCTGGATTTTTCGCTTTTGCTATGTACATATGACCCGAATCATGTTGCAGAGAGCACATGCCGACGTTGTCAGCCTGAAAAGGTGGCAAAGTTGCCCTGAGTGTTTTCAGCTATGGAAAATAGCAAGGAGAGATCACACCGCTGCTAAATATATAGGATTGAGAACAAGCAAAGTCAGATAGAGGACCAGAGACTTTCATGCCATCCATTAGCGCACTGCCAGCTGCGAGAGCCCAACCCGCCAGGATCCAACATGCATTGCTCTGGTCGCGGACTCGCGGCCCTGCAGATCTAAACAATCAAATCTCTGGCTAGGCCGCAACAACGTCTAGACCCATCTTAGCTTTCTTAGGCAGTTCGAGTGCCTTCATGGTAGCTTTTACCCGCTTGTGGTCGCCCAAATATTCGGCCGACACCTGGTTGAATGCCTCGAAATCATCGAAGTCGGTAAGGTAAACATTCTGCTTGATGATTCGATCGAGTGATGTGCCTGACTTCTCGAGGATGATTTTAAGATTATCGAAGATTCGGCGAAGTTGATCTTGGCCGGTGCGTCCAACAAGCTTGATCGTTGCTAGGTCCAGTGGAATGCAGGCGGTCGTGAAAGCCAGCGAAGGCAGGATCAGGATCAGGATCGGATCGGATCGAATCGGATCCCACTTTTATTTCACCTTCAACTGATCCATGGATCGGATCTTTTTACTGGCCTTTCTTAATTAGTACTAGCTCTACTGGATTAATATATTCCGCGCCGTACGTTATAACTACTAATCTATTATATAATAATTTACTTTATAATAGTCCTATTAATAGTAGTCATAAAGTGGGGCATAGTTTGGATCATGATCCAAGTCATCGAAATATCGACGACTTGATCCGATCCTGATCCAAGACTTGCCATCGCTGGTGAAAACCAACCCGCCATGTACCACAGCATGGAGGTAAGGGCCAATGGTACGAGGAGCGCGGTCAGACAAATCGTTTTCATGTTTATAGATAATAAACGTTGATGAGAAATGACGTTAAAGGTGCGAGCGAAGGTGAAACTGATATATCACGTCTAGCTGTTCATATATATATATATATATATATTGTCGTAGCTCTTCTTTCAATGCTTCCATGGAGGCTATCTATACTGTGTAACCGTCATACGGCTTGCCAGGCCGAGGCCGAACAAGGTGGGTCAAGCTGGTAAACTTCATAAAGTACCCAGATTTGACAACCATATTCTTGGATCTGAGGTCAGACCCTTCGAATCTTTAGATTTGAATCCTCTTTTTCTTGGTTTTGCGGTTTGCGACAAGATATTGACAAAGACAAGACCTGTTTTCCTTGCGACTCAGAACTGTCCTAGATACCGATTGATCCATCCAATTCATCCGATTTGCCTCCACTCAACAGCTACGAGCCAATATACTAGACATGCATAGGTCAGATCCTGTAGGAAACAAGTCCTTTCCACCAAGAAGGTCGCCTTTGTTGTGGGCGGTATTGGCGCAACAATGGCTGGAATTAAATACGCACGGGGACCAGCAAATGACGGCAGCAATGATCTACGGGATGAGAAGGCACTCTCATCAGTCTCACTGTTAAAACTTTGTTCTGGCTGGATGTGAGTATCATGAATCTGTGTTGGAATACCCGAGTGGTGAACGCAAAACGACGGCTAAGCTGATTCGGAAGCAGTGCCTTTGCATTCTGCTCATCACCGAGATGGGTTGACATGAGTGAGTCGCTGTACAATGTACTCTCTCAAGTTCCTATCCTCTCGTCGATAACGCGCGCATTCATCATGCGTGCTTTCTTCAGTCAGTTCCTAGGAGGAGAGACTCTAATCATGCCTCGGCGGGATCGCAGCGGTCTCCGTCGATCGTTCAAGTTCGCTTTTGCAGCGACCTGAGTCTCTCAAGAAAGGTTCATATTCTACGGGCATCAAGAACATGACCAAAATGCCTAAAAACAAGAATCGATCTTGTAGAAATGGGCAGCTGTAACTATGGACTTTTTTCTCAGACTATGACAAGACTTCTAGACTACTGCCTCTTGTCTGCATACGGAGTGAGTATACGGTGTAATAGTTTTGGATCCTGACAGGCTCATACACAAACGGAGCAAAAACGATGGAATAAAAAAACCTCTGATTCTCTCGCTAATGTAGCCGGTTCTGTTTTTTTTACCCGTCGAGTGATCTTCCTGGCTCTTTTCAAACGATAAGGGCTGTTTACATGTATTTAATGTGCTCGTACCATTTTGGACGGACTAGTTAACCTGACGTGCACTGCGATCTAGCAGGTAGAATGGAAGAGGCCACCAACAGGAGTATTCTCAGCCAGCGTGTTGTAAATTGTGACAGCCTGGCGGGTCTCCGCGACGTGAGTCGTGATTCCCCTGTTTTGGAGGAATTTCAAAGTGGCCTGGTCCACATGCAATTTCATGTCCATCCCCTGCGAGAGGACCACAGTAGTTGCACCGTGAGATATGAGCTCCTCGACGTCAGCAGGTTGGATGCCAGGCTTATGCCGCGTGCCTGTCTCGCTCCAGTCCCAAGCGCGACCACCGCCGGGGAAGAGCCTGAAGTCCTTCCCGGTACCCAGACCATCGACCTCAAGGTGGCCCCAGGAGACGGATAGAATTTTTGGGGAGACTTTGTCCATGATCGGTCCTCTGACGATGCTGAGCTAGTCGTTGTAGAATACCTAGTTATCCACTCCCATGGCCAGGAGCACGCCTATATTAGCCCTAGGCTGCAAAATCTTGGCGCTTGGGACAGTAAAATGTTTGTTGAGTGAACTGTTAGGTTGATTGTCAATTATCTAGAGTGTGGGCAGCAGGCATATATATACTTCTGCGACTGTATGTAATTTCAATCGGAAAATGATATCACGTGCCAGGCAGCAGTGCCAAGGAGCCAATATGTAGGCTAGCTTCAACAATGTCAAGACAGCGACAGCACCCGTACCTAAGGACTTCTTGAACTTTGCCCATTGTTGCTTTTATTGCTTTTCTAGATTGGTTTGGTACCTGCGATTCTTCCTATGTAATCTTTCGCCTAGGAATCCTACTAAAACGCTTTGCTTAAGCCACTTTTGGTACTTAAGTATTCTGGAAAGTTGCCGCTTTTTTGAAGTGGTTTGTGCCAAGATAGAAAGGGGTATCCACGTGACGGCTCATGGGATACTGGCTCGACACGTGGCGCCTACCCTAAGCACCCTCAGGATCCGCCCGAGACATCAATCGTTCGCGGCTTCTGCAGCCTTGTGTTGCCCCCATCTCCCATCTCTTGATGTGCCACCGGCGCCGTCGATGACAATCATCCTAATCTTTATCATTCGTTTCGCTAACCGCAGCCTGACCTTAGCATCGTGGCTATCCACGGCCGTCGGTGGCCATTTCATCAATATCTGGACGCACCCAAAATAGAAGCTTTCTGCGAGAATGGTTCTCTCCCCCAGCGCACCTCCAACGCGTGCATTCTGACCTTCGCTGAAACACCAACCTCACGTTTGGACAATCCATTCGAACTAATGAGGAAATCGAAGTGCCGATCCTGAAGTTGCCCTTCTGTGATGTGGCGAGGCATATTGAGACATCACAGGCACTAGATGGCTGGTTTGGAGCGGGACTAGGATGGGGTAAATTCCAAGGTGTGGTCTCAATCCAAATTCATACTAGCCGATGAAATGACTTTAATACTTCAATGTGGGCCAGTCAATAGCGCAAAAGACATGATGATTGTAGAAGAACTAATAAAGAGGGCTTTAGTTAAGCGTGCAACAGTGAGACGGCGGCAGAGAGTTTATTTATCCGGAGTCAGTTGCACTCTTGCGGTTGAAGTGTGCCCAAAATTAGTGGCAACATCTTTAACCTCGATATTATTACCGGTACTGAACAACTTTAACAGCCTTCATACCCTTCAATATCACTGCATGGGCCTCTTTAACTAAACAATCCATGTGTAATTACGACCTTCATCTCCGCGTGAGCGAAGACTACTCCATTGGAGGGGGCAATTCTAATTCATATCAAGGTCATGTGCGCATAAGTGTCCTACCACTCGACCATACCAAGAATGCGGAGGCAATACATTCGGACATCGCCCTGGGCGGCCGAACCTGGTCTGATTCAAGCCGAAACAAAGGCCTTTAGATGGTCTGCTACACCTAAAACATGAGCTGCGAGATGGTCTGAGTAGGAAAAAATATTTATGGCTTTATGTGGTGTGAAGTTACGAAAACGGTTGTTGTGGTCACCCTATGCTTGAGACCTGAAGACTATTCTTGTTGCGGTCGAATGGTTTGCCTGTTTGCATTTCGATAACAATGGCCGGTGCATTTGGTGCTGGCCTCGATAAGCGGGCAGTTGCATCCACGAGGTATACTTTCGCAACCACGATGTACAGTACATAGCGAGTCTGCCGTCGCTGCTAATACGCGACTCGTTGCGCAGGGAGAGAAGCCGAGGGGTACCCCTAATTTGAGCTATAATACACAGCCACAGGTTTTGTCGACGACTCCAGGTTGGTAAATACAGACGGCACGTTCAAGGCGTCGGAATCCTGTTGGTGAATTGTACGAGTATGCGGGTTTATGGCCTGGACTTTGATAACATGGGTTTGGTAGAGTGAAAAGCTAGACTATATTCTGACTTATCTTGATAGCTCAATGTCGTTGGTGCTGAAATAATCGCATATAAATGCGATCTATTGACGGTACGTGAGATTGGCTTGATGATCCGATCTCGCTCGGTCTCTTACGTTGTGAAGCTGCTGGTATTGGCATCAATCCACAATTCTGAAGCAAAGCCTCCTTTTCTATTTGGATTCCCGCCGCAGAGCTCCAGTACTGTACCCCGGTCACTAGAAATAAGTTTTGAGGCGAGAGCCGGCATTTAGAAATCCAGCTAAGAAATTAAGGAGGGTGATTATATGTTTGACGAAGTATCTGGGGCAGGAGGCTGTTTGAGGTATCATAAGGACTACCCTGGATTGTAGCCATGAAATGTTTGTTGCATATTTCTCTGCTGCAGCTCGAAATGATAGGTCAGATTATGCAAGGATGAGGAATCACATAGGAGGCTCAAAATAGTAAGCAGTCAATCAGTCCGTTGGACTGACGAAGGTCTATTGGAAATGGTGCGCCGCAGTGGACATACATAGACCCGAAAATAGGCAGCCAGAGAGAGACTAAGTTGGCCTCAGGGGATAGAAAGGAGGATTTGCTGTAGAGTAGCTCCTCTGCGAGGAGCTTATGCGCCCACAACGCTTCATAAGGAAACTTCTTATCACTTAAGTAGCTTCATTGGCCTGTCAAAAATAAATAAGAGCGTGAGTGCATGGGCAGAGAGGACGGTGGTTGAATGGAGATTGATTCTCGCCTAAGCAATGGCGGCAATACTGAATAGCCGGGACGGGGCATTAGGAAACGGTATTCTGGCCTAACGTCTGTTGTCCCGACCGAAAAAAACACTGGTACATTCGCTATGGTGTTACATAGTCTATTCCTCCGCCCTCAGCAGCATTTGGTCCTTCCTTCGCTGCCTTAGGAGACTTTGTGTTCAAGCCTCGGATGCTCTCAATAAAGCGACCAACTGTTCTCCCATGGCTCGACCTTTCAAACACGTCCATGATCATGCTCTTCTCTTCGGAAACGACGCCGCCGTCGGTGGCGTCGAGGCATATCAGCGCGACGGTAACTGGAAAGTTTGCTAGGTGTACCCCATACACTCCAGAGAATGGATGGAGAAGTAGGGAAACCGCCTCGGCTATCCGCCGACAGTATAGCCCTCGGGTCTCTATGCCTGGGGAGGCTTACATCAGGACCGGATATAGTTTGAAGTGTGTTGTACACCATGATACGTATAGACCGCTATAGACACATGATGTGGATGCTCTAACGAGATCCAACGAAAAGAGCGTCTAATTAACCTCGAGCATGTAAGTCGGGTCTGCAATCCCTACTCTGGTTCTCCACTTAAAGACCTCTCTCTCATGAGCGTAGGATCTTTGGCCTAGATCGCGCCGTAGAATCTCCCGAGATTCAATTTCTTGGCTCTCTTTTGTCATGTCAAGGCCTTCCAGTAAAGTCGGGATTTCGACGAAGATCTTAATCAAGATATCCTTCGGCGTCTTTGGGATCTCTGTTCAAGGAATCGCCTACCAATGTATGCTTTCTCTTCTGTATGGTTCCTGTTGTCTACGGGTTAGTATTAGTCAGTAGAAGTACTCTTACCATAGCTTAGGGGAGAACAGACTAACAAAGTGAAATCTTCCATCCACAAAAAGCTGATGCAGATATCCGGAAGTATAGATCTGGGGAGATTGGCAGGTCACTACTGCATGCTCTCCATCAATGTGCTTTCGCTAGTTCCGGGCCTGAGCGAATCTATCCTGCTCGTCGTGGCCAAAGAGGACCTGTAACACCCCTGAGAAGAAGTGAAATTATAGTTTAAGCTCAAATATAATCTAGACGCGACGCACAGAATAGTTGGGTCAGTAGACTTTAGGCATGCAAGGGTAGCAGACATGTCTCTGAGAGAACTCATATAGTACTTGAGTCCCTCGTCCTTCTCCCATGACTTCGCCTCTGCTCGGCCTACCATGGTTAGACACAAGGCGAGCAGATATTTTCGAATGGGCGGCGATACGCTGCAGAGTTGAGGCAACGCATTAGTCCAGCCACCACCGGTGTACCGAGTGGCATGCGGTGGAAATTGCTTCTATTGGGGAAGATAAAGCCCCCAGAAAATTCCAAGGTACTTCTCCTCAAATGCAGACCATGTCAGGGCGTCGGGAAGCACCAAGTCCTGCGGAGACGCTTGCTCAAGTGGGTGCTTGTCGTCCGCGGAAGAAGGTTCAGCGGTGATATTGATGAAGACGGTCTCGCGTTCGTACCCATCGCATTTGAGACCGAATTTCTGGCATTGTCCATGAGCTGGCCGTTTCATGTCGCACTAAATATGGGCCGCTGTCAATCAACTATGCAGCGACAAGTTTCAGATTTCCCAGGGCGACTCCTGGCTTGGAAGACTTACACCTCCTTTCTTTTGTATTCGGCAGGTACCGCAGCTCTTTGACCTGCTAGGAGTTCCCACCATCTTTCCTTGGTGGACTGAAAGAAATTCGCGTTCCGAGATGCATCTCAATCGCTCTTAAATGCTTCATCCTCTTTCACCGAGAAGAAAGTAAAAAAGACACGACCTCACTGAAAACCCTTGGACTCCAACTTCAGCATCTTTGTCAGGGTTGCGGACGGATTGTAACGTCAGATCAAGCATTGTCCTAGGCAAATTCCCCCGCGTAGCCAAGCCTTGGGGGATGGCCGAATGCTAAACCTGACCAGGCAGCTGTTTGCGCCACAGCCAATCACTGCTGAGATCTGTTGCGAAAGGGAGTGTTTATGCCGCGATTGAGGTCCCGAATACCTTTAAGCCAATAGTCAGTGATACGATAGGTCTTATTTTGGACGGACCCAAATGGGGGACGGACCGGTGTCGACGTGTTTCGCAGTTCTCTCAAATGTAAGTGCCGAAATTTTAACTCACATCCAACAAGAACGAGGTATAGAAGACACATCGATCACTCTTTCTCTGCATCAGAGATTCTATAGTTCAGAAACCCTTCCTTCCCAGTATCACCTGTTTTCTATTATTACTCCCTTCATACTGTCACTTGACCTACTCCTCTTCCTTTGACAATGCTGAATCCTGATCGTGCATCAGCAAATGTATTTGTGGGGCCTGTCAGGAGAGTGTACAATCTAGTCGGATTCTCCAAAAGTTACAACTTCGTCTTCTTCATCTTTGCTGGACCACTGATGGACTTCACCCTCGCTCGGTTCCAGTACCTCGATTACTATGGCATACTGTGCATCAGCCCAGGCATTGGTGAATGCTACTTCTATACCAAGGGCATCGAGGAAGTTGGCCTACTCATGCACCTCTCCACTATCCTCCCGGAGTCATCCCTAGTTTGCTTCCAATTTGTGCCCACGATCAGGCACAAGATCCTTCTCTTCCATCAAATCAACGGTTACCTCATTCATTCTTTATCCCTTGTTAGCACTTTGGGGCTTCTATGGCGGCCAGGCATGCATTTGGAGGCGAACTAGCCGTTCAACTCGGGATTCATTTTTTCGGATGTCTGGTCCTGGCGTGCCTCAACGTCAAGAGGTTGCAGCTGGAGCAACACAGGGCCTGGATGCTTAGAGGATGATTTTACGTACGTTTACCCAGCTGCGGATTGATTTTTACGTGAATTTCCTGGGCTGACATATAAACTCCTCCCACTTCAAAGGCGTCGGGCATTATCTCACTCCGGCTTATCATGATCACCTATGGCAACTATTATTGACTCAAGCAATGAGTATTACAGCTCCAGGCTTTGTGCCCAAGTGAACTACACCATCGGAGAAGATCAAACGCGCGGGCGGAATACCCTGAGTGTAACGTCTCCTTCTCTGGCGCATCCACACAAACAGGTTCTCGTCCTGGCGAAAATGGGACCTGAGAGAGATGTAATGCCCGCAGGTGCAGCGCTTGGCCTCTCTTTCGGTCCAGCCGTCTGGCTGGCTTTTTCCCTGCACACGATCGGGATCGAAATCTACGTAAGGTCTTTCCCTACCCGACTCTCCTTGGCCCAAACCGGTGACGTGAGAACAAGTGACGAAGATTATTGTCTAGCTGTGTGTCTCTCGATGTAGCTGAACCTCACCCCATTTGAGCACGAAAGTCTTCGGAACGTGTCGTATTAGAGACAACAAGAAGCAGGTCTGAAGAATCCAGGTAGAGCTGGGCTAACGGCCGACCGCTTGGGCGGCGCAACATTGTGGAAACCAGCATCTACCGTACTCCAAACGGATGAAGATGTTAACATGAGTAAAATGCCTGCCAAGAGTCATGATCCAAGCAGTTAAGCACATGTCTCTCAAAAGATCTAAAACTGGGAGTGGTATCTAGTTACGTTCTCACTGAAGGTTGATCAAGACAAAAGAAATCTGCCTACACTCTCAGAATGATTGGACAAGGTGATGAAATATGGAATTGCATGAAACTCCGGATGAGACAGTAGAAGATGGTTGAAATCTCGAGACCTCTAGAGCCTTGATCCCAGGCTGGATTTCCAGGTCCCAGCCCTGGCGTCGATTCAGTTGTAGAATTTACATGAGACCTTCTCATTCGGTGTTAGAAGCCTCGAAAGAAGCGTGCGTTCCCCAAGTTCCAATTCCTTCTTGTGAAATCTTGGGATTCCTCAACTAGATTACAGAACTTGAGTCGCAAATCCTTCTCAGCCAAAATATGATATAGTCATATCACAGAATGTGCCGCTCTCGACCGGCCTTTATATCGCTGTCCAACTTACATATGTCAAAAAGTGGAGAGTGAGCAGAATCTTTAGCACAAAGCAGAAATGCGCCCACAGAGATCAGAGCGGGTTTTACGCAAAAGGCTCGGCAAATGTTCCTGCCTCAGAGATTGGGCATAGCAACATGTAGAAAGTCTTATTATGGCATAGTATCTATCTATGTCTAGGTGCTATATATTGGCGAAAAGACTTCCCAGCATTTCTAGTCAGCCTTGGAGATGGCCTAAAACTAAACTACAGGTAGAATCTTCGTGCGCGATAGCGAATGACAATGGAGGTCGATTGCCAACAGGTAAGACCGATTGTGGATGAAGGTAGCACAAGCGTGCTTTAACATTCATAAGAATATGCAATAATAGTCCACGTTTTATTATTGACTATGGAATGTGGATGAAATTATCCGCTCTGACCGGAGGGCCGGTATCATTTGAGTTATTCGCAGCAATTCCAGTCAGGATAGAGAGTCCACGAACGGTGTGGGAAGCTGCACGATTATATCTATCTCAGGCGGAACTCCAAACTTATCATCCAGGAGCACTGGATCCTTCTTGAGGTAGTGCCTTGGTCGCTTGCACGCAACAGTGGACATTGTAATTCACCGGAATTCATATGCCTTCTTTATTCAACAGTGTATATTCGCAACTCAGAGTACTTTTCTCTTCCATTGGGTTCGATTGATCTTTACGAGGAAGAAAGTGTGCTTGAGATCTAGCAACTTGTTACAACAAGACCTCCTCGCCGCAGCATGGAGAGTTCCTTGTAGAGTGGTCCTTACAAATGCATGTGATGTAAGCTAGAGGGATTCTCGTCTTATTCTCTCGCATTTGTAATGATACCATACTTACCATATTCGTACTATCTCCTTGGCCTAAACCGGGCGCGACACTGTTCGAATCTCGCTCAACATGCTCGGGAAGTCCATGGATTTTGATTATCTTGTTCGCGAATACCAAGCTCACTGGTCCTTGTTTGGTGTCAACGAGCTTCTATGGATATATGCACAATCACGTGAGGTGCTGCTACACGTGACACCTTTTAAAGCTTTGTCTTTTGGTTAAGACTACTCGTAACTACATGCAGCCGACAAAAGGTCGTGCCATCACATAATTCCACGTGATTTTCAAGGTTGCATTTTCACTATTCGATCCTTACACATCCCCTTCTCCTCAACAAAGCCGATCATTTTCTGAGCATTCGAAGGATGCCTTGTGCCAAATATAAATCCATTGTGCCTCAATCCTTCTATATCGATGTAGACTAGGTCTTATACAGCTTCTTTGTTGGAAAAGTGAGATATTTACATCTAGTAATCTGGGACATAACTGGAGTAGTTCAATGTCTTAGCCTATAATATACTTACAAATAAGATTGAAAATTCACTCGATTCGCTGACGCCTTTACGGATATTCCTAGTCGTCAGAGTCATAAAGAACGTGTCGACAAGGGGAGCACATTCTTTAAGATCTACATAAATAGTAGAGATAGGTAGGGAAATAGTCTAGCTACGTGCCCAGAACTAGTATAAAGAAGTATAAAGCCGCTCATTACTGACAAATATAGGTAGATAATAGAGTTAGGCGAACCTAGTGAAATCTTGTTCGAAGGGAGGGTCGGAAGCGTAGGGAGTAGACCACAAGGAGGAGGGCGTCAGTATACGCAATAGCATGTATATTCAACGATTAAACAATCATCAGTTGAACCGCATCGTAAGGTTTTCGGGTCGTATATCTCCCGATGATATATACGAGTGTAGCCTCGTTGGATAATCGCCCTCGTTCTGCATGTCGACTGTCATCTCATGAAAACCGCGTTATGCTCTATGAGACGTGTGCTGTTGTCTCTGTTGTCTATCGACTCTTTCTATAATACTAGAATACATACTGGCCATGATCCCTGTACGTTTAGCTTTGGTAAAAGAGCTTGGCATGTACTCAGAATTATGCGCATTCATCCATGTAACACTAGTACGTTCTTTAAGAAAGGTCCTTAGGAAACGTACCGTGGAAGCTCATCTAGAGACGCCTAAACCCCTTTATTAAGATGCAGTATGTATGTGGAGGCAACTAGTTTTCCGAACGCAGTTTTACGCTCCGTGAGCAGAAATCTCAGGAGACAATCCATAAGAAAGTTCTAATCCGGGCGCCCAAATCGGCTTCAGAGCCCGAATTTATTGTTGGCGCCAAAGTGACTAGCGCAGGCAACCTCATGACGACGAGCAATGAGTCAGTGCTACACCCTCTGGAATGCTTTGGAATCATGGAAAATAGGCTCCAGGAGGTCATTTGCCTAGTAATTTTCTATATAAACCAGAACGGTGACCATAGAGTAGAAGAAGACAGAAAATCTCATCTACGCTGACTTGCCTGGTATCGATGGGCCCGTACAATTGCACAGTCCAAATCCTCCAACATTTATATAGGGGCGGCACCTATTTAGGTTAAACCCTTGTCCTACCAGTGGGTTTTCAGTTATCGTCCACCGTAGACCAAAAGAAGACGGGCAATGCCCTCTGTGCTAGAATGTGTACCAGGACTTTGGCACTTTACTCGTAAGGGCAATTTTTACCCTGGAATATGCTCGTATGCTCGTCTTCAGGGTCAGATAAGGGCGATGGACGGTCCCTCATTCGACAGATACGTAGCGAGCCTGTATTCAGGCCGACGAGTAATTGATCACTGTGGGAGAGGATAGACCTAATCTTGGACTCGCCCCCTTGCTTTAGCTCAACAATAGGCTGCGCAGTGTATGCCTAGAACATCGGGGCGGTAGTTGCAATAGAGAAACATGACCCATTGAATCGTTCGATCTTGGCTTACAGGGTACTAGAACTGTCAATCGTCGCCCTTCAAGAAAGTGCATGAACACCCACTTGTCGAGCCTGCTAAGCAGGTGAGAGTGCACACGTTGTCTCTACGGTAAGGTTGGTGATAGTTGAGAGGCTCTTCTACAATGCAGCAAGGATGCGTTATCTTTCCAAGGCCTCGCTTAGGGGCGTTTGGAGGCCTTAGAAGTCGCTTATCTATAGTTTCTGACGTCTCTTCGAGGGGCCCAAGATAAGGGCTATTATTATAAGTAAAGCCCCCGCACGCAGGTACTACGGCTCATACCCGTCCTGCAGCGTGCCGAGCGGCGTTCGGCCGGTGTCTGAATTGTCGGCAAATGTGGCACGCCTGAGCTAAGCGCGTATCAAGTAACCTGTCGCAAGACACTGCGCGCCTGAACGGATGGATATGGTAATACCTCGCATGACACCTCAGGGAACATCCTCGGTGCTTTTTGTGGACCACGAGGGATGAGGAATTGCACCATGGGCAAGGCTGCGTTACCTGGAACCCAGGTATCGATAGCACGCACAGGCTCTCAGGTCAATCTGGTTGCTCTTTGAGTGTCAACTTTACCTTCTCAATTGCGCATCTGTGCTCAAGCTGTTGTACTCCGGACTTCCGCCTATCCGAGTTATTCAACTTTAGAGCAACGGTCAATGCGACCTGGAAAGTAGCCTCAGCCAATCAGCCGAGTCCGCCCCTATCTCTAATGCCCGCTCTTTATTCGAGGCCAACCTGCCTTGAGTGCTAGATTGTCAAAAATCAAAACCCGCCCAGCAGTCGCAGTGATTGATCTTGTCAACTTGATACTATATCTAGATCGTGTTTGATTATAGTCTGGGCTGTAGCGATAGACTAGTGGGCTAAATCTACCTGCTACTACTGTGGTACCTTTATTTAGAGTAGAGCAAAGGTTGGGTAACTTTGATCCATAGGGGTGGTAGGCCTAGTCAAGAAGTCCATGCTCGTTCAAAACATATTAGTATGGCATGCTTCCTCGCATCTAGATCGACCTTTCGTTGTCAAAATCCCTCAATCCTAATAGTAACTCTCATTATTTGATTTTCCGAACACAGCAGCCTGAATAACTCCCTCGTCTGTCGCGATCACGATGGCAGCTCCTATGATGAGTGGCGGCCGAGACGGCAGCGCCCGATCCCAAAACCAACCACCAATTCCAATGGATAATCTACCTGCGCCACCACCTCCAGCTGTGCTTAGCCATTCTGGTGCGGTCCGTGGCGTTCCACCCCGTGGTGGTGGGCCCCCTCGTGGTGGTGGTGGGCCCCCTCGTGGTGGTGGTACGCGTGGGCGGGGTGGAACAGCACCTGGAGCCGCACCCTACTCGTCGAGCCATCCCCCTGCTGCAGCAACACCTGGACAAACTGCTCCAGGGCCAGCAAATACTCCAGGGCCAGCAAATACTCCAGGGCCATCAAATACTCCAGGGCCATCAAATACTCCAGGGCCAGCAATTACTCCAGGGCCATCAAATGATCCAGGGCCCTCCACGGCGGCAGGACGAGTGAATCCTGTTTCCCCTGTTGCTTCAATACCGTCGCTCCATCTCCCGCCAAGTATTCCAGATGATCCAGAGGTGCAGCCTCGACAAGATGGCGAGTTCACTAGAAATCCAATCCCAGATTCGATCAAGCCAGTTGAAGTCGAACCAAAGTTCTGGACGTCAATTCAATCTGCCGTGCTGTCGGGAAAGTCCACCGGAAAAGAAGTGGATGCTCTGAATAAAGAGATGGCGGGCGTCCTGACCGCCCAGAACTTCAAAGGTTTTGCCCCCAAGGACCAGTTTGACATCGCATTAGCAGTCTACTCGCAGAGAAATTGGCAAGCAACCAGCTCGGATAGTCTTTTCCAGGGGAGGTGGATTACACTCGTCAATGTACTCCTCGGTGGCCTTTCGGTGAACGTGATCGGTTTATTGAGGGACTATATAAACAACAGAGGTTGGACGGGTGGCAGCCCTGCTAATGCACCAGCTGCACCATCTTCGACACCTAGTGCAACTCCGTCGGCCTCCACACTTCCCCCATCGTCAAGCACAGGCGGGCTTAACCCTCGGAATATTGGCCGTGGCATGATGAGAGGGGCGGGATACATGGGAGATCGCGCAAACCCCGGAGGTGGCCCGGGTGGCCTTGGCTCTGAGCCCTCAGTGCTTGGTGGCAATTATAATGCGCCGGCACCCTATACAGGATATGCGGGCCCCGCAGCGAACAACTATGGCCCAGGCGCAACTCCCACTGGTCCTGGAGCTCCCATCCCGGGCACTCCTGGGTACAACTTCATCCCTGACGATCAGAATGTCGCGCGTGATCCTTATGACAAAGGCCTGAGTTATGAGGATGCAGGACAGCTGGGACAGCCTGCAGCTACACCGACGCCTCCACCAAAACGATACGTCCCTACCCCAACTATGCCGGACGGAACGCCGGGTGGGAAGAGGTTTAACGAGAGGACACCCTCCTCGTGGACAGGGTAGACTGACCAAGGAGCGAACGAGCCCGAGTTCCATAGTTGCCACTGACTATCACTTCAATGCATGAAGCGGGCCCCAAGTTTCTAACATGAAGCTGGAAGATATATACGGCGAGAGACCCTATGATGGTCATGCCAGACTATTGGCTACTGGAGTCTATATCTGGGATAACTTATAAAGACGACGATGGAGAGGAGCCCAAGCTAATGGATGAGGCTCTGGATAGACTTCGGTTATTGTAATTCTAACATCTTTTTGCCAAGCAGCTGCGGCCTTAGATGCGGTCGTGCAGGTTTCTTGGAACCTGGTTTGTAACACCTTCCTACTTCTCTGCCACCCCTGCTCCCAATGGGTGCTTGAGTGTACGTTCGAGGGCATTTCTCGGAGTCCTTTGCAGCGTGGTGTTTGGACGACGTCTTTCTCCTGACGAGGATGATGGCATCACTGTTTGGGGCAGCGATACTGGTTGTTTAACCTATCGTTCATTGTGCATCATATATGTTGCCTGCTTGTGCCTGCTTCTAAGATGAGGCTGCTCCAACTCAATCGCACCGTCAGACATTTTAAGATACAGCCGTTTCACTTGCGCCACGTGTGACAATCTATTCGTTCAGGCGCTCGCAGCGACTATATTCCAACATCATTCATTTCCAGTCCGTCCAGCCACGGACCCATCTGCGGCGACTCAAGGGTCGAGAACAGTATTGGATCGAAATTATGTGTGAGGGGAGACATACCGTAGGCAAAAGATGAACCATCGAACACAGAGCCCGGGAGATCCACAAGGCCCGTTGCACCGCTGAGCTCCCACTCCGTCCATGGACTTGACGAGTGCTGCTCTTGGTTTAAGACCTGCTCTCCAAGCAACGGTGTCGGAAAGCGCTCCGGCTGAGCAGGAAGGAGTTCCGAGGATTTCTTTTCCAGGCTCTGCTGAAATCTGCTTCGTGCTTCTTCCGCCGTGTCATGAGTTGCGGAGCACTCATCCAGCGATGCGAGAAGAAACTTCAATCGCTGGTCAAGCTCTGAGGCGGCAGCCACCGGGCTTAGACAAAGCAAGAGGGCACTTGCTGCTGCGATGACACTGTAGACAAGAACAATGGGGCAGTTCTTTATTCCGAATTGAGCTTGGTATTGGCGAAGCATGGCAACAATGCTGTCTGCTGATGCCATACAAGTGTTCAAGGACTCTTTTCGAAGAACAAATCCAGGTGTTGGCCTGATGAAGTGCCTGTTCAGCGATATTAGGACGTTGTGGTATACGAGACTACCACCTTTGGTTAGATTCCTCCAATCTCGGTAGGGTATGTATTCTTACTGCAGAAGTGCGATGTGAGGCCTGAAAGGCTCTGGTGGGGGGTTCCACTGATTCCAGGCTAGCTGCTTGGGCAGTTGGGAATGCCAGCGTAGTAAGCGTACGTTGAGCTCTTCTACTCGTGCTGAGCGGGACAAAACCAATTCTTTCCGAGACTTCTTGATCATTTTCGTTCCGAAGATTTGAGAGAGGACGTCTTCAATGATCTTACTCAGTTCAACCAAGAATGCAAAAGCTTGGAGTGCCACGATTTCTTGCCGAATATCGGTCAATTCTGCTGCTGTGGATTCTTTCAGGAAATCAGGCACTTCGGGAACCCTGTTATTGTGCAGTTCAGTCTGAGTACTGAGCTTCAATAAGACATAGACTTACCTTGAGAAGTCCAGGGGGTCGACTGCGGCGTCCTGCTCGCTTAGGTACACAGGTCGACCTAGATATAGGCTTATCAACCTGGATTGCGTTAGAAAGGCGTAGACACGTTCTCAGGGCAGACTGACTTGTCTGCAACGTAAAATCCCCAATAGACGCGTCGCCTGATTCGGAGCTCTACTTCACTGTTGACGATGGAGCCCTCTCTAGCCCAAAACTTTGGATCCTGCTGCAATCCCAGGTCTTGTGCCATGCGAAAAGCCATGCCTGGGCATGTCAAAGTCTGGCATTGGCGTTCTAAGTGTTAAACATACCTGAAAGTAGCCATCCTCTAGAATGGTTGCCGCGACCCAATTCATAGAAGGCTAGGCACAGGTATGCTTGCACTCCAGTAATATCTGGAGGCTGAAGTCCTTGATGTTCCAACATCTCTCGAGCGGCTTGAGATAACAAATCCGCTTTTTCCTTGACCTCATCTTCAGGAGACAGCCTAGCGCCTAATGCACAGATACTGTACAATAATGGGTACGACCAATATCTACCACCATATACGTTGTCGCAATAGTCGTCAAGGAATGTGTCGTAGCAAATGAACATACACTGAAAATATTGATGCTGAAAGAACAGCGACCTAGTCTCGGTAAGGATGTCATCGGTTATCGTGAAATTCGTGGGTAGATTCAGGTTCCGCCAGTCCTCCGAATGTTGACAAGGACTAGGACCGACAGCGCGGCGAGTATCTTCTAAGAAAAGGTCTTTTTGATAGATGCTTGTCGGCCCATGGTACACACTCGACCCTAGAGATGGTCAACAAAGCGGACTCGCTGAGCATTCAAGCAGTTAAATCTTCACCCTCAGGAGAAACTTCCAAGGTCATGGTTGACATTCGTGACGAACCACTGTAGTCGAAAACATAGTGAGCAGCACCTTGCTTCGTGTCTGTGGAAAGGTGATCTTCGAACACGAGGTTGTCCAAAATGACGTTGCGATCCTCATTGCTTGCTGCCTTGAGATCTTTCAAAATCGCTTCATAGGAAGCAACTTGATCTTCGAGAGCCGAGACATAATTTCGAGCGACTGGGCGCCTCTTGCTGTCGTCCTCACGATACTGACACTCGACGCGGGCGGCACTACAGGTATTGCATGGTTGGACACGATTGCACCGAGACTAGGATACGGTTACACACTTCAATAATATTGGATCTAAAGCGTATGCCCACCTTTCGACGCTGACAACGTTGACATCTACCAAATGTCCTTAGCTGTGGTCCAAGAACGGACGTGCAGAAGCATGGTGACGTACGATATACGCTTTCGACCTTCCATCATCCGCACCCTGTGTTAGCGTTGGGGATCGTCGCACTACCGTCTGATTTGATGCCCAGACCATGTATCAATTAGCTGGATTCGACGTGGATGCTCATCGATAGCTGGGAATTGCGAAATCGTGGGAGGAGGGGAAAGTCCAGGTAACATTGCCAGAGGTCAAATTGCTGATAGCAGATGGATCGGAAATGGCCGCAAATCCCCCTATCATAGCCTCGGCTCATACTGTCAGCCAGAGCGCCCGGGGACTACTAGCCTGTAGACGTCATCCGTAAAGGCGTCCAGGCTTCTCCGGCCATCACCGGCTGGATTGATTTCGACTTACATACTGTACGGGTTGAGCAACCGGCCACACCAGCCTCATACTTGATTTCTCAAGCATATCTCTGCCCTCTATCCTTTCTTTCTCTCTTTCAGGCACTCCTAGTGTTGATATAGAACAGGGTAATTTTACTATTCAAACTCCGCTACAACATACAGAGCTACGTGGCGACTAAGGTGTAGTTGGAATGGACGCGATGAAAAGTGAGTAAGTATAGTAGGTGCAAATGCATTAATAAGTTTGATGCATATGACTTTACACGAGTACCTATCAGCGTTTCAATCGTGCCACTCTGAATGTTCATAAAGCATTACATCATCTACGCCAACCTCAGTTAGGAGTGATGATGTGATGACCTCAACTAGAAAATCAATATGACCACGAGCTAGTATGATTGATCTTTCATTCATGCCGATAAAGGTTCCGAGCAAGATCGAATTTCGACAAGCGTTCCCAGATCCTTTTCTGCTTTCTTTGCTACAGCGCGCTTTGTGGCGCTGTGGAGGGGACCTCCGAGGTCACCTCGAGCATCACTGCCTTCAGTGCAGTCACAGCGACGTCGGATATCTCTATCATCAACAAAAGGTTAGCGCTTTGCAGGCCATACAAGCCACTGAAATACCCACGGTAATGGAACACCAGTCGAAAACAGTCCACCACGAGACCGCGCTGCTGCGCCCTTGTCCTGAACTCTTCCGGTCCGAAAGACTGCCCCGCAAAGTCCAACCAAACCATATTGGTCTGCACCGGGATGGTCAACCTGCCGCCACAGCTCTCCCAGAAGGATCCGACCTCGCGGGCAAGCTCGTGACTCCTTCTCATCTTACCGCCCTTGAATGTTACGTCGACAGCGACACGGGCAGGCCCCGTGAGTATGCCTGCCATTCGAAGTCCGCCACCCAAGGCCTTGCGCAACCATCGCGCATATTGAACGGTGGTTTTGCTGCCAACGAGGATCCCACCTATGGGTGCGCCGAGGCCTTTGGAGAAACACATAGTCACTGTGTCGAACAAGCTGCAATACTCCATCAAAGAACCTGCGCCGGCGGTTACAGCATCCCAGAGTCGGGCACCATCGAGGTGCAATTTGATACTGGATTTTCGGGCATATTCTGAAATCCGTCTTGCCTCGGAAAGGGGCATGATGAGACCGTCAAGGGTGTTTTCCAGGACAATGACCGGAGTTGGACATGATGACAAATTCCGGGTATCATAAAGGGTGACATATTCTTGAATATCATCAAGAGTAAGATGAATGCCATTGGAAGCTTTTACAGGCACGAAAGAAGCCCCAGTGACAAGTGGTGCGCCTCCTCCTTCGCTGGTGAAGCTGTGTCCGCGGGAGTCGCATAAGATAGAATAGGGAGGCTGGGTCAAGAGACTGCGGAAGCCTAAAATGTTTCCCATAGTGCCCGAGAGAACAAACAGGGCTGATTCATGCCCTGTGAGTGTCGCCATGTATTCTTCCAATTCATTGGTGGTCAGGTCGGCGCGTGAAACGTCGTCCAAAAGCGTGGCATTGACGATGGCGTCAAGCATCGCCGCTGTTGGAGTCGTATGGACATCGCCTGTGAGTAGGCGTCAATGAGACAAGAGTGCGACCTCGTGCGCCGGTAAAAATGGCTGCAACTTACTGCGAAAGTCAAAGGCAGCAGGCCCAGCGTGCTCCCACGAGGTCCCTGCCACCACGCCATTGCAGCCGTCTCTTACATGCATTTTTCAAGAGGTCGCTACTGGTGATGTATAGAGCAGAAAGATGAATGGGATTTGGCTTACAGCAAATCAGAAGCAGGGCCAAGCCAATCGCCCTGAACAGAGAGACACGACGTTCTTGAAGGATCGAATTCTCTCGGGAACGTATGATCTGGCAAGGGGCTAAATCTTGGCTAGGCTCCACAGCAGCCAAGCATGGTCATGACTAATACAAGGCGAGATTCATTCTCGTTATGAAGGATCGTGCGAAGGCATCATCGCAAAATCCGGGGCACAAGCCTGGCCGTAGATTCGGAATTGCGGAGTTTGAAATCCTGCCCAAGGCCACCGTGTACTCAGAGAAACTACAACTGCCCCAATTCCATAGCTACCACTTCAAGTCTAACAGAGCCTCTCAGGTGAGGTCAAGTGGGGTCAAAAGGATGGGTGGTAGCGTCGGATTATCAACTCCTAGACTAGTTTTCATTATGCTTATCGCACTGATGGTGGTTGCAGTGTAGAGCGGTCTAATTGAGCACTAGCCATACACGGGAAAGAACCCATGCTGGCCACCAGCCTAGAAGCACTTTTAATTTTGACGGCGAGCGATGGGTGGGATGTCACGCTTAAGGCTCCCTACGGCTAGAAGCTCTGGAAGAGCTTCCACCAGCTCCACCAGGTGAGCCCTGTCATTGGAATACACGATGCCATAAGAGTTGGCGATAAAAGCACACCATTTGCTTCCACCTTCACCACCGGATTTGCATCACTTAGTCCCAAAATTTTATTGTCTCACCTAAGTCGAACCTCATCCAATGACGGGCTTGGGGAACTCCAAAGTGGCCGACGCCAATGAGATGGTAAGTCAGCAACACGGTCAAGATGGTGAGGAGCTTGGGGCCATGGAGGAAGTTGGTGGGTTGAAGCGTCATCTCAACCGCCGTCAGGTCGACATGATTGCAATCGGCGGTTCTATCGGCACTGCGTTGTTTATCTCTATCGGCTACGGCCTCATAGAAGGTGGCCCTGGGAGCCTCTTTATCTCATTTTGTATTTACTCCTGCTTTCTGGCCTGTGTCAACAACTGCATGGCCGAGATGTCGACTTTCATGCCAGTCAGTGGTGGTTTCATCCGCATGGGCTCGAAATGGGTCGATGAAGCTTTCGGCTTCATGATTGGATGGAACTTTTTCCTGTATGAAGCAGCTGCTGTGCCATATGAGATCTCAGCTCTGAGTCTTGTCCTGACGTTCTGGACCGACAAGATACCAATCGTGGCAGTCTGCATGGCATGCATTGTTCTTTACGGCATCATCAACTTGTTCACCGTCAAGTGGTACGGTGAAGCAGAGTTCTGGTTATCAACGGGCAAAGTTATCTTGATTGGTCTCCTGTTCGCTGTGACGCTTATCACCATGTGTGGTGGGAACCCCAAGCATGATGCTTATGGATTTCGCTACTGGAGAAACCCGGTAGGTGCTTTCCTCAGATTGCTGCGTTACGCCGCTGACACCACACAAGGGCGCCTTCGCTGAATACATTGATACTGGAAACCTAGGCCGATTCGAGGGATTCCTTGCTGCATTCTTTTTAGCGGCCTTTGTCGTCGTGGGACCCGAATATATGGCAATGGTGGCGGGAGAGACGGCAAACCCGCGCAAGAACATCAAGAGAGCCTTCAAAACAGTTTACATTCGATTCGGGGTGTTCTTCATCGGTGGTGCGCTGTGCGTTGGCATCGTGGTTCCATGGAATGACCCCACGCTCAACGGTATTCTCAAGGGCACCACCGCTGGCGCTGGGACTGGTGCAGCATCCCCTTACGTTATTGCAATACAAAATCTCGGTATCAGTACTCTGCCGAGTATTGTAAATGCTCTACTTCTCACCAGTATCTTTTCTGCTGGAAACACCTTGACGTAAGCAGACATAAATAATTCTTTCTACCTGAATGGCTGGCTAATGTGTTCAGTTACTGCGCAACCCGGGCGCTCCACGGCCTCGCCGTGGATGGTCATGCGCCATCGTTCCTTAAGAAGTGCACCAAGTCAGGCGTTCCAATATATTGTTTCGGCATAACCATGCTTTTCCCTCTGCTATCACTCCTTGCTATCAAAGCCAGTACAGCCCAAGTTATATTATGGTGAGCTCGCATCGCAAGTGCCACTTACATTGTGCTAATAAATTAGGCTTGCAAATCTCACCCAGGCTTCTCAGGTCATCGACTACATCAGCATGTGTGTCATTTATCTGTTCTTCTACCGGGCTCTGAAAGTCCAGGGGATCGACAGGAAGACGCTGCCCTACGTTGGTTGGTGGCAACCATACTGCGTAAGGGACCCGACTGTCTTCGAAGAATTAATGCTAATAGAAATTTAGGGCTGGGTGGGGCTTATTACACTGTCCATCACCGTGGTCATTTATGGCTACTCGGTGTTCAAGCCTAGCTATTGGAATATTGGAACATTTTTCTCCTTTTACACCATGATATTCCTATGCATCATCCTATATTGTTTTTGGAAAGCCTTCAAGAGAACGACTATAGTCAAGGCCTACGAGGCAGATCTTGTCTGGGAGCGACCGAGCATCGATGCCCATGAGCTAGCCTATGTGGAGCCAAAAATTACGTTCTACCAAGAGACACTTCAGAATTTGGGACTGAAGAAAAAGCCGGAAGATCACATACTATGAGACAAAATGTGGAGAAATGTTCAGCCAAGAGATACTACTATCATCAATGCACCAAATCTAGTTTCCAAATGGTGGTCAAGTCGAGCAGGGGCTTTGGTTTAGTTGTGTTGCACTTTAGAAGAAAAGTCTTCTTCAAATCTTCTGTTGCCTGTGCCGGAGCAAGCGTGGGAGCGAAGCTCTTTAGAAACAGCACGTCTTTCCCAAATTCGGTCAATTACTAGGATAATATACACCTATTTCCGCGCATACCAAAAGAAATATGAGAGAATGATCCAGGAGTGCCCTCGAATTAGCGAAACGTGAAGAAAAGTTCAACCTCGTCAGAAGAGCATTGGAGTAAGACCGACTAAGGAGGGACGAATCCAATGTACCTAGTCATTGTAGCGGAGACTCAACTCCTGGCCGGAGCTTCTTCAACCGGGTACCAAGTCCACTTATCGAAGTTGTCACGGCCCTCACCCTAGTGAGCGGCTTTCAAGTATAGAATTACGGAACTGTTCCGGACGAAGCGCGAATGGCGCTAGATGCGAATAAGCAACAGCCTAAGAAACAGCCGGAGGGCTTTAATATAGGGTTAGTTATATCAATATCGACAAGAGGCGTTTATAATACCTCGTTGCTATCCTAAAAGACCTTATGCGGTCTATTCTAGAATACCCACTTACACTAGCACCAATCGATGCCTGCCCCAAACTTGCTTACCTGCGCCACGGCCTTGGCTACATTATATCCTCGTATTGTCTGGGCGAGTCACGGATAGGCGTAGTCGATGACAGAATATGCCATATGATGTACAACGGATCGCCTAGGCTAAAGACGATTACTTGGCGCTGTTAGCGAATAGGTACCATTCTGCCTCTAACTAGAACAGAACTACCCATTACATATTTCTACTTGAATAAACATGTCATTCATCCTCAAAGTACCACGACCGCGCGTTGTTGTCACAGAAATGGAAGTCAAAAACATTCGATAATGATTAATCGACTTCAATCCAGTCAGGGCAGGGTACCCTTGCGGCATTTGGTACACAACATATGGCGACTGACACCCCCCTAAAAGGCCGCCCCTCGTTCTCCACGGCGATCCAGATCTGACGCATGGTTCTGTTCTCGGCGTCGCGAAACTCGCTTCTCCGCCCTACAATGTCGCAGTGATAATCTGCGATCACTTGGGGTGTGTCCGCTCGACTCGTCTGCAAGGCTGCTTACGAGATTTCTCCTTGTAGCCTCTACAGCTCTATTTAGACGAATGTACTGCAGTGACAACCAGTCTTGGTATCCCTGAAGACTACGATATTCTCGGTCATCCATGGGAACGATTCGCGTCCACCTTTGGGCTGAAAAACATGGGTTTACGTGGTACTGCTGGCAGCACAGCGTCATGGATGAAAGACGATAGAAGATATCGCATGCGAATGCCAGATCACCATCATATGGCTCTGGAAAGGCCGGGGGCTACGACATCGAAAATACCCCAGAGCACAAAGCAGCACTCGACGGCTTTACCGCACGACACGTCATGACGTTGAATCCTCTGCCGACCTAATATGCTAGGAGCTTTGATATCCTCGAAAAGTGCTCTACCATTGCATTAACCATGTAAGTGAACTAATACTCATGCAAAAGAAGACCTGTTGCTAATAACGGCGACACCCAAGCTCGGCCCATCTGGATTTTAGCCCATAATTTTTTCGAAGGAATGGAACGTGTCTAGCGAACATGGTTGGTAACTGGACGGTTCAGAGCACCTTTGAAATCCTCAATCTATAATCTGTTATATTGCGCTTGGAGGCTGTCCTCTCTTGTTAATGCTTGAGTTTGCAATGCCCTCTCGCTCCCAAGCCCTTCCATGATGCTGTTGATGGGAGTCTGCTCTGCTCTTCGTTTTCGCCATGCCCACGTCTCGAGCAAACCCTCCGATTTTCCCTCGATGCGGTCTACAACATGATTTCCTAAAATTGGCAGAAAATGGAACCCATGACCGCTTCCACCGGAGGCAATCATCACGCCGTCCAGTTCGGGAATGAAATCCACAACGAAATGGTTGTCAAAAGAATCCGTGTACCAGCATAGCCTCGTCTTGACCTCACATGGAATCAGCTCGGGAAGGAATGTTTGTACAAATCGGCTGATGACATCGGCGCCAATTTGTGGTATTTGACGAATCGAGTTCTTAGTCCATCTAGTGATTGGAACACTTCTCAAAACTCCATCCGGCTGGAGTTGAGGATTTGTGAACTTTGTACCACGATAACCGATCTTGACGGCTCCATTAGGATCGCGGGGAAATCCGTAAAGTCCGCCCTGCCGACCAGTCTTGAGGTCATATCTATGATTATGTCAGCCGCGCTGGAGAATAAGAGAAGCCAATAAAGACGGAAACGTACGCCCATGTAGGGAAGTTATCTGGAGCGAAGCGATGCCAAAGTGGGGAGCCAGTAGACACTTGGAAGATGCTGACACTCCCCGCTGTGGTCTCACACAAGTTGTCCATCTGGGGAACGAGGGACGGGGTCCAACCACCACACGCCATGATGACGAGATCTGCTGGTCGGCAATCGTTGTTCGCAGTCCTGACACCGGTGACTCTGGATGTTGAGTCACGTAGAAACTGTTTAAACGTGCCAGGAGTGCCGCCCAGTATTGTTTTGACGCCAAGCGTTTTGGCTTTGTGAAGTGCAAAGAGACATGCTTTATCGGCGTAGACAAAACCTGCCATTGTGTCTAGCAATCCATAGTTCTCTTCTGGCGGTCGCCCAAATGGATTGATTGCGAAACCAAACCCTTCTTGGACAGCTCGAGCAACATCTTTAGGGTTGGTCAAGACTACTTGGGTATTGCCGACACCGGCTTTAGACATGTTAGTGATCGAATCACGCTGATGTTGCGTGAGGACTTCCTTTGAGTTCAACTCAAGGCTACCATTGTTGACGAAGACAACGTCATCTTGTGTAAAGCCGGGCGGAAGGGATTGACCTGCTTTGATTTCGGAATTCCATAGATGCCACTCTGCAATGGCATCAAGGCCCATATCTTGATATGCCTTGAGTGATCCATAGGCTGCTCTCATCACTTTGTTGTAATCTGTTCCCAGTAAGCTTCCAGTCTATCTAAGAGAGGCGTTGAGGTCTGACCTGCAGAGGCAGCGTCGCACCCGGCATCGTAGGAATACCGAGACACCTCGTAAGGCTGTTGGTCCAAAATTGTGACATCCTTATACCCACGCCGAGCCAGATGAATTGCCGTGCTCAATCCAAAAACGCCTGCGCCCACAATAATTATGGGCGATGCCTTGCTGAGGACTGGAGGTGCCATAGGGTGGCGGGCGGCAAATGATTGTATCAGAACTTACGAAGTTGCTTGAAATTCGACCTAGGTCTTCAAGTGGATTCGTTCGGGGAAGCATATGAGGGCGACTTATCAAGAAAAAGTGTTGACTAAATTACTGGGACACGCCTGGTCAAGAAGGAATAAGGGTTCAAGCGCGAACCCTGACCCAGTCGGATTAAGCACCCCGAAGGACTTGAACTCTGATTGCATGATCGACCTTTTAGGCCCCAGCAGCAAGCCTAGCGTACCGGATTATGAAGCCCGTAAGAGTAACCTTGTCGCTCCCACTGAATCCTTGTCCTGACCAGATAAATCAGTTGCCTGCTTGTCTAGAAGTCGATATATTCGGTGTTCACAGCCCTCGAAAATACGACAGATCCTAGGTTGCGCTCAGTCAGATTTATTATAGGATTATATTGGGCGTAGGCTGACACAGTGCCGGCGATAACCAGGCGAAATGGGTTTCAGTTGGGAGAAACGTCCGCACCCACGTCCGCTCCCAGATCGCCCAATTGACGACCCGCGCTGTCTTCGCATCGCCATCATTGGAGCGGGTATCTCCGGCATAGGACTCTACATCCGTTTGCGCCAATACGTACCCAGCGCAGCGCTCCAGATCTTGGAAAAGAACAGCAGAGTTGGAGGGACTTGATTCGAAAACCGCTACGTATGTAAACTCCGATTCGTGCAAATGAGTATCAGAATTACTGACAAGCCACAGCCAGGAGTAGCGTGTGACATTCCAAGTCATTCGTACCAATTTACATTCGAGCCGAATACACAGTGGTCCAAATTTTTCTCAGGGGGTGAGGAAATCTTACAATACGTGAGAGGTGTGGCCGATAAGTATGGGATAACCAACAAGGTAGAGTTTCAGACTCGTGTAGCTGGGGCAGAATGGAATGAAGAAGAGGGAGAATGGGTCGTCAAAGTTGTCAAAGGCGCTCAGAGCGAGAGGAGGGTTTTTGATGTTGTAGTAAATGCGACAGGATGTTTGAACAATTGTAAGTGGCCAGATATTGAGGGCTTGCAGGACTTCGAGGGTAAGTTGTTGCACTCTGCGAATTGGGATGACTCTTGGTAAGGACTCCATCTAGGATTGGAAGCACTGACATTGAACAAGCCCTTTCAGGGATTACTCCAACAAGACGGTTGCGTTGATAGGTGCAGGTTCATCGGCGATTCAGATTCTTCCTCACCTCCAGAGAAAGTGCGACAGTGTCCACCACTTTGCCCGACGCAGGACGTGGGCTAGTGAGCCTTTTGGTGGAGTTGTGACTCAGCGAGCCATCGCAGAAGACAAGGATTCTGGAAATCGTGAGAAGTAAAACCTACCATTAATGGCCACGACTTACTTGAATATAGACTCATACTCTCCAGAAGAGCTCAAACAATCCCACGAGGATCAAGCTCATTATTGGAGATATCGCAAGGAAATTGAGCGTTCAGTAAATTTGGACCATGCATGTCTCTTTCCAAACACACCATCCGCTTTAATCACCAAGGAGCGTATTGTCGAGAACATGAAACGAAAGCTTGCTAAGAAACCAGAGCTGTACGGCCTTCTAGTTCCAGGGTTCGTCCAGGATGCCGGAGACTCACGCCCGGACGTGGGTTTCTGGAGGCCTTGGTGGAGGACAATGTGCACTTTTCCAACAGCCGTATCTTGAAGGTGTCGAAAAACGTAGGAAACCATGACAGTCAAATTACCGTCTAGAGTTTGCTAATTATATCTAGGCCATTATAACAGAAGATGGGAAATCTCGACCTGTTGACGGTATAGTATATGCGACTGGGTTTGAAACCTCCTTTATTCCACGCTTCCCTGTCTTTGGTCAAAATGGTACTACCCTCGCCAATCAATGGAAAAAATACTCTTCTGCCTATCTATCCTTGGCACAACCAAACTTTCCCAACTACTTTACCGTTGGTGGACCCAATTCAGCCACCAGCGGCGGTTCTCTGTTGATTATCTTTGAAAGTGTCATAGGATACATCGTCAAAGCAGTACAAAAGATCGCCCGAGAGCACATCAAATGCATGGTCGTGAAACAGCATTCGCTGAACGAATGGGAAGAATATGTGGATGCATATTTTCCCGGGACGGTTCATATTGAAGAATGCCCGAGTTGGTATAAAGCGGGGGAAACGAATCACAGAGTTGTGGGACTGTGGCCAGGGAGTAGTCTGCATGCTAGAAAGACACTGGAGACTCCGAGATGGGAGGATTTCGAGTACACCTACTCGAAGGAGGCTGAAGTAGGAGGCTGAAGTATCAAGAAGCGGGATGCTGGGATGGCTGGGCGACGGATGGACTATTGCAGATAGAGAGCAGGGAGATACGAGTTGGTATTTAGACGAGGTCGATTATCCACCTGTCAACATATGATCGTGGTGGCAGCATGGCCAACGGCATAAGACGTTTTCAGGAGGACCATCAGTATGGGCCAGAATGTCATATGACGAGTCGTAATGGCTGTAGACGAGCCACAATAGCTGTAGGATGACATTTCCTGTATTCATTGTTGCTTGTATCTGTGTGAGAGAGAAGGGGGAGAGTGTGTGTGTTGGGTGCTACAAAGCCATAGAAATAGTCGTAATAATCGCTAATCGCTGTCGATGCAGGAGCGATTCACTATGTCATATGACACAGAAGATAAAGAGAACTCCAGCTGCAGGGTTGGAGGGTGCGAGACCACGGGAAACAATCAAGAAGGGTGCAGCTCGCCTGACCTTAATGGGGTCTTGACACTTAGTGGCCTTACGGCTATTATACTGGGTACTCGACAAGGACACCATGCAGAAGCGAGCTACCTGGGCCGACGAACAATGGCTCGGAAATGACGATGCGGACAGGCGAGAACTTAAGAGAGCCTGGGCTGACCAAGATTGCTTCGGAGGCATGGTGGCGTGGAGTGTCAATTTCTACTCCGTGGATTGTTGTTTAGGTGTAGTGAGTAAGCTGTTTTGATTCTGAATGACAATGTGTAGGACAAAGGGGATTTACCCCTTCAATAGAATGTGGATGAGCATGTAAGCATAGATAATGTCGTGGAGATGCTGGGTCTTTAGATTGGAGATAAGCGGATCCAAGCTAAGGAGTTCACCAGCGCATATATACTCACGAAATGCAAATTCTGACAAAATTAGTATCAAATTGTCTACCCCGAATACCTGTTTGCCAATTAGAGTAGCCCACAGCGCCTCACTTCGTGGGAAATTCGCTGATGGAATCACCATCCCGACCGCTCCTCCTCAGCCATGCAGCGCATATGCCCAGCACCACCACAGTCAGGGGAATGGCTACGGCAAAGTATATCCAGAATTGACTGGCGACTTGGAATTTGAGCTCAGACGGGGAGGTCTGGAAATTGAAGAATCCCATGCTGAAGAGCGAGCACACGAATATCGCTGGCAGGAAGATCATGGTTAGGACGGTGATTGCTTTCATCTAGAAAACATGCGCTTGCGTCAGCGTAAGTAATTGATAGAATAGCCTCGGAGTGGCAGACAATTAATTTTTTGCGTTAGGGACCGGACGCCAAGTCCAAACTTACGGTGTTGCTGTCTGATTGAGAGTTCTGAGCGAGCCGGATCATGGTCAACGTGTCTGTAGCTGTGATGGTCCCATCCACCTGATTGACGGGTCAGTACCGATTGGCGGCACAAACACTTCCGAAACAAGGTCGACTCACCACTTTAGCCTGCACGCGAAGTCTTTCCCTGAGAGAATGAAGTTGTGCCACGGTCCAAGTGGCCATACTCCCGTTCAGACTGAGACACGCTTTTACGAAATTGACTTGTCTATGCGTGGAAGTGTTCGTGAAGAGAGGCTGTAAGAGCGCATGGAAGTTTCCGGACTCTCCAATAGCAAAAGCGACCATCTTCATCTGGAACGAGAAAATATGATCGGCCATCGCCATCAGCGCCTCCTTCATGTGCAGCTCCTCTTTCAAGACGGCAAATTCAGATATCCTCGCGCGGGTGCGAGAGCCGAAATTGTGCAATGCGACCCCGGACCTCGATTCGAGATGGCGGATTGATTTGTCAATATCAACTCGCTCATCTTCATTGAGGCACCGGAGATGGTCCACGAACAATGCAAGTGGAACTAGGGGGTGCGGAAGACCAGATGTGGTTGAGTAATAAGGCGTCGAGAATAATTCGAACGTTCGCTCCGCTAGAAGCTGCGTGTTCGGTACTTCGATCACGACACTGGTCTTCCCTGTATGGAAGTGATGATGCAGCATGAAGGAGCCATTAGCAAAGGGGCCAAATGGATATTTGATGAATATGTCTGACTTTGGTGTTTAGTAAAACATCTGCTAGCATGCTGGCTGTCGAAGCTCACAGTAGTCTGTAGGTGCGTCATTTGGGCCAGGAACAGTGAGCGAACTGTAAAGCCCATTGTTGTCCATCAATACTTCGAGATATGATGGTGACGCGCCAGTGGCCTTGAGCAGTTGAAAGAAGGAGGTTGGTGATAAGGTGACGGCATTCCGCATGAAGGGTTTCAAGAACCTGAGATTGATTCAGTGAGGACGCCGCACCAACAGGCCGTGAGTATCCATACAGTACTTGGAGTTCGCACCGTCCACCAGCCTGAAAGAGAGCGAGAGAGTCAGCCGCTTCCATTGTTAATCAAAGGTTGAGTCGAGACATTATCACGTACGTCTGGGTCCGGGGCCGTTTCCACCAGCTCGGCGCACTCGACATCTTTGCGGCCTGCAAGAGTTCGCCAAGTCAGAGCCCACTTCCCCCCAAGTACACCCAGGGTCAAGGACTAACGACAGATTCCTTTCGTAATCTTCAACTCATGAACTGTGGTCAAGCCCCCGAATGTGAGACTCTCAAGCAATTCCTTGAAACGAGCCTCTCCGCAAAGGATACGAGTCTCCGGCGATTCATCATATAAGTCGTGGTACAACTGAATAAAATCCATGCTTTTGTTGTCGTGAGAGGCCGCGGGCTGGTTACTCAGCGCTGACATGGTCTTTTGGGCAACTTGAAAGAAGCTTCGCTTGGACATGATTGAGAGGGGCCGCCTAGTAAGGCTACAGGGCGAGATTCTGGGTCTCACATTGTCAAGCCTTAATATTGAATGATAAATAGACGGTCGCGAGTGGGTTTGCGAGGGATGCAACGTGTCGTTCTTAACTGGGCGGAGAGCAGCAAATCAAGTAGAAGCGCTCGACTGTGGCAACTCGTATTCCCTAGGTACCTAAAGTATGTAGTCCGTACCTGTTTGGTTGGTGTCTGGTAATTACTCAGTTTGAGCACCAAAGTTGTTGTTGGCGCCAAGACTCAATAAGCACACGCTAACACACTTTGGACACTAAAGCACTTTGGAAGCGGAATGGTTTTGTTTATCGATAGATGAGAGCGCCACTGCTTCAGCATCTGGGGTAATTTGAAATTATGGAAAAGGGGTGCCTGGAGATCAATTACCTAGTGAACATCTGCATCAATTAGAACAGAGACCATAGAGCGACGAGAGATAGAAACCTCAGTCATTATCCCCATTGACTCGCCTAAATTGCCAAGTACAGATCCACTAGCTACTGTGCGTCTTAGCCCTACTAGTGGTTTTTAAGATCTCACTAGCAGTCCCAGTTCTGTCTGTTAGGCATTTTAGTGTTGTCTAGACTTCACCGGTACTCACCCTCTAAAGCAGCCACCAGAAGTTGGACTTTCCGTCCACCTCAGGGCAGAAAATGTCCGTCTGATAGAAACGGCCTTGTGACGACAGGATGCAAGAACTTACCCTAATATACGAGGTGTCAGCGGTAATTTTCCACACCCCCCAATTTTAGCGTAAAGCGGGAACTAGCCAAATTAGGTCATGTATACGCGCTAAGCCTAGTTAGGAATTTAAAGTATTCTATTTAATATATCCAATTATACACTTAACTAAATAGACCACTATATACTTACACACACACACTCTCTCTATATAAATACACTACTACCACTTTATATACTAACCCTTTACATCTATAACATCCTAACAGCGCTGTGGCATAGTAGCAATTAGGTCCACTAAAGTAGACTCTCCTATAGCATCCCATACCTCCTTAACCTGCCTCCGTAACTCATTATATAAGCAATTACGGTTAGGATAGTACTCCTAGATCTAATCCTTCATAATATTCCATAGACTCTCAATCGGATTAAGGTTAGGAGAGTATGAAGGCTATTTAACTACTCGAATCCTTCTATCCTATAGTTCCAATATAGATCCTACGTATCTAGGAGCATTATCCTACATTAGCTCTATTCCTAGATACTATTAAAGACGTATTATATTAAGATTAAATCGGTATATATTCTCGCCTATCCTATAGGTCGGATAAGGGGGTAGGGCTACGTTACTAGGGGTTCTCTCTCTTCTAGGACCGTAGAATAAGAACTAATCGACGCTAAAACGAATAGTATAGTAGCTATAACTAAAACGATACTCTTTACTTACCTATATTAGCG